ACTCGCGTGTGATGTATGCTCGCGGGTTCCGCATGCCATGTCGTGCGACCTATCGTGAATTTCCTAGCGCTGAAAGACACATGGTTGCACCAAAAAAAACCCCCCCCCCGAAAATCCCTTGATGACAGCGGCTCCTTGCGGCGGCGGCTAATATAAGTGGAAGGAGAGGAGTCGAAAGTTCCGAGAGAAAGTGATGTTGTGTACGCATTTGAAATTTCCCCTTTCGGTGCACAGGTGGGTTGGGTGGCAAGGTGGAGTCTGCTAAGATCTAAGGGCGATTCGGCATTGCTCGGTCGGCGGCGATCGAACATGACGGTGACACAGCAAAAAAAATGCACCTGCGGGCCTTTGCTGCTGTCAAAATGATTCCAATTCTTCATTTTCGAGAAGTCAAGTTACCAGTTACCTAGCTAGCTAGCTAGATAAGGAGGGATGATACGATTACGATGTTGCATGTCAGCCAGCCTCACAACAAACTCTCCCCACACACACACACACACACACTACGCACACACACGCACACATTCTCTATCTCTCAAAATACGAAAATGGATCGCCCCAATTCTCTTCTCGGAGCCGAAGAGTTGATCACCAATCGTCACGGGTATACCAGCAGACTATTATTGACGCAGATACGAGTCTGCTGTCGGTAAAGCAAGCAAGCAAGCAGTGTACATACGAAGCAAGCTAGCTCATCACAACATGTAAAACAGAGTGCAGTGGCCGAGATGACGTCGCAGACTACCTTAGGCACCGCCCAAAACTTTCAATCATCAGCCCTTTCACACTACACACTTTGAGATGAGGCGGACAATATAGTTCAATTCAATTCAATTCGAATTTCTCCGTAGCGTCCGTCCTTCCTGCCTGAACTCCTACTCCCAGTTGTTGTTGATCTGCCCCCCGAACGAACAAGAGATCGGCACCCGCTCCGGTACAGACAGACAGACGAGAATTCCGGCTCGCTTGCAGCAAGCAGCAAAACGGAAAGCTCCAACCCGTACCAACAAAACCCACACACCTGCCGCTGCGGCGAGCCGGCGAACCGGACTTTCTCGTAGTGCATTTCTCGCCCAGAGCCAAGCATATTAGAGGTTCTGGAAGCATTGGATGAAGCACTTACCTTATGTGTCTCTTGTTGGGCAAACTTGTTTCGCTGTGGCGTTGCGTTGCGTTGTTCGGATAAGGTAGAGCCGAGCGAACCGAGCAAGATCGCTGCTGGCGAGGACTGACTGTGTGCTCTTTCTCGTCGCTGCTGATAATAATGATAATAATGAGGATGATGATGGATGAGGGATGAGTGACTTGTCGTCCATGCAGGGAACTTCAAGAATCTAGCTCGATCGGGTCGAAGAAGGACACCAGAATGGAGCCGGAGGAGGGAGGGATTCGTGGTCTCGCGCCGGAAGAGGATGTGCAGATCTGGAAAAACGGGCAAGGGAAGCGTGGTCGTGGTAAGCCATTGCGCGCTGTACCTACTAGGGCGCAGCGAGGTGCGCGTAGCTCCTTACCTTACCTAACCGAAGGGAAGGGAAGGAAGCTACCAGACGCAGAGCACTGCACTCTCATGTGGCTGAGGCTGAGGGAAAGAGAGCTCCGGATTTTCGTCCCCACCTCATGCTTCGGATCCGGAGCACGTGTGGCCATCTCAGCTGTCTCCCGGTGGAGATTGGCGTGGTGAGTGCCGTGGAAGGAAAGAGCAGAGAGCAGACAGAGAGCACAGTATAAGGTAAGGCAAGAACGACCGAAAGCCGCTTCGGTGTTCACATTGGAAATCTCCAGCGACCTATCCTATCGTCATCTTCCAGGCACCTACCTGACCTACTTCGACCACGTCGTGGCATCTTCCCACCTCGTCGAATCATATCGTCTGCATCGGTCTATTCCCATCCGGGAAAGTCGATCGGAACGATTTTGGGCAAGGACACGAGGAGACCCCACAGATTCAAGAATGCATTCCCACCACCATCCCATCATTCTACGAGACGAGCAACGAAAACGCGAACCCCCACATGACAGGCTGAACGGCATGATGGAATCCGCACCCTGATTGACTCCGCTCTTGCATGTGCCAGTGTTCGTCTCCCAAGCACATAAGTGCTCAATGGCTGCAAGGGCGGCACGGGGACCTCTCCGAATGTTGACGCCATCGAATGGGTTCCGTCGGCGGGCGGTTTGCATTGGTCGGTTGATGATGATGATACCGCTCAACAAGACGACGACGATAACGCCGACGCGCCCGACTCTGCTATCGCACCTTCAGCCGGTTCCTGTCCGCTGTCACGAGCGCTGCGGCTGTTGCAAGGGGCACCGACGCCGCTGATAAGCAGAGGGCGCGCGTGGCTTTGGGACCGGGCAAACAGGTTGGAGGGGAGAGGGTGAGGGTGGTATGCATGTCTGAGTGAGCAGGCAGGTGATTACGCCTGGTGGTCGAGGTACAATGGATGGGTACTCCCACATGCTTGCCTGCCGCTGCCGATAGAAGGTGATCTCCAAATTAGGTTGCAAGCGATACATTTCTTAATCATCCTGGGGAACTCATGTGGATGATACGCGTCGTGATCGGCGGCGGCGCGCATCATTGTAATTCTCAGCTCGAGGGTAGTCTGGGTAGAGACCAGAGAGGCCCAAGAAGACAGATGGATATGGGACGTCGTGTTTCGCGTCGAATGTTTCGGGTCACTCGTTGACTGCTGTCGGATCTCATAGTAGCAGCAGCAAGTTGAGCAGAAACTCTAATCAAACGACGGTCGTCGCATCATCACCATTCGTCGCAGGAGCGCATCCCTGTACGATGATAGTACGAATCGACGTATACGGCTCATTTCCCGAGAAGCAGGAATGGATGAGAAGGGGATGCAGAGAATTGGGCGTGTTGATGACGAGAGGACGGGGTGTGGCTTCCCCGTGCGAGCTACTGCAGGCCCTGGTCGGCAAGCTACGAATAGCGGCCGCTCACGTTCTCGACACATCCCGATGCGTGCGACAGTAGGGAGAGGAGGGCGAGAGCGATGCGATGCGATGCGATGCTGGGAGTGCTCGCTTCTGTGGGAGATGCTTGTCGGTGAAGGAATGGTGTGGGGCCAGAGGGCCGTAGGGCAGTCGCACACAGCTCTCCATCATCTCCATCATCACCATCATCCGCCCAAGGCTCAGAACCTGCCATGAGGCGCCAGGAGGCTTAAGGGGGATGCGAGGCGGCAGAGGCAAGGCATGAGGTGAGTGGCGAGGGATAGGAGGAGAGCAAGAACGCAACGCGTGACAGCTGGGCGCCTGTGTGGATAGGAGAGATTTTAATAGGCGCTTCCAGATATGGAGGGGAGGTGGCCTGGTGTGAGAGTGAGAGTGAGAGTGAGCGTTGTGATAGCCCACAATCGTTATTATAGGCAGTGGCGATGGACGACAAGGCGATGATGGTTGGAGGAGGAGTTGGTGTAACAGGTCGGGCGCTGTGCGTGGTGGTAAGGTGAGTGGTGGTGAGCGTGGGCGATTGTCTTGCCATGTGCAAGGCGGTGCAAGGCGTCACGGCGAGCGTTTGGGAATGGAGACGGCGGAGGGTTGTGAAACCCAGGGCCAAGCGGTGGGTGTGCTGGATGCGCTGGCGGTATGAGTGGATGGATGATGGAGTTGTGGTGTTCTGTTGATTAATTCTGCTGCAGTTGCCCAAAACAGACCGGGAGGACCCCTGCAGGTGCGCTGGCGGGGTCCCCCCGGTCGCGTGCCGGATGGGCGGCGTGTACGCGCATCTGCGCGGCGGCACAGGATCTTGAGTTGGAGTCTATTTCGTGCTTGGCGCTCCCAGCGGTGCATTGTCAGTGGATGCTGGATGCATCGCGAGCCAGGGTAGCCGCATCCACGGCCACCGCCTGCACCGCCTGCACCGCCTGCACCAGCCTGCACCAGCCTGCACCGCTGCATCGCTGCGTCCACGCTCGGTGCAGCGCCGACGGGTCGTCGCATCGTGCGTCTCATCCGGTGCAGCGCAGCGCAGCGCCGCGCAGCACCGCGCGAGAAAATGCTCCGAAGCAGGGCAGCTCATGCATCGGCGTTGAAGTGTATCTGCTCGTGCCGAATCCTTATCCTGGTGGCACGGCACGGTAGTCGAGTAGTAGTGGAAAGGTAGGGTAGTGGGTAGGGGAAGAGATGGAAGCTTTGCTGCCCTGTGCGTGCGAGGCAGGAGCCAGTGCGCTGTTTCCCAGAGAGTGTACAAGTCATAAGTCATGGAATAGGTTGGATCTGCGCCTTCCCCAAACCATTGCAGTGCACTGCACCTGCCCTCTCTAACCTACGATATCCACCTGCACCTTCCCTCACACCCCTGCCCCTACGCACCCTTCCACGCCGCTTCCCTTCCCTTCTCTCACATTGCATTCACTCTTCCATTCTGACTTCTCCCTCCTCACATTCTTACCTTCTACCCTACTGATCTCAACTCAACCATCCTGCCCTTGCCCTTGCCCTTGCTCTTGCTCTTGCTCTTGCTCTTGCTCTTGCTCCTGCTCTTGCCTTGGCCCTCTGCCGCACCCGTTCCCTTCCCTCCCGTCCGCCGCCGTCGTCGTCAACGTCAACAACAACCAGCCACTCGCTTCAGCCAACCTACCCTCCGATCATCCATCTAATCATCCTCCCACCTCCGCATCTCGCACTCCTGCTGCGCTGCGCTCCGCTGCACCTACCTCTACCTCGCACCCCTCCACTGCACGTCAACTCGTACCGCGCCTGGCATCGCCGCTCCAGCCCTGCGCGTCGCTGCCGTTCCATGTCCAACGACCCTACCTGTCGCTGACTTACATATCGCCCTCCTTCCCGGTCATCCTCCCACGCTCACCCTCACCCTCACCCTCGCTCTCACCCTCACCTCACCCTCACGCACCGGCCGATTATATGCATGCCGTCTCCCACGCCCTGCTATTAAGCCCTCTGATTTCTCCGACCTGCCTACCACTCTTCCGGGGTCCCTCACTCCGAACACCATCCATCCCTAGCTGTCAGGCGTAACAATGGTCTTCTGCACCTATTGCGGGCAGTCCTTCACGAGGGACGAGCACCTCGAGAGGCACATCCTCACTCGTACGTTATCCACCCTCCCGGCTACCAGTACCTCAGCGACGACCTTTGCAAGCTGACAGATCCCTCACTACAGACACCAATGTCAAACCCTTCAAATGTTTCACCTGCCATATGTCCTTCGCGAGGAGGTGAGCTTCCTTCACTCCCTCCAACCCGCATCCATCGATCCGGTCACTGACAGACCCATAGGGACCTCCTCCAGCGACACTACACAGTCCACGGACGGGACCAGAACCAGCAGGAGATTCCAGCAGCGAATGGCATGATTCCCAAGTCAGCTGGAAGGACGCCAATCGCTTGCAGCAACTGCGCCAAGACAAAGACAAAATGCGATAAGAAGTTTCCTTGCTCTCGGTGTGCCGGCAGAAATCTGAGATGTACCTTGAGGCCGACGAGGCGGGCATCGAAGAATGCCGCTCGTGTCGGCATCCCGCCAGAGGGTGCCGTAGCCATACCTCCCGGTATGCAAGCTCCAGTCGGCGAGAATGGTGTGCAGCAACCACAGCAGACCCAGAGCCCTCCACAGCACCCACAGCCCATCAAACCGGCGAGCCCAAAGAACAACATGGCTCCAGTCCAAGAAGAGAAGACATCAGCTCCAGCAGTCGACGGCCCTCCCTCACATTTTGTTGAACAACAACCCACCAGCGGCCCGACTCCTCCCAACAGCTTCTCCCCACCTATGCCTACGCCGGGCTTCCTCCAGCACACGCCCATGTCAGGATACAACGAGTTCCAGACAATGGGCAAGGATAGCTCAGATGCAGGATCCAGTCCTCGTTTCATGCTGGATTGGAGCCAGATGCAGATGCCAATGGGATACGATGGCATGATCCAGCCTCACCTGATAATGAATCCAGACATGGCTTTCGACCCCAACATGCCCCTGGCACCAAACGGCGACGGCCTTCTCCACATCATGCCTGATGTAGCGAACGGTATGGCTCCGCTCATTACACCTCTCGAGACTCCGAAGATCGAGCGTTCGTTCTCCGACTTGGAGCTAGGCAGCTCGGCGGCGGCCTTCCAGCCTCAGCGTCACGGCTCTGTCCCGTCAATGCACTCCGTTCAATCCGTACAGGACATCAAGGGTGAGATGCCGGCCATCATCACCGCTCAAGATGCCTGGTCTGTTTTTCGTTGCACACCAACCATGCCATCCTCGTTTTGTCCCAAGACCGCGAAGCTGAACTTGGAACGCCTGGAGGAGACCCTTAGGAACCACGAAGGTTGGAGCAGCTGGAGTCCACAGTGGGATGAAGGCGACATGGCAGGTGGCGACCACCTCACCGTAATGCAGCTGCACGAAAGCACTAGGGACAAGTTGCTGGCCATCACCCAGAGCTTTCTGCACAAGGCATTGGAGATCCACAGAGAAGGCCACCACCACCAATCTTCTCCCGCGAATGAATACCTTACACCAAACTCGTACGCCTCCAACTTTGTGCTATTACCGCCTGCGCGCGTGCTCGAGTACTTTTTGCAATCCTACGCCAACTGCTTCGAGCGGTACTACCCGTTGACGTCTAGAGGCGTCTTGGACGCCAATGAGCTCATGCACTGCTACAACGACAGGGCATCGAGTCTTCTGGTCCTGATGATGATCGCTCAAGGAGCCATGAACATTCCATCGACCGACGCTAGGATGCTGACGGGAGGACTGACCGAAGCTTGCCGAATCTCTCTCTTCGACCTCATCGAGAGGAACATCATCATGGCCGGAGATCCAATCGTGCTCCATGCGGCACTCTTGTTTACGGTTCAGGCAGCCTGGAGTGGTGACAAGTGGCAGATGGACATTGCAATGGGACAGCGCGGAATGTACTTTGCCATGCTTAGACATTCTGGCCTCTTGGACAAGCCCACCCAGCCAAGCACAGTCAACCAGCAGTCGAACGCGGATCAGTTGTGGAATGAATGGATCCAGAACGAGTCAAGAAGTCGACTCATCTACTCATGGGTGATGGTTGACCAAGACCTCGCGCTCTTCCACGACAGCGCTCCGCTTTTCTCCGTCACCGAGTTCGCCGCTCCAATGCCGGATGCCGATCGCCTATGGAGTGCCAGGACTGCAGGAGAATGGTCCTCCATCTTCGAGCAGGTCCACGAGTTCTCCGGCGGTTACTCGTCTGTCGGATCCGGTGCAAGACCATTGTCGCTCAAAGATCTTTTCCGTCACTTCCTCGACGATGAGATGATCCCCTTGGGCATCGAGATGACGCCTCTGCAGCTTCGTCTGCTCTTGCATCCTCTGCAGTCACTTGTCTGCCAGTACAGTCAGCTGCTCAGCTGCTTCTCCGACTCCCTCTCCCAGAGAAACAAGAACGAGCCTAGACGCGTCAGCGCTTCCTCCACAAGGAGTCGACTCGAGGAAGTTCAGTCACTGCTTGGGCGGTGGTTCGACCTTGCCGAGAGATACCTCAAGGCCAACCCACTGTGCCCAATGATGCAGACCAACCTGGTCATCTTCCACCTCATCAGCTTGAACGCTGTCACGAACTTTTCTGAGATCGAACGCTTAGCACGACGAGAGAACTTCGACGGCACCTACCAGCAGCTTGTCTGGATGCACAAGCGGAGCATTGCCGATGTCGAGGAGGCGGTTTACCACTGTGGCCAAGTCTTCCGACTGGTTCGGGCTATGCCTCGCGGGATCCGTCCTCCATGGTGGGCTGGCGCCATCTACCGCGTCGCTCTTGTGCTGTGGACCGACAGCCTGATGCACAAGGAAGGTGGCTCACCTACCAACAGCATGTTCCAAGGCAACGGCCCTGTGCCAGGACCTTCTTTCGCCATTGACGCCCTCGCCGCTGACCATCCGCTCATCGTTCGCTACCTGACCAAGCGCGAAGGTGTGCCGTGTGTCACCAAGCGTGATGGTTCACAGATGGCGCTCGACCGAGCGTATCCGGTCTTGCAGCACTGCATCGAAGTCATCGATGAGGGTGCTGCCACTCGCTTCTCCGACGGAATCCGGGCTAAGCTCGAGAAACTGGCTAGAGGTTGAGTGTGTCGCGGACGGCTACCCTCTGGTAGCATCTTCTTTCGGGAGGAATGATGCGCGGGTCGCCGACGTTCCAGGTTGTTTCATCAAGAAGCATCATCCTTCGATGGTTCGGACAGCTCACGCCGCCGCACTGCCGCGGGATCTTCTGGTCTGTTTCGCTCGGATGAATAGCGTTCCGCATATGATGAGTGGCGCTGATAATTTGCTATCTAATGTTTTTTTTGTGATATTGGTTCGATGTTGATGTCGATGTTGGATGATTTTGGGCTTTGAATACGACAGCATTGTGTGCGTTTTGGCAGGAAGAGTGAAGTTGGAAATTCTTGTGCGGGGAGCGAGCGCGGGGTTGGCGCCTGCCTTCTTGCTCCTCCGGCTTGGGTGGTCTTCTCCATGGGGTCCGTCCAGCATTGGTGGTCCCGGTCAAGAGGAGCCGAGCAACAGTTTGGAAACGAATAGACTTGGAAAGATGGATTTTGTTTTTGGGAGCACGCCGGTTGGCCGGTGTTGGTTGGATGTCTTGATGTTCGAGTGATACCATGGAAGCCGATTCGAAGCAAAGGAACAAGCAGCAGCGAAGGAAAGATAAAGAAGAAGCAGAAGAAGACGAAGACGAAGAAAGCAGCAGCAGCCGCGTATATTAATGTTTCTCGAGCAAGTGAGCAAGCAGGAAGCGAAGACATTACGGCCTAGTTCAATAAACACGTTTTCCCTTGTTGTCCGAAGCGTATCACGCTATCCTTCTATCCTTTTCTGCTCTGATGATCCGAGATCTGTGCTTTTCTCTCCTCTCCGAACCGAACGCTTAGACCAAACCAGACCAAACCAAACCAAAACCAAACCAAACCAGAACACCAGACGGCGGACGGACTTTTTCTCCTCACTAGTTAGTTAGCTAAGATAAGCAGCAGCAGCAGCAGGAGGGAGGCCGGCCGGCCTGCCTGTCTGACTGACTGACTAGCTAGGCAGGCAGGAGGAGGCTAATACGGAGGTCATGTTCATTGTTACTCTTCCTTCCCCTCCCTGCGTCGTCGGGTGTGACGCGAGCGAGCTCTGGATGGAGTATTAGATTAGGATTGGAAGTATGAAAGCAATCAATACTACCACAGATACAGATACCGGAAGGGAAGTGAAAGAAGTGATGTGATGAGGGGGAGAACACCGATACCGATGGATACCGATACGGATACCGATATGGATAGGGATACCCGAATGGAGTGGATGAGATGTGGAGTGGAGTGGGTGGATGGTACGAACGGATCTCCTCCTCCTCCTCCTGAGGACTCTACTAGTACTAGTGCTAGTATATGTACACACAGTAGTAGTTAGTAGTGGGGGAGTGAATAGGCTAGTCCCACACACACACTGACACTTGGCCGATCCGATGGTGCGGAGTCCGACAGACAGCCCAGGGCATGGCAGGGCATGGCATGGCATGGCATGGGTTAGATATAGATATGGATATGGGAACGAGCAGCTCCTCCCTTGTGATTGTTGTTATAATCATCAGGAAGTTTTGGTTGGGGAAAACAAAAAAAACGGTAACAGTGCAGTGCAGTGCGGCGCGACAAAAGAGACTCTAATGATAGAGATAAAGATTGAAGAGATTGCGTGAAGTCTTGTTGTGGTTGTTATTGCGTTGCCCTGGGATCAAAACTTTGAGAGGGCGAGACTCTCTCTCTCTCTCTCTCTCTCTCTCTCTCTCTCTCTCTCTCTCTCTCTCTCTCTCTCTCTCTCTCTCTCTCTCTCTCTGCTCCCTCCCTCTCTCCGCGTTGTGATTCCTTCCCGGACGAAGATGGGCAGGGGAGTAGAGTGACGGACCGTCAGGGCTCTCCACTGAAGATTGCCGAAGAGCCATCCATCTAGGTGGTGAAACGTTCGGGGAATTGGCCGCTGGCGTTGTCCGGTTGTTTATGTGGGAGCGGGGGAGAGAGAGGGGTATTATGTATTATTATTATTATTATTATTATTATTATTATTACGGGCGAGCGATGAGGAATGCCAATGTATGTCGTTGAGATATGATATTGTCCAGCAGTACAATTCCCTCCACCGACAGCAGTGGGGTTTTGTTGATGTGATGAGCGCCATATTTGCAGAGCGCGATTTTCTCATCATGCGGCTTCGGACTTTCCGCAGCACAGCGTGGTGTGTGTGTGTGTGGTTCCTCCTCAACGGCCATTAGTCCCAGACACCGGTGATCATTGATTGATAGAGATAGCGAGAGGCAATCGCATGTCTGTATCAAACAGGGGCATAATAAAGGTATACCATAAAATCGCCTCTCAGCAGCTCGCAAAACCCTCTCTTAATAATCACGCATCCCAGTGTAAAAAAGTTGTGGAGAGTTCTTCTTTACAGAAGGCAGGCTGCTGACAGGCGTTCGCATACGCCCAACATCCAAGCTACAGACGACAAGACGGACATCACTTCCGACAGGCTTGCTCGCGACGCGTGGTGTTTGACGTGTTGAGTGCTGATGATGAGCTGGCACAACCTCCCTTCTCTGCTGTCTTGTTGTCTCGTGCAAGAGCGGTGAGAGAGAGGGCAGGGAGAGAGAGAGAGACATGCATTTCCCTTCTTCAGCAGCCCATGCAGAGGACAAGTACCATTGTATTCTGAGCTCGGTACCGAGAGTGTCGTCCTCTGTGAACCGAGAACAGGTCATCAGAAGAATGCGATGATGATGAGAGAGAGAGAGAGAGAAAGACACGGCGAGGAAAGAAGAGAAGACACACCGCCCCTGCTTGGTGGCAGAGGAGATGTGGGATTTAGCTTCCAGAGGGAGGAGTGGTAGCGGGCGCCAGCTCGTCGAGGGAACGCCATGGTGTCCTGTCGCCTGACCGCCACCCCCTTCACACTTCGTCGTTCGGCCTCTGCCCAAGAGCGAGATTGCCGTGTGGCCTCAGGCCGCCAGCGGCAGAGTGGAGCATCCATGGTGTCAAGACTGACAGGACGGGAGTGGCGCAAGGCCGAAGTGTTATATGTCTGTTCGGTGTCTGGCTCGGGCTGCAGTGATGTTTCGTGGGACATGATGAGGACAAACAAAAGAAGCAGAAAAGCTCCGGACAACCCCACGAGGAGGCCGATAGTGCTAGCCGGAAGCGGCAACACCAGTGGAGCCGGGCGCAGCGCTTGGCCTGTTCCTGGCTGCAGGGTCCGGGCGATCAAAATAGTACTACAGTAGTAAGTGCAAGTGGGAGAGGGGAGAGGGGAGAGACGGGATGCGGGATGCGGGATGCGGGAGGAGTGGTGGTGGGTGCTGGGTGGTGGGTGGAAGGCTACGCAGAGACGTCTCGGTCTTCGCGCTCTGGCAGTCGAGCGAAGGCGTCGTGGATTGCGACAGCATTCGCTGCCCTCCCGGCGCGCCCAGGCAACACGCGCAGGGGTCCGGGGAGTCGTGTGCGTTTTGAGTTGGGACTGGCTGGCGAAGAGAAAGGGCGGAAAGGGTGGAAAAGCGGGGCCGGATGGGCAGTCGACGAATGTTCGCCCAGCGAGACGAGAGCGAGACGATGGGTTGCCCGACCAGAGGTCAGCCAGCGCGCGCGTTCCGAAGGTTCGTCGCTCCTTGTTGACGTATCCGTTCCGCTTCCTCTCACAGGTTCTCATCACTCTCGCAACACCCGGAACCGATGGCTGCCTCGATGGCGGCGTCGATGCGCGGCACCACCAGAAGCATTGGGCAGGATCAGAGAGATATAAGAGCCCGCTACCTGGCTGCCGGAGCTCCAGCAAATGTCTGACAACTCCCAGAAGAGACTCTCTGTCGATCCCCTCGGTGCCATCGCCAAATACAACTCCCTCAAAGCTCACTTCCTCAACCCAACCCTCCCCACCACCATGTCTGCTCAAGCTGTCGAGACCTCCCGCCTGGACGGCAAGGTCGCCCTCGTCACCGGCTCCGGCCGTGGCATCGGCGCTGCCATGGCCACCGAGCTCGCCCGCCGCGGTGCCAAGGTCGTCGTCAACTACGCCAACTCCACCGACGCCGCCAACAAGGTCGTCGACCAGATCAAGAAGAACGGCGGCGACGCCATCGCCCTCAAGGCCGATGTCAGCGACGTCTCCCAGACCACCCGCCTCATGGACCAGGCCGTCGAGCACTTCGGCCAGCTCGACATTGTCTGCTCCAACTCCGGCGTCGTCTCCTTCGGCCACTTCAAGGATGTCACCGAGCAGGAGTTCGACCGCGTCTTCCGCATCAACACCCGCGGCCAGTTCTTCGTGGCCCGCGAGGCCTACAGGCACTTGTCGGTCGGTGGCCGCATCATCCTGATGGGCTCCATCACCGGACAGGCCAAGGGTGTTCCAAAGCACACCGTCTACTCTGGCTCCAAGGGTGCCATTGAGACTTTCGTCCGCTGCATGGCCATCGACTGCGGTGACAAGAAGATCACCGTCAACTGCGTGGCCCCAGGTGGCATCAAGACCGACATGTACCACGCCGTGTGCCGTGAGTACATCCCCAACGGTGACAAGCTCACTGACGACCAGGTCGATGAGGTAAGCTAGGACAAATCCATTGCTGCGACGAGAAGTCTTTGCTGACATGTTCTGCTCAAAAGTACGCCGCCACCTGGTCCCCAATGCAGCGTGTCGGTCAGCCAATCGACATTGCCCGTGTCGTCTGCTTCCTCGCCTCTCAGGACGGCGAGTGGGTCAACGGCAAGGTCATCGGCATCGACGGCGCCGCATGCATGTAAAGCTTCCCAACACACATTACCCACAGCCTCGAATTTGTACAGCACCCCTAGGCTAGGGTGGAAACTTTGGGCCTTTTGAGCGATCTTCGTTGTAGTCGGACTTGAGGAGAGGAATGAAAGAAGAGATGACGGACCGGATGAGGCATCAGGATTGGCGAAACGGAGCGGACGGCTGGGTACCTGAGCATGGAGCATTGCGATGCGTGCAGGGCGGAAAGGCATGTCCAGACTCAAGTGCTGATCTTCGGCCATGTACATCTGTATGACGCAAGTAGTAGACACACCATGTTTACACCAAAATTGTTCAAAAGATGTGTCGTTCACATACCTCGTGTACTCTTGCTCATCTCATCTCACCTGAAGTGATGGTGGAAGTCGTTCAGTGACCGCTGAGCTGTGACAGATTTTCGGGCCCGAGCCAGCTGCCAATGCCTGTGTCTGCATGTGAATTGGGGGCCATTAGAGTTTCCGGAACTTGCTCCAGCCAGGTACGTTGATTACCCCCTTTGTGATTCCATCGCGCGAAATCGTTCATGCAAGGCCGAACACTCTTCCACCAAGCTCTCATCTCAACGAGCCGCCCTTTCTGCATCAGGAGCATCTTGTATGATTCATCGCCAGATCTCGTTCCGTTTCACATCAAGGACGTCATGATGCCACCTGCAGGCCGAAAGCCAATAGCGCGTTTCAAGACGTCGGATCGTTCCCTTGCAACGTGTGAAAGACTGACTCCGTGCTCGCATGCGGCGCTACGGACGATTGATCTTCTAGTGCGTCGGTATCGAGAAGCCCTTCGCTGCCGTGTAACGAAGTACTGCGCACATTGCTTTTAGCCGACCTTCGATGTAACGATTGACCTCGTGCTCCTCCCGTGCGACATATAGTCGTGAACTCGATGTATTGATCTCCTGCATTTGTTGATCTGCATGCGCAATAGATGAATGTTGAGGAGGCGTTTTGGCCTTGCCTCCTGGCGAAGATCAAATGCTTGCTTCTCGTGCGATCTAAACTCCGTTGCTGAGGGTATGCTGGATATCTCAGAGACCGTCCAGTATGCTGTTCAGTGGAAGCGCCTTGCCGTCTCTCACCTTACGCTTCTTTGCACGTTGCTCTTCCTCTGGTTGAGGACCCTGGTTTGTCGCCTGGAATTGCCAATCACGCTCGAAGCAGAAGATGTCATCGCGGTCGTCTTCGAATTGATTTGGCAGTGCCAATGGAGGCAATGCTTTGCGTGAGCCTTTCAAGGTCAGTTTGAGCAATGGAGTGTTGGCTTGATTGCCTTCCATCAGCCTTCGTCTCGGTCTTTCTGAGGAGAATTTCACGCGGCGCGACCTTCCACAAGTCAGCAGCATTCAATGGATAGAAGATCGGACATGGCTTTACTGTCTATCGAGGATCCATCCGGCCTTTTCAGCTTGGGCACTGGCTTTGGTGACTTTCTCTACACCACAGCAGTGCAACGCAAAAGTGTTCAAGATCGGAAAGCAACTTATGTGCTGTAAGGACCAAGTAGAGACATGTGGATGCCCACGAACAAATATCGACTCCAGCTTGCTGAAACAGCCATCTTTCATGACTGCTTCGGCCCAGCTCCGAATGATTCTGTCGTGGAACACTGCGTTCTCGGTCTTGGAAACTATGATCTGAATGTTCTTCAAGTTCCGAAGGTTGGGAATATGGAGGAGGTCATCGGCTGTGAGAGACGCGTCTTGCAGAGTCAATTCCGTCATCCAGGCAAAGGAATGGCTTGTTGCTATATCGATGCTCCGCTTGAAGTCGCCCTCGGGCTGCATCTGATGATTTCTGACAGAAGACAGCCCAAGGCAGCCTGTAGGCGCAAAGATTTTCCACAGATGGATTACGTCGAGATTTCTATCGTTAAGTTAGGTTCAATTGACTTGTTCAACATATCAATACCTTACCTTCGCCGGATGGCAGTCCAGAGTTGCTCAACTATCGTACTGGGAACAGAGCTGAGCGATTTAGTATCCAAGAGATCCAAGTTGCGAAGCAGACACCGGGTTGCCGTTTGTCTCAGCGGATTCGTGCCTTGGGAAGATACCCCTCTACCAGGGCGCGGTCGCACAGCCCTGCTGTAGACGCTGTCCTCCAAAGCGATCTGCTCCCGCGTACGCTGATGGACTATTTTTTCGGTATATACCAGGCCGGTCTCCGGATCGTGAGGCATGTTGAGAATCTCATGTCTCCCTGTCGTGTGCGCTGTTTTGCTACCCGAGAGTCGCTGAATCCTTTGTCAGAGGCGTGAATTGACGAGATAGTTAGCATGCTCGTATTCGTAGATGTTGAAAGTGCAGGTCTACATGTCGAGTTCTCAGAATGTTGATGTTGATGTTGATGCTGATGCAGCGACGACGCGAGGCACGCGTCGAAGTGTGACGCGAAAATATTGACTCTCGGCTATCTCGGCGACTTGCGACCGATACCGCACCTGACCCGATCTCAATTGGCTCGCAAACTGCCTCATCACCTGGCTGGACCTCATATCTCCCTTACGACTATGCCCCTCACTGAGACGATGCGTCTCTGTCTCCTCGTCCTCGTCGTCGGTCATGATTGTCAAGAAGCCTAGCATCCTCCTCGCCGCTTGCAACACGCTACAGTCCACATTGTCATTCCCATCTTCACAATCGTCGACGTCATCAGCCGGCCGACCGAGAGGCACACGACCACCGAAACGTCTGTCAGAACGAGGCCGCGGATATGCCACAATAGCTGGCGATGCGAGAGAATCTAATGGACAGTCAGACAGCCGGGACTCCGAGCATGAATGGCCGCAGGCGCCCAGCGGACAGCCTTGTCCAACTCCATACCAGATCTTTGATTTGAAACAGAACGGGACCTATTCAAAAGCGCGGTACTACAAACTGGTCAAACTTTATCACCCTGATATAAGAAGCGGCACAAACAATGGTCTCTCGGAGAATGTCAGGATGGAGCGCTATCGAATGATTGTGGCAGCCCACCACATCCTCTCTGACCCGGTCAAGCGAGGTGCGTACGATCGTTTTGGAGCTGGATGGAACGGCAAAGCAGAAGTTGGCCAAGCAGATACATGGTCCCGTTCTGCTGGCCAGGCTGGCCCTTTCAGTCAGAGCTGGAGTGATCCTAGCGATCCGGTCTGGCAGAATGCCACATGGGAAGATTGGGAACGTTGGAGAGCGAGGAGAGACGGGACGAACGAAAAGCCTTCGCCCGTGTACATGTCGAACTCATACTTCCTCGCTATGATCATGGTACTAGCCGCTATAGGAAGTTCGATGAACTACAATAGAGCGCAAGATGCGGGCACGTATTTCGTCGAGCAAAGAGATCTTGTGCATGATAGGGCAGCGAAAGAGCTCCGGCGGGTCCGGCAGGAAGCATCTACATTGAACTCAAGACAGGATCGGATAGAATATTTCATTCGACAGAGAGAAGCGACCATGGGACCCGGCGACTATGGAGCCATACGGGACGAGAGGGCTAACCGGGTACTTCGCGATATTGAGACATGCGGCAGCGAGCAGATCCGCGAAAGTCAGCAAGAGGGCTGAATGATGCATCTCGTGCGGAACAATTACATGATGCCATCTCTGTCGGGCTGTAATTTCCAACAGACGACCTAGTCCGGACGATCAGCCATCGAAACTCCACAGGGAGATTGGAATACGGCTCTGTAACGATACGCCGCTGCGTTGGAACTCGAGATATGCGTATCATTGCCAGGGATACAGCCTTCTGTCATCAGGTTTCCAGCACAAGAGCGTATCTTGCGGATTTGAGATGTCCACTTAGCCGAGCTGGGAAGGACTGAGCAAGCTCAGTCACACGGATACCTACCACAGCTGAGATCGTCAGGCACCTTACGATGCCTCGAACGGCTATCCCACGTCTTTCGAACTCTTGCGGTTACTGTCTATACGTATACAGTCAGCCAAGCCACCCCGTACTGCAGCCGAGAGCCTGCAATGTACATGCTGCTTGTGATAAATATAAGTTTGCAAACCTTTGCGCAACATCTATCTACAGGGCGTCTCAGTCTATGTACCTTGTAGCACACCTACTCGTACCGTTCGCAAAGCCACGGCTATGTGCGGCAGGAGGTCTAACAGAGGCGTATTGTGGTCCCGATCGCATGCCACGTGATCCTGCCCTACTGCCGGTCTTGTTGGACCCAGCCGGCTGAAATCGGGGCCCGTGGCTGACCACCCTCTGTGCTCGCACCGAAATTTTACAACATCTCCCTCTCATCCCCTCCACCTCACCACTGCGGACCTGTTCCAGCCGCAAATGGGACTCAGGGCTCCACACATGATAATTCAACGCAAGATTTACGGGCGGGACGTCCTCTAAACGCAACCGAGAGAACGGCGACGCACCGCCGATTTTCCCTATCTTCAGGGCAGGGTTGAGGTGGAGCACTGGAGGGCGCGCGTGCACTGCTACTACCTGGTAGCTAGGGCTAGCAGGAACTACACCCGGATTCATGACGCCTTCCCTGCTGGCGATATGTCGGCTCGTGCTGGCAATTTGAACCAACCGCATTCGCTGCCTCCCAGCACACGCCGGCTGCGGGACGCCTGGATTCCACGAACCTGAAAGACTGGAGCCTTGTCGCTTCCCAACGTGGTATCCGAGCCCGTAGGCCTCTTGTCACTCCTGCTCGGTTCGTTTACTGTGCCGCATGCCAATGCTCGATGGGGACAAGTATCTTGGGACAGTGGCTTCCCATCTCTTTTAGGTGCATACTGGACAAGTGTTGGGCCGATTCAAGGAATGGCCCTCGGTGTCCACCACACGATGTAACTGCCAGATGACAGGTACAGATGACCTGGGACTGCAACATGTGGCGCCTATTGTACATATACATGCGGACTCCTTCGCGCCTTAGCCGCCGTGCGCTGCCTCCACAATCATCCTGCATATCGGCAGTCTACAGTGAAGAGGCTGTGGACTCTGCCGGCAAAGGGGCACGAGCGTCTGGAGGGCGTGCGGAGAGTACTGGGGAGAAGCGAGGTCGTTCGGCCCGGTAATCAGCCGTCGTGCTTGGCCACGACGCTGCGCGCACTATTCGAGCCTTGAAAGACAATTTGAACGAGATCCTCCAGGATGTTGTCGTCATGCCCTTGGACCGGATCTCTTGCTGACCTCGTCGGCGCAGCCGATGGTATGTGCACTGGGTGTGCACTGCGCCATGTGCTCCTAATGGCTGATGCTGTTGGCGACTATCCACACATCTCTTGAGCCCTCCTTTTGTCGCACTTCCCTCTTTCATCGCGGCCGTTGTCTTCCTTTATTGTGTGACCTCGGTCGTCGTGAAAGGTATGGCCGACTTCATCAATGGGGCGCGTGAAGTTCGCCAGGAGCGCAAGAGATGGGCAGCAAGGGACTCAACAAGCCCGATAGAAGGCAGCAACATCGACTTACTACGACTTCTGGAATATCCTCAACTCCTTGGAAAAACGTACCTCGACCATGCCGGTACCACAGTAAGCAGCTCAAGCGGAAAAGACTCCTACCCGGGCGTGAGCTGACCTAAGTTAGCCTTGGGCGAAGAGCCTCACGAACGAGTTCGCACAGATGATGACAGAAGATCTTTATGGAAACCCTCACTCAGAGTCGGCTCCCTCAAAGCTCTCAGACGCCAAGATCGAAGCAACACGAGTGAAAGCGTTGCAATTCTTTAATGCAGACCCGGAGCACTTCGACCTGATCTTCACGCATAATGCCTCCGGAGCGATCAAGCTTGTTCATGACTGTTTCCGCGATCATGGCATCGAAACATGCCGCAATTGGTGGTACGGGTACCACAGAGATGCGCACACTTCTCTGGTGGGCGTGAGAGAAGGCACGCGCATGCACAGGTGCTTCCGGAATGACAAGGAGGTTGATCTGTGGATTGAAAGCCGTGGTCTCGGAGGAGCAGCGCCGCATGACATCGGCCTGTTCGCCTACCCGGGACAGAGCAACATGACCGGCCGGCGGCTACCTCTTTCCTGGTAAGTGAGCTCGTCGACAAGATTGATTTCAACAAGCACTTACCCGCTCTCTCTTCAGGTGTGCTGGTGTTCGCAAACGTGTCAAAGGAGAGGTATATACGCTGCTAGACGCTGCAGCGCTTGCATCCACAGGACATATCGACCTCTCGAATCCGGCAACAGCACCGGACTTTATGGCAGTTTCCTTCTACAAAATCTTCGGCTTCCCCAACCTAGGCGCTCTCATCGTCCGGAAAGCCTCTGCAGGTATCCTCATGAGCCGCAAATACTTCGCTGGTGGCACAGTTGAAATGGTCATCGCGGTAAACCACTCCTGGGTCTCCAAGAAAGTCACCATCCACAGCAGATTGGAAGACGGCACCTTGCCTTTTACCTCCATCTTCGCCTTGGATCTGGCAATCGACACGCATCGGAAACTATACGGTCCCGCTCCGATGAAGTATATATCCATGCACACGAGCCGTCTGATCAAGAAATTGTACGACCAGATGGTTTCCCTCAAACATAGCAACGGTGTCCCCGTGATCCAGATTTACAAGGAGAAGTCCGCGATCTACGGAGAATCGCATCTGCAGGGCGCGGCTATCGCATTCAACATCCAGAAACCCACGGGCGGGCTCGTGTCTTTCATGGACGTGGAGAAGGAAGCCAACAAGCAATGCATTTACATCCGGAGTGGATCCTTATGTAACCCTGGTGGGATGGCACACCACCTGAACTGGTCGCCGAAGGAATTGCGGGAGGCGTACGATGAAGGCCATCGATGTTCGGAGCCGCTGGCTGAGGTTTTCGGCAAGGCAATTGGCGTTGTTCGCGTGAGCTTGGGAGCCATGAGCAACGATGATGACGTTGATAGGCTCGTCGCATTCATCAAAGAGCGCTACGTCGACGCCAAAGATGTTGGCAAGGGAGCGCATATTGCGATTCCTGAGCTCATGAGGCCTGCCAGCACCACGACGACGACGACAACGACGACGACGACGAAAGATCTCAATGGATGCATTCTCCAGGTCTCCGAGGAACCCAGAACTCCTGCAGCATTCCCGCCCATCCCGCAGAGAGTCCAGTCGGTCGGAGCCGGGACGCTGATGCCGCCCCCGACGACGCAAGATCGTTCCGATTCCCAATCCGTGCGCGAGAAGAAGACGACCATGAGCATGAAGTCCCTGTCGAGTCTGGCGAGAATCCGTCGGGTGAGGCGGAGTATCATGGGCGTGCTGTCTTTAAGTAAAAACAGCGGCAAGGACACGCTAAGGGATGCTTGCGGATGACGGCCATGGCGATGACCGTGATCTGGATACCTCATCATTGCCGCCATGGGCATGGGCATGTGGCGCGCGCCAAAACCGAACAGAAGGAAGCTAGACAGGGAGCGAGAAATAAGGATTGTTTCTGATCACGCCATTGATTGTTGAACTAAGGTGAAAAAAGATAACGATCCGTCACGACCGACCGAAACCGAACATAGATATGGCATATACGGCATCTACGGCCTCTTGGATGGATTTGCATTTGCATGTGAGCGTTCTTTATTATATACTGTGGACAGATAGTAGACGGCGACTGGCCAACAGATGGAATGGGATGGGATGGGATGGGATGGGATGAGATGTTTTCCGTACTTTACAAGATACCATCTAATTCATTATACATCTTTCCAAATCTCTTCTCTTGTACTTCTTTCCCGTTGTTGGACTACTTGGTACAGGTGATGGTAGTAGCAGAGGAGGATCGAATTTCGATTATCGCGCATGTCTGTTCTTGTCTCTCGTCGGCTATGCGAATCGAAATGAATGTGATGAGCCGGCTTGATCGCGAGTGATTCGAGAGAGCGACAGATGACAAAGTCGGGGATTGCGTGGGCATTCAGGCCAAGGCATTGGCGTCTTCAGTCGGCCATCTGGAGGACTCTGGGGGCGGCAATCCCCGTCGTGAAGTGCGATTGGAATACGAGCCGAGCTAGTTGGCGACGATAGCAAAGGAGAGAAGACGGTGCCAGCAAAGACAACCAATTCGACATCGGACTGGAAGAGGAAGTCGCTGTGGCTGTTGCTGTGTGGCGGTACATTTTTCAGCGCCGGCGATCCTGCCGATTAGAAGCTTAAGTTGGAGCTTCACCGCTCGGAAGCGACTTCACTTCCTGCCATGACATCGCCGACAGCTCAAGATGATGACAACAAGACGCACAGGCAATAATACAAATGCTCCGTAAAGCTTCTTTCATTCCATCGTGTCAACTACTTCCCTGGTATCATATCGTTACAAAGCAAAACTCCATAGGTCGCTGTTCGCATCTCCCATCAATCCTCCACCGAACCGCCCAATGTCATCCCATCAAAGCAAGCAAGAGGTGTTGTTTGATCAGGTGTGAAGGAAGAAGAGGTCGATCGAGGTCGTTGAGGTAGGGATAGACGACGCGTCTATTTCTTGTCCATGCCGAGGGCGTGCTTGGTCTTGTCCAGGACAGAATCGTCGGAATGAGAGTCCTTCTCACGGGAGGCCTTGTCCTGCACGGACTGGCTGGTCGACTTGTGGCTGTCTGGGACCACGTCGCTGCCGTAGATGTCAATTTCTGCTGGCATGCGGAAGAGGGAGATGATGGAACATACCGCTGAGCCTTGTCGGCAGTGCCGGTGACAGAGTCAGAGACCTTGTCGACGGTGCTCTTCTGGCTGTTTGGGGTCACGGAGTCCTGGACCTTGTCGCCCACGCTCTTGCGGCTGGAGTCAGTCATGGTGAAGGTGTTGGTTGGTTGGTTGGTTGGTTTGGGATGATTGTGTTGGTATTGGTTGACTTGTGTGATGATTGTTGAAGTGTTGATGCTGTTGAAGATTGATGTCGAAGAGAAGTATTGAGTAACAAGAGCAGGACTCTCTTATAGCTCCCTACAAGGCAACGACCTCTTGCATTCGCGGCCGAGACGTCATCGTGACAACGAGCAAGCACGGCCAACTTGGACAGGAGCTCTTCGGAAGCACCTGACAACGATGCGTGCGGCAGTCGTCCTACGCAAACAGGTCTTGCCCCACGCACGAGCAGCCATTCATCTCCTTACTGACCGAATCCGATGAGAGAGAAGCACACTCGCCCCTGTCATCGTTCTGTCAAGTGGCTATCAAGTGGCCCAAAGACACACAAATCCCTCTCGTCATCCATCACAGCATCGTCATCAGGCACATGTAAGGCAGGAGGCATTGTTCTGGCCAACGTCACGATGGAGCAGAACAGGCATCTCTCGCACATGTTCCTGCCACTGTGCTGCCACTTGCACTATGAGGCCAATGCGGGGCCGACGTCACGTGGCTGCCATTCTGTCGGCATTTCGTACTCGGAACCTTAGAGGCTCTCGCATGCTGTTGAATGCTTCGGTTCCAGATTTGTCTGTATATGCGACCTGTAGGCGCAAAACGAAGACAAACTCGCCATTGTGCCATGATGGTTGTTGCTTCAGACCCTGACGGTGTTTCGGCACGAGCACGCGGAGCTGATTCCGACGAGCTCGGGCAGCGAGAGTCACACAACCATCGAAACACCTCTCCATCAACCACCCAAGAACCCTCTCCGACGCATCCGTATCATTTCTTCCTCAAGATCAAGCATCCCCACCCTCTCCTCCCACCCCATGTCCTCCGCCGAACGCTACAAACTAATCTTCTTCGCCCCTCCAACCTCTCTGCCCGCCTGCAAATCCGCCATCTTCGCCGCCGGCGCAGGAAAATACCCCGGTCCAGGCGGTTATACCGAAGCCTGCTTCACCACTCCCGGTGTAGCGCAGTTCCGACCTGGGGAGGCTGCGAAGCCGCATATAGGGGAGAGGGGCAAGCTCGAAGAGGTTGGGGAGGTAAGATGTGAGACCATAGTGACTGGAGGCAAGGAGACGGTGAAGGGTGTTGTGGAGGCGTTGAAGAAGGCACATCCGTACGAGGAGGTTGCGTACGAGGTTTATCGGATGGAGGAATTTTGAAGAGAGCGAGAAGGGGTTTACTGGAGACGGCTTGGGCTATGGGTTGATAAGAGCTGTCGTCCTTGCTTGACCGAGGATGTGCACGTTGAAGGTTGGGAGAAAAGAGAGGTCATTATCCAAGAGGGCCGCGCCGTTCGCGTATCCCGATTCACGAGTAAGGCCGTATCTATCATTCTCCACGTTCACACATCACAAGTTCGTCAGTCCTAAGCCTCGCTCAGGTCGAGAGGAGGCATTCCGGCTCACCAGCCTAATTCAAAGCCTTCGCCTTCACTCCCACTTGATCGACCCAATCTCTCCATTCCTTCCACTCTTCGTACCGCAGACCAACCTGCTTCCCCTCATACGTAACAAGCTCTCCCTTCCCGTCGCGCCACGTCTTCTGCCATGATGAACTGCTACCGTTCCACCCAGCTTTGCGCATCAGAGAGATGAGCGTCTCCTCTTTCGTCCAGCCTTGCTCGGGCGCGACATCGGGCAGGTATGTTGCGCCGTAGCGACGGCCGTGGTTCGTGAAGGAGATTCGGAGACCGTGCTTGCCGAGCGTCCAGTCCATGGGGTCTTTCGTGGGAGTCGAGAAGTTTGTGAGGAGGGTTACGTGGTTAGAAAGTGAGGGTAGAAGGGAGGAAGGGATGGGCTGGAAGCGGACGTCTTCGAATGCGCTGCGCAAGATCAGGTGTCAGTACTTATCGCGAGGCTTCTTGACAGGAACAGGCATGGAAGAGACCTTGTCAGCGCATAACTTCTTAGGCCCTCCTCCAACTCTTGTGCCTCGAAAGTCCCAATACAGCCTCGTAGGCTCTTGTGCCCACTCCTCGAGATCGTATTCCAGGTCACGAATAGAGGATGCTCCTCATCCCGCCTTCTCGCAAGAGAACTGACAGAGCTAGCTGGCGTTGCACCGCCCGAGCTCTTACTGCTGCTGCCGATTGAAGATGCAGAGGGCAGACTGCTGCTACTCGAAGTCGCGGAGTCCCTGTTCAATAAACGCGATATAGCCGCTGGACGTGCTGTGGACTCCCCATCTGTCATCTCTTCATCGTCATCGTCATCCTCATCCTCATCTTCGTCGTCGACTCCTGCGACGGTGTCGTTGGGTTCGCCCTTGCTCGTATGATACTGCTCCCAGAGGTCTTCGACCTGCGCTAGACTGAGGGATTGGCGACGCTCGAAGCTGGCGGCGAGGGTTTCGAAGCAGTAGGCGCAGTGCGCCTTGGTCGCCATCGAATGCTATGCGCGAGTTGATGTGTTCCTGGTGGTCGGCTGTGCTGCGAGATGTGGGAGATGCTCACGTGGAGATGGCGAGAGCTGGAACCGCGTGGCTGGACCGGCTATCGGAATATCGTAATCGAAGACGCTCATCCGGATCCGTACTGAAAGTAAGGTTGGAAGTGAAGAGGAGACGATGGTGGTAGTTGGTTTACACAAGGTGTAATCTGATGAGCCATTCTGATGACGCCCATCACATTGCGAACCACGAAGCAGCCCAGCGGTTGCCGCGCCTCTCTCATGATGCAGTGATGCGCATCAATTGTTGGGCACTTCAACTAAATTCGGGCGCGTTGGAATCGCTGGCTTCTGATTCGATCTTCAACTCCTCGCTTTCTATCCGACGACTTCACCTCTTCTTCACCTCTTCACAACAACTTTGGATTTCGTTCCATGCATCACTTGTCGACTAAAAGCGGACCTACCGGTTCTTATCTTCAACATCGGTTCGCATACAAAGCAGGCTTGGGAGCGATTCGGGTCTTCGGCTGAGCTAGGCGACCATGCGAACGACATCATCCCAAGATTCCTGATATGTCAATAGATAGGCCCGTCAGTGTGTCCCACCCTCTAGCCCATACCGGAAGTCGTCATCCTGTCGAGCAGCCAGACCGCGGCGACAGATGTCTTTTAGGTGATATGCGAAGAGCTCGCCACTGCTCGAGACACACCCGAGACAACGTGTGCTTCGCCGCTTCACGTATGAGATCTGCTAACATTCTACCCATACTGCCATTTTGCCATATCCCGCTTCACAATGTCAAAATGCGTGGTTTCTTTCATAAGACAATTGCATTATCTCGGCCTTTGTCGGGCGGCTGCTTTGTGGACGTTGCGACAAAAGACCTCGATCATTGTATCTCAACATGCTTTGTTCGTTCACGAGACATGATAAATCCCTCGAACAGCTCTTGTCATTCTTTTCTCGATCCTCACAACTGGCACACCGTTTCTGCTTTTACGATTCTCCACGTTTCCATTCCCAAAGTCAAGACGAATCCTCGGCTGGTCCGAGTATCAGGAGAGGAATATGACTGGAGTCTCTCGTAGCAGCAGATCTGCGCCGCTGGGAACTGAGCCGACTCACAATGAACAGGCCACTACTACCAAAGAGATCGATCCGACCTCCATTCCCATCAAGCTTACCTCGGGCGTCGAATTGGAATTTAGGCACCTTCAAGACACCGGACAAGAATGGCCGGAAGACTTTGCCGTAGACCATCCTGATCACGGCCGAAAGCGTATCTATGCATCTCTCAGCCGCCCAATGACTGCCGAGTGTGCTACCTGTGGCAGAGACACGCAACTCCAGTTGCAGATTAACCCCGTGGTTCACGAGGGCTCTCAAGGTTCGTTCCACCCCTCGTATGCGAAGTGGACGGTCGATGTTGATGGTGATATCCAGATCAAAGCCTCTGAGCTTGCAACATTGGGAGAGGACTTCCAGACAATTCTCATGGACCGCATCGAGGTTCAGAGCCGGGTTCTCGACACTTCGCGCGTGCGGAAACCCAAGGGCACGAAGGTAATCGCGGACCATGAATGCCGTGTCTGTGCTGACGCTGAGATTAGAGCTGTGTGTGATCGGCTGCAAGAAGATTTCAACTCTGCCCGGGGTCACATTGATGAACGCGTCGTGGTCCATTCCTCATGTGGGCTTCACATTCATATTGGCAATGGCGACAAGGGATTCCCGTTGCAGACCATCAAGAACCTCGTATCTTTGTACGTCGCTCACGAAATGGCAATCGACAGCCTCCATTCCACTGACAGAATCACAGGCAGCTGTCTCTCCCAGACAACCTACGCCGAAGTCCGCCGCGAGGGAGGTGGCTATCGCGACATCAACTTGGGCGGGGATACGTACAATATCCCTTGGTCCGCCCATTTCTTGCAAAGCGCCTTCGCACACATTCACGGCTTAGACGCCGCGGCCAAGTCAGTCGAAGACCCTCATCTCCCGAACAGATACCCGGATCGCATCTTCCATACGCAACCCGAGCTCGTCGACCTGTCGAAAGCCTTCGACGTTCCCTCCTGGTTGACTCTGGTTGACAATGCTTCCAACATCAAGGATCTCAGGGATCTCCAGGGCGAGTACGCGCGCAAGTCTACGATTAATCTCGGTAACCTCTTCGGTTTCCTCCCCCATGGTCTGGAGGAAAAGGATCGCTCTACATGGAAACAGACCATCGAATTCCGTCAAGCAGCAGGAACTCTGCAAGCAGACGAAGTCTCCGCCTGGCACGCCGTCTGCGTCCAACTCGTGAAATTCGCCCACCAAACCCCCGCCTCCGAGATCCGCCAAATCTGCCTCCGAAACTGGAACCACACCACCTGTGACGCCCTCGATTTCCTCAAACTCATCGGTCTCTCCAAATCCTCCCATCCATATCAACACTACAAATGGAAACTCGGAGAGCATTACGCCCCGCACATGCGCGAGAAAGAACGCCAAGCCGCTTTCGCATTCGGAGCGAATGGTGTCTTTGTGCCGATCATGAGCGAGTTCATCCGAGGGAGGTGTGATCGTATGGATATTTCCGAGGTCGGGAAACGCATCCGAGTGAAGTTTTTGGCGGGAGGGTATGGGCAGTTTGAGGAGGGGTATTTGAAAGAGTTGAAGATTAAAGGCGAGAGGAGGGAGGGGTTGATGATTGGGTTTAGGGCGAGGGAGCCGGAAGAGGAGCTGAGTGAGGATGGAGCTGGACCGGGTAAGGGAGTTGGAGAGGAGGTGGTGGCGGAGAGGAGTTTGTCTTGGTCCGAGGGCGATGAAGAGATTTTCAATTCGCGATGAGTGCGTTCGTAGGTGAGTGCAAAAAGGTTGCCTTGGTGTCTCTTTTTTCATAATTTCTGATCCAGATAACAGAAGCTAGCAGCGAACAGTGTCGACTTTGCGAGATATTACTTCTGCAAGAGATCATAACGAGTCTGGAACACCCCATCACAACCAGAACCTTGTATGAAGACCAGGACGTCACGAGACGTAGAGCGGTCAAGACAATTCTCTCTAGTAGTCCATTCTCGCCGCGTGGGGAGGAATGAGAGCAGGTTTGCGCTCTTTGTAAGTATTTCCTATGGAGATGTTCTTGCTTCCTTCGCTAATCATCTGATACATTGTAAAGCATTGCACTCGCTCGCTCTGCGAGCCCTTTCCTCTCGGACGGAGTACGGTCTAATCGAGACTTTCTCGAATATCACGGGTCAAGGTTTCATATCTTGAACTACGCGTACATGGCTACCTGAAATGCTGCTTTTTCGAACCATCTATCGTCTCCCTCGCGGGCTTGGATTTCTGCGTCCACCGCCTGAGCCCGCGACGACCGATGTCTGCTCTTTGTGCTTCGTGTACGGGAAGGCTCAGACTTTGGAGACTTGCACTGTAACTTCTCCGGCAGGAGCAGCTATCCAAAAACGACAAAAATACGTGCGGACTATCAGAGAGCAGAAGAAATTTCCTTGAACCAGTCCTTCGAGTCCATGACAATTCATTCGTCAACAGATACCAGAAACCATCACCAGAAGCGAGAAGAGCCGTCATAAGACAGGCCCATCCCAGGCGCCCCTCTTGCCCACAGCCCCGAAAATTCACACATCTTATCGCCAAGGCCGAGGCCACGTCAATCGTTCCAAAGGCAATAAAGCTAACGCCTCAGCTCAATCATGTTCTCGACCTCTGTAGAGGAGACACGGCGATCATGTCCCTACAAACTCACTTTACCCACAATTCGCCTTTCCCGCTTCCTCCTGCTGGACTCGCACAACAATGCTTGCTTGCTTGGATTCGGCTGTCCACCGAGTACATGACGAGCTCCAGATGGATGCAATTTTGCTCAGCCTGATCTCCCGGAGCGCTGCTATGGCGAAAGTGAGAATTGTGCCGAGGATCTTTGGGCTTTGGGCTACGAGTGCCTTCCTTCCTTCCTGGACGAAGCGGAGGATTATCGCAGATGAGCAATTTTCCGCTTCTTCAGAGTTCCAAAAAGCAATTTGAGCAGCTAGTGCTTTCGATGAGGCAGGCCATTCTAGCAGTTATAGACAGCTCTCGTTGCTACAGTCTCAATGGATGAGTTGACGAGTGTGGAAAACAAGTCCCCGTCTGGACAGGGAGGACAAATCCAGCAAGCAGATGAATATGAATAACGATGGCCAATTTTTCAAAAGCAGGAGATCAGACGCCGATGGTATCAGATCTTCGACACCGTCTTCAACATCAGCCGGCAAAGAAAGACAGAGGGGCGAAAACTTGGACTGCCATGTCTTGCTCCGCGCACTCGGTCATATCGGTCTCGAATGGGGGCTCCTGATGTTGTCGGATCGGGCGTCCGCATCAGTCTTGCCCCTGAAAGCAGCTTTCAAGAGATCAATCGTCCTGCCCAGACCTCATCCAGACGCCCAGCTCCGGCGAACTCAGATTCTTGCTGTACGATACAGAATCATGACTGATTTCGGTTTAAAAGCCGAGACATCCGTGCTGGACCAGATGTCTCCAATGATACGATGTCCTGTGATGGATAGGTCTGTGCACTGTTGCTACCCGCCCGCTTGTCATAGAAACAACACCTTCGAACATTACACACTGCGTGAGACAGTGGGCATGCCATCCGCACCAAAACCTCAAGCCCCCGCACCAAATTACTCTGCATCAATAGGCGCCCTGGGAGCCGTATCGTCCACCTGCACGCCACCCCTCTTCTTATGCCCCGAATCCGCAAACGGCAAGCTCCAACCGCCTTCCGTCTCCGGCGTCGCCAGCCACAACCGCATCAGATGCCTCCGCGGCGCCGGCGGCGGGAAATCCTTATACGCCGTCCGCGAGTGCAGGATATGGCCATTGTGCAGGAATTGGATATCCCCGATATCCAGCACCATGTGCAGCGACAGGCGCATGCACGTGTCTTCGAGGACCTGGGCGGCTTTTTGCTGCGCGGGGGATAAAGGCGGGATGAGACCGGCGTCGCTGAAGCGCGAGAGCGATTTGATGTAGTAGGGATCCCACTTGCAGTAGATGCGGGGGTTGGCGCCGCCGGAGGTTTCCCTGTAGAAGACGGGTTGCCGGGTGTAGGGTTCCTGGCCGGCGGAGACTTCTCCTTTGCGGTCGAAGTACCAGATGGGTTGGGTGAGGGTCTCTGCCACGTCCGGGTGTTCGCGTTGGAGGGTGTTGAAGACGTGATGGGAAGAGACGATGTCGGATTCGCCGCCTTCGAGGGACTTGGCGATGCAGAGGAGGCCGACGATGTCGCAGTCGTCGGAGTGGAAGAATTGGCGGGCTGTGGTGCGGTAGATTCGGACTTTGTCGATTTGGGTGGGGTCGGCGCCTGTGTCCTGTAAAAAGGAAGAGAGGTCAGTCTGGGGAGTGGCATGTGCAGTATCGCTAAAAGCGTTGCATACTTTTACATGGCCAAGCACATGACCCAAGCCATTCTGAGAAACGAAATAGCCAAGGTACGTTCCCAATCCCATATACGCCACAGCACTCTTATTATTCCCCCATTCCTGCACGGGAAAGCCCTTGAAAAGGATAAAGCCCTTGCCGTTGAGAATCTCGTTCCTCATCGCTGTGAGATACGAATCCATATTCGGGAGGGGGAATTTGTCCTACATCGCAATGCATCAGCATCCCGAGCTGGTAAGCGTCGCTTCCGTCGTTCGATCTCACCTTCGTAATCCCCGTCAAAGGCGTTCCGCTCGCCAGGAAATCATCCGCCGCTTTGCCCAGTTCTCGGACTTCTTCCTCGCTTAACCGATGAACCCATCGCTCCGGGCGGTCTTCGTAATCTTCTGCCTTCCAAACGGTAGGTCCGGCGATCTCCTTTGGGAATTCCGAATAAGGTGGTATCAGATCGTAGTTCGGAGGACACTGTCCGCTGGTCTTGATGCCGTCCGGAAAGATAGCCTTCGAAGGCCTATCGTAAGAGAACGTAGTCGCCTCAACAGGCCGCTCGACCAGCGCTGTAGGAGCCATGTTCTCGGAGGACTCTCTGCCAACGCAAACCCTTTGTCCGTAGCAAGAAACCTCTCAGGTGCCAAGGGAACCGATTCTCCTCCAGAGCCAGCAAACTCGTGTAAACCAGGAGCCCGAGGCCGTAAACAAGTATGGAATTCATCGTCCGGTGGGCAGGGCTGAGGGTGGCCTATATGTAAGGATGATCGAGAAACGGAAGGCACTAGACCCAGCTCTTGTTGCGTAAGATGTGGTCCAGGGAGGACCCTTTTCAACGCCGGTACCTGACGATTGCCAGCACGCAATCCAATAGCGAGATCCTGCTGAGGTTGACGTGATGCTTGGCGGCCGGGGTGGGGAGAGCTGCCCTGGTCAATTCCATCGCATTTGATAGAGGCGTCTTTGTTGGTTGGTCGGGCTGTCGCTTCCTGCAGCGGACGGTCGGGGTCAACGGAGACATTCATCACTGGAGCTGATACGAGTATCGGACGAGCGGACGCGGATGTATGCATTCTCCACACTACATACACCTCGCCGACGCGGGAGTAATGCAGGATGGAAGCCAATGAGGTTTCGGCTTGCGTTTGGAAAGCTTCTTTTCATGGTCCCTGCCGATATATCGTCGCCACTACTTGCTCTCATGTGTCAACATCATCGCTCTCCAAACCCACAACTTGTCTCTGAGGGTATACAGAGACCGGTCCTCCAAGAACGCCAACAAATCTCCATCCAACTTCTCCATCCAAGAATTTTCCAATCACCCAGAGTCCTTCCCAAAGATCCCCCGAAATCTTGCCATCTCCTTCTCCATCTTTCGTCTTTAAATCTGCTCTCCAATCTCAACCCCATCCCACTTGTCCCCATAATGGAAATCACTCAGACCTTCATTCCAGGGCTCATTCGAGAACATGGAATCGTTCGCAACACTATCTCTTCCGTGATGAGCTCCGCCACCGCCGAAAACCAAATCATCGCTTAACCATCCCTCCTGTTTCCTTCCACTCATATCGTCTCTCTCCCAATCAGCCGCCGTCATGGGATACAAACAGATATCGAAATCCTCCTCATCACCCGCGATGCGATCGTTGATGCACCCGGTCTTGTAGAGAATCACTTCCGACAAGCGTTCCGGACGATGCGTCGAAGAAATGTGATCGAGGTAGAAATCCATTCCAAGGTACACGCCGGATTTTCCCGTCGTGAAGACACAGAAGAGACATTTGAACGAATATTGGTGCTTCACGACTACCCTCTGCAGGACATGGCTCTTGGCCAGGAATTGCCAACGGAGTCTGATGCCTTTGGCTTCCAGGGTGAAAACCTTTTTCCAAATCACATTCACGTCTGCATTGCTGAAGGAGGAGCGGAAAGCACAGCGTTGTTGCTGGCAGGCAAGGTAAGATGCGGCGGCGGAGTGCGCAGAGGGATGGCGAGACCAGGGTTCGACATCTTTGCATTTGGACATGCTGCCTTTCCTGTCGCCGTTTTGAAGCTTCCAGGCGCCCTTGCAGAAGCCGAGAAATTCGTTTTCAGGGGTTGGAGTGGGTATTGCCGTAGAGGGGTGGTGTTGATGTGCGATACTGGTATAAGTGGCCACGGAATTGGTGCGGTTTGTCATTACTGGAGGAGGTGGTTGATGTGGTAGATTGACTGTGAAGGAAGTAGTCGGGTTGGCCGACGGCTGGTCTGGCGCGAGTGCGACTGTTTCTCTCCGGTCGAGGTGAGGTTTGCTTCCCCAGATCTCTTCAGGGTTGTCCTCCCATTCAGCGTACTGAAACTTGGACTGTGGGGGCTGGGCGTCGCTGGGAGCACTGGCGTCGCACTGAGGCGGTGGTCGATATGGCACTGTCACGCCTGTGCTGGAGGTCGTTGAGCCTTTACGAGCGGGTTCCTCAACGATAGGCTGCTGAGGGGCGTTCTTTTCTTTGGGCAACTTTTCCAAATCGCTGTGTGCGCGATGGTGTTTGAGGAAGCCCAGAAGAGAGTTTCTCTTGCGGTGATGGTGGCTGTCTTCTGCGCCTGCCGCGGCATTCTCTTCGCCTGAAGCATCGCGAGAGTCGGTGAAGTCCCGGGACCATGTGTTGTGATGCTTGGCAGGTTGCTTCGTGATGCTGGCGGCCGATATGGCTCGTTCCCGGTGCACTTGTCCAGTCGGTGTCGTAACATTGCTGCCGCTGCTGTTGGGCGTGGCACTCGTCTCAACTATCCGCGGCTGGGGCTGCTCCTTCGAGACCGTGGCTTCTTCTCCAGTGTTTTGCGCCGCAATGAGACGCTGCTTGAGCTCGTGCAGCACCGCGATTGTACGGTCTCTTCCAGTATCTGCTGCATCTACCAGGTATGTGAAGTCCGTGATCTTGCTGTCGTCGTCGAAGGCCGCATTCCTCAGCTTCTCCAGCAGCTTGCTCTGCAATTGGATTGTGACCTGCTGGAGCGCGATGACTGCGAGATGATCTCCATCTTCAAACGCCTTCCCGAAACGATTCCACCCTCGCTGCTTCTCTCTTTCAATCTCGTTCGGGCCATCGTCAATGCTCTCTTCGAGGAGGCGGGGAGGAGGGGGAGCGCGTTTCAGAGCTCGCTTCTTCTTGATCTTCTCGATGATGGCCTGGCCGTCTTTGAAGGCACGCGTGATGTCGTCAAGGCAGGCCTACGACATTCAGATACAGGTCAACGCCGAGTCAAGCACTACTCGTGATGCTTGGATCCGTGCAAGGGTGGTGGTGCGTTGGTGGAATGAGATGTCCCGAGCAAATCGACTTACCGAAATGCCTACGTGAATCTCCGGAGACACGCTCATTGGCACAAAGGGTAGGGATATCTGTCGCTTCGCTAGCGATGCTCATGGCCTGAGTGTGAGGTGTGTCGGACAACGGGCCCCCGCTCCAACAGACGACTTGGCCGGAAAGGTGACAGGGCGACAGCAGGCTTTGGAGTTGGAAGCTTGCACCGCCGCCGTCGGCTTCAGCCCTTCCTATCAAGGCTTCCTGTCAAGAGGCCGTCTCACGCAGCTCTGAACCTTCAGCCTCACCCGCGATCGCTGCCGGTACGTACATGTCTTGTTGGTGGGCCTTCGGATGCCATGTACATGTACAACATCCTCCGCGGCGTGGGAGCACATGGCTTGAAGCCGTCATTTGCCCTGGGCTAGACGAGGATGATGAGTGATGAAGAAGAAAGAGAGAGTTCACACGTGCATCCCGCGTGCTGTTTCGCCCAGAGGGCCGCTATGCTATCTTGGGCCTACGAGGACGAGTCACGTGCCATTTTGTGTAAGAGCACCCGAGACATACATCTCCTAGAGACTGATAGCTCTCGTCTCAGCCATCACCTTTCTCTCCATATCTTCACGATACACAGCTTCTCCCATCCCGCTTTCTTCCCGCTCTCTCCAACCCTGGCCGCTGTCCAACCTTCAGTCTGCTGCCACTGCCGAACAATCTCATCCGGTTTGTTCTGCGCACATAGGAGAATGTACGCCACCCCTCTCCTGCTCAGAATCGAAGCCAATTGGTCCAGCAGACGATTGGTGGTCTCCATGCCATCCTGGCCGCCCGCATAGGAAAGGGAGAGAAGGTGAGAGTCGCGCTCAAAGTCTGAAGTGGAAATTGGGCATCCGGTCGATGGCAGAGATTCAGTGGGCACGTAGGGGGGATTGAAGATGACCATGTCCACCAGAGCCTGTCGCAAGGGAGAGGTGAGATCTCCTGAGATAACGTCCAGCATTGAACCGCAGACATCTTTGTTTGCCGCTATAGCGAGCTTGACAGTCTGACTCGTAGCTGTGCAAGCGAAAAGATTCACATCCGACCCGAGAGTAGCGATGTCTCTCCGGCCGAAGATATGCTGTGCGTTTGCTGCCGCGAAAGCCAGAACCACTCCAGAACCGGTTCCAACTTCTAGTATTAGTGGGCAGGTGGACTCTGGCGAGAATCGAGATTTGAGGAAATTGGTCTCAGTCGCTGAAGAGAGAGTGTCCAAGAGGAGATAGGAGTCCTCGGATGGTTCGTAAATGTGATCGTAGTTGACGTGGGAGGTTGAGGGAGTTGGGAGCATCTTGAAAGCTCTTCGATGCCTCCGCTCCTCAGAATTCGCGTCCGGAACGCAGATCTTCCGGATGTTCGCTCGCTGTTGTTGATCATGTTGCCTCGCCGGCTTTTCAGTGGTGGTGCAACAAGCTCGATGGGGAATTTCCAGTCAGGTTGGGCGGGCTGGGTAGGAGAGAAGGGTAGCGACCAACGCCGCGAGATGCTGTTATTCTTCCAACAACGACGACAGCATCGCCATCCACATTGGCAGCGATCGATGTTGATGTGTCTCGGCTGCTTGATGCACGTCGGAAAGTTCATTTCGGCAAAAGTTTTTGGCTTCGGCTGTTCCATGACGCCATGTGAATGACCGACCTCGCCCTCGTCCCTATCACATGTGTGCATCACCTTCTTCCATTTTGTCTTCTCCATTGAGTTACCACTGGTTTCTTCGAAGATATCAAAATGCGTGCTACACGTCTCCTTCGCGCTACTCCATCCTCGATCGGCTCTCAAGGCTCAAGTTTCCGAGGTCTCCCTCCAGCCCTGCTGCCTCCAATCCCTCTCTACCGCCGTCTCCTTCGTGCCCATCGCAAACATCTCCCCAAAGAAATGCGCCTGCTAGGCGACGAATACATCAAGTCTGAATTTCGCGCTCATCGCGAGGTCGATAATCCGGTACATATCGTGGGTTTCTTGACGGAATGGCAGACCTATGCCCAGCAGATCGAGGGAGATGACTGGAGAGGGGAGAGGATGGAGAAGGAGAAGGTGGATAAGATGAGCGATCAGCAGATCGGACAGCTGTATGAGCTGATGCAGGCTATCAGAGAAAAAGAATTGGAGGAGAATGATCCGGAATTTGTGCCGAGCAGTTCTAAGGCCGAGGGAGGGAAGGAGTGAAGGTGACTGTGGAAGGTCACCCGGTGGATATGGAAAGAGAGATCCAGTGACGAGGTCAGAAGTCGTTGCATGTGGTGCTCGTGGTCGTGGACATTCGAAGCAAACCATTTCGAATGCCGGCCAGGGCGGTTGGGACGCGGTATACCTCGAAGGGGTGTACAACGACTCCTATTTGCACGGAAAAAACCAGCACCACCAAGCCTCTTGCGAACTCTCTTGCGAAATCTCCAGATGTGTGTCACGAATGAATGGAAGTCTCGCAAATGCGGCCACCACTGGTATCGAGCATCCTCTTTCCACTGTCGATGCCACTGTCGATGGTTGTACTAATGGCATATCCGCTTCAGGCTCGAACTCAGCTGCCCCTGCGGCCCAGACATGAACCTCGTCTCCTGTCCAGACTTCAGCACCACGCAATCTTTTGGGCCAGCAAAGCGACCGCGTCGCCGATACATCACGAGCTCATGGTGTCCCTCATGCAAAGGACGAGACTACGACATGCGAGAGCAAAGGATGATGATCATCAAGAGAACAGGCTGGAGACTCGGGTTGGGACCTGGCAAGCATGACGTTGGTGTGGACTTCTACCCGAATTATGCTGCTGTAGCTTGCTGTGTGGTCATGTGAGGAGAAAAGGATGTGCAGATGGCAGCTGGGTTGCAATGATGTGAAAGCCGAGGACGGCTGATGAGTGGGCTTGATATGAGTGGTGTACAATTTCCGTGTGTTCGAAAATCCTCTCACCCTTACCCAGACCCCAAGCATTATACGCTTCCCACGTTGACACCACGCGCAGCTTCACAAATACGGCGCTGCTTATAGGCTCTTCTAATCCCAACAGCGCGCAACCGCAAAAAGCTGCCTTATATATTCGACGGCCCAAGAATTAAATCCAGCAGTCCTCACGCTAGACTCATCATCTATATTGCCAGGCTACTCTAAGATGAAAATAAGCTCGCAGGCCATCTCGTCACTATCGACTGACGACGACGTTACTCACTACTCGCGAAGTCGCTCAATACCCATTTCCACGACCCGGGACGACGAACACGCACAGCACATCAAAGATATCTCAAGCTTCACACACGATTTTCGAAGCGCTGAGGCAGGCCGTGCAACCCTCTCCAGCAGACGAACGATTAGGGATATCGTGAGGAAGATCCTACGCAAAATATCAGGTCGTTGAACGGTGGCACGCACTCGAAATGCCTAGTCATTACGAAAACTATCTCGCCGACGATCGAATCCATCGACCTGCTGGAAATCCTGAGAGCATTATGGATAACCCCATATCGCTCACTTACCCTAGAGGAGACTCCTCGCACCAGCGATCTGGCAATTTCCACAGACGGTACCATATCTCATCCCACAATCCATATGACCCTCCACCTCGCTATTCTGCTCCCGATCGTGCCGTCGCAGACATACTGGCAGATTTGGCACGTGCCCCAGGAGAAAGAATCAGGGGCGGATTCTCGTCCTACAACCACGGCGATGAGGAAAGACTCCCGTACCCTTCATCCCAAGACGGAGGCGATAGGGACTGGGCGGGCGAATGCTACCACACACCTATAGGAGATCACAGTGTGAGACCTCAAGACTGTCGCACTGTGGCAACCGCCTGTAACTATGGTCGTGGCCTACGACCGAATCGAGCTCCATTTGGAGAATACGATGACATGCCCTACGAGCTTCGCTGTGCTTTCGAGGAACCGCATTTGCACTGGGATCGTATCACCGCGGAAATTCAAAATCTTGTGCAGGCTGGAGACTGGCGGCGTCTGCGAGAACTCCACCATGCGGCGGTCTACTGGGATGAACGGCACCCGGTACCACAAGAGAGTCGTCGCATAAGCGAATGGCGGCGACTCATGAGTGGCCGGGATACTGCCATTCCCGACGAAAATACTTCCCGAAGGCGCCCGCGAGTCCACGAGCCTCCGCGGTACACTAGTTCGCTGCCTAACTGGCAGACGATTTGGGGCGACGAGGCGGATGAAGGGGATGTTGACGATGAAGTTTATGAGGAGGACGAGGAAGAGGTGAGAGAAAACCAGCCGTCCCGATTTGGACGAGCACATGTTGAGAGGCTCGTGAGCCTGAGCCGCGGATGAGTTGTCGAGATTGGAATCTAATTCTTCGGGGCGTTCCGTCTTCTGAGCAAACGACTAGATGAGCGATCGGAGTCGGAGAGGTTTGAAAAGAGGAGAGAGGCGGAGAGAAGATTTCTTTGGAAGGCTTGGACCTTATCTTGGAATCAAATTGATGGAGACCTTGGTTCGATTTTGATTTGGAGCGGTTTGAGGTTCCCACGTGATGTGGCTTGGCAATTGCCTTGGAATTTGCCTGCATTTCGACCTCATGTCGTTCCTGCTCCTCATCCATCGACCGCATTTCCATCAACTCGCGCTCTCAATGCTGATACTGATTCTCAGTGCTACGCGTCCCTGTCTTGAAGCTGATCTACGCGCCGACCGGCCGGAATGACCGCGCCACGCTTCATCGGATTGCGCCTTCGAGTGGGAGTCTTGAAGGTACTGTGTGAGCGCCAATATCTTCTGATATATTCTTGAAGGATGGCCTAAGCTGAGCACCAAGGTGCGACTGTACCCTGCCTGAGGATGCATTTGTCTTGGAAATGGCACCGCGACTGGATCCTTGCGTTTCCATTCGTCCGGACCTCCAACCTGCGCTCCATACGTCGACATCTTCTGCGGTAGTCTTCAGAGATTGCAGTTTAGGGCGATGATAGTGCACGCCGAGAAGACGCCTTGCCAGTAAGGACCAATTTCGACACTCGCGTGCTCAGAATCCACGCTGCGGATGTGTCGTTCGTCCCTGACACGAAAAGGCACTGGAAAATCTACTAAAGACAAACGCATCGCGACTAGACCAAACGTTGTCAACTTCAATGGAGTCTTCATCTGGAGCTGGTCGACGATGCAAACAGCGACGATGGAATCCGTCAGCTCTGTGGCGATGCTAAGCATCGAAGCCTACCTGATGAAAAATCAGCGGAAACCATTGACCCAGGCAGAAGTTTCAACTTACCCTTGTGATCGTGTGCGCAACCGTGAACATATACAGGATCAGGTTACTGCCGTGACTGGAAGCTGTGATGTTCCTGTTGCGTATCGCTGGCTTGTTCGCCATCCTACTTTTCTTGTGGGTCAAGAGAGAGAGAACATTGTTCAACAAGGTATTATTCACGTGGCAGATGGTGAGTCCCAACGCCACGCGGTTCTTTGAAATGAGTCCAGCAGGATCGTTTTCCTGTTTTTTCTGACAGTAAATCTATACTAGGTCCAAGCCCTCAAATTCTAACCGTAGGTCTCTACTACCCCCAAGACACCGAAGCGATGCACAAACGGCACGTCGAGTGACATTTGCATTTCGTGTCCACGCTTCCCGGATTCCGTCGAACGTTCCGATACCAGCCTGAAGGTACCGAGCAGGAACTTCCTGGTGCTGCCGCGAATCAGGATCCCGGTGAGGAAGATGCGAAGATTTTCGTTGTGCATCAAATCGACAATGTTAACGAGGCGTTTTCTGAAGAAGCGGAGCAAAAGGGCAGGACGGGATGGGCGGAGCAGGTGATGAGCGAGAGTAAGATGGTGTTTGGGAAGGGGTGAAGGTTGGTGGATTCGTTTGGATATGAGGATTTACTGTGAGGATGTGGTAGAGGGATGCGAAATGTATTGGTAATGATATACATTGTATTCACATTTTGTCCAAGGGTATACTGCTCATCTGTCCAGATATAGAATTTCTCCAACCTACTCTCTCTGTCTCGTTAACATGCCCAGCAGCTCCGCTACTCTCATACCCGGCGTTCCACACTGTTACCATCCGCCGAGATGCTTCAGACGCAAGTGCATGCCATTCTTCGGCTTGGTTGTCACAACACCGCTTGGAATGACCTTCTCATTCGGGTCTGCGAGGTCCATCTGGAAGCTTCCAACAAAAGCAGCGACGAGACATCTGAGCTCAGCCTTGGCGAAGCCCTGACCAATGCAAGATCGTGGACCATGCAAGAAAGTCAGGATAGCGTAGTTGTTTGGTGCACCTCCTGCATTGTTCGGCTTCCGTTCGCCAGTCTTCTCATCTGTATCGATCCATCTTTCAGGCACGAATTCTTCGGCATTCTTGCCCCAGAAATGAGGGTTGCGATTGATACCCCAGGGACTGAGGACAATCTGTGTGCCATTTGGAATGTGTACGCCGGCTAGCTGTGTATCTTTGACGGCGTCACGGACTGTGGTTGGTACAGTGGGATAGAGTCGGATGACCTCGTTGCAGACACCGTTTAAAAGCGGCAGCGATTCCAAGACAGTTGCAAGATCGAAATCTGCAGGCGGCTGTGTGTTGGGAGATGGCATGTTCTCCTGGATCTCCTTTCGAAGTGCCTTTTGGATTTCAGCATGGGTGGCCAGCAAGAAAGTGGCCCACGTGAAAGCGGACGATGTAGTCTCGTGGCCAGCTGCCAAGAAGGTCATCATCTGATCCACCAGTTGCTGATCAGAGAAGTTGTTGGATCGGATCAGGAGTGATAACAGGTCCTTTTGACTTTCGGGCTCAGTCTTGACCATCTCCTTCTTGTCGCGGACTAGCTCCAAGCTGATCCGTTGCACGTTTTCGACAATTCGTTTCATTTCGCCGTTAATTTTCCAAGGTAGCCAGCGGATAAGGCTTTGAGGGAAGAGTAGATTGAGGAGGAAGTAGATCTGCTTCTCCTTGCTAGGCTCCAGCAGTTCCTCGTAATTGACGATGAGTGGATCCTGGCCATTTTTCAACGCCTGGAAATCGCGACCCATTGCCGCCATGCCAATGATATCCATTGTGACTTGATTTGCCCAGTGGTTAATCTCGACGACCGAAGTGACGTCGCTTGAATTGTTCTCCGGATTCTCGTCGACCTGCTGGTTGACGCCTTGCGTGAGTTGCGTTGCCTTCTGCCAGAAGATAGGATACAGATCTTTGATGTGGCGAAAAGTGAAGACCGGCATAATGTTCTTTCTTTGGAACTTGTGCACATCTCCCTCTACGAGAATCAAGCCGTCGCCCAAGACGAAACGGAGGAAGTCCCTGAGTCGCTTTGGCTTTTCGAAGTCGTAGCTCCGGGTAACAAGGATCTCGCTCAGCGCCTTAAGATCCGTAACAAGAAGTCGATCCTGGTGGAAGAAGCCTCGAAAGTGGATGAGGCCATCGTTTGGAATTTCAGTCATCCATTTCAGGAAGGATGTGCCTGCGGGCCTTTCGAACGTAGCCAGTCCATTCCCCAGAATGGGTCTCTCGCCCTACAAGTGATCAGCGCAATTCGTGCAGGTAGATGAGCTAGTCGGAGGTGGACGTACAGGCGCTTTGGGCAAGGATCTGAGTGGACTGAGCAGAAACGGATATATCAGGCATTTGTAGACGCCAAACCCCACCATCTGCAGGACGAGCAGCCTTACGAATACCCGCGAGAGTGGTGGCTCTGGTAAGTACTCGTGAGGAACAGCCTGGGTGATGGCAAGCGACTCTATCGCTGTCGCCAGCAAGAATAATACGGGAAATGGTATTGATGAAGCCATGTTGGAGTCTGTGGATGTCTCAGGTCTGCTGGCTCCCAGATCCGTTCTTGACAGACTGTATATACAGTCTTGATGCCTTGGGCGAAGGATGAAGGGAACATTGTGTGTGTGGTCCGAGCGCAACGAGTGCGATCAACCCCACGTCTCGATCGACAGTGATCGGCCTCCCGACTGTCAACACTGACCACTCAGGGGCGGCGGAGTATTCAGCAGCCTCGGTCTTGGCCAAGACATTGTGTATTTCTCCTTCACAGTCGCTGGGCGCTCCAGCAGCAAACTTCAGGCAACCTCATTGCTCATGCATCTGGCAATCTCCACGCTCTCTTGTGCACTGATCCGGGCCGAAGGCAACAGAATAACGAGCCGCTTCGCGACTTTCACATGCAGTCCTCGGCGTTTCTGGAATGAAGGCGAACGGGATGGCCGAGACTGCCGCGGGCGTAGGCCTTGGCAGAGCATTCTTCCCAAAATATTACCGTCCCGACTTCGTGACCACCACAGAATTCGATCGCGTCTCCTCTCCTGGACTTTAGTCTTCGACATCCAAAGCTCAATGATACCAGGTCAGGTGACTTCAGCCGTTATGAGCCTTCGGGAAAGGTAGCCACGCCGTCAGGAAGGGTACGAGTGGATTCGTCAGGGAAAGCGCCTCCTGGTCCTGGTATCGACGCAGCTCGTGCCATCGAATTCCTTATAAATTTATGCATTTCGAGTCCGCACGTTAAATACCGTCAAAGATGGTGATGGATTTGAATGGCATGACGACGGCGATGTTTGGGAGATGAAATTCGCAAGGAGACCTGACCGAGCTGCCCCCCAGCGCCAAGACTTTTGCGACGTCTGCCTTGTGCGTGTACTTCCTTCTTTCAACCTCACTTCATTGCCACAACACCGGCCGCCTCGACTCTCTTATACAATCCAAGCACACGTTTGTCCCTCTACACATATCTACAGATTCGCCTAGATCCGTGGACCTCATTTCCATTCCTGGCATCGCTCCGGCAGTGGCGTGGAGGCGTGTGGGTGACCCCAGACACCACGCATCCAGATGCGTTCATTGCATTCACCTCTATGGACTATCTTTCCGATCCAATACAGCGACACTTTGCACGGTCACCGGACATATGGCATCTGCTCCGAGCCATGGAAGCAGTAGAGCTGTAGGGGCTTACCTGAAAAGTCCTTTCACGAACACGCCAGCCCAGATCAACCATGAGATAATGCCCAGTGGACAGCCACATTTCCAGTAGAAGCGTTAGAGTTCAGCCTCTCGCAACGATAATGTCTATGCGCATCCTGCAGAGCAGGCTTCTGCACTTTCGCAGCTTTGCTACTTCCACGGCGTATCGTGACAGCTCCTTTCTTTGCCGGAAATACTAATCAAGCCAATTGATCGCTGCTTGAATTGCTGTGTACGCATAGAGACCAAGGTATTGACTCTGGTTATAAGACACAATGACACGCATGGCGTTTTCTGCTCAGCTGGATATAGGCAGCCACAAGCGTGTTGCACACGTGCCTGGCGCCTGCTATTCGCCAGTCTTAACCACGTGAACCACCACATGCGTCCATTCGAGGAAGTGGCCTCGAGGAAACAAGCTTTATCATGGCATGATCGAGAATACAATTCTCGCTTCTGATGAGACGAGGTGTCTCGCCCATCGCCATAGTCGTCCCGAAGCGTCGATCCAGCTCGGTGGACTCCTAGCTATGACCGTGGAGTGCTATAAGACAAGCTGGTCTTCAGCGAAACAGGAGGTCGTTACCACTGTATATCTACTCCGAAAAAGCTCACCTCGTTATCAAGATGCGCTACCTATTCACTCTGCTCGCCGTGATACCGGCCTCTCTAGCACTTGCCACCATTGATCGAAGGCAGACGCCGGATGCCATACCCGACTCATGGATCGTCACTTTCAAGCAAGATACTGCGGTGTCCGATGCCCTTGCCAAAGTTCTCGCCCTCGCTAATGTCAAGCCTGCGTATACTTACGACTCCGTTGCGTTCAAAGGCTTTTCGTTTCGCGGCACGGACACCAACGGTCTACTCAACCTACTCGCTTCCGTTGGTGCCATTCAGAACATCGAACCAGACAGGAAAGTGTATCTCAACGCTCCTGTTGATTATATTGAGAAGCGGGCAAGATACGTGTCGCAGCGTAACGCACCTTGGGTAGGTAAACTGACGCCGCGAAGCCCATTTCCCACGTCTAAGACCCCAGCTTACCATTTAATCTTTGCTTTGCAGGGACTGGCTCGCATTTCGAAAAGGACGAATGACCCTGCGGTCACGAGCTACACGTACGATAGTACATATCAAGGTCGTGGAGTCTACGCCTATGTTCTCGATACTGGCATCAACTTCGGCCACCAAGACTTCGGCGGGCGAGCGGTGTCTGGTGCAAACTACATCAACTCGTCGCTACCCGCTCAGGATGACAATGGTGCGTTCATCGTTCGCTTGAAACGAAAGTCACTGACTCGCTACAAGGTCACGGAACGCACGTCAGTGGCATCATTGGAGGAAGCACCTATGGAGTAGCGAAGCAAGTCAACCTCATTGCGGTCAAAGTCCTCGACGCTAGTGGTGTTGGCGACTACTCCGGTGTCCTTGCGGCGATGGACTGGGTCGTCAATGATGCGACCAGTAAGAAAAGAAGGGCAGTCGCAAACATGAGCTTGGGCAGCGGATACTACGAAGCAGTGAACACAGCCGTCGCCAATGCGGTGAAAGCGGGCGTCTTCTTCGCCATCGCTGCTGGTAATTCCAACCATGACGCTGCTCTGGACTCTCCAGCATCCACTCCGGAGGCATGCGTTATCGGTGCGTCTGACAATACCGATACAAGAGCTAGCTTCTCAAACTTTGGAAGCTTGGTTGATATCTTCGCTCCTGGTGAGTGTCTCACTATCGTTCCCGGGGCCACGTTTTGCTGACGAGATGCTAGGCGTCAACATCCTCAGTACGTGGATTGGCTCGAATACGGCCACCGCGACTCTATCGGGTACAAGTATGGCGACCCCCCATGCCGCTGGCGTTGCAGCATTCCTACTTGGACAGGGCGTCTCGACCACCGCCATCAACCTATGCTCGTTGATCCAAAGCTATGGCACGATGAATGTTATTCAGAACGCTGGGGTCAATACCACAACGACACTGCTCAACAACCCGTGGCCAGGCGAGAAATAGACGATGGCATAAGCTGGAAGCATAAAGGCTGGCGAATATCCTCGACATGTATGTATATACGAGATGTTTGCACCCGTACGTACGGAATGAATAGACCTGCGGCGTATGCTACCCGGGATGCGAGTGTAGGGTGTGCATTGCACGGGAGGGGACACGTTGTTCTTGCTTATGACAGTTGCCTCCATGGGTAAGTGATGGCTGGCCATGTGAAGCTTAGTCATTGAAGATATGGCGGAATGCTACGATTTCCGTCGCTCTGCAGAAGGAATTCGGATGGATCAATCTCAACATGGTTGGTGAGAACTATTGCAATGCATTTGAACCCGAGGCTTCTTGAGAGGACAATTTGAATGCTAATAATACGACACATTTGAGTTCTTGGGGGAGTGTGGGTTTTGGGAGGACGGCGAGGGTTGTGTTGGTGGACAAGTATGGGCAATTGAGCGTTTGCACGATTGGAGACGAGAAGATGAGTTGGGAGTTGAGAGAAGGTGTTGTTGTTTGATGGGACGACTTCATGAATGGAGAGCCTTAGGAGGTACCCGCAGACGAGGCATCGTTCTGTCTGTTAGGCTGCGGCTGCGGCATCGTGGTTCGAGCAATTAGCTTCGAGACTCTATTGATATGGAGAGCAAACAATTGGACTTGAAGCAGATGCCGTCACCGGCCTAGCGTGAGGCTCGTCACCTTTGCGATTCACTTGCCGCTCGCCTTTAATATAAAGACTTAGCTTCGCGCCTCCTCGTCCTTCTCAACAGCACGATCCGACGAATCTTCGTATCCGCACTTATACAACCCAGAGACAGCCTCAACGCTACATCAACCGAAAGTCAGCATGGCCAACGCCGAGTCGAAGTTTCTCGCCTTGCCGCGCGAACTGCGCAACATCATCTACGACTACGCGTTCATCGACCCAGAACCGCAGTACATCTGTCTTGCAAACAGCCAGACAGGATGTCGTATGTGCACACCATCATCCATCCATTAACGCGAAGGTCGCATCACTGCTCTCAGCCTCGCCCGTGTCTGCATGCAGCTTCGAGATGAGGTCCACGACATCTTCTACGCCGGGAATACCTTCTACGCATACATCTCGTACTACTCCGACAGTGCGCCCCGAGCCAAGGCGTTGGAGTGGGAGTTATACAGCGGAGTGCAGGAGTGTTTCTGTCCCAGCCTCATGCGCCATATCGAGGCGTTGACGCTGCGCCGCGGCTGGAAGTACCAGGGTCCACATCTCCAGGTCAGCAAGAGCGGCACGGGCTGGATCATTAAGGAGGGAGACGGTGACGAGGTCTGGCTGGACATCACGGATCCTCAAGCGAGGCCGTTGGGCCAGGGTTTCCCTCGTCGCGACTTGTGCGAGATCGTTCAGCAGGTGAGGAAGCGAGATCATCACTATCGCTGAATCCGTAAAGAATTGGTTCGGTCTATGCGGGGAATTTTACGGCCAAAGCTTAGGAGGCGATCGGTATCACGGCAATGACTGTACCGATAGAGGTGCGAGGTGCGAGGTGCGACGGTAACGAAGCGGATAAAATAGGCCTGGGACAAGGTAGCATTGTGGCATTGGAGTCGCGGCCAAGGTCTGCGGGCGATCCCCAGAGAGCAGTGGATACTACTGCAGGAGTCGGTCCATTGCAAGATAATCTAGTCGTCAAAGACCTGAGCCCGGGTTTTGAAATTCGAAATCTCTGAGGAGCATGTGACAGATCTTGTCCGAATCGGCTTGTGGTCATAGAAAGTGAGGTTTCCCGGTGGGTCCAGTCTAGCAAATAATTCATACCTGTTGCTTCCTATCTTACTCAGTCTTCTTTTGCCGGAGATGCAAGCATCTCAGCTGATAAGTAAGGTAGGGACTGAAGACTGAAGCGACGGGAGGATTGAAACTTGAGGTGAGGTCCTTCCAGCCGGCTGCCGAAGGAATAAACGCTGTTGATTGGCTGTCGCACGGAGCAACGGAGCTGGCGGTGTCATAACAAACACCGCCAAGGCCTTTCAACAAACGCGATTCCGGCAGCAAACGCATCCCTCACTTATACGATGCACACCGCCTAGAAAGCCGTGGAATACTCACCTGGAGCAGGACGCACATCTCGTTTCGCAGGAAAAAAAATTACACAACATGTCCCGGACATCACTTCCCACGCCCTGTCCGGCGTTCGGCTCGCGTCATTTCTCAAGTCTGCCTGCGTTCGACATCTCCGACGATACAGCTCAGATCGACTATACGCGCGCGTTTGATTCATCGCTCAGAGGCCCACAGCCTAGGAGGAGCTCCGCGTTGTATGGCAAAATGGCGAGGAAAGCGCCTGTGGCCGTGTTTGAGGAAGTGAGGGAGGACGAAGTTCTGGATCAGTACGCGCCAAAAGGACCCGTGCAAGGAAAGACATTACTTTCCAAACCGGCAAGGAAAATGGCAGTGGGCTCTACCGTGCGATCAGACGTTGCAGAGACGGAAGCTCGTGGCGGACTGAAAGAAATAGGCCAAGTCAGAGCGCAGACGTCGGATCTGAAAGGCGGACCTTCAATTCCCATGGTGGAGCGCAAGGTGGCAGAAGGTTCTATGGCTAGTAATAGAAGAGGAAGCTTGGCGCATGGTGGGATGGCAGGAGGCATCAAGAAAGACCCTCGACGGAGAACAATTTTTGTCCCGGAAGATACCACGGTCCTTACGATCCATCCTGGAGGCCATACGACTCGACTCGACGATACATTTCAACTGTCAAGCTTCGATGTGCCTCCGATTCCGCAAGAAGAGATGCAAATCGCAGAGGAAGACTCTCAGCTTCAGAAGCCATTGCGACGACTTAGGAGGTCGCTGGCTGCTGCGCCGAGACGAGGGCCTCTACAACCTATCCAGGGAATCGACAATGTTGATGGATTTGACGTTTGCGGTGCAAATACTGGAAAGGAAAACCAGCCTCCAAGGGCTGAGAAGAAATTCAAGCCAATTACAAGTGTGAAGCCTGACTCGCCAGTCCACCATAATGCGGTTCAGCGCTCCCGATTACTTGCACCCACTGCAGCATCTCAAGCCAGACAAAATGCGGTGCCCCGGAACCCGGTGCCCTTGACCAAAGCCCTGGCAACAAAGCCGGCGCATCACATGGCAAATTCGAGGCTATCGACTTTCTCGCCGCGTGCTGCAACGCCTCCGAAGGCCCGGCCATTGACAAGCAGGGAGCCTCAGAACCTCACCAAGCCTCGGCACTCTGGCAGTCCACAGCAGCGTAGCTCTCCCAATCGGCCGGGCAGAACGTCTGCCGAGACCTCACAGAAGCAGGAGCTCCGTCGAATGATGGCAAAGAGACGGAATGAAATGCAGGCGACCAAGGTCAAACACTATCCTTCATTGACGGAAGATCTGGCTCATCTCAGCCTGTACGAGGACGACTGGTTGAGCCAGCAGGAAGTTGCATTGACGGAGGTCGTGAACGAGATCTTCAAGGCGGTGGAGACTAGACCTCGAAGCAGCAGCAAGTCTGTGCGGCAGTCCATGATCGATATCTATCATCAACCTGACGTCGCCATAATGCACAAGCGTTTGCAAGCCTCACTCGTTTATGGGGCTCTCAGCAAGCCAAAGGGCACATCAGCCACGTCTGATTTGCGCCACGATATCGGACTGCGCAAGCGGTTTGTTAATCTTTGGTTGGAGAGCTACAACCAAGAGGTGCTCCGTGCCGCCGCAGAGGTCGTCGTTGGAAAGCAGATTCCAAGGCGGAATTCGGCGTCGCAGTACAGCATAGAGGAGAGCGAGAGGATTCTGGACCCCGTCACCGATCGTCGCGACTTGATTGCCTTTCTGGAGACTTTTCTGGTCCATGTTAGCGATTTGGATTTGGCGGAGTCTTTGGGTTACGGCGAAGCGCAGAGCTTGGAGACGATGAGGTGGCGGAAGACCATGGAGCGGAGCTTCATGCTCATTTGGCTACTGGACCAGGCAAAGACGTCCGAACTCGTTTCCGTTACGCTTTTCAAAAGCAGGTCAAAGCACAAGTCTTCTGCATCTCTGCTGCGGACGCTTTCCGCGATGCTGCTTCCTGCGGTTGGCGACATCGTCCGCACAGTTAAGCAGCTGGACTACCAAGTCTCACATGGCCAAGATCCTTTGGACGAGGTCGCCTACCGCATTGAAAACCTGGCAGTGGATCTCCGTGATGGCATTCTTCTGACGCATCTGGTTGAGACTCTTCTTTACAGCCGCCAAGCAGACCATGGCATGGCGGGAGACGACAATGCCACCGTGACCGTCACATTGCCAGATGCTGCGATTATCCAGAGCGACTACTACACGCCGGATAACTTTCGCAATACTCGTATGCTATCTCAGCATTTGAGGATGCCTTGCCTGGGTCATGCACAGCAGGCATTCAACGTGCAAGTCGCACTGAGCGCGCTAGCGTGTTGGGACGTCGATGCCGCGAACGTCGTGGGCGACGTGACAGCTGACGATATTGTCCACGGCCATCGTGAGAAGACTTTGAGCCTGCTTTGGTCTCTGGTAAGCGTTTACGGCCTCGATCATCTGATAGACTGGAAAGAGCTGGCAGTCGATACTCAACACGCTTCCGCTGCAGCCAACACTCTGAACGAGGCTTCCATGCGCCATGATCATGCAACGCACCTCCAGAACTGGGCCGCAGCACACTTTCCCGGTGTCAAGAATCTCACTACTTCATTCTCAGATGGGAAAGCGTACGCGTCGATTCTCGAACATTTCTCAGCCCACTTGCCACCACGCTCCGCCAGCGAGCGCACTTCCACTAGCACCACCGCCCTCGAATCTCAGCTCCTTTCCCTCGGCTGCAGCGCCGCTTTCACACGCCAGCTGACAAGCACGATCGGCGCTATTCCCAGTCGCGAAACGACGCTGTCAAACCTCGCATTCCTGGCCTCGCGCCTCCTACCTCTGTCGAAGCAACATCATGCCGCCATGCGCATTCAACGCTGGTATCGCCACCAGCGCATGCCGAGGATGATATCGCAGCGTGTTGCGCTGATGCGTATGGCGAGGGACTGCGCTCTCGTTGTGCAGACGCAGCAGAAGATTTACAAGGCTGCGACGACGTTGCAGGGGGCCTGGAGAGGTGTCATCGCGAGGAGAGTGGAGAGATTGGAGGGTGACGTGCAGGCTTTCCAAGTTTTGGCGAGAGGATGGAGGGTTAGAGGGAGGATGAATGGGCAGGGGGGTGGAAGGGTGATGGGAGGGTGGTGATGATCCATTATTGTGCAGTTCCAGCAGTTCCAGCAGTACCAGCACCAGCAGTTCCAGCACTAGCGACAATTCGGACTCGTTGGGAAGTGCAACCTTGAGGATGTGGCAGGGGAGGTGATTGTTTGGTTTGGAGTCAGCCAGCCAAGAGATCTGCGGAGTCGTTAGAGGCGCTTTCGTTTGGCTGTACTACGCTTGGCGGGATGGAGGAATGTGGACCGAGGTAGTCGTCGATGATAACATGTATTCTGCACACGCACATTTTGATGCTCTCCATATTCTTTCCCGTTGCTTCAAATATATAGGATAATGTGTGTACGTATAAATGCATGGAGACGTGGATTGTTTGGGAGCGGCGGGGACATGGGGCGGAGAGGTGCAGGGGGGCGGAGACAGAGGAAGCTTAAGTTAGGTGCGCTCGAACGAGCATCCACATCCATGGCCCGGATCCCCCAGTGATGACTGCCAAGCCCTTACCAAGACTCGTATCCGTCGCCGGAGGCAGCTGCACCGCTGTCGTTCCCTCTCACATGCTTCCTTCAGCTTCTCCTCTTCCTCCACCTTCCACCCTCTCCCCGAATGTGACTTCTCCCTCCGACTCCTCTTCCACCTCCAACCATCCCCCGCCGGTCTACAGCACAGCGTCGGCCGCCCTGGAGGAAGCTGACACGCCGCCGTCATGCTCGGCCGAACGCGCCGAGCGCGCCTGTTGGCCCTCGTGGCCTGCATTGTCATCGTCTTCTTCCTCTACGAACGCAGCGAAGTGCGCGTGGAACGTTACGCGGATTACCTCACGTCCACCGCGGGCAGTTTTGGCGCAGGAATCGGAGGAGGTGCTGTCTTGCGGCCATCCGAGCAGCAGGAACAGCAACCTCTGCCGGAACCGCCCAAGCCAGATGAGTGGAATGGAAAGGAATCGGTGCCTGCTCCCAAGACGGCGCCCAAGAAAGTCGTCGAGCCAGAATCAGCATCTTCAACTTTGGGATATGAAGCGCCTGCTCCGTCTCCCCTGATCACCCCAGCCCCGACTTCTTCCCAATCCGAAGCTGTCTCGGACAAGACGACTCCCACGTACAATGGTGCACCTCAGTTCTACGGCGGTCCGGTGGTTGAGGTGGGTGAGGGACGAGTGGAGCAAGAACCCTCCAAGCATTCCACATCCTCAAAGCCGCCACCTATTCATTGGACCAAATTACCTGAGAAGTTCCCGATCTCGTCGACCATTCAGTTGCCCACGAGCAAACCGAGTCCGATTCCTCTCGTTCAGAAGGGCAAAGGCAGTGCAGACCAGGATCGTCTACTTGCGATCAAAGAGGCGTGCAAACATGCTTGGAAAGGCTTCAGAGCATACGGCTGGGGATACGACGAGGTCAGGCCCGTGTCAGGAAAGGGACAGAACTCGTTCAATGGCTGGGGAGCTACCTTGGTGGACTCTTTGGATACACTGTGGATCATGGGCATGAAAGAGGAGTTTGAGGAGGCCGTGAACAAGGCAGCGGAGATCGATTTCACAACGTCTCCCAGGAACGACATTCCCATGTTTGAGGTCACCATCAGGTATTTGGGAGGACTTATCGCCGCGTACGATGTCTCGGGGAAGCAATACAGGATACTGCTGGACAAGGCTGTTGAGCTGGCCGAGGTTCTGTACAGTGCCTTCGACACGCCAAACCGGATGCCAGAGACTTATTATTACTGGAAGCCAACCTTTGCTTCAAATGCCCATCGGGCGAGCACGCGAGTGGTTATGGCTGAGCTTGGCACATTGAGCTTGGAATTCACGAGGCTAGCACAACTGACTGGAGAGCCAAAGTACTACGACGCTATCGCTCGAGTCACGGACGCCCTCGAGGAGTTTCAGAACAGGACTCGCCTGCCCGGTATGTGGCCGACGATACTGGACGCGAGTGGCTGCAGCAAGCCAGTCTACAAGGCACCGCCTCCTGCCCATCAAATTCCGGTCCCTGGTGGGGAGACGTACATGGTTAGCAGCGAACCCGTCAAGGTCGATCCGCACATTATGTCTGCAGCCGAGAACGCAGTGAAGCAGAACACCAAGCCTTTGCAGAACGCCGATGACAGGAATCCATCGCTGGGTACTGTTGCGAATCCTGCTCCTGTCAATCCACTTGTTGCAGATGCGGATTCGTCGCTACGACACCCTATGGCGGAGCATCCGGCCAACAGCGAGACTGGATCCCTTGGAAAGTCCGAGGGGTTTGGTGATCTGTATGGGGGAAGCAATACGAACGAAGCCAAGGCGAAGGGGCCTCTGCCACCGGGTTCTGGAGACGACACTAGCAAGCCCAGTGTGCCCTACGGCCAAAGGCCGAGCGAGCCACTGCCTCCTCAGCTTGGAGTGCCACATCAAAAGCGACAGCTAGAGGACATCGGCGACCTTGTTGAACCGTCTTCACGCATGAAATCGACGAACACCTCGCCTCATGACCAGCCGTCTCATCATCAGGGCTTGCGACAGCTGGAGACCCTCGCTGATGCGACGCCAGAAGAACCAGAGTGCATTGCTCAAGGGCTGGAATCCTGCAGCAAGAATTCGCCAGAGACATACACGCTTGGCGGCCAAAGCGACAGCACTTTCGAGTATCTACCCAAGATGTTCCTCTTGATGGGAGGTAGAGTGGAGCAATACAAGACAATGTACCTGGACAGCATGAAGCCGATCACTGAGAAGCTGCTCTTCCGACCGATGACGCGCGAGAACCTGGACATTCTGATCTCCGGTGAGCTGCGCATCAATGTCAACTACACCTCCGGCGAGTACATCGAAAACCCGAGCCCTAAGAATGAGCATCTCACGTGCTTTGTCGGAGGCATGTTTGCCATGGGTGGCAAGATCTTCAGCATCCCGGAACACGTCGAGCTTGGACGTAAAGTCACCGACGGCTGTGTCTGGTCCTATAATGCTACCGAGTCTGGCATTATGCCTGAGTCTTTCCACATGATTGCTTGTGACAGCAAGACGAATTGCAAATGGAACGAGACTCGTTGGCAGGAAGAGCTGGACCCGTATGCGAACTTTAGAGAAGAGCAACGCGCGGACTGGCAAAAGACATATGGTGTTGATGATGTCGCGGCTTACGAGAAGCAAGTGGCCGCCGCGAGCAGCTCTTCAGTAGCGGCGGAGATGGCAAAGGCCACATCTGCAGCAGGCTTCGAGAACATGGAGGATGCGTACACGCACGCACAGCAAGCCTACCAAATCAGTAAGAAGAAGAGACAGCTGGATGATGGTCCCGCAGCACCACGGCCTGTTCCGGCTGCAACTCCAACGTCTCCGCCCACCGCAGTTACTGGCTCAAGTGATCCTTGGAGCGGCGGACTAAATCAGTACGCTGGACCTGCTGGTGAGTACCTCGACTACTCGTCCAGCAGTGTCTATATGCCTCCGAAGCCGGTCTACACTCCGCCGCCCCCGCCTACTCATGAAGAATACGTCGAGAGGAAAATCACGGACGAGCGCCTTCCGCCAGGCTTCACTCGCATCGACGGCAAAGGGTACATACTACGTCCCGAAGCCATCGAGTCGGTGTTCTACATGTACCGCATCACCGGCGAGCAGTACTGGCGCGATATGGGCTGGAAGATGTTCACAGCCATTGACCGAGCGACGCGGGCGCCATATGGTCATGCTAGTATCGACGATATCACGAAGACTTCGCCTGAACATATGGACAAGATGGAATCTTTCTGGATTGCGGAGACTTTGAAATACTTCTACCTGCTATTTGATAATCCAGATACGTGGAGTCTGGATGATTGGGTATTAAACACTGAGGCGCACTTTTTTAGACGGCCAGAGAACCCGGGGAATCTCTGATGGAATTAGCGGATGGTGGGTCAAAAGGGCTGGACGGGCGTATCCTTCGACGCCAGGGGCGAGGAAGGGTCGTTGGGTCATGATACCCTCTTTGGAGTCAAGGGCGGTGGATTACTGGTTTCGTGCATAGCGCGGCGTTCTCGAGGGATTCTCGGGCGGGTAGAGCTGTAGTAGCCACCCTGGTATTCTTGTACGATGGGCGCGAAAAGTCGCTTGTTCTTGGGCTTGTTAGGGCCATTTCCCCGGTCATCAGATGCCTCTCATCTCCATTAGCTGCGTTCTGTGCTGTTCGAGGGAGGCACGGGAAACAGCGGAGCGTCCCGAGGATCGAACTTTAAGAGTGCGACTTCATCTACCTATTGAGGTGGCACTGCTTTTCTCGACAACGCTGTCGTGACACTTTCGTCAAAGTCCACTACAAACTGAAGCTGCTGCCGGTGACATGGTTCAAGGAACGGCTCATGGTTCGTCTACTAGCAATGCTTCCATCACCAAGCTTGTCCGATCTGTTTGGCTCGCCTTTCGATCCAATGGCGGCGGCTGAACACCTTGGCAACCTCGAGCGACGCTCAGCTTAGTCTTCGAAACAAACATCCCGTCCTCTCGCTCGATTCGCCCGTGAAGCATGCGTCTCATTGACGTACATACTCTGAAGCTGCAACAGTTTACTGGCAGGCCGCCTCCTTATGTCATACTCTCGCATCGTTGGACAGGAGAGGAAATCAGCTACGGGGAATTTGTGGACAGAAGCGCCCAAGATGATCATACCGGAATCGCGAAGATTGTGAATTGCTGTCGCTTTGTGGCCGATTATCCGGAGCGCTAGGCCGTTCGTTGCCACTGTCAATTGGGTCTGGATTGATACCTGCTGTATAGACAAGTGGGGCAGCGCCGAGCTTTCGGAAGCCATTACTAGCATGTCCAAATAGTACTCTAAAAGTGCCTACTGCGTCGAATGGGAGCAGATTGGACTCAAGAGAGCGCTACCGATGCCTAGCGACAAATTTGGCGAGCAATGTCTGGCAAGCCGTATGGCGGAGACCACAACCATCCCAGAGTCCTGCTTGCATAATGTGAGGACGATGTTCAATCAGAGTGTTGCAAGGAGGATGAGCTGGGCTTTGAAGAGAGTTACCACACGTCCGGAAGATATCGCCTATTGCTGGATGGGGATCTTTCTGATCAACATGCCGCTGCTCTCTGGGGAGGGCTCAGATGGTTTCATTCGACTTCAGCAAGAAATTGCCAGACAGACCGATGACGAGTCCATCTTCGCCTGGACTACAGGCGATTTCAAACGGCTCGAGCATCGATCGTTCCTGGCGAACCATCCAAGGCAATTTGTCAACTGCGGTTCTGTCTTCCGTATGCAACTGTCGCCGCGAAAACCATATCGGATCATGAATCAATACCTCGAATTCGAGTCAAGGGCTGTACGGCTGGCTGCTGGCAACGGTGACCTCTATATCCTGGAGCTAAACTGTTGCGACGTGGATGGCTGTCCAGATTGACGTGGATGGCTGTCCAGATTGGGTTGGCGACATTCACGAGATTGACACACCAGCGCACACATGCCTCATTGCTTTGCATAAGACCCAAGATGGCACGTTTCGTCGGGTAGCTCATGGCGGGAATCGAGCATACCTTGCCGCTCATATCAAGCGTCGGTCATCAAGGGCCGAACTCACCTTTGATGTGCAGAGATCATTCGTCATTGCTTTGATCAAGTCATGGAGAAATGCGGCCGTCGTTCTACAGCCGGACTCTTTCTCGAAACTTACAAGGCTTGGATATCTCTTTGGGGCTCCCAATGGCCACCTGCAGCGAGAGAATAGCGCGGATAATGATGAATGTCCTTCATCTAGTCCTTCACTTGAAGACGAAGATGAATGGTACTGAAATATCAATTTGAGCTCCATCAAGGCTCAGCAGGCGCAGTCTCTCCAGACATCGTTTTCAACCTCGCCATCTCAGTGCTCATCCATGCCGCAATGGCCACGACATCTGCTCCACAATTCACAAAATGCCAGCCTTGCTGTAATCTTTTCGCAGCATCATCGGCTGACAGAGAAAAGTGACCTCCAAACTTCCCTTTCGATTTAGCCGCTGCTAGCACCTTCGCACTGGCTTCTTGGACTTCCGGAATCTTGGGATGATCAAAGGCAAAATAGCCCATACTAGAGGCAAGATCGTTCGGTCCGACGAAGAGGGCATCAATGCCTTTCACACCGGCGATGGCTTCGCAATTCTCCACTCCCTTCCGAGTTTCGATCTGAATGATGATGGTGATCTTGTCGTTTGCTTGGCGGAGATAGTCCGGCGGGGAGAGGTTGAAGCTTGCGTTTGCGAACAGGCCGCCTGCGCCTCTCGTTCCGGTGGGGAAAGATGCTGGGTTGGGATAGTGGGCGAAGTTTGCCAACGATTGCGCTTGTTCCTGTTTGAACTTCAGTCACGACAAGACTCGGTCTGGAGGTGATATCGACACTCACCACCGTCTCGACCATCGGCACCATGACCCCATGCGCTCCAGCGTCCAGAGCCCGTTTGACCATCCAATTCTCTGCTCCGGCTATCCGGACGATCGGACTCGAGCCTGCTGCCGCAACTGCCGCAACGGAATGATACATCGCCGCATCATCGATGTTGCCGTGCTCGCAGTCTATCAAAACCCAGTCGACTCCCGGAAGTGAGGCCACTGTCCTGGCGAGCGTGTAGCCCGGAAATTCCAGCCATTGGCCTATTGAAGGGTCGCCGCGCGATGCGGCTCGCTCTAAGGATGCTCGGAGACGAGTTTTGCCTGTTGATGCGTCGATGGCGGACATGGTGAATGAGAAACCCCGGGAATTGAGAATGCTGAATTTTTCTGGCTCTGAGCGCTTGCGAATGTCTTGTGCGTGCATAGTGTCATTCGAGACTCGACGATTTTATCGTTTGCAGATGATACGCGAACCCGCCGTTGTTGGCCGGTAGCTTGGCCGATCTGCCGCAGAGCAGTCCGACATATCAATACGGCTGGAGATCCGACAGGGAGGAACCGGAGTTCTTCGAAGAGTTTATTGCCGTGAACGGTCGGTGCAAGTACGCCACAGAGGCTGAGGAGTGGGAAGGCGTCCGGTACAAGCTAGGAATGCTTCCAGAGGACGTTCGAGTATCTTCACGAAGCTATATGCCAGAATGCGAGCTCGGCGGATACCAATGATTGAATCAAGAGGAGTCGAATGACTATTCGAGGTAGTTTGCTATGTCGTTATCCGCTTCGGAGCCTATATCTGCAAAGTCATACAGCGTCTTCGCACATCTGAAGGTGGTCTCGACGGCTGCTACCGCTGAGCTAATAGGTAGCCCGTGTTTTGCTAGCACTTTCAGACACAATCTTCCGCTGTAGTCGTCCGATTGTTTCCGCAACTTTTCACACTCACCAGAACTGTTCGCTGTAAGCAAAACCAGATTAAGACATAATCTACAGACGACAGCGTGGGTTCATAATGTGTCTTTAGTACAGTCCTGGGTCTACGAACGTATCCTCCACAGAACAACCGTTAGGTGTTATCGTACAGCGCTATTCTGCGCGCATGCTGGTTCCCACTGCTCTTTGCTCTACGCTTGGGTATCCACGTCCATCTTCTCGCCTACGCCTGTCTCCCCATCACCGATATCCTGGACCGTCACGTACTTGCTGATCTGCTCCTTGGTAATGATCTTCTCATTCAAGACAGCTGTTGTACCGCGCTTGAACTTGTAATCTCGCTCCTTCTTGCCCCTCGTGTTGGGTGTCTTGTAGTTCCTCATCAACTGTGTCTTCTCGGGTGTGATGATACACACGTCCACGTTCGAACCCGAACCCAGGTCGTTCCAGATACCGGCCTCGATGGCGTCTGCGCACAGAGCAACGGCGTCATCGCGGGAGAGATCTGTTTTCCAGCTCGTCTCGAACACGGACATGGCGGCTAACGATCCGGAACCCATGGTTACGTACGGCAGCTTGTCGGTCGAACCATGAGCGTGGACGGTGAAGAGGTGGGCGCCTGTAGGGTCGCATCCAGCAACGACGAGATATGCGCCGATGTGACCTTGGTAGCGGAAAAGGTGTTGTTTGAGCATGGTCATGACAGTGACCACGCGAGGCTTGCGACCGGTGGAGAGGGCATGGAGCTCGAGGTTGGAAGACATGAGGGCGGTGGTGAACTCGGTATCGGCGGCGGTTCCTGCACCAGCGCACCAGATCTGAGGAGCAATGTAGTGGAGCTTCTCGCAGTTCTGGGTAGACGAGTTGTTAGTACACGTTTGTTGTCCTAATGACATCGCTGTTCCTCACCTTGTCTGCTACTATCGGACCACTTGTAGCTCTGGTATCTGCGGCAATGACGACTCCGCCATCGTACAAACAGCCAACGATGGTTGTTCCTGTTGAAGTGGCCTTGGGGAGCGGAACACCTTTAGCGTGGAGAGCGATGTTTCTGTTGTGATTGCTGAAGTCGAAGCCCGGCATTGTGATGTATCTCCTCTGGCTCTGTTCGTGATTCCTGGTATATGTTTCGGTGATGAAGGGCAGCGGTGGCTTGTATGGTCGTGTGCTTGGGTGCAGGTGTAGATGTAGTGTTGGAGCTCAAGCTGGAGATGATGCGCGGCGTTGGCTGCCTGGACCGTGCACAGACGCGCCGTCACGAGCTCGAACTTTCGAACTCGAGAGTTGACTGCACGCACAGCTTCGAGTGAACGAGTCTTCTGGCTGGAGTTGCCTTGCGCACTCAACTTCTCCACCTACACGTCCACGATACATCGCCTCGGCCTCTCCTCCTCCAACTTGCCGCCTGTGCAAGTCCGCTCGTTTCACTCCAACCTCCGCCAGTCCCTCTCTAACGCCGAGATCCGCCAGGAAACACCAACAGATTCAGAGACCGGACGTCGAGATACCGATTCGTCTGTGGATGGAAGTCGCGCAGAATTAGCCATGGCGTCGTCGTGGGGGTTTGGAAACCTGTCGACTGGTGGACAACAGGCTGGAGACGCTTCACAAGCAGGACCGAGCTTGGGCGACATCACCAGCGACGACATCAACTTTCAAGACGTGGCAGACAATCCCGGAAACCGAGTACGGATATCTGAGCAGTGGCCTGAAGATCAGCTACCTCCCACGACTGCGTCTCTGTTGAGCATTGCATCTACTCGAGGGTTGCTGGCTGCAGCTACACCGAATGGGCTGATAGTAGTGAGCACTGAGAAGGCGCGCGTGCAATACTTATCACGAAGAGAGCCGGGAAATGATGCGGACAAGATACGAAATCTCCAACCAGACGCGACACTGCAGACACCTCGCCTATCACACGTTGCGTTCAGCTCAGATGAGACCTGCCTGGTGATAGTGTCGGAGCAAGGCGGTGGTCTTGCTGTGTACAATACAAATTCGCTGGCGAATGGAGCTCAACCGGCCTTTTCAATCGCCACGAATGGAACGAGCGTGCGACATCTGCTGCCCAATCCTGCTCCCGAGAATGCACATCTCTTTGGCGTCGTGCTGTCCGATGGCAAGCTTGTCTTGGCCGACCTCAAGACCCAGACTTTGATCGATGGTGCCAAAGGCAATGCAGTCTTCCACGAGAACGTATGTTCAGGCACCTGGTCGAAGTTCGGGAAGCGTATGATAGCTGGGCTAGCCGACAGCAGCGCCGTGCAGATTGATCCTCAAGGCAATGTCAAGGATACGATTCCACGTCCGCCTCAGCTCAACGAACTGCAAGCCGACTACGAAGGAGCCCAAGCCCTCCCCATCACTTCGATATCGTGGCTGCAAACTTTCGAATTTCTGTTGGTTTTTTCGCCAAGCTATCCGCCCGGATCTGATGGTCTCAAAGACTCCGTCTACTTCATTGCTCGCCGCACCAAGACTACTCCATTCACCTTCCACAAGATTGACATGGATCCTTGTTCGCCATTCGGAATGGATGCTAGAACCCCAGCTCACCACTTCATGTTGCGCGCATTCGAGTGGCTGAACATCAAAGACCTGCTTGTGGTGGCCTCTACTGCCTCAACGGATATTGGTCTTTTCGCCCATTTGCAGCCGAACACTGTAGATGGAAATCCAGACGATTTTGTTACATGGATGACTGAGTCTGAAGGGCGTCGTGCTCTTCTGCCTCTCAATCCCACCACGGAGTCCGACACTTCGACGGTAGGTATGGCAATGGATCTCAGCGCAAAGGAGGTGCCTCCGCGACCTATCCCGGAAGAGGCTGATGTGTTTCCGCACTCTTCCATCGCCCTACCAATGGTGTGCGTCTTGACGAATGATGGTGTTCTGAACATGTGGTGGATTGTGTACAAAGACGCAATAAGGCAAAAAGCGTTGTATCCAGGTATGGTGCACAAGAATGGTCGCTACGCGAAGTACAAGAAGTATAACAAAGTTGAATTGGCCAACATTGAGGGCGACAACCCTTACAAGGACTCCCGGGATGACGGTGGTTCCGGCGATGAATCCGAGCCACTTGGTGATGCTCCCGCCGGGCCAGCATCAGCATCGTCTGTCTTCGCGCCCTCGAGTCAGACGTCGGCTCCTGCGTCTGCAGAATCATCGGGCGCACCGAAGCAGCCGTCAGCTTTTGGCCAATCTGGATTTGGACAGCACGCGCAAACGTCCACGCCTAGTTTCGGTGGATCGTCTGCTCTGGGCAACAAATCAAGTCCCTGGGCCACACAAGCCAACAGCAATGATTCAAAGCCTTCGCTCGGACACACTTTTGGGCAACCTTCCTTCGGATCGCCATCGACTCCAGGGGGCGCGTTTGGCCAATCGTCGACCAACGGCGGCATGAGCAGCTTCGGCAGCTTGCCAGCGACCCAAGGCTCTGTTGGCTTTGGTCCGTCTGCATCGCCTTTCAGCAAGCCATCACAGCCCGCAGCACCATCGGCCTTTGGACAACCATCCACGCCCGGCAGTCTTAGTGCCTTTGGAAAGCCCTCCACGCCGGGTCAGACCACTGCTTTTGGAAAGCCATCACAGCCCGCTGAAGGGTCTGCATTTGGCAAGCCTTCATTTGGACAGCCTTCAACCTTTGGACAGCCTTCAACCTTTGGCCAGAGCTCTCAGATTGGAGCAGCAAATGCCGCCAAATCGGGTCTATTTGGGAAGGACACGAGTTCTGCCTCCCCCTTTTCTGCATTTGCGTCAGGTGACAACGCGAGTAAAGCCAGTCCATTTGCCACTGCCGGGCAGCAGAGTCAAGCCAGTCCCTTCTCAGGCTTTGCCAACAAGACTCCAGCGCTCTCGCAAGAAACGTCTGCAGGCTCAACCGCGACTATTGGCTCCAGCGGAGTTAGTAGCTTCGGCCAAGGATCTGCTTTCCCAGGCAGCTCCTTCGTCAGCAAGCCCACGATCTCGCAAGAGTCAACTATGAAGGATGGAGAAGATGCGAGCACTGAACAGCGAACAGCTCAACAAGGCGGAGGGCTATTTGGCCTTGGCAATGGAGGCTTCAAACTGGGTTCTGGCTTCAAAGGAGACGGCACTGCTAAGGACGATGGACCCAGGCCTGCTGATCCTGGAGCTGGAATTTTTGGCGCAGATTTCGGCAAATCGCTGGGCGAGACCGCGAAGAAGCAGCCTTCTCCAATCAAAAAGGAACCTAGCGATGAGCAAGGTCCAGCTCTGAAGGACATACCTATGTTCAAGGCTCCAGCCAAGGTAGAGAATGAGTCGCAAGCTTTGCGGCCTGATTCCGCAAGTATGGCCGCGCAGAAGACGGAAGGGGAGGACGCCATTCCTGACGACGCACCTTTGCCACCAGACCCTTCCACCTATAAAGCACCCACCTTTCCAGATGACCTTCCTGGCATGCCTGGATTCGGAGCTCCGAAATCCAAGAAGGAAGCACAGAAAGACGAACCGATTGCAGGAAGTCCACCTTTGGATGTGACGAACAGCCAGACATTCTCCCCAGCAGAAGGCTCGGAGGCAGCAGGACCGTCGGATGACGGTTCCGAGCAGTGGGCAGATGAGGATGAAGAAGAAGAAGAGGGAGAAGAAGAAGACGACGATGTTGCGAGCGAAGATGAAGATCAGTTCGAGGATGACGAAGATGAGGAAGACACAGACGATGAGGCTCCCTATGAACCAACGGACGACCAAGGTCGGGCTGACTTGGCAGCATTCAGAGCCAAGCTGGGCACAGCTTCGCCGAAGAGGGAGATACCTTCGACACAAAGTACGCCACAAAGTGACGAGAAGACCCAGCACAGTAGCTACACTCCTGCCGGACTCCCCAAAGGCCCTGTCTTTCCTCCTCCAGGATCCAAGACGCACCACAGTCCTCGCTCGCCGAGTCCGCAGCGTGCGGTGACAAGCCCGGTTGCGCGGAGCGGTGTCCCACAACGACTACCTTCCCAGATCAAGACTTCGGCTGTCCCACCTGCGAAGCCCCTTTCCCGACCCGTCGCCCCGCCAAAGCCTAGGGAGCCGACGCAAGACGAGTTGGAAGATGAGGCCGATGCTCGGTTGAAGGCGTACCTGGCCGCCCCGCCTGAGCCGTCCAGAGAATTGCCACAATTCTTCACCCATACCGACTACGCCGGTGATACCGACAAGCCGGGGCTTGGTGGACAGATTGAAAAGGTCTTCCGAGACGTGAATTCCATGATAGATACTGTCGGGTTAAACGCGAAAGGCTTGCAAGGCTTCCTTCTAGGTCAGGAGACGCTCCGGAACGAGGGTCAGCGTACCAAGGAAGACCTCGATCGTGCGGATGCATGGTGTCTGGGAGACATCGATGATCTGAGTCGTGTGCTTGGTGGACTAGGAAAGCAGCTCGAGGATGGCAGACTTGACCATGTGAGGGAGAAGCTGGAAGATCTCGTGGAAGAGCAGAAGGAGGTCCTGAAATTGAAAGGCAGGAAAGACGAGCTTCGGAAGCAGCTGGTGGCACACACGGACCCCGCGCACCGGGCCATGCAGGAAGCTGCACCACTATCAACGGAAACGCAGGCACAGCAGGCTGAATTAAGGCAAGGCGTTCAGAGGGTACAGAAGCTTCTTAGCGAAGTCGAACAGAAGATGACTATGCTGCGTGCGGACCTTGCTTCTTTCTACAATCATGAAAACTCGGCGAGTGGCAGGACTCCTGTTCCGACCGTGGAGGCTGTCACCAACACTATCAAGAAGATGACCGCCATGGTCGAGCAAAAGTCTGGCGACATCGACGTTTTGGAGGCACAAATCAAGCGACTGCCCAACGGCATTGCCTCGCTTCGCCTGGATGACGACTACGAGGACGACATCGCATCTCGCCTCGCTAGTAATAAGCTGCTCAATAACAGCCCAGCCGGAACACCGCAGCGCCGGCCACGCATGGCAGCCAACGGTGACGCTCTTGGCATGAGTGGTATGTTTGGTACAAGCCGCTTCCAAACTCCGCCTTCTGCCTCTGCGCGTCGCTCGGTACGGTTCACGCCTGACGCCAGTGGACTGGGAAGGAGTACGGGTAGCCTTGGCGGCAGTACGAGGAAGAGGATGGTCGATGTGACTGCGGAGGAAGTCAAAGAGTACAATCAGAAGGTGGCTAGGAGGCGGAACGTTCTAGGCGCTCTCAAGGCCCGAATGGAGCAGAGTGGAGCGAGGATTGTGAAGGTTGAATGATTGCACAAGCAAAGATGACATGATTGATCTTGTAAGATAGTGAAGTGCTGCGATGCTTCACGCGGCATCTAAGCATCAGCGAGCGAAGGCCTTTGAATTCTGGAAAAATTCATAAGCGAATTTTTGGTCTCCTTCGGAGGACAATTAGAAGAGCCATTACCCTGACAACTTTTGCATATCACATTCCCTTGCGCCGACTTGTTGTCGACATCAAGTTGGATTTCCGGTTTACATGAAAAGCAATCACCTCATCCAGCAACAGAACCTTTACCATCAGCTGTTCCCCCACCCAGAGCTCGGTCGTGCATTGTCGTGTCGACTCAATGACCATTCATATACTCCTCGTTGAAAGACTTCGTCTCCTCCCTCAGACGAAGGTTTTCCTCCCGCAGCCTCTGGATCTCCAGACTCTGCTCCTCGATGATGCGCTGTTGAGCAGACTGTGAATGCCGGATGAAGTGAGGCGTAAGTGGATCGGCGGAGTCTTTTACAGTAGAAAGCAACGGAGGAGAGGGCGACTTCTTCGTCTTGCGGCCGTCGAGGACACCCAAATTTTCTCTCGTGCCCACATGTTCCTCCTCCTCGTCCTTCTTCTTCTTCTTCTTCTTCTCCTCCTTGGTCGACAACACCTCATCCCGCCATGCCTCAATCACCCTCCCCGTCCTCACGGCCAAGCGCATAGCTTCCATTTCCTTCTCCCCGTCCCCATGTCTCTGACAGAACGTCTTCTCGTAGCAATCGATCAGCGGCGCCTCGGGGAAGTGTTCATCGTCGGAGGAACTTGCGAGATGTAAGATCCGCGAGAGGGAGGGGAAGAAAGGGTCTGTGGTGTAGGGGATCAGGGTCCAGGTTGTGCAGTTGGGGAAGGGACAGCGGTAGCTTGCGTTGGTGGTTTCGTGTTGGGTTGGGAACGAGGAGGTGGGGGAGGTGGGGGAGGAGGGGCCGACGACGAGGTCGACGGGGAGGTTGTTGAGGAGGGTGGAGAGTTGTGGGCGGAAGATTTGGGGGTGGGAGTGCAGGCTTAGGAGGGTTTGGAGGTCGGTTGGGGTGGTGGTGGTGGTGAATTCTTGGAGGAGGGCTTGCGCTTCTGCGTCGAGGTGGCGGAAGATGTCGTCCCCTGGCATGATTAGGATCGACTGCAGTGTGATGGGGTTGGGGGTGAAGGTACTCATAACTGATGCCAGTTACCACTGACACTCCAAGGGTATTGCTGGACGTGGTATGCTAAGAAGCTCATGCCGTGTGGTATCAAGAACCGGTACGCAGTTTTGATGGTTCAGGGAAAGAAAGGAGATCCGCGTGAGTGAGGTTATATGATCTCTGCCATGCGACCAGGCGATCATGTTGGTTGCCTTCTGCTGCTGCTGCACGACATATGATTGCGTGTGCTGGCCGTCAGCCGGCGTCTTCCAATGGGATGCGCTCTCATGCATGCACGCAGCCGCGGTGCTTCCTGTCAGCTTTCCCACCACGGGTGTGAGTGAGGTGATGGATCAGGAAGTTGGAAAAGGCAGGTTTCGGAAGCTCGTGCAGCAGAAAAGGGGGTCTGGACCTCGTGCAGCATCCGAAGCCTCTTCTCTTGTGGGGAACAAATTATAGATTTACACTCTCTGCTTCGTCCCCGTCCTTGAGATGGCCACTCTTTTATTCAATACCACATTACCAGCTATTCTGGTGATGCAGCGTATTTGTAGAGTGTCGTCTTCTCGTGTCCCGCGATTCCACGCAATGTCTCGAGGACATCTGCCGGCCTCACCGGTGCTGCGAATTTGGCACGGAAGGATTGCAGTGCCAAGAACCGCTGGCAGGAAATGCACTGAGGACCGTGTATACGACCACATTCCAGCTGTAGAGGCCATGCATGATCAGGGTTGGCTTTACGGCAGCCGTCTCGACTTCGGTGGCGTGAAGAGGGTTATAGTCTTCATCCAGACGGTGGTAGAGCAGATGTGCATTCTCCGGGATATGGTGTTTCTGGATAGTAGTTGGTGGTGTGGACGATGGTGGTGAGGAAGGAGGAGCTTGTGGCGAGGGAGCTTCGGCTGTTGTAGTCTAGACTGGCCTGTGGTGAGAGGTGTCTGCCTTGTCGTACCGTTTGGACCTCCCCATCCTCCTTGTCCAATGAAACCAGCTGTCTCGCTCATCCGCGTGAGCACCACTTCAAGCTCTCTGCCTCCAATACCAATCCGTGGTTTGGCAGTGTCGACGAGGAAGTGTTCAGTCTGGACGATTGTGCCTTTACCCTTGGCTCTGTCCCAGACTCCGATTACGTGACTTCGAATTGTGAAGTCGCAGCCATTGCTAGAGGATTGTAACTTGCTGTCCCGCATCAGCTCTACTATCTAGGCGGTTGGCAGTGTGAGTTCGATCAAACCCCCTGAAACAGGGGAAGCGTTCTCTCGCCATCAACGACATTCTGGATGTCTAGTCTGGAGAATCCAGAAATGACACCGGACGGAGGAGTCAGATGTTTCGTGCAATGCTCGCCGAAAGATGTCGTATCCGTGTATTCATGCTCGAGGATGAGTGGAATGTGGCGAATGCAGGATGCGGTTCCCGAGTGTGATATAAAGTCAGCTGCTCTCTCCTTGACTCCAGCGCGTTGCAGCGGATGTTGGCTCACGTAGAGAAGATGCAGCTCCTGTTTTGTACACCGGATGCTGCTGGCGAAGAGCAAGATATGTCGTTGCTTGCAGGCCACCGGGTTATCTCGGTATTATTATTATTGGAGTAGAGAAGACATCGGCAGCAGCCACTATCTTATCAGATCCAAGATCTTTCTCGGAAGTACTTTCCTATAGCATTGACGGAGAGTAGGGACTGGGATGCGCTCACTCTTCTCTCCACTACTGTACATGTACTACTCTGCACTCATCACCGTCGCTCACCTGTGATAGCAACGGAATGCACTTCCACCTCCATCACCAAAGCGATACCTCTCCTCATCAGCGCCCTCATCGGCTCCCTCATCGGCAAACATGTCCGACGCCGCCGAGGTCGACGCCGAGGAAGTCCGTCGCGGTAGAGCAGGCGCCGTCCGGAGAACTCAGGAGGCGGACAACACGATCCGTACTCGCTCCTGCGCTGCGCCTTTCCACAGCGTTCCCCATATCGAATCACCATTTCACATTTCATGACAGCTTGCGGAACAATCCCCGGTGGCTCGTGCTGCCCACATGGCGCAGAGCATTCACAGCAATAGCAACGCGAGCTCGCGCAGCGCGTACAGCACTGACATCAGGTCCTCCGCCCTCGTCCATCCCCTCCCCATAGGCGAGTACCTCTTCCGTCGCATATACGAGCTCGGCATTCGAGCAGTCCACGGTGTATCCGGAGACCACAATCTGGCAGCTTTGGACTACCTGGAACACTGCGGTCTCAATTGGGTTGGCAATTGCAATGAGCTCAACGCTGGATACGCCGCCGATGGCTATGCGCGCGTCAAGGGCATTGCAGCCTTGGTGACAACCTTTGGTAAGGCACGGCAACGCTACGCAATGCACGGGGCCACACTGATTGTCTAGGCGTCGGCGAGCTCTCTGCACTCAATGCCATAGCAGGCGCATATGCAGAATACGTGCCCATTATACACATAGTCGGCACGCCTCCGACCTACTCGCAGCAGAATGGCATGCTATACCACACCCTGGGCAATGGTAACTACAATACTTTCTCCGAAATGTCGCGATCCCTCTCCTGCGCCGTCGTCTCGCTCAACGACGCCGCCGAGGCCTCAGCCCGGATAGACCACGCAATCAGAGAATGCTGGATTCAGAGTAGACCCGTCTACATAGCTCTGCCGGTGGACATGGTAGGGCAACAAGTGGAAGGCCATCGACTACAAACTCCGATCGATCTCTCCTACCCGCCGAACGATCCCGACAGGGAGGACTATGTGGTGGACGTCGTTTTACGCTACATGCACGCAGCAAGAAACCCAATAATACTAGTAGATGCATGCGCGATACGGCATAGGGCCGTTCTGGAGACCCACAACTTGGCGGAGAGGAGTGGACTACCAACGTTCGTTTCCCCAATGGCCAAAGGGGCTGTCAACGAGGACTTGCCAAACTATTGCGGAGTCTATGCAGGCGACGGCAGTGATGACGATATTCGAGAGCGAGTGGAGACAGCAGATCTGGTTTTGCACATTGGAGGAATGAAACTCGATTTCACCACCACCGGCTTCACCTACCGTATCACCGAGCTGAGCACTATCGACTTCTACTCAAATCTGGCGCGGATAAAGTATAGTGAATATCCAAATCTCCGCATGAACGGCGTGCTCAAGAAACTGACAGACAAGATCGGTACACTGTCTATCGTTCCCGGCCCCAATCCTCAAAACGCCATTCCGTTTCTAAAGCGCGATAATAGGGAGGAATTGACACACACCTGGTTCTGGAGACACATGGCCCGCTGGCTACAACCCAACGACATCGTCATCACAGAGATTGGCAATGCAAATGGGATATGGGAAACTCGCTTCCCACCCAATGTCACCGCTATCAATCAAATCCTGTGGAATAGTACCGGCTATACGACACCGGCATGCCTGGGAGCCGCACTCGCCGCGCAAGAACTCATGACTGCTCGACCAGGGCGTAGGGCACGCACGATCCTCTTCACAGGCGAAAACAGTTTCCAATTCACCGCGCAAGAAATGAGCGTCATCATCCGCCGGAAACTCAATCCCATCATCTTCATCATATGTAACCACAATCAGGACAATGCACCACAACGAACCGAATCTCCGATCTCTCCGAGCCACCAACATTACGAGCCTCACCAACAGGCCTGGCGCTACAAAGACCTCATACCAGCTTTCGGCGCTCCTAGAGGCTCCTACCAATCCTGCTCAGTACATACACGGAAACAAGTACAAGCGCTGTTCGCAGACAAGTCCTTCAACGAAGCTGCCTGTCTCCAGTTCGTAGAGCTACATATGGGTCGGGAGAAGGGCGGTGATGCGGCTAGTACGGATTCTTCTTCGCGTCGATCTTTCCCGCCGGGCCTCAGGGGGCCTGGAGCAGCTGGGCCGGCTGCCATGACTAGTCCGACCACTTCTTCTGGGCCCAGTCGGCCGCCCTCGGCTCGGAATTACAGCTCGAACATGGCGTATCGGGACCGCAGGCCTGGGAGCGCGAGCACGCAGTATACGCAGCATAGCACACGATGATGAACATAACGACAGCAAACACATGAAGTCTGTGTGGTTGAGGAAGCTCTCTGTGGGTAATCGCGATGCAACGGCGAGCTCTTTCCTGGGCAAAGGTGGAAGTGTATATATGATGTGTGCGTGGTGGTCGATATATACCCAAATGTCACTTTTGATTTCTACATACATACATGCTCTCGACATGAGCCGAGAGAGAGAGATGAAAACCTACTCCGGAATAAGTGTGTATGTGTGTGTCGAAGGCTCTCAGCGACCGGCGTGTGCTCTCAACAAGAGACATGATGCTCAAAATTCCACCACGCCTAATGCCCCCGAAGATTCTAGAACCTTTGTCGTGCAAGTCGTCGCCTTGCGTTGCGCTGTGTCTGTCCGGCGGAGAGATTTCCCTTAATCGATCGAACGAAGCCTTTTGAAAACTTTCCCACGCAACATGAGGCGGGGGTGACTACTACTACATGTACTATCTACTTACTCTCCCCGCGACGACTTTGAATGGAATGGAATGGAATGGAATGCGCACAGATTTCCGAGAGAGTCAGAATAAGGGTAAAATTTTGAAAGGTTGCTTTGTCGATGTTTTTTAGATGGGTTAGATGAGGAAAGCGAGGAAGGCGAGGAAGGCGAGGAAGTGAGGAGAGAAGAAGAAGCAGTGTGCACAATTGGTAGGTACGGTAATGCTTGGTCTAGTCTAGTAGTTAGATAGATAGATAGATATACGGGCTATACGGGCATGCGTGGAAGGTGCGTGCATTGAATGAAGGTGGGTGGGTGGGTGGGTGCTGCGTGGGAAGTTCGTTGATTGATTGATTGATTGATTGATTGATTGATGGATTGAACTACTACATTAGGGGGGATTTTTAAGATAATAATAATAATGATAATAGATAGATATCTAGCTCAACCCGAGGAATTCTGAGATATCTAGATGAGCCTTGAGATTGCTAGGTAGGTTGGTTGATACCTTATTTAACCTTCTGGAGGCTCCGTTGCTCTCAGCAAGAGATTTGCCTTGTGAGGTGGAGGATCAGGTGGAAAGAAAGCGGGAGCGACGGGGTAGATCACGAGGGAGGAAGGAGGGAAGATAGGCAGGCAGGCAGGCAGGCACAGAATCCCTCTCGTTCAACAGACAGACAGACAGAACTCGATGCATTCAATCTGCCCAGAAAAAAAATCATAAATACACACTACAGTTTAAACCCCCCCCCCCTTCCACTCTCTCTCCTCCCCCTCTCTCTCCCTCCCTCCTCTCTCTCTCTCTCTCTCTCTCTCTCTCCCTCTCGCAACCCAAACCCGTCCATCCACTTTCCTTCCTCCTCTCTTTGACAACACTCCAATCACACCGCCTGGGTACAAGTATTGGCATTCGTATCGCACGTCACCGTCATACCGACGGAAAGCGAGGCCGTGTCGAGACTGTACGTGTAACCGACGAGAGAGCCGGAGGAGTTGACTATGACAACAAATCGAAGAAATCAGTCAGTGATCGTCAGTTGAAAAAACAAGTAGAATGGGTTGGAGAAAGAGGGGGATGGGGGGGGGGAAAGATATGAGAGGATGAAATAGGGTGGTAGTCAACTCACATCCCTGAATGCCCACCAAGCCTGGATTCCCATCATACCCATTGCCGACATTATAGTACGTGTACGAAACCACCCCGGGAAGAGAATAATTATAGCGCGCCGTATAATGGTACGCATGACTCGGATCGCCACCGGTGATGGTATACCACTCAAAGCCAACCCCGGCGTCGTCGAGCTGGTAGTAAATCCCCTGGCGGGGGGAGGCGTAGTCGCCCTGCACGAGCTGGTCGGTCCAGATGGGCGCGGCGGCGGGGATGGCGAGGTTGGCGTCGGGCATGGCGTCCGGGGCGTACTGGGAGGAGCCGGCGCCGAAGCCGAGCAGGCCGTTGATGCCCGGGTAGGTCTTGGTGAAGGTCTGAGTGTACCAGTGCACCGGTTGCGGGGTGTCGACTTCGCAGAAGGAATCGTCTTGGTCGAGGGAGGTGTCCACGTCGCCGAAGCTGCAGAAGGTCGGGCAGGGGAGGGCGAGGTAGGTGCTTGCGCCGGCGGCGCAGCCTCCGGAGGAGGTCGAAGTGGAGGGGACGGTCGAGGATGGGGCTTGGGTTGTGGCCGCGGCTGGTGCGATGTTGTAGGCTGGTGGTCCGGACGGGATCATCGTGGAGCTGCTGGCCGACGGACCACCGTACATTGGTGGCACAGCGGCGCTGCTGCTGCTGGAAGACATCATCATCGCCACACTGGACGCCACACTGGACGAGCTTGGTACCATAGGTGCACTCGAGCTTGGGTATGCAGGAGGGCTGCCTGGGGCAACGGAGATGCCACCCACGGAGCTGGACATTGCCGCCGAGCTAGACATTGCCATACCGCTCGAGCTCGAGGCAGCCAGAGGAGCCCTGTACCGCTGGGCGGCGTTGGTATTGGCATTGCTAGAAGCAACAAAATCGCCCGGGTTCGGCTTAATATAGCAGTTGCCGTTCCCATTGCCGCCATCAAAGACGACAGCATTACACGCAGTACCGAGCGCGTCACAGGATTCCATGCAAGCTTCGAAGCTGGCCACGTTCGTGACGGGGCCGTTCTGCGAATCGCCGTTGTACTCGCTGCCGCACGCGATCGTGTACACACCCCCTGTCCAGTCCACATAGGTCTGTCCGTTGGAGCTGGGACAGATGGAGGGAGTTCCTGTGTGGCCTGCAGCAGTGCTGGTTCGCGACGATGCAGTGGTCGTTGGAGACCACGAGGCTCGAGCGCTGCTGCTGGCCATACCGGGCATTGAAGACGCTGCAGAGGGATATGCAGGCGGCGGTGGAGAAGCATAGGCTGGTGCGGAAGGAGAAGAGTATGCAGGCGGAGCCGGCGAGGAATGCGCGGGGGTGGGTGCGGAGGACTCCACGGAGAGAATCGAGGACGCAACAGATGCCAAGCTGGAGTAGGCGGGTGGCACGGACGAATACATCGATGGTGCTGCTGATGACCCTGCCGGCATGCTCGACTCCATCATTGAGGAGGCGCCATACGATGGGGCACCAGGCGCCACAGAAGACCAGACGCTAGCATCAGAACTCCACGTGAGTGGGTTGACTGGACCGATCGGCTGACCCGGAGTACTGTAGGCCGGCAAGGACACCGCGACGCTCGAAGTCCAAGTGTGGGTGAGCGAGAAGGTGACGCTGACAGAGCCGGACATAGACACAGACATGCTCTTACTGTAGACGGGCGAAGGGCTCCAGCTCGGGGCCTGGCTCGACACAGGAGGTACGACAACTTGGCTTGAGCTTGGAGCGCCAGAACTCCATGCTGGGTATGAGCTGACTGGGATGACGGGGATGGATGTCAGAGCACTGGATGAGGGAGCTGGCCGGGAGCTAGAGACCATGGCAACGCTTGAGGTAGCCATCATGGTCGAGTACACCAAAGTTCCGCTATTGGTACCAGGCACCGGGACCATTGCAGAGGAGGGTGTGGTTTCATCGCAATCTCCGTATTCTGGCTGGCATCCTTGGCCGCAGTAGGTCGGATCGCTGCCGCAGAATCCATAGCCGCTGCAGCAGTTTCCGGCGGGAGCACCATAGCAGTTGAAGCCATTGACTCCACAAGTACCCTGTGGGGAGACATTGGCAGTGGTGGTGGATGGAACCACTACCGGCGCAGTGCCGGCTCCAGTACCAGCGCTGCTTGATGAGCTCGCGGGAGCAGATGAGATGCCGGGAGCGGAAGAGTAGCCAGGCGGTGGAACAGAAGACGAAGCGGGAGGGGCTGAATAGCCCGCTGGACCAGATTGGGTGACGGGTGTAGTGTAAGGAATGGTCATACTTCCCATCGAAATGACAGTCGAGACAACCATAGATCCGGCAGGCGTGGTGGCCGCAGGCTCGATGGCCAGGCCAGCAGGGGACGTAGCAGCCAAGACTACAGGAGTCCAGCTTGCATCTTGTGGCCCACGGAACCGGACAACGATCTGTGAGCCGCCATTGCCTGCAGGCACCGAGAAGAATTGTGCAGCACCGTCATCGAACGCAGTGTTGATCCATTGGATAGTCGAGTTTTCGGAAGAGAAGCGAGAGTCGATGGATCCGAGGGTGGAAGATACTGCGAATGGCATGCTGTCGACATTTCCGTCGGTCGAGACCCAGCCGCCTCCGACTTCCAGCAGAGTGCCGTTGACGATACGGTACTCAGCAGCTTCACTCGCATTCGTCGAGGTGTATCCGCCATATGTCAAGTATCGGACAGTGCCCGCTTGTCCACTCTGGCCATAGGTCGGGGGCTGGACGGAGATCACGAAGGGTGTGCCCGCGTTCAACGCCGAGTCGGACAGAGCTGAGACGGATGGCGATGGGAGCGGAGTGACGGTGACGGTGGACAGGCCGACGGTTGCTGTACTGGCGCCGCCACTCGCTCCCACGGTGGTGTAGAGTGCCGCGCAAGTCGGTTTGTAGGCCGTGATAGTGACGAGCTCCGAGAAGACACCAAGAGGCAGTGCTGCGAGGGCAAGCCCGAACGCGGCGCCCTTGAGACGCATCCTGGGCGTGAGGCGCTGGATGCTGTCGAGAAGGCTGTCGAGGTGAGTGTGATGCGAGCTCTCCGCGATCGAACGAGGTGTCTGTTGCTGGGGGCACCAAAAAAAACGAATGACAGTAGTTGGATAGAGAGTGAGGAAAGATACGAAAGCGTACAATGTCACTCGTTGCTGAAGTGCATCTCCATGCCAAGCGGCATTGGAATGAAAACAAATACTTGCCGCGGAATGTGGTATCCTATTATCTATAATCGGAATACACTCGCACTTATTGAAGGTGAGGAGTAGACGCCGGGCATCTTAATTCATGTCCGAGTAGAAGGGGATCGCGTGGTTGATGAAGTTTTCAATGCTACCACCACCAGAGATATCTGAGACGGAGAGACGCGAGAGTGCAGTTCGAAGAGGCCAAGTCCCGGAGAACGCAGTGGCCCAAGGGAGGAGTGCCATGTTTTTTTCGAGATCCAGACCCAATTGCCATGCGAGCATCAAATTGTTTGATGGAATCGATGGATTTGATGATTTAAAAGTTGTTGATGGTGATGATGAAGAATCCGATCAAGTCGTCCAGCCGTGAGCGAATCCTTGCCCTTCGTCCTGCGGCCCGTGCTCACCTCACCCATAGCAGCAGTTACACATACCGTAGAATGAATTCCACATGGCATCGACGACCTCGGAATTCGACGATTGATACCGACGCATCAAAGCCGCATCACATACTCTTCCTCCTCTCACTCCCCCGGCATACCCTCCCTCAAATTCCCATACCTACTCAGCGGAAACTCCAAAACATTCTCCCTCCATTCCACCCCCTCCCCACAACCCTCAAACTCCCCCTTCACCGTAGAGATCAAACTCTCGCTTCCCTTCTTATCCCCACTCGTCTCCCACCACATGGCGCCTCCCAGCCCCAGCGAAGCGATATAAGCCGCCTTCTGCCTCGCGACCCGCGGCGTGTCGTACGAGACCATATACCGCGTGAGGTCATCGTACGCCCACGACGCGACGATGCCCTCGTCGTCGTGATACGTGCGGAAAGCCCGCGAGCCGTTGATATGGGGCAGGGCTTTGTAGTCCCACACGCCGGGCTCCCAGGAGCCGTCGGTCGCGTTGGTGAAATTCCCGCCGGGCCCGGCCGTCTGCGCGAAGGAGCGGCCGTACAATGGCATGCCCAACACCAGGCGGCGACTCGGAAAGCCGTCGTTCAGATAATACTCCACGGCCGTGTGCGTGTCGTAATTCGTACTCGCGGGATTCCAGGCGCTGTGGAACAGATTCTGCGCGTGCCCGCTGCGGTTCGTATCCGCGAACCCGCTGCCCATGTAATCATACGCCATCAGATTCACGAAGTCCACGTAGGGTGCCAGACCGGGCATGTCGAAGTAGCGGAAATGCTGCGGGCCCGCGGGCACGGCGAGGGTGAGCAGGAAGTGCGGCGCCCCGGGCACGTGGCGGGCGGCATAGGCGTCGAGTTCCCGCCGGAGGAGACGACAGGTGTCTACCAAAGCGGCCGCTTCGAGCGTGGAATTGGGATACTCCCAGTCGATGTCGAGCCCATCGAAGCCCAGATCTTGCAGCAACTGAACGGCTGTCCGGGCGAAGCGGAGGCGGTTGGTGGGGGAGTGGGTGAGGGCCGGGGCGAAGGCGGCGCGGAGGGTCCAGCCGCCGATGGAGAGGAGGGTTTTCAGGTTGCGATTTTTCTTCTTGTGCAGGTAGAGTTGTTTCAGGTTCCCGAAGAGGTTGGTGGTGTTATGATCGATGGGGAGATCGCCGGGCCAGGTCTTCTGCACGTCTGCGAATTCGTCCGTGAGGTGGCATTCGCCTGTTTCGTTGTTGATGCCCGCGAAGGCGTAGGGCACGTGTGTGAGCTGCGAGGCTGGGATTTGCTGTGGGGGGAAGTCGCGGGCGTAGATGGCCCAACTGTCGCCAGAATCATCAGTATCTCTGCGGTCGCTCCTCTTGCTTCATGAGGAGATTATTATTCACCTGACATAGTAAGCAACAGCCTTGAATCCGGAACCGAACCCATCATCCGCCACCGCATCCCCTCTCTTCTGATGGAACTTGGCATGTTCATGAGGAACGTGATGAACGGCATCCACAATCGTCAACAAGCAGAGAAGTCCGAAGAGCCCTGGCCGAGAAGAACGCATCGTCGTTAGAGACAGGAGAAATAAAGCAAATAAGAAGAAGAAGAAGAAGAAAGATTGTCCCAATTCACTCTACGAGACCTGCCACACACTCTCTCGCCCTTTGCCTCACTTCCTCCCTTCAATCTCTCCCTACGAATCGTACGTCCTTCAGCCTCTGTAGGCCAGACACATCTCAAACCACACATCTCAAACCCATCCAACAAGAACGCCAAGCGATCCCGACGAGCCCAGCCCAGTCCAGTCCAGTCGAAGAACCATTCTCATCATGCATACATGAAGCGAACAGTATTCCCGATCAGAACTTCCACGACCTCTTCCCCTCCCCCTCCCCCTTCCCCCTCGCCCCAAAGTCCAGAATCAAACTTTTCGCACCCTGCAGGGGCAAGGATTGCCAGGTTTCCCCACACACACACACACACACACACACACACACACACACACACACACACACACACACACACAGAACACAGGGTCCATTCCAAGAATCATCCATCCCATGCTCCAAGGGAAAAGTCCGGTTTGGCACCTTGTTTGGTATCATACCATGAACGAACGAAAGGTATCTATGGCATGCATGTATGATGAATGCCAAAAGAAACAAACAAACAAACAAACAAACAAAACGAACAAAACGAACAAACAAAACGACGAGAGAGAGAGAGAGAGAGAGAGAGAAAGAGAGAGAGAGAGAGAGAGAGAGAGAAAGAGAGAGAGAGAGAGAGACGGAGAGAGAGAGCGAGTTAAGAAGTAAATTTCTAACGTAGATATTATTAACCATAATGACCATCATCTAACAGCACCACCACCACCACCATATCTACCACCACATTTCGTGTATATATTATATTTTCTCGTTCGTGGATATTCATACAGGGGTATCGATCATCGAAGAAGAAGAAGAAGAAGAAGAGCAGCAGCACCAACAGCAGCAGCAAAACCAAACCAAACCAAACCCAAACCGTGACCCGCACATTTCCCAAAAAAAAAAATTTCCCATTCCTTGCCTTTCCTTTCCCCTCAGTAATAAATATGTCAAGCGGTAAGTAAGATATCCGCTCCCAACGATGCCAAAAAAGGTCCCAAAAAAGAAAAGCCCGCGAGATTTCCATATCATCGCCCCAAATTCGCCCGAGTATGTATGTTGTTTTCCCGGCGGTCCCAGGATGATTATCGTCGTCATTGCAGTTGGTCGGAGGATCGTTACAGGAAAGGGGAGTCCTGCATGTACTAATACTACTACAAGAGAGAGAGAGAGAGAGGGTGTCTAGGCCTCTCCTCGTCGTACATTCATATACTAAATCCAAAGTAGGTGCGAAAAAAAAATAAGGTCCTCGGCCGGAGGGGGGAGCGGGAGCGTTCGAAGAAGAGAACTCTCTCAGCACGTCGCGAGGAGAGATGGTGGGTGGGGATGTTGTCTCCTGATCTGTGACGCGTACACAGGCGAAAGGGTCGGTCGGGGGGGTGGGAAGCGGTGCCGATTGCTGCTGGTGGCGGGCGAGAGGCGCCAGGATATGTGCGCTTGGAAGAGGGCAAGCGACATGGAAGGCCGTTCTGCGGGTTGGGATGTGTGATGGGATGGTGACCGGATCCCTCTGCATGGAAGGCCAGGCCCATGCAGCTCGGGAGGAGAAGCTGGGCCCGGGATGTCGCGGTCGCTCACCAGCACTTCAATTTGTGCCACCACCTCTCCTTGGGGATCTGTTCGTTGTCGTCCCATTTGGGATCGGGCGGGAGTTGCTTCTCGTTCGGCGCCGGCAGGGGGTCCAATGGCCTTGTTCGAGCAGTGGAGGCGGGCAGATTAGGAGTGACACCCGTGGAGTGTGCCCTGCGTGCTTCGACCACGCGCCTGACGAGGACTGCAGCAGCACTTGTTAGCCCCCCCCGAGTGGTGTAGCAATGATGGATGGAGATGTGGACGTACGAGCAAAAGTCTCCTCGATGTTGACCAGCTCTCGCGCACTGGTCTCCATGAAGCCGTACCCTCGACTTCGCGCCCAGTCCAGCCCTTCTCTTGCGCCGACCTGGCGAATGCCCTGCAGGTCGCATTTGTTCCCCGCGACGATGCAGACGGGCAGGACGCTTCCGCGCTCTAATCGGTTGTCCTTCTCCATCTCGATCAATTGATTGAAGTATTCCAGGGCTCGGAGGGAGGACTGCTGTGTGATGTCGTAGACCAGGAGGAAGGCATCGGAGTTGAGATTCGAGGAGGACCACAGGCCGCGGTACTCTTCTTGGCCGGCGGTGTCGGTGAGGTTGAGGGAGTATGTGGTGCCGTCGATGGTGCGGGTGACGGAATAGGAGTCTTCGATGGTTGGATCGTACCTGCGTGAGCGGGTTAGAGAGGGGCTGCGCGATATGCGAGGGATACGGGGATGGGCTGCGACATACTCATGCGTCCATTGGCTGCGGACCAGACGCAGTGTGATTGAAGACTTTCCACAACCTCCGTCGCCGCAGACGGTGATTGAGATCTTGTGGGAATCGTCCATGCCCAGGAGGGATGGATGTTGGATGGCGACGAGTGTGTATGGGGTGGAGGGCTTGCGAGCGGGCGAGAGTGAAGAGATTATAAGCGGTGGTGCGGTGGAAGAATGGAGAAGTGTAGGACAGGTTGCGGCGGATGCGAGCTGCAGCTGCAGGTGGAGAGCGGAGCGATCGATGGTGAGGAAGAGGAAGAGGAGGAGGAGGAGGAGGATGAGGCGCGCAGAGGTTCTCGCAGCACCGGCGTCGTGGGCAGGACGTTGTTTGTATCCTCTGCCGCACACCGCGGGCAAACCGACGGATTATGATTTCCCGGTGCACAGTCGAAACGTCGGGTCGAATGCTAATAACGGTTGCACGTGGAAGTCGGGGCCCCAGTCGAGGCGGAGGACTAGAAAAGAAAATAAAGGTGTTGATGATGTGCATATCAGATTCGGGGCGGGAGGGCATGTTTTACGTTTCGGGGGACCCTTTATTCCTTGAAAATTTCGACGCGATGATGCCCAAGCCGCAGCGGGAAGGATCAGAAGCAGAAGGGCAGAAGCAGTAGGACGGGAAGTACTGGCAGAAATGAAATACGAAGGCAGCTCGAGCTCTAGCAAGCAGTACGGAGGCGGAAGGAGGAAGGCGAGAGGAAGGGAGTCCGAGTACGATGGCTTTAAGCTGGTCTGCTTGGACGATGCAATTGCGGGCATGTTGCCTCGGCAGCTGCATCTTAATCAATGATTCTGTCCCAATGCCCCTTTGCGCGGGATGGGATGACATGACAACCGGGACAACCTTCTTCCACCACCACACCACCATCAATCTCCGTGTAGCGGGAGACAACCCTCCCCTCCCCTCCCCGCTACCTAACCAGCTGGTATGCCGATCCACCACCCGCGTCGACGGGAAGACCCATCTTTACCCACGCCTCTTGCTTATCAGATCTACACTCTTCTTCACGAGATGAAATCTTCGTACTCAAGTCTTCTCTGCGTTTCATTCATATGTACACACCTATCCCCATCCCCACCCTCGCATCCACTTCCCTTCCATTCCCCACGCCAGCCTTCTTCCCCACCCACGCAGAAAGGCTCCCTCCCTCCTCCTCCTCCTCCTGAACATCATGTTCGTCGTCACATTCGTCTCGGAAAACACAAACAAAATCCACCAACAAGAACAGCTCAATGCCTCCCATAGCGCACAACACAGGGTATCGTTTCGTCTCTCTCTCTCTCTCTCTCTCTCGCCTCTTTCCCAGCAGAGAGCAATCCTTCCAATCTTCCAATATCCAACATCCAACCTCCCAACATCCCAACAAGCAAGAAAGGAAACAAAACATAAATCCAGATACATGTTGCCATCGTGGCCACTCGTCTTTCCTCCTCTCCCGCCTTTCGATCCCTTCCCTCCATCGCGGCCCATCTCGCATGCTGCTCCCGAGACGACTCGAAAATCCCTTCGCCGCCCAAGCAGCTCGTACTCGCTGCCAACAAACGTCTTCGTGGCCCCCAGAATGTGCGGTAATCCCGTACCCGTCCAGTGTTGTTACAAAGCAGTCCATAGCCATCACCTTCCTCGCACCGAGGTCCCTCAATCCGGCTCGATGCCCTCGTCAATCTTGTCGGGAACTCCCGAAGCCCCCTCCATCGTCGCCGAATGTCCCTCCATCGGCTGCATCGCTTTCTGTACCGGCGTAGACCGGCTCGAATCGCCCATATTCCCGCTTCCACTCGGGTCGTTCGGAGATTCCGTCTTGACCGCACTGGGAGGAATCGAGTTTCTCGGGCTCGCGCTGGCCTTGGAAGCCCGGTCCGACGCGGCACCGCCCGAGTGTTGAGACGATGTTCGCGGCGAGACGCGCCCGTTCTGTAGCAAAATTCATGTCAGTAATCAGGCAAGACAACAAGAGACGCAGAAGCAATGCGCGACGGCTCACCAATTTGGCCCAGCGAAGACCACAGCTGTTGCAAAGATCCCTTTGCCCGCTGGGTCCCCGTCGCCATTCGGGCGTCACGCGCGTGTGGCAGTTCGCGCAGTCTTTCTGCTGATTCCCAGCCCCCTTCCTTCGCTTGCGCTTCTTCTTCGCCGCGATCAGAGATTGCACCTCCTCCGCCAGTAACCGGTTGCGTTTCTCCAGTTGTCGAATCTCGTACTGCCAGGAGCTCGACTTGGTCGTCTTGAGTTCGTCGAAGAGATTGTCGTCCGATGCCAGCGAATGGTCTTGACGCCCAATCGGTAGTCCTTGTTGACCGGCGTACGTCGCCGCCGACCCATCCGTCCCCATGTAGCGGGCACTGTTGCCGCCAGAATTCGGTGTGGCACCCGCATTGTCCTCGTGCACAATGGCTTGATTATTTCCAGCTACACCAGACTGATTAGATTCCGAGGAATTGCGATCTCCTTTGGAATATATCGGAGGCCGATTCGCGTGGTTTCCTCTCGAGAATTTGATGAGTCGCGTCTGCGCAACGATGAATGTCGGTTTCTGTCCTTCGACGGCATCACCGGGGTAGAGCGTGGTAAAGGCAGACAGCACCTGTCCTCTCCTATTGATCATTTCGTGCTTGACCGAAGCCTTCTTTCCCGTGCGAGCCAGCTCCAAAATGCGAGCGAACTCCTGCTTCGAGTCGGTGCGCATCAGAGACTGAATGCTCACGCCAATAAGCTCGTCTGGCTGCCGGTCAAGCAGTTGTCGAACATTCGACGAGACGAAGAGGAACATTCCCGAGGTCGACAACTTCGTCCAGAGCTCGTTCTCGCCGATGCCGCCCGCTTTGGTGATGTCGTTCTTGCTGAGCGTATACACCGGTCGCTCGCGACCAACCATGATGATCGATTTTCGTCCTTTGCCTTGCTCCGTGTGGAGCGAGCCATGCCCTTCAAACCACATGTACCCACTGTTCTTTCGCCGTATGCGGAAGACGACGTTGACTGCAGCCCCAGTAGATGTATCCTTGAGTTCTCTTGTGACCGGCACAATGTCACTTGGATGACATACGGAACTGAGGGCGGTTCCGACAATCTCACTTGGCTCATACTCCAGGATCCGCAGAGCCGACGGCGATACCCACTGGAACAGCCCTTTGAGCGACAAGACATGCACGACATCGTCAGTGTTCTCCAGGAGGACTTTATCCCACATGCGCTTTGCGTATTCCGACTCGCCGCTCCCTATCGTGCTGAGAATGGCTGAAACGTCGTCGCGCGGCACCGTCTGGCCAAGATCACTCTTTTGTGAGGTATCGGGAGCGTTCATGACATAGCGCGGCATGGTCATGCCGCGCTGATAGTTGATCGAAAACGAACCATCTGTGCAAGGGGTCAGCTCCGTATCCAAGCAGGAAGTGATCAGGCCTGCTCAGCCGATCGGTGTGCATCGGCGTGAATCGGCGAGCCCATCGGACGATGATACATACCGGGGTTTTTGTTGGTGACCGCATTCGGTTGCTCCACCAAATCGACCTGAAATCCGACGAAGAACTTAACCTGATCCGTGTCCCAAGAAATGGGGATCATGGTGAGCAGGTTCATGAATGGCTGGCCACCGCGTCGGTAGTTAATAAGCGATATCTGCGCTTCCCGGCGCAGGTTGATCATGTTCTTCAGGTATAAGACGGAGTCGTCGTCCACATACTTCCGCTTTATTCCTGGAGCCACATTCCCGTCGGGCGATTGCAAGAAACGACAATTGCGCCCCAAGATCATGTGTTTTGTGTATCCGGTCAGACGCTCAAAGTTATCAGAGCAGTACACAATCGGAAAGTCATCCTTTTCTGCATCGCATACGACAAACGCGCACGACAAGTCAACAGAGCCGATGTTTATCTCAGGGTTTGGGCGAGTCGCGACCCGCATCTGTCAACGGTCAATTCGGGTTGTACAATGATGTCAACCCACGCAAACTCACCAAAACGCCGAGCATGTCAAACCCTGTGGAAGAGTACGCGTTCTTGTACACTGAATTCATATGCGGCTTGTTGACCATTGTAGAAGGCCAGCCTCCTTCGGGATGCTCCCACGGAAACCCTTGGTTGTTGGGATTGAACTCGGAAGGCTTGGTTGGCAGGGGACCGCCGACAGGCTGGTAGCCTTGGTCGCTCGTCGGGGCGTTAATGGGACGATCTTGGCTCGAACCTGGCACCGGATTCTGAGGCTGCCTCTGGAATCCGACCGAAGAGCCAGAACGATTGAGATGTGGAGTGAAGCCCTGCGATCGTTGCTGCCGAGGACCTCCACTAGGCGGCGCGCTCAACGGCGACGCGGTGTGTGCTGGGCTGGCATCGGGCACATGCAAGCTTCGAGGTCGTGATAGCTGTCGACTCAGAGCAGCATTTGGAGTACTGTTCTGAGATCCATACTGGTGCTGCATGCCGTTCCCACCGGCGTCATGTGACGACATCCTTCCCGAGCGCGGCGTACCTTGCGGTTGGACTGCTTGATGCATGGGCGAACTCATTGCGGACTGATTGAACTGCGCTTGGTTGTATAGATGCATCTGCATCGGATCAGGATCCATGGAAGCGTTGAGGTTCTGATCGACACCCATGTCCATGTTCATGGACATGTGGCTATCAACGTACGAGCTCTCCATAGCTGCCATGTCCAAGTTTGCTGCAGGATGGGCAGGTGATGTAGCATAGGCAGAGGTGGGAGCCACGGAGGACATGTACGATTGGGAGCCACCTCTGGGGAAGGAAGTGCTCAGAGATAGATCAGCCGTCGAGGGACGATGGCCGTCCTGGGAATGTCTCTGCTGACTGCCAGCCTGGCGAGGTGTCACTGCTCCGGATGCGAATGCAGTATGGTCCATGTTCGCGTTGGGGTCGTACTGGAATCCCACCGCTGGCGAGCCATTGCCGTGGTCCATCATCGACACGCGCCGCATATCTGCATCCATATGGTTTGGACTTGTCCCGTATCCCTGCGGCATGCTCTGTCTGCGTATCATTTTGGCATTCTGGCTCACGATATCGTCCAACGACTGCCCGCCCATAGCCGTGGGCACGCCCAAGTTTCCCGAAGCCATCATCATCATCATATCGTCATCCTGTTGATTCCCGGTGTGGTCCATCGCGTTGCCTGTGTAGGCGCCATTGTAAGAGTAGCCATTCATGTTGGCGACTGATATCGCTCTCGTGCCCGACAGCGGCGGTCAGCGCGACGGTGTGGTCTTCGCGCGGCGGCCGGGCCAATTGGACAGGTCGCCTGGCGATGGGATGGCAGCGCCAGCGTGACGCATAAGTGCGCGCGACCGGTCGAGGATGAGATATGGCCAGCGGCGAGTTGCCGGCCACCAGTGAGGCTCCCAAGTGCCCGGTTGTGGGTTGCTCCAGGAAGCGAGCTGCGCCCCGTTCGCAGGAGCTGGAACCGTAGGGCGCTGATCAGTCGCGGGCGGAGATGGGGTTGGCGGATCAATGTTTCGCGTGGCCGGTCGGGAGAGATTTGGGCGAGGTATGAGGGCAGCGGGAGGAGGGCGTTGAGCGGTGGAGCAGGCGACGTGGTGGTGATGGTATAGTGGGAGTTCTCCGCGAGTCGGTCACCTAGCAAGACCAGGTGTGCTGGGCTAGAGTGCTGGCAGAGTTGGGCAGAAGTGTTTCGCGGTGACGAGCTCGGCGACGGAAGAAGCGCAGCGCAGCGCAGCGCAGCGCAAAGCAGTGCAGTGCAGTGTGATGCAAGTGGGCGAGCAGCAGCGGGTTTGGTAGGAACAATACGTCTCGAAGCGAATGGTGTTCTAATAGGGCGATACTGGCGATAGGTACATGTGGGCGTGGAGTACCTTAGGTTTAGCACGGGTGGTTTGGTGGGCAGCTCGGCTGAAACGAAAGCCTCACATTCCAAGCTGGTGCCGGGGATCACGGTGGTACCTTAGTCTGCTGGTGCTGCTGGTGCTGCTGGTGCTGCTGCTGCTCGAGGATGACGGTGAGGATGGATGCTGCCCAGATGATGATGATAATGATGATGGGAAGAGAGTCGATGACTTTGGCGGCGCACGCTATTCCCGCGCCGTCCCAGTGGACGAGACGAGGCGGAAAGTGCACACTGCCTTAGGAAATGCTATTTACCGGGCGCACTTTGGCTATTTGCTAGGCGCAGTCGTAATGCACTATAATACCTAGTTAGCTCACTTCCCTATTCGTCTAGCCGATTTTTAGTATAATCGTAGGATCTTATTCTACTTATATACTCTCGTACCTACCGACCTTACTACTACTACCTATTACTACTATATCTACTATATCTCGCTACTCTTTACCTACTATATCGCTATAGCTCGTATACTACTATATACTACCTCTTAACGATATCTTAAATCGATTACGACCTTAAATTACTCTAAGAGTACTCTACTATCGATAATATTAATACTAATTTCGAAGGGATTAATAAGAATATTAATAAGGTAGATTTCGAAGTACTAGGCCTAGAAGAGCGCGCTAAGTATAAAGAAGAGCTACGTTATTATCGTAGTATTACTCGTATACGTAAAGAGGCGCGTAAAGAGATACGCGTTATATATAAAGATATAGATACTAGTAGATTTAGTACTACTAATACCGTTAATAGTAGTAAAGAAGAGGACGAGAATAGTAGTAGTTCTAATACTAAATCTAATAGCGAAGGAGGTAGTTCTAATAGATAAAGTACTACTAAAGAAGGGCTACTAAGAACTTAGTATATATAAGAAGAACTAGACGAACTAGCGACTACTAATACTCGTTAGCTTATTAACGAAGAGGTAGTAGATAATAAGGAAGTAGAGCTACTATCGGCTCTACTAACTAGTTAAACCTTTAGTTCTTATAATAAGGTATATTAGTTTACTTAGGCCTAGGCGAAAAAGGCTAGCTATATACTATAGGTAGCGGATAGTTATTATAATCGAAAGACTCGTAAGTTAATAAGCTAGCGGCTTATCTACTACTATTACGGTACTCTAAGAGCAAATAAAATAAAGATTAGTAAGCGAGATACTAGATTAGGTCGCGCTAGTTATAAGGTATCTATTACTATAGCTCGTTAGTAGTTAAGTAGTAGGTAGTAGCTTAGTAATTAGTAGATTCTACGGCCTAATAACTAGGCTTATAACTACTACGCTAAGGCGCTAAGTAAATATTAAGTCTATAACTTAATAATCTTATAATATATAAGGATTACTATTAGAAAGTACAGTCCTTAGCGGCTATACTAGATAGGGCTAGTTATATAATTTGGTTATGTAACCTATAGCTAGGAACTCTAAGTTTAGGAGGATTATATATTGCTCTAGATAATTAACTTAACTAATATATTAGTTCCTACTACCTACCTACCTTATAGATACCTTCCGCTATAGCTATACCTATACAAAACTGTTATTAGGACACCTTTTTAGGGACTTAGTAGAAAATAATCTATTATATAGATCGCCTACGACCTACTTATATATTATATAGCTCTCGCTAGATAGGTAGCTTTATTCTCTATTCTAGGGTAGTATAGAGTAGATTTCTTTATAGTATAGAGATTATCTATATATATATTCGTAGGTATAGAGAATATAACGTTACTAACGTTATACTAGAGAGCTACGCGTATTTAGAGAGCTACCTATAGAGTTTATAAGCTATATCGCTTAGTCGATTTACGTAACTCTACTCTAAGATATACGTAAGATTATATTAATTAAGGTAAAGTGTAAAAGCTAATTAAGCGAAGAACAAAACTATAGTATTCTTAATAGGTTATTAACCTATCTTTTATATAAACTCTAATAAAGGAGGCTAAGCCCTAATAAGTAAGGCTCGCTTTTAATAAGTTTTCCTTTCTATACTTTTACTATAATTTACGGCCGTACGCTATAACAATTCTGGCTAGCTACGGCCGAGAACTCTGACACTACTGACAGATTGGTTACAAGGTTGAACCTTGATGAGCTTGGACCACACCTTGAGTGCAGAGCGGGTCTTTCGAATGATCTCTTCCATGCTCCTGCCATCGACCAGGAGCGCTTGGAAAACGCACAGGAAGCAACTTGGAAGAGGCCATGCTATCATGGCGCTCATCTCCACGATATGGATTGAGGTCTAAGAGCGAAATTCGAAGGCGGGAGTCGGTTTGGAGGAGAAACCTCTCACCCCTGCCAGTCCGAGGTCCCCCAGGGACGCGAGCAAGACTCCACCTCACGACGCTGCGCTGACCGTTTGTTGTGTCTGCTGTTCTTTGTTTGTAGAGACGCGTTCAACTTGCAAGTCAGTTGATGCTGCGGATATGCGTCTGCGCGTCGACGAGAGTACCGAGAACCAGGTTCGGCGAGCGGGTCATTCCATACAGCGGAAGGCGAATCCGAATGCAGTGTTGGAGTTATCGCTTGGTTGGCTCTAATGCAGTGACTGGCGGTCCGATGGGCCTTCGCGCAAGACGCCTTGCGATGGCGTGAAAATGACTCGCCATGGCTTGCTACTGAGATCCTCGCCCATTGTTGATGCGGTCCGGGGGAGCAATGTCAATCGTGCATTGCATTGCAGAAGAGTGAGCAGGGAAGGCTTAGGGAGTGGTGGTGTGGTGGGAAAGAGAGAAAGAGAGAACCCCTCACGGCCTCGAGTCGCACGGCGTTGCGCGCGACGGACCTCCTACGGCTCCTTGCAGAAGATTCCCTGGAGGACAACGCACAAACCAAAGCGGCTTCTCAAACGAGTTGCTATCTTGTCCTCCCAGACGACCGTGATCGATTGCAAGGGAAATGCGAATAAGCGCAGACATGCATATCGGCTGGCGGCCACATGATGCGCTCATCAACGTCGGAAGGGAGGCGTAGATAGGGTGCGCGCAGCTCATTAATTTGACGGGCAACCGAAGCGAGTGCCGAAAGCAGGCAGACCAAACAGGAAGGGAGTAAATTTGGACTGCGGCATGGCAGAAGAGGAAGATGATAATGCCGGACTACCACATACGCTCATACCAGGTTGCCGACGCACCACCGACCGGGTTGTCTGGATAGGGTGGTCAGCGTACAGACGCCGATGCAGGTACCACACCGATCAGCACACAATTGGGACCTATTTTGGATCGTCGAGAGAAGGACGGGCTCTTGTTCCTGTCAAACATGAATCTGCAGCCAAATTGCGTCAGCGCGGCAAAGGACCAGCATAGTAATCTATCCCCACGGAGCAGAGGCCAGCGGCGCTGCGTTCGCTAGCGCGGTTTCGAGTGAAGGATCGCGAAGGACGATCGCCCAGCACAGGCGCAGGCGCGAGCTCTGCGCTACGAGATTGAGATATGATTCAATGATGAGCCTGACGAGCAGCGAGAGGAGGGTCGCTGGCTGGATTGCTCGCAAAACACGAGAAAAGTGATAGATCACATCTGCAGGCCAGCACGGCACCTGTGGTCATATGCCGTTGCGCGTTACCCGGTCACGACGAGTGCATCTGAGGGCATGAGCAATGATAGGAGAGCGAGGGCACTACGATCGAACGACGGCCGAGATGAGGGACGGGGCGGAGGTGGGAGCGGTAACGGTTCACATGTGCGCTCTGCTCCCAGTCTGAAGCGGAGCAGCGAGCGTTTGTGGCGTCTGCGCATGATGCAGCGTTGTGTAGCGGCCATGTGCGGTTCGCAGAAGGGTCGCGGAGCGTTGAGAGCTTGCCAGCCAGAACAAAGGCGGCGGGGCTTGCATAAAACAATCCCCTGCGTGTGACAGGTTACCAAGGTGCTCTCTGGACGCTCACAGCTGGTGTTGGCTGGATAACAAAACGGCCTGCCTGCCCTCGAAGCCGGCACCGCTGTCTACCACTTCGGCACATCCATCTGTGATCCATATCTCTGCCACTTCATCTCTTCCTCGTACGCCTCCGCTCTCCTCTGCCCATACCATACCATACCATACCGTACAGACATCCATCCATACCTACTACCATCACATACCGCAGCGCCTCCTCCCGCGAGCGAGCCCATTGTACGCTCACCCGCCAGCATCGTTACTGCCAAGGCAGCATTGGAGGTCTGTAGCCGGCGTGCGCAAGAAGCCGCTGTCGAGTTTGCCTCGTGGTTGCCTGAGATCGCCCCCCTCGCCCTCGCCCTCGCCCTCGCCCAAGGCTTCAACGGAGCGACCACCTCACGAAACCAGCCGATTGCTCTGGGCGGCAGTCGCCCGACGGGCCTCATCTCCGACGCGATTTTTCCGTGGAGACTACGATACCACCTTCCAGCGGCATCTCCGCCAAGGCCCATTGACCCTGCAGCACCGCGCGACGGGCTTGCCTTCTGCCAGAAATTCGAGGTGTGTACTGCTCTCGGCTTCCTCCCACGCTCCTTCCTCAACTTCACACCCCGAACCGAAAACGGGACGCTCAGGCCCTCGAGTCTAAACACTCATCTTTTCCTCCCACCTTCGACTTCTCCTCCTTCACTCTACACCAACACCACCCAGTTCTTACACACACTACACAACTCTTCTTCATTCGTCGTGCATTCGCCGTTGACAATTCCAGCATAGCATCCCGCTCGTCTCTCCTTTCTGCCGCTATCTGCATCCTCCCCGCCGTCGACATCTTCCGCCCTTCTCTTGGACCTTCAGACCTCACTTGTCAGTGACAATAGCAGGTGAGCTCTTGCTAGTCTGCCACAACAGCAGGCAGCAGCACCATCCAAGCCACACCAGCAGCTATTCCATCGCTTCACAATTCCCCACCTTCACCGCAACTTCAGACGCTGACTTTCCCCATTGCAGGACTCTGACCCCGTCCTTTCTCCGCCGAGCCAGTTGGAAGACATCCATCCTCACCAGACCACAGTGGTAAGAGCCTTCCATCGCCGCCGCACGGCATAGAAGCACAGCAGACGCCCATCGTTGGACTGGGTACATGTCATTGGCTTGTTTGAGCTCCGCACGCACCTGCCCCAGAGAATATTCTTTTGGACTCTTCCACCACTTCATATCCCCCGCAGACACCATGACGACTCTTGGTCACCAGAGCACCCACAACTTGCTTTTTGGCAGACCCAACCGTCGCCAGGCGCCAGCTGACCGTGGCTTCAAGCATATGGCAGCAATGGCCGACCAGAAGAACGTCAACTACAACCGCCAGAACACCGCATACAACGCCGGCAACAACATGTACGGCAACCAGCAGTACGCCGCCCGTGGCCAGCAGGCTCAAGCTTACGGCATGCACCACAATCCGACCGCTGATCCGATGTCGACCCTTGCTCATAATTTCCAAGGTATGAATATGGGCAACCAGTCCTTCGCTGCGCAGGCCAAGAACGCGATGATGTCGAATCCGGCAACCAACTACGGCGGACTCAATGTCGCTACCTCGATGCCCGGAAGCATGTACAACGCCGCCCAGTACGTGTACCCTAGCGGCTACGGTGCAGGAGCCAACACGCAGTCTCCGGGAATGTACACGCCTCACGCAGCCCAGTACATGCCGCAGCTCAACTACGCCGGCTACCAGCAGCACGACAACAGCCCGCTGTCCCAGAATTGGACTCCCACTACCACTGGCGCCACTGGTGAGGTCCCGACCCTCATCACTCCTCGCCGCGACTCAATCTCTTCCAACGAGAATGATCAGCCTACGACCCCATCGTACGCTGGCTATCCTGGCTTCACTCAGGGCGGCGTTGCCATCAATCGCTCCCCAAGCGGTGTCTTCTCACACAGCACCCCGTCGCCAACCTCCATGATGGGACCATACGGCATGCAAGTCCAAAAGCAACCCGAGCAGACCGACGTCTCCCCACGCATTAAGCTCCTCATCTCCCGCGAGCCAGCCATCCCTCGTGCTATCCCGGCCCCGTCTTCACCATTGAAGCCACTGGACCGAGCTCTGGAGAATCAGCGCGGCGAGACCAACGTCTACATTCGCGGACTCCTTCCAGAAACCACCGACGAGATGCTCGAGGCTTGGGGTCTTCGCTTCGGTGACATCAAGAGCTCGAAGTCCATCATTGACCTCAACACTGGCCTCTGCAAAGGGTGAGTCCCTTCTCATATCACTGCCCATGATCTTGCTAACATTCAATAGCTTTGGCTTCGTTAAGTACCACAACTACGAGGACGCCGAGAACTGCATTCGTGGCTTCCACTACCTCGGCTACGAGGTCAGCTTTGCCCGCGAGTCGTTCTACTCCAAGCTCAAGACGTTTTCCGACGAGGGCAACACCAACCTCTACGTCTCCAATCTTCCCAAGTCGATGAATGAGCATGAGCTTGCCCAGCTCTTCGCTCCGCACAAGGTCTGCTCCTCGCGCATCTTGCGTGACAAGAATGGTTGGTCTTGCTTTCCAACGCTCTTCTCCGATGCATTACTGATCCTTGCCAGGTCATGGCCGCGGCGTAGGCTTCGCTCGATTCGAGTCTCGTGACGCATGTGAAGAGGTCATCAAGAGCTTCAACGCCCACACCATCAAGAGCCAGGGGGAGGACCTGCAGATACAGATTCGGTTCGTTCCTCTCTTTTCTTTTCCTTTCCCCTTGTCTTCGGTGGCAGCCTGACTGACCTTCCATCAGCTACGCAGATACCCAAGAGCAGAAGGCCTTGAAGCAACAGACCCAAGCTGCCCGTCAATTCCGTTCCGCAGAGTACGAGTACGCCACTCAGGCCTGGCGCCAGGGCCGTTTGCCAACAACTTGCACTGAGTTCCAGAACCCCAACACCGAGTTCGAGAGCTACATCGGCACCACGGCGGTTCCACTCCAGGGACAGCGCTGGGCCCAGGGCATGCGCCAGCGGTCACCACTCGCCGCCCTGCCTGCTGCCTCTCAGGCTCTGAGTGCCACCTCTGGACAGGAAGACCCGGCTACGCCAGCTGCCGAGGAGGCCGGCAAGGCTGCTGCGACCTCACCCGAGGCCAAGCAGCCCGTTGACTCGCCAGTCGCGTCCAAGGCCGAGTGAGTCGACCTCGTTTCGACCCTTTGTTCTTCAAAAGCAAGATGCATGGCGGCCGCTTCATTCTCAACACAACACGAACTCTACACATCCTTCGCTATCACTCCAGCCGACTGTACAACATGACGACAGAACGAGTTACACGATGTACACGACACGATGCATTGCTACGACATGGGCCGGTGTCGACGCTGTCGGCTCCGGTCCCGCTTTCTTTCCAGCGACAACAAAAATATGCAGCATTTGTTGACGGGCTTTGAGCAGCGATATGTTCGGGTGCAGATTTAGCTCCAGAGTGACAGGCCTCGCGGCACGACATGTTGTTACTGTTTGCATTTCGATGATGGCGCGTTAATGTGGCGGGTAGCAAAAGTAGTCAGAAGTTCGTATGATATGTTTGGCCCGTCACCGCTTCTTTCCCAGATCTTTTTCCCATCGCTGTCGTCTCGTCGGCGTCGTCAGCTTACGGAGCTTGTGCGACTTGCCACGACCAAAGTCGTTCACACCTCCGAGGTGCGCACAAGCCCAATCTCGTGTACGATGGAACCGTACACATTGGCCCGGACTGGGATTGTCGCTCGTACAGAGGCACTACTTCACGATTGGTAGGGGAGAGTCGGGAATGGTGAGGAGCGCGCCGGATCTTGAAAGGATGCAGAATCTCTCTGGAGGGGCAACGAGAGATGTTGGAAAGACCGGGTTCTTGAGATTTCTCACGTAGCTGTTCCCTGCTGCCGTTTCCACAGGGCCGAGGGGAAAGTTTGGAGTTGCCGATACCTTAAGGTTACTTTGTACTGCACGGGAGTGCGAGAGGAGGAAAGAGCAGGGTATTGAGGGACGGCACGAAGAGCGGACGGGATGGACTGCTCCAAGGGCCGACGCCGGCATGTTGTTGGCTGCCGTGGTGGATAGATAGGCGACAATACATAGGAGTTGTTCCATTCGTCGTGGTACCTGACAGTGAGGAGCGTATGGAGGTGGGAGGTAAGAGGAGCTGGGATGGGCCGCTGCAAGGCACGAAGGGACCGTGTGAAGTCAGATGCGATTTGATGCGACGGTCTACGGTCAGGGTCCATCACCGCGCTTGCGACTCTCTCCCCCATTCCGGATCCTCCTCTTCCCGCCCAAGTTCACTTTCGCCGCAAGGCCAGCATCTTTCATTCTCCCAATCCTCTACTGACGATCGCCTTCTTTCGCGCCTGACCGGCGTTATTATCGCTGCGTGCATTCCCCCATCCCCTTGTGCATCGTCTAATCCCAGATATGCACGCAGCACTCGAGTTAGGATGAGTAGGTTTGACTCTGCCCTTGGCCGAGATTGCATTATGGCCCTGCCTTCCCCGACGTCCACTCACTTGCACCCTCAATACGAGATTCACGTATTATTTTCCAGCTATGGAACCCTTCGCTGACAACATCTCGCGTCTCTATAGCTGTGCCCTCGCCCCCGGACGGGAGGCCGTATAACATCTCTACCAACATCTCTCCCATTTACAGCGATCCTAACCAGAGCCCGCCGCCCGAACCCTTGCTCGTTGCGCCGCCCACCGCCCCTTTTCCCACCACGACCTCAGCCGGAGCCCCGGCGTCGCGCGATCCCAGTGTTACGAGGGGTCGAGCGCTGAGCGCGACGAGTCCTCGCAATGCCTCACCGAGAGGCACCACGCCCGGCTCTACCACCGCGCGACCGAAACAGAGCATCGACATAGAGCGCAAACCGAGCCTCTCCTACGGCCATCATCGAAACACCTCGATCGTGCATGGGGTACAGCACTCGCGCAATCCGAGCCTGCTGGCCTCCGCCAACAGCGGTCCGTTGAGTCCTGGCAAGATTCTGGCAGCCAATCTACCCGATTCTGCGGCCTTCAACGGTTCTGCTGCAAGCTTGGTGAAGAGCCCTTCGATGTCGACTTTGCATACGAATGGTGTGCCCAATCCCGCGGCCATGTCTGTGAATAGGAGTTTTGAGAATGGAGTCTCGGCGCAGAGAGGGCCGGCGAGGATGCACAGTGGAAGGGTGAAGAGGAGCCATGAACATCAGCGATCGCAGAGTAGAGCGCAAGCAGCAGGACAGGCACCGGCACAAGATTTGAAGACGGTAGGAGAATATGCGCTGCATCATCTGTTCACGTCGTTTATCGCGGAGGCAGATGAGAGAATCGAGAGGTGTATGCAGAAACCTGGCGAGCCGGACCCGCGCATCGAGAATATATGTGGACCGGGCGCGGATCCTGCGTTCGATCAATTGATCTCTTCTCTCGGACACATCAATCGCCACAAGCCGAATTCGCTGATTGATTCGGTGATTCATTGGCGCAAGAAGAAGGCGGACATCGCGAACAACCTGTACAATGAGCTGAAGGCGGCAAGAGATGCAAATGGAATCACTCAGCGCGGCATTGCGAACGGCGCATACTCTGCCCCGACTTCGCCTCCGAGTGGAAACGATATCCTGCTGATGGAGCACAATGTGGCAACGGCTGATCGGAGGTCGACCGTGTCGATTTACATTCTGTGCCGGGTCTTGATTGAGATTATTGGGCAGACGACTGTCAAGGCGTTGAATGGACCGGACAACAGCTTGAACACCGCGGGACGACTCGAGGATGTCATCTACGGACAATTACAGAGCGCCGATCCCGATTTGCTTGCGACTTCGCCTGTTATCCGCGCCAATTGGATAATTCGGGGACAATTGCTAGGAGTCATGAGCGGTCTCAGATTCGAGGAGGTGTCGGAACGATTTATTAGGGATCTGGAGGCTGCGCAGAAGAAGCTGGCCGTCAAGGGCGTGGCGGATGCTAAACTGGCCTCCAGGACAGCTCTGCTCGTCCAGAGTATGCGATGGCTCAAGGTGCGATTCCAGCCCGAAGAAGCCTGGGAGAAGTCCTGCGACATGCTCAAGCTCTTGGCAAAGTTCTTCGCGGAGGTGCATGGGAGGACCATGAAGCACGCATATGCCAATCTGTTTGAGCATCTATTGCTTCCAGTCGCTGCTTCCGCGACTACTGAGTTGAACATGCCCAAATGGAGGGAAGTCGTGGCCATCGTACAACCCAAGATCACGCAGATGCTGTCCAAGGCCGATCACTGGACATATGTGTATCCACTACAAGCGGTGTTGCTGTGTGCTTCTCCGCCTGACGCTTTCGCGACGCAGTGGTTGCAGTTGGTCGTCAACTTTCAGCCCAAGCAGAGAGACCTGGCTGGCCGATCGCATGCACTGAAGGCAACCTGTCGGTTGGTTTGGCGATATTTGTACCGGCACCAGGAGTCGCCAAATCATGTACTCAGGAAGCTGGATGAGATTGTGAAGCTCGTGTTCCAGGGAGGCAAGAGGATGATCTCCACCATGCCAGTTATTGCAGATCCGCTCATTCAACTGATTCGCATCATCGGATACAAGCACCAGGACTTCTGCTTTAGGAGCATCATCTTTCCGCTGATGAACTCGGACTTGTTCTCTGGACCGGAAAAGGATTTGAAGATTGAGAACTTAGACCCTGAGAAGACTGTTATCGCCATCCGAGCATTTCTCGCCATCATGTCAGATCTTGAGAGATCGGAACCTCCCCCGTTTCCTGTACGTTTTGAGTGCGATGCACTCCTGGATCCATCCTCACGAACGCCCATCACGCACCGCAGGACGCGCTCACAGGGCTTCGCTGTGTCTGCGGGTCGGACAGAGCGCCTTTCACGACCTGTAATTACTACGAATCTTAATGACGTCGCCAGAGACTATTATGTCAAATTTTGCAAGATCCTAGGTCAGTTGACCATCATTTGCGACAACACCTTCGGGGGACAGGCTGTCCTTGACGAGAAGCTCTCCTCGCATACGCCGAAAACGCCCATGGTCGAAGCCTTCACATTTAGCAAGAGAGACGATCTGATGAACCCAAACGACCTGCGACAAAATTATTACGACCTGCTGCATGTGGCTGTTGAGGCTCTTCCGAGGTGTTTGTCGCCACACTTACCTATCAACTCTCTGGTCAATCTATTGTGTACAGGAACGGCGCATGTACAATCGCACGTCGCTACTTCGTCTGCTCAGTCTTTGAAGTCGATTGCGCGGCAGTCGCATGCACAGCAGGTGACGATCGGTTTCGCACGCTTCATCTTCAATTTTGACGATCGATATGCCACTGTGTCGGACGGTAGCTTGCTTGGGCCTGGCCACATTGAAAACACCTTGCAGCTTTACGTCGAGCTGCTTCAAATTTGGATCGACGACATCCAGCAGCGCACGCGTAAAGTCGCGGCGGATCCCAATGACGAGGAGGAACATGGCCATCGGCCTCTGCCTCTCGATCTGTCTGGCATCCTGGCTCATGTAGACGAGGTCGAATCACACGGTCTCTTCTTCCTCTGTTCGCCCTCCCGAGCTGTTCGTGCGGTTGCAGTCAAAGTCCTACGCCTGATCACGAAGTTCGATACAGCGCTTGGCAAGCCTTGTACGCGTATCATCAGCATACTGGAAGGCAGTTCACAGCAAGTGATCGATGTCGATGACGAGCGACTCTCACTCGCTGAGCGAAGTCGACTTCAGAAGGGTTTGCGCAAGAGCAATGTCAACAGCACTCTGGTCGAGCTGTGTAGTAGTGATGCTGCTCATGATGCAAATCTTTGGTTCAAGGTATTTCCAAATCTGGTTCGCCTGAGTTCTGAGATCTGTCTGCATGCGGTCGCTTTGACGCGGGAGCTTGTCTGTCAGAGACTCTCGCACAGCTATCGTGTGATGCAGGCATTGAGCGAAGGCTCAAAGCAGACAACGACTGCACTCGAGCAGGCCTTCACGAGCAAACCGTCAACACGCCTTACGAGCACCTCGCCAGAGATTGTTGTCGAGCAATGGAAGATCCATCTCATTTTTGCCTGCACGACTTTGACCAACATAGGAGGCGCACCAACGCATCTACCAGTCTCTAGCCAGAGCTCGCAGCATACTCGCAAGAGTTCCAAGTCCTCAGCAACAAGTCAGGAAAAGATCGCTTCAGCCACGGAGCTCTTCTCAAGAGTGGTGCCGTTCCTATCCTCACCGAATGAGTTGATTCGTGCAGCTGCTGTGGCTGGACTTGGAGCAACGAACGCGACGCTTTTCCAGACACTACTCGAGACACTGCAGCCTTTCGTTGCACAGTGTACCGCAGAAGCTAAGGAACGCCTGGCAGCGCATCAACGCAGCGGCAGTACGCCACGCAGAAGTCAGAGGACGGACTACCTGCGGACAGAGATCACTCATCTACTTAGTTTGACTGTGGCCCTCCTGCAGGATGAGAAGATTGCCAGCGAGTCCTATGTGATGTCGTACATGCACGACTATGTCAAGCATTTGCGCATCTTCCTCAGCGACACCGAAATCCAGGGGGATCTCCACTTCCAGACTTTGAGAAAGCATTTCTGTGCGCTTGTGGAGGGATTGTATGACTGCATTCGCAAACTCAAAGACGGTTCGCAGTGGATGTCCTTCCAGTCAAGACAGGCGACGTTTGCGCTCATGGAGAATTGGTGCGGCTTCTCACCGAATGAAGGCCAGATTCGCAGACAGCAAGAACATGTTCGAAGATCGGTACTTGAGCGTGAGGGCGATATCCGAGCTCGCGGCGCGATTAGTTCTAAGATGGAGAAGGAGAAGATGGAATTGCAATTTGCTGCATTGGGCGCAATGGCTACTCTATGCGCCGGGCCTTTGAGATTCATTGCGGACAACCGCGTCTTGATGCAATTCGACGTCCGCAGGCTGCTGGCTTGGATTCACGCCATCTTCGAGGCTCCGAGCGACCGTACTCATACCGTTGGAAGGAAGGCCTTGCAGAACCTCATCGTCCACAACCTCGATCAACCGTACCTGATGACCAAGACAATGCGCATGTGCTATATTGCTCGCGTGCCGAAAGCACTGGGAAGCTACTTCGAGGTCGTCACGAAGGTGCTCACAGAGAACACCAAGGTGACCATACCGTTCTGGAAGATTGTTTGCGCTGGGTTATACACTCTGGGGAACGAATCCAGCGATATTCGCATGAAATCAATACGACTGTTGCGCACGCTGGAAGAGCGCTCGGGAAAGACATCGAAGCTGCAGGATTTGGACATCAGCGTTTCTGACAAGACGACCGCAGTGTACAAGCTTGCGCAGTTTGAGATTTCGAGACGCTTGGCAAGTCTGCACCCCGAGCTGGCCTTCCATGTGTTCTCTGAGTTCTCCGCATATTTCAATGATCTGCAGCCGGACCATCAGCGGAATATGGTCTCTGGCATGCTGCCCTGGATACAAGCGATTGAGCTTCAGCTAGACCCGAACGGCCTCGGGCCCACTGCGAGCTCCTACATGCTGCTTGTCAACCTCTTCGAGATTACGGTGAGGAGTAGCATTACGCTTCACAACGAGATCCAAGCCCTGTGGCAGGCACTTGCCACTGGTCCGTATGGTGGCAATGTGCAGCTTGTGCTCGACTTCATCATCCAGATTTGCCTTGACAAGAAAGAGCAGAACTTTGTCATCTTTGCAAAGCAGATTGTGGTCTTCTTGTCGAAGACGCCGGCTGGAGCGCGGGTCGTTGAGTATCTCTTGATGGAGATCCGACCAAAGACTATGGTCGCTGAGCGGCGCGAGCCGGTCCAAGCTCCGTCCGATACTGCGGGTTTGCCGTACATTGCAGACCTGTCAGACGTTCTTCCGAGTGGAGCGAAGCAGAGTGGCCTTTCTCTTGGCCAGCTGAGCATGATTTTGCTGGTGGATCTGGTGGTTTCGCCCTTCTCACTCCCACCTGACAAGGTTCCCGTACTGCTAAATGTCATTCTTGTGCAGTGGGATCAGTACGTCAGCGTCGTTCAGGACCACGCGAGAGAGATGCTGGTTCACCTTATCCACGAGCTGGTCATCTCGAAGATTGAACCTGATAGCAGTGAGCCCAACAAGAAATCGCTGGAGGATTTTATCGAGTATGTACGCCGACACGATCCGAAGATTGCTTGGAGCTACGGAGACAGCGAAGTTCGTGCTGGTGAAGAGTCCAGCAGAGCTGTCTCAGAACCCATGGCATATGTGGTGGACGAAGTCGTCCGTATCTTCTCCCTGACCTATCCAAGCATTCGCGAGGATTGGGGCAAGGTTACGATGGAATGGGCTACTTCATGCGCCGTACGGCATGTAGCTTGCAGGAGCTTCCAGATCTTTCGCTGTGTATCAACCACGCTGGACCAAAAGATGTTGGCCGATATGCTTGCGCGACTTTCGAATACCATTGCCGACGACGAGAACCATGATTACTTGGTCTTCTCACTAGAGATCTTGACAACATTACGACATATCATCGAATCACTAGACCCGCTCAATCTCCTGGCTTATCCGCAAATGTTCTGGACAACGTGCGCTTGCCTGGACACAATCTTTGAGAGCGAGTTCCGGGAGGGGCTCAGCATGCTCAACCTACTCTTGACAAAGATGGACCTCAGCGATCCTGCTGTGTTGAAGATTGTGAGAGAGAGCCAGCCGGCGAAGTGGGAAGGTGGCTTCAATGGCGTGCATGCGCTGATTTACAAAGGCATGCGGTCAGACCAGTCCATGGACCGCTCACTGATGATCATGGAACGACTGATCAAGCTTCCGTCAAGCCATATTGTTGGGAGTGATGAGCGGTTGCTTTTCACGGTCTTGGCCAACCTGCCACGATATCTGCACTACTTCGATGACGACGGTGATCCGGAATGCTTGGAGTCAGCCGAGATTTTGGCCTATGCTGCCGAGAGCCAGAATCACGTCAATCTTGCGCGTGTGCTTCAAGGTCTTGCGCAGGGCAAATACCGGACTGATAAGGACTTCGTTGGTGGGTGCATCATGGCAATTCGGACAACCTTCTTCCCAGCGCAGGAATTTAACAGCCTGGTGTTTCTGCTTGGTATGGTGAACAACGCCGCTCCGTGGTTCAAGGTGAAAACGATGCAGATACTCTGTGTCATGATTCCAGACATTGACATGCGCAAGCCCGAGATTGCATGCCAAGGACCTGATCTCATCTCGCCTTTGCTACGTTTGCTACAGACGGAGCACTGCCAGCAAGCTCTGGATGTCTTGGATAATGTTATTGACATGACAGGAACACCGCTCGACAACAAGCATCTGCGCATGAGTATGGCCGGATCGCATTCTAGCCGCGCGACAAGGAAGGAATACGACACCACAAAGAGCTTGTATGGTATCCCAGAGGAGTCTGGCTGGTCTATACCGATGCCTGCCATTCATTCAGCACACACGAGGACAAATGTACATGCCGTATTCTTGTCCACAGTCGGGGGCATTGGCGGCATACAAGATGCTGGTACAGCCACAACGCCGGAGATCGAGTTCCACAGGGACGAATTCCAGTACGATACATACTTCACGGACCGCACTGCGACCATGACATCGGATGACACGAGAGTCGCAGACTCCAACATGGGCGAGCTTGCTGAGAAGCTTGACACTTTCGACGACTTCTTCGAGGACCCTGCGGAGACTCCATCACTGCACTCAAACGGCATCATGCGATATTCCGAACACGAGCGGGAGAATCTGTATGATCAGCAAGCCCTTCCAATCTTGCATCGCTCCCTCAAGCGCAACGCAAGCATCACATCCTTCCAGAATGGCTTCGCCGAGCTACGCTACCAACCTCCTCGCGAGCAGCCAATGAATCCTGGTGCCTTTGCCCAATCCGCCGTCCTCACACTTCGCCCAGGCTTGCACAATCGCTCCATCACATCGCCCACCTACTCCACCAAGAGCCCATCGCATCTGCAACACGATTTCACTTCCGGCGATGAGACGGGCGATGAACCGGAACCTTTCTCCGACGGCGATGACCTCGACGTACCCATTAGTCGCGCTCATACCACCGAGGAGACATCCGCACCTTCCCAGTATACTACCCTCAGACCTAGTGGAGGGTTCAAAGCGCTCAAGTCAGGGATCCGGAGGTTGACGAGTAGTAGTGGTAGTAGGGAGGCGAGGGACCACTTGAGGGCGCAAGCTGCTTCTGGTAAGGGTCCGAAGGTTCCTAAGATGCCTGCCATGCCGGCGAACTATCGGATTGATGCTGCGCCCTTTAGCGCGGAGCCTTGATGTTGGAGGAGTAAAGGACTGTTTTGTAGGGAGAATGAGGGGGACATGTATAAAATGATGGCTTGGCTTTTGGATTTTGTTGTATGATTAGTATCGATACCCATATTCAGATCAGACGAGGCGGAATTGCTAAGATTAACCATGTCTAGAGAGGCACGAGTCCTGTTGCGATACTACGCGAGTGATGTCCTCTCTCTCCATGTTTGCTTTACTTTGCTGTTTCGGGCCAAGGTGGTCGAGATCCTGCACGTTGCATTCCACACCATAACGCGTCGCATATCAGACAAGTCCTTGCGCGAAAACCAAGCAATCACTCTATAAGAAAAGACACTACCTCCCTCTTGGCTCCTTAAGCTTTCCATTGGGAAAATCGATCGGAGTCCTGTACGATGATGTCACACTTCTACAACACCAAATCCTTAGGAAAAGAAAGGACTCCGTCACCCGTGAGGGAGAATCCCCGGACTCAGCCGATCAGTCCCACTAGGGAACGCCATGGGAATTGGCCTGCTCTGCATTGGGGACCCGGGCAGGAAGAAGCGATGACTTACGGAAGTCATAGCAAGAGGAAGAGGGACTGGAGGCGCTGGAGCCGCGCGCATGAACGCATCGTTCTGGCTGGGGCATTGGTGCTGATGGGTGGATGGTGGGTTTGGAAAGCCGGGAGACTAGGCCGAGGGTTGGAATTGGAGGGATATCTGGATTGGAACGGGGACGACGACGGAGGAGGAGGAGGGAGAAGTCCAGAGGGTCGTCGTGGTGGTGGACAAGTGAACTGGTCCTCCTTCGCGTACGCAACCTACGCCACCGATTTGCAATACCTCTGCTCCGCCCTCATGCTCTTGGCCTCCCTGTCCGCCCTCGGAACCAGGGCTTCCCTCTTGCTTCTCTATCCCACCCACTTCGACGCCGACCCGCAAGCGGTCAGATTCCTCCTGCAGGCGGAAACTTCCTACGGCGTTCACTTGCAGCCCGTCGAAGCACCGAGCGTCCAGACGAAACCTTCTTCTTCCTCTTCCACGACGTGGTCCGCCTCCTTCACAAAACTCCTCGCCGTCAACCAGACCGCCTACCGACGCATCCTGCTCTTCGACTCCGACGCCACAATCCTGCAGACGATGGATGAACTGTTCCTGCTCCCGGAGACTCCAGTAGCAATGCCGCGAGCGTATTGGAATCAAATGCCCGAACAGCAGAAGGTCCCGCAGCTCACCTCCGCCCTCACCCTCTTGCAACCTTCCACCGCCGCTTTCCATCGCATCCTCGCCGCCATCGCGGAGCGCAGAGAGACGGACTACGATATGGAGATTTTGAATTCCCTCTACGGCTCCTCCGCTCTCGTCCTGCCCCATCGTCCCTATACCCTCCTCACTGGGGAATTTCGACTGGAAGACCATAGCGCGTACATGGGCGAGGGAAACACGTGGGATCCGAAAGAGGTTTTGGGAGAGGCGAAGTATGTGCATTTCAGTGATTTTCCGTTACCGAAACCTTGGATCTCCATGGCCATGGTGGATGCTGGGGTTTTGGAGGCTATTAGGCCCAAGGGGAAGCGGGAGAGGGAGGTTTGGGAGTGGATTTATAGGGATTTCAGGGGGAGGAGGAAGGTGAGTGATGGTCCTGCTTTTTGAGTGAGCGAATGGATGACTGATATTTTGATTGTAGGAGGTATGTGGGGGTGACTTTGCGTTTCATACTTTTGAGAAGAGTGAGGCGATGGTGCAGGTTGCCTCGCCGAGTGTTCAAGATGGAAGTACGCGGGTCTCGGACGCTGTTCAGGTGATGGTGAACACGGTTGTGGCGTAACGAAGTTTGTTGATGATTCCCAATGAGGCTGGACAAGGGGTTGTAATGCGGACATGATCTCTTAGCCTTTCTTGAAGAACGACATGATGTTGCCTTGGCCGGGCTTTCCACCTTTCTTGCCACCAGGGGCGGGCTTGTTGCTGATGGGAGCCTGAACCTTCGGTTTCTTGGGCGCGGGCTCATCTTCTGAGAAGGATTCCCAGGCTGGCTCTTCTCTCGTGACTGCATGTTGTTAGTGATACGCGACATGCAATAGGTGGAGCTGACTTACCGATATAGCCATCCTCATCCTTGACAGTCTTCTTCTTCATGACTCGTCTCCTACCTCGCCGCCGTCCGTTCTCGACCGTAACATGCTCTTTGCGCTCTTGCTTCTCTTGCGGCTCTACTTTGTCGATGGCGCCTTCCTCGTGCTTGACCTCTTCCTCCGCTTCTAGCTCCTCCTCTGCTGGCGCGGCAGCATCCTCCATGGGCTCGTCCTCCTGCTCCATCATAGCCTTGAGTTCCGCCTCACGATCACTCTTCGATTTACCAGACGGAGCTTTCACGTCTGCCAGCTCCTCTGGAAGCCCGCCGTCTTCACCATCATCGTCTTCATCGTCTGAGAATCCCGTCATCGGAACGTCCTCTGCGTGCGCACCAGGTTTTGACGGCTTTTCAGGCTCTGCTTTCTTCGGCTTTGCTGCGCCTTTGGCGAACGCTTTGAAGAGCCCTGACTCTGATTTCTTAGCAGCAGTGGGCTTGTTCGTTGCGCTCTTGACAGGCTCAGGAGTCGTATCCTTGGGAGAAGTCTTCGACGCAGATAAGACCTCTGCTGCGCTGGATTTGGCCGCGGCGGCCGCAGTTATTCTAGCCTTCACCGCATCTGGTTTTGTCGCTGATGTCGTCGGTTGTGGAGGTGGTCTCTTTCCAGTTCTCCTCCTCACATTGGGGTTCTGTATTGTGCCATACTGCTTCCATTCTTTCAGTGGGTCCTCGGAGGCATAGTCGGCTGCCACTCTACGATTGCAGTCTGTCAAGACATGCACATCTCCCAAAGCTTTTGCTTGCAGACTGTATATATGCATGCCCGTGATGGTTTCGAACAGCTCTCTGGCTTGCTCCATGTGCTCTTCTTTCACCAGCATGATCGACTTGACCGGCACAGCTTGCTCGGGCTCTTCTTCGGGCTTGGGCATGGAGCTGCTGGGTAGAGGTGGACTGCTCTGCATGACGGCATCTTCATCATCGTCTTGACTCTGCACGCCATTGGCCTGCTGGACTGCGCGTTTCGTTCCGGTGATAATGTAGGTTGCGTGGACGCTGCCGGGCTTTTTGCTGTTCTGTTTGTGATGGAAGTCATACAGCATCCTACGTATATATCAGCGCTATCCCAATACACACGCTCGGAGTATTCGTACTGCTTGGCAAGATTGCAATGGACCTTCAAGGCTCTGCTGAGGTTTCGATAGCTGACCTGGTTCGTGTCAGTACTGATTTGCATGGCGTTGCATACATACAAGACATTGCATACATATTGCTGTTCGTTGAGCACGTTGACGGCCAGGTACTCGCTGTAGTCCTGTGCCATGTCGGCCTATTTAGGGGGAGGTGTATATGTACTTGTCGTCCTGGGCTGATGTCTAGAGACAAGACGCGCAGAGACGCGTAGAGTGGCAGGTGCGATTCGTTTGCCGGGGATGGGCCGGAATCCGAAACCGAGCATTGGTCGGTATGATATGGACCTCATCTCCTTTCCTCTCCCTCTCTCTTTCTCACCCCGACATCAACCATCCGCGCAAGAAACGGTTGTCATCGCACTGTCCCTGGAACTGTCTGGTGCTGCAGCCAAAATGGAGATATCTGTCCCATTTGTCGGCACGAGCTGCTGGCTTCCGAAGCGTTGTAGCACCAACGGCTCAGGTGCCCCTTCCCAGGTGGTACGGAATAGGCTGAGCAGGACGCAAAGGCATGAGGCAGGGGCGTGAAGGTTCTGATATCTCTGATATCATGTCATGTCTTTACCTCTGACATCTCTGACATCTTTCGTCTCTCTCCCGTTGCGGCGTCATCACATCACTCGAACGACACAGCATGTATCAACTCTTCCCACACCGACCTGACAGCAACAGCAACGAGAGTAGCCAGACTCTCATCTCACCCTTCGTTTCCTGCTCCCCGGTGCTACCCGAGCTCCATCACCCCTCTGCCTGCCGCAAAGAGGGCATCATCGATCGTCCGGAGAGAGACGCAGTGCCGAGACATCCTCGCAAGATTCTTTCGCGCCCCGTATTGTGCTACTTCACTCTCGACCTCCTTGTTGCCATTCTCGCCGTCTACTTCATCGCTTTTGCAATTGCAGCCTACGCGAACAATGGTCGAACCATCGTGCATCGTTCTGCCTCCATCACTTCTCTCCTTCTGCAGGGCGCGCGAATCGTGAGTGGCCCTTTCCACTAAATCAGCCGCGTCACGGCATTGACCCAGAATACCCTCAAAGGGCACCACAGTCTTCACTATCCTCTACGCAGCCCTTGTTGGCAGATGCTTACTTGCAGTCGCCGCCTGGCGTCTCGAGAAAGGCTGTACCTTTGGCTTGGTGGAGCAGCTGCTGAGCAGCCGGACTGTTTCGAATGCCGTAATCAGTCCTCTGCGGTTGATGATCTTTACCTGGGCCACACCCGGTCTGATCATCCTGTGGTCCCTGTCACCCATCGGCAGTCAAGCAGCACAACGCGTAGTCTACCAGGCTTCAGCTATCTCTCAGGCTCCCAGCAAATTCTACTACATGGATACTCCTTTGAGCACCACGTACGGGGAAAGCACCCAGGATAGATATCAGTACAAGGCATCGATCGCTTTCCAGTCGGCTCTCTTGATCGCGAGCGTCAACGGTAACGACACCCAAGACATCTTTGGCAACATCAGGATCCCGCTTCTGGAGTCGATCCCAACAGCTGAAGGCTTGCGATCTAAAGAATGGCTTGCGCTGCCTTCCAAAGAGACTGTGCTCTTCTCATCTCATGTCGGCATACCATTCAATGGTACGACAAACCCAAGTGCTTCCACTTTTAGCCTGCAGACTTCGTACATGCATGCGAATTGCAGTGTTCGAGAATCACCGGGAGAAGATCTTCCTCCCGTCTTCAAAGACGAATCATCTAATCAGACCTTCAGAGCCAACGGATATATAGGTGTGGAAACCGACGCTTCCCACAATGGCAACAGTAGTCGTCCGCGAAGAATTGTTCTGTCAATGTCAACCTGGAGCATTGACAATGACTACTGGTATACCACCAACTTGAGCTGCGCTCTGACTACGACCTACATCGAAGCACAAATCAATTGCAACGGCACTTCTTGCTTCGTGCCAGCAATCCGCAGATCGATCGAGCCGTACGCATCGCCAAACATCACCGTACTCGACGGTGTCAACACAACATCTCCCTACGCTCCTTCATCACCTGCAACCATCGCTGGAGAATTTCTTGCAAACTTCATCAATTCCACCGGGAACGACACGGGAGAAGGCGCCGTACCTATCGCTCAATATCTTATCGATCCGAATGCTGCCTTCGATCTCAGAACGCAGTATGCCGACTACGACCTCGGATTCCAGAAATGGGTAACTATCGGAAGTGTTCCACCCGAGACGCTCTCGTTCCGTATGACACAGCTGCTGAACACATACCGCATGTGTGCTCTGTCTACCAGCGGTGTCAACGGCGGGTTTGGAATGCCTGACTACGGAGCGTACCGGACGGTGTCCGCAGAAGGCACTATTTATACGACTCGGGACACACTCAACGTCAGCGTCCCGTGGCTTGTCATGTTGCTGCTCTCTTCCTTCGTCATGCTCGCTGCTGGACTCGTTACGGCAACCCTCAACTTGACCCGCCGTGGACCAGACATTCTGGATTCTTTCACAGGGGTAGCGCAAGCTAGTAGACTAATTGGAATTCCGCCCGAGTCATCTATCGACAGTGCATCCAAGAGAGTCCGGGACCTTCGTCGTAGTACTGTGATACTGGGAGATGTAAAGTCCCAGGAAGAAGTCGGACATGTTGCTATCGCTGTACCTCGGGATGATTCGCCTGTTGGGCGTATTCTTCAAACGAGGAAATATCGCTGAGATTCAGATGGATACGCTGGATTGAGATGATGCTATTCTCATGTAGCACTCTTTTCCGAGCTTGGAATTGAGCCATGGCTTCAGGGACGTCTTTGTCGCTTCCCGCGCTCGGGGATGCTGCGCAGCAGATTCATTTACTACATTTGCTCCACGGCGGGAAGAATGATCTTATCCGTTGCAAGACACGCGTTGTGGTACTGGACAAAGCCGCCCCCTATCTTGCGGTTTCTTGTGTCTGGGGCAGTGACGATTTGCAAGTTGAGATCACCGTGGATGGGAAGCTGTTCACAGATCGCCACAACTGCCTCTGTGCTCTGTGGCAGGCTCGTCTGCATTATCTTGGAAGTTGGTTCTGGGTCGACTCTGTCTGCATTGATTAACAGAACCTTTTCGGGAAATGTTTTCAGGTCGAGTTCATGGGTGCATATACCGAAAGGCAGCAAGGGATCTAGCATGTATCGGAGCTCACGATAAGCACAGCCCAGAGTGTGCCAGATGCCTTGAGGACATTGCGAAGCTTGGGCACAGTGGATGCGGACTCGCAATCAGGCAGAAGCTCTAAGATTTGTGAAAGCTGCGTACAGGCTTCTGCGGTCGCTTGTACTCCCGAAGAGTTTGCAATGTCCAGGGGTCTTCTTCTTGTTGTGGTTCTGCGACCCGAGTACTGTGCGGCCATAGCCTTTTTCCCCTGGATGATGGTGTTGTACTTGGCAACTACTCGCGACGTACCTCTCGGTCGCCGTGACGGAGCTGTGAAAGGAGAGCGACTCTGTGGACTCCATGGAGTCTTTTAGATGCTGAGCATCACATCCGCCTCCTCCGTAGAGACAAGGATCGCCCAGATGTCAGACTCTGAATAAGGGACCGAGGGTTCATGGATGGGGCGTTCGACATGATCCATTCGGCTCATCAGGATGGAGCATAAAAATAATCTTCGAATCTTATAATTTTTCGCCCTTCCAAGTTACAATTTCCGTCACCGGCCGTTATGGTAGATAAGCTGCAGACTGCAAGATGTGAAATAGGTTGCAGAAGTTTTGTGCCTGGATAGGAAAGGTATAGCCAAGAAGTTACGGTTTGCTTTCAACGCTGATGCTTTACCGAGAACAATCAATCTGTGAATAGAGGGAAAAGATAGGCTACTATACTGCATACGCGACTCAAAAGTGGTCCTTGAGCGATTGCATGATAGGGACTCAGATGGAGAACGGAGTGGTTACAGGTCAAAGACTCTCTCCTTGGTCAGACGGACGTCTGTTTCCGGAGCTGTGGCGCTTGCTTTGACTGCTTCGTGAAAAGCTGGGAGTGCGTTCTCTAGATAATTTGCTCTGCAGCCGCGATGGGATATGGGTTGTGGCATGTAACGGTCTGGCTTTTGCGAAGTGAGGGATTGAGAAGACCTGGTTCGAAAGGGATTGAAGGTGTTCCTGTGTCTTCCTCTGCAATCGACGGCGCGATAGCGGCTGCCTCATCGCCGGCGTCTTAGAGGCATTTCATAGGGCTGTCCCTTAGAAATATCACTTTTGTAGGAGGTAGCGACGTTCTTGAGGTGGTGATCAAGGGTCAACATACTGTTCGATTCCTTCGGAGATGAGGTGATGTGCCGCCGCAATGTGGAAGTCGCGCATTAGTGTGCCGATTCTGCCGACGTAAGCCTGATAAATGCGGGATGCAAGATTAACACCAGATTGGCGACCGGACAACGTATATAGCCTACAAGTCTTTCGCTTTAGCAGATCTGATTGGCTTACGTAAAGTTGTGATAACGCAGTCCGTGCGCGCACTAATTGGCTTTCGCCTTTATGCTCCTCACGACTCTAGCAGCTCGACCCATAAGACGACCACATCTCATTGGAGCTGCGCACATCCTTCTGAGTGGAGATAAAGTAGAAATAGGAGCGGAGGGGTTTTCGCAAAAGAGCCTCTCATTAATTATGTAGAGAATGAACACGGAACGCTATGCAGATCGCCCACCAAAACCCTTATACATCATCATGGTCCCGTCAAAAGAATGTTTTGTGTTTCCAAACACGAATCCAAAAGACCAAAGGCCAGCCAAAGTCTCATCTCTCACTCATACTCTCTCGTCGCCTAGTTGATCTCAATAAAACCCGGACCAAACAGGGTCGCAGCAACAACATCCTCAATCGCCGCAAAAGGACCCATACCCTTCGTAACAGCCGCAATCGTAAGCCCATTCATCAGATTCGTCTGACCCGGGAAGAAAGCCTGGAACGTGACCTTTCCATATTCAGATTTCACATTCTGGATCTTCTGCGTGACGGGGACGTTCTGCTGGTTGATGTACGCAATCGCGTTCGTGTCCGCGTCGATCTGGGTGCCGTTGGTGTTGGGAATGCTGAAGGAGAGGAGCTGGTCTTCGAGCTGCGGGGTCTTGGTGTCGACGTTCAGGGTTCCGAAGATGGGGAGGGCGGAAGACAGGACGTGGAGGTTGGGGCAGGAGCCCGGGACGATGAACATCTGGTTGAGGGCGGAGAAGGCGAAGGCGCCGGCGGAGCGGGTGAGGAAGGGGAGGGCGGAGGGGATTTTGTTGCCGAGGAGGCGGTAGAAGCCGTTCTGTTCGCCTTCCTGGCCGATGACGGAGCCTACGAGGGGGAGGAAGCCGATGTCTCCGTCCTTGCCGAAATTGAGCTGCGCGTCTTGCAGGGTTCCGAGGACGACGTCGGTGAAGGTGGAGGCGAGGGCGATGGCGCCGTCGAAGTCGTTGGCTGGGAGAGGGAGGGACATGTTTAGCGGGTGTTCGAGAGATGGATGACTGGCTTCCACCGGGTATTCTACTCACTCGGAAAGACGTATTCACATGGCAGGATCTGGTCGCGACCGGCAGCTTGCAGGATCCCCTCTGCGCCGAGGGCGTGGAGTTCTTCCTGGGCTTGGACAGCAGTGATGGCATTCACGACAATCTGCTTCGCAGCGCCAGACCCGATGTCGAAGCCGGAAACATTGTCGGTGATGTTTTGGAGGAGAGAGGTGAAGAAAGCAACCTCGAAGAGCTCGTTGAACGCGATGAGTTGGAACGTGGTGGCTGTCAAGTCGGAAATGGACGATGGTAGGGTCGCATTTGGAAGAGTGCCGTGGGCTTGAATCTGAATCTGATTTAGGGCATCGGATGGGTTGGTGATGTTAGGGAAGCCGTTGGCAAGTGGGAACTTGAAAGGCTGTTGACCATTGTCTGGTCCAGTCTTTCCATTCCAGTGTCCGGGACCGTAGCTGCCAGGATTGCCACTCATACGCATGGAGTCGAGGTTGGACGGCGCTGCAGAGACCGTAAGCCCAAGCACGGCGGAGACGGCGAGCGTGGAGAGCATTATGTCGGCTTTGGTTTGGCGATGCTGAGTGAGTGACTCTAAGAAAGTAGAACGGAGAACAGAAGTGAAGTAAGTACAGAAGGAAATGCGGAGGAAGTCTTGTTGCTGTCTTATTTGCTGAGTAGTGTGTTGAAGATGAGAGACATGCCCATGCTGGCGCTTGACTTCGCTCAAATAGGGTTGGAATGTATGAGGTTCGTGGAGCACAAAGACACAAAGCCTACGTACGCCTCCCGCCCGCGTGAGCGGCAGAGGTTGGTGACCGCAGTAAGGCTCGCTGTATGTTAGCGTAAATTTGACATCTTTTCGTGGTCGTCTGACAGCCCGTCAGATCTTCTTGAGTCTGGTGTACGCCTTTTCTAATCCCGTTCACTTACAAGCCATTTCGAGTTGGTGATGTAGCCGCATTCCGTAGGTGAGGTGAGACCGAAGAGCTCGTTGTCAAATCAGCGGCAGCTAGGCTCCTGCGCGACCCATGGCTGACATCGACTGTGTTGCTTGTCACCTCTGGGGCTGAGCTTGCCTATACACAGCTTCTCACGGTTACATGCTCACTCCTAAAGCCGAATCTGACCTCGCCGCGGGAACACAAGCTGGACGTCCTTTTCTTCAGGCCCGCCGCTTGCTGGTTGTGTGACGTGGTGAAACAGCCAGGGAACACAGGAATGTGTTGCTTCCTTACAATCATGACGACCGATAATAGGTTTTCAGCAGTTCCAGCGTTTTCCATGAGCCGGCCAGCTTCGGATACCACAGGTCAACTGTGATAATTCAAGAAGAGAGAGAATAAGCGGCACCGTTCAGTATCCGAGCCCTTGGCCATTTCGTGAGAATCCGAGCAAGCTGTTTCCAAGCGCAGTAAATGCCATCGACCTCCCACGACCTCCCGACTTCCAAGCGGTAGCGGATAAACCATGTGGGCGACGGGCTGCGAAAATCCTACTGCGTTTGTCAAGCACTGCGGTTGTCCACGGTTATCCTACTGCGCTGTGAGTACGGACCGACTCTTAACATCAATCATATTTCCATCCTCAACGAAGCGTCTCTGGAAATCATTGTAGCTTCTTCAAAACCTCAACACCTATTCCGAGGACTTCGGGATTCTTGGTCTTTCGCAAGGCATCCTTCAACACCTCAGCACCACCGGCATCCTTCACGGCCTTAACGCCTTTCGCACCAACATCGTCCGGTGCGCTGATGACGTTCAACACGCACGCAAAGCCCCGGTGCTTCATCTCGTCGCTTTCGTCTTCGCACATACTTAGCAACACACCGATACCTCTATCTTTCTCCAGCACAGCCGTCACTGCGGCGTCCCATTCCGTCAGCATAGCCAGTGCTCCGCCCGCTGCTCGTCGAGTAGCCAGATCTTCAACATCTGCGAGCGCAAGGACGATTTGCATCCTTCGTTTCGCATCGTTGGAGCCGTCTGCAAATTTGGCAACGCCAGACGGAGAGGCCATCAGATTGCAGATCAGCTCAACGCCAGCCCGCTGGACTAGGCTGTTGGACGAAAACAGTAGCTCTTCCAATTTTTCCCATGCGACACGGATTTGCAGGTCGCGAACAGAGTTGTCTTCCATGGACGCCAGATTTGTGAGCGCCAAGAGGGCCTCGAAGGTAGGTAGCAGATCACGCTGTTCGCTCTCTTGATCGTAAGAAAGTAGCGGAATGAGCGCTGTAACGGCTGATGAGGCCGGCAGACTCGAAGAGAAGACGTGAGACGGATTCACAGAAATCAGTAGCCGTGCAAGGGTATGCGACGCGTTACGTTCAATGATCGATGCCTCGGATGTACTCTTGTCGGTCTTCGCGATCCTTTCGCGAATTTGAAGCAGGAGCTTCACGGCGCCTTGTTGAACCATTTTCGTGCGATGTTTTTGTTCTTGTGAGAGTGCCAGAAGAGTACGCACTGCCATCGCAATGTTGGTCGGAGAGCTCGTCTGCTTGCAAGAAGCTACAATGGCAGGCATAACATCTGCGTCGAGCAGCTTCTTGCATCGCGAAGTGACGAATGTGTCGTTGTCTAATGGATCATCAGGTTCCGGCTTCTGCTGATTAGCATAAGCCTTCAGCTGAGCCATCTTCTTCTGCTCAGCAGTCTGCTTTGCTCGGTAGGATGTCAAGTTTGAGAACACTGTAAGACAGCCAAAAGCAGCACTTGATCGCTCCCTCAGTGCCTCCATGAGACGTTTGAGGAGCTTTTCGTTGGCCACTATCTGCTCCTTGATCTTAGGTTGCAGAGATGTGTATGCTAGGCCTTCAACAGCTTGCTCTCGCCCGCCGTCTCCAACAAGAACTAGGTCGACAAGCTTAGCAGTGATTTCCTCCTGCGAGACCGACTTGATCTTCGCCAGGATAAGAGCTGCTATTGCTTTGTGTTTGCTCTCTCGCTCCTCCGAAAGATCTCGCAACCATGGAGAACAGTATCTGTCAATGGCTTCTCTGCATGCTTTGTCGACGCAAGCAGCGCTGAGTAGCTCCAGAGCGGCCTGCTCGAGGGTCCTGCTCTTTCTGCGAAGCATCAGTATCTGGCATTTGCAAGCCGCAGAATGGCAGTTATTTGTGAAAAGGTAATGCACGCTCAGAAAGCCTACCTTTGTCCGTGTGCTGCTGCTTCGGAGTTCCTTTCTAGATTAGGAACGAGCTGCTGCACGAATCCATCCGTCATGAACAGTTGAGCTGCCACAGCGGGAATCATAGGGAAGACCGCGGCTGCGGCAGAAAATGCCGAAATCATGTCGTCGTTGGTCTGCTTGGCCACCTCGGACACAAGGAATTGACCGAACAGCTGCTCGCCTTTCTCTCCAGTAGACTCAAGGATCTTTGACGTCGCCAGCATAGCTTGATTTCGCAGCTTTGGCTCAAGTCGAATGTCAAGCTGATCAAGGATGACTCGGAACACGTCGAAGTCGACAAGATCTTTGACATTGTCAGGAGCGATCGCCAATTGACGGGCAATGACTTGCATCAGTCGCGCGGGAAGTGCGACGTCGCAGTCGATGAGCTTCGCAAGACAGAGACGGAATAGGTCAATCTGAGCTTTCCTCCGTGAGTCTTCCGAAACCCATGCGGCATCGTCAAGTGGAATCGAGGCGAACGCCTTGAAGCTCTCCTCGCCAAGATCAAACAGCTGGGTGAAGAGGCCAGTGATGGGCTGATCGAATCTTTTGGCTACATCTTTCCGAGCATGGATACTCTTGTAGAGTAAAGCACCAGTCAGCGCATCGAGTAGATCCCGGTCAGAGGTTGTATTGAGAAGCAAGTGCAAGACTTCAAGGGCATCAGTCTGTGGGAGTTGCTTTTGCCTCAGCGCCAAAAGTGCCCGTTGTCCGTCTTCCTCAGCACCTTCGTCCAGATATACCTTGACCAGGTTGCGCGCATCTCCTGTCTGCTCACGGGCCTGCAATGCGACGACGGCGTCTTTGACCTGAGCATTTTCGGCGTCCAGATGTGAAGCCTCTTTCAAGGCTTCGTATGCTGGTTGAAGATTGCCATGTCTGGCGACTTCGGTGGCATTAGCCAGCAATTGTGCGATTCGGTCTTGTAGTTCCTTGGAGGACATTGCGCTCCATCGTTCCGAGGGTGAAGAGATGGAGGCCTAGAATTGATTATTTCTTGATGAAGTGGAGATGGGATTTGAAGTTCTGGTCCGACCGCCCGGACGCTCACGTGCACAGCGGAAACAGCTCCGCTCGGGTCCCTTGCAACTTCGATTTCGTCACCAGCACTAGAACTAGCACGCGACTGCATCCATCACCACCGATATGACCACGGTCACGAGCGAATTCTGAAGGACGCAGGCCACGGAGATCCAGAGCAATGTCGGGAGCAACCAGGATATGAACATTCACTCGGCGGCTGCGCTCTAGCCACGCACGACTCATTAGCAGGACAGCCTTATTGTCCAAAGCAGACTGATCGATGCCCTCGTCTACCTCTCGCGGGCCATCGAGCCAGCGCAGCCAGAAGGGAGGCGAGACACACATCGACAAACTCGATTATCATCCGGGAGGCAAGCCGCTGCTCCACGATGACGGAAACGGCGGCGAAAGCAGCGGGCGGCAGAGCGAAGAGAGGAGCTACGCCGGCAGCTTCTTTGAGGATGTCGCCGAAGGCATCGCAGAAGACGACAGACAGAAGATGAGAAGAGAAGCCACACGATACATCAGCTTTGCATGGGCACTGGTAAATACGCTTGGAGCAGGCTCCATCACTGCCTACTCGCTGTACGCTCCTTTGTTCCAGCGACGGCTGCACTACAGCCAGTTGCAGGTCAATGGCGTCTCAATAACAGCCGAGCTGGCGATGTATCTGCCCGTACCGTTGTGGGGCATGATGTGCGATCGATTCGGCCCTGGTCTGCCTTCGGTCTTTGCCGGTTGCTTCTTCGGGCTTGGATATCTCATCGCGGCATTTGCGTACAAAGCCGGACCGCCTCCAGCTTACGGCGGAAACGGATGGCCGTACTGGGTCATGGTCATTGCATACATCTTCATCGGACTCGGGACATCATGCATGTATCTGTCTGCCGTCACCAGCTGCGCAAAGAACTTCGGCCGCGGCAAGTACAAAGGGCTTGCTCTGGCGCTACCGATTGCTTGCTTTGGGCTGAGCGGGATGTGGCAGTCGCAGGTTGGAACACATCTGCTATTTGAACGCAAATCGGACGGTAGCAAGGGTGATGTAGATGTGCATCGCTTCTTCCTTTTCCTCGGTATCTTCCTGTTGGCTACGGGACTCATTGGGTACTTCACTCTGCAGATTGTTGGTGAAGAAGACTTGATTGAGGAAGCTATTGAAGAGCTGGAGCAGAGTGGTCTACTCGAGGACAGCGAGTTCTTTCAGCGTGCTGTGCATGCGAGAGAGGCCGAAAACGGCTATGGCACGCTTTCTGGACAGGAAATTGCTGATATTCGCCGCGAAGCTGATGAGCAGAAGGCACACCGCGCGGAGGAGAGGCGGATGAAGACTTGGCTGTTGAATGCCGAAACGCGACGCTTTCTTACCGACAAGACCATGTGGTGGCTGGCCGCCGGCTTCTTTCTCGTGACCGGACCCGGCGAGGCCTTCATCAACAACCTAGGAACCATAATTGATACTCTTTATCCTCCAATCGCTATACCAGAAGGTGGAAACCCTACGACTGCAGCGACACACGTGTCTATCGTCGCAATTACGAGCACGATCGCGCGTATCATCACAGGCACTCTCACAGACCTGGTGGCGCCTTCATCCGTACCGCACCAACACCGTCGCGGCCCAAACTCCCTCGTGAACAGCATGGCCTCTCTGCCTCCACTTGACCAAAAAGGCAAAAAGCTAGAAATCTCCCGTGTTACCTTTCTCATAATATTCTGCATCATCATGTCTGCCGGTCAGGTCTTACTTGCATCCGGGTTCATCCAACAGCACGGCGAGCGCTTCTGGCTAGTATCTGCGTTCATCGGGGCTGGATACGGAGCAGCATTCAGTCTCACACCCATCATTGTCAGCGTGATCTGGGGCGTTGAAAATTTCGGAACGAATTGGGGTATTTGTGCAATGGTGCCTGCTGTTGGCGCTACGGTTTGGGGACTCGTGTATTCGGGTGTGTACCAATGGGCTGCGGATCTTGATGCAGTGGAAGGCAGCGATACTAGTGAGGACAAGCTGTGTCATGGCACGCTCTGCTATGCGCCTACTTTCTGGGCCATGGCAGTGTGCGTCTGGGTTGCTTGTGGTCTTTGGCTGTATGCCTGGAGGGGCCCAGGCGGGTGGGCACGGAGAGGTGTTGCGGTATAATCTGCTAATCTATCCTGTCATGCAAGTTATATCTATTTTCCTAGCGATATTGCTCTCAACGAAATCAAAATGATGTGTTCGAAGGAGACGGCGTGCTGTTGTTAATGCAGGCAAGATGCATGCCTTGGCGGAAGACCCTTAGGAGTCAAGATGGCCATTCCCTGGCTTGTTCTTCAGCATGCGGAAGGATTTGACGGATCACGCATGTGTCGATTGTCTCGTGGTATGCAGGGACTGTCACATGTTTAATGATCGCCAGTTCATTCTGCAGATCGGTCCCCTGATCGATTCGGCACGCTTCTGGAATTTTGCGTGCTGACTCCTTCGCATGTCATCCATACGGGCAGTATCGAAGAGGATTCGAAACCGAAGCTTTACGAATCTCACGTCTCGCTTTCGATTCCATGACTAACTACGCAAGCTTTCCCGGTACAAACGGATGTCCCGCGGTCAAGCCTCCACAGACGGGAATTGCTTGTCCGTTAATATAGCTACTCTCGTCACTGCCCAAGAACAACGCCACGCGGGCGACTTCATCCGCTATCCCGCCCCTCATGAGCGGATTCAACTGTCCAATCTTCCTCTCTGTTCCCCGTGCGCGCGCCCTTTCGTACATAATGCTCGTCATGCCGGTTTCGATGATGCCCGGGCAGAGGGCGTTGCAGCGGATTCCGGTCCCGGTGAGCTGGTAGCAGGAAGTCTGCATGATGCTGATGACGGCTGCTTTGCTGGCGGAGTAATCCGTGGGGCCTGCGTTGGAGCGCAGGCCTGCGGAGGAGGCGACGCTGATGATGCTGCCGCCCGGGTAGGGTTTCGATTTGTTGGTGGCGAGCATGCCGCGGGCGCCGTGCTTGACGGCGAGGAAGACGCTGTACGTGTGGGTTAAGTAAGTCTACATTCTTCATATGTGTGCGATGCATCGCAGTGGAAGACATTACCTCATAGCGTTGATCTCCATCGTACTCTTGAAATCCTCCACGGTGCTTTCCAGTACACTCTTCGGGTTGATCGAAATTCCGGCATTCGCGAAGAAAACGTCCAGTTTTCCGTACTTCTCCAAGGCTTCGTCTACCACGCCTTTCACTTGGTCTTCATCGGCGGCGTCCACTTCTCGTGGAAGGATTTCTACTCCTGGGTAAAGGGAGTTGATCTCTCGTTTGTGGGTTTCTAAATGCTCCGGGTTGAGATCACAGATGAAGATTGCTTTTGCTTCGTTGTTGGCGAAATGATGGGCTGAGGCTCTTCCGATTCCGAGAGGGGAATTGCAGCCTGTTATTATGATGACTTTGTCTTTCGTTCGACTGGACGGATGTTAGCTCTTATATGTGATTAATGGGGCCGAGTAGGGTTTATGAGCTTGGGATGATATAATGCAGTCTTAGACATGTGACAGTCGCCAAAAGCCCTAAGTCCTCAGAAAGGGTGTCAGCGGGTAGACTTACGGTCCTTTGGAGTCGCCTGCTATGGTGGGGATTTTTGGTATGTCTTCGAACTGCCCAGGGCTTCGGGGTGGATTGTTCAGCTGCTCGCTGAGCGCCTGAACTCGCTGTTTCGCTGCCGATGTCATGATCAAGCACTACGGAGGATGTTCGCCTGGACAAGGAGATGGAGAGTCCGTCGTTGGGATACTGTCAGACTCGCAACGACTCCTACAATGTGTACTGCTCTTGCTCATGAAGTGTGGTCGGGGTTCGATACTGTCATGAGCCTCGGTCCACCGGCCACATAACTAAGCTAGCCCGAATCGATTAGTGGCCCCTCCAAACTCAAACGCGTCGCGATATTTCTTCTCCTGGACATGACATAACATTCTAGAAGGGATGGAATCCATCTCAACAACACCAGATCTGCTACATTTCGAGATCATGCCCAAAGCTACGACTACGAGGACTTATTGCCGTAAACCTATTTCGGGCTACAGCACTTCTCGAGGCCTCAAGACTCCAGCCGTACCACAGGAGATGAGTTGAAGCATCGACAAGATCAATAGCAACTTGCAAAAGCTCGCTCCGAATGGCTATGATCTGTGGGATGGGCTAAACTGAGATCGAGCCCTCTAATCAAAGCAGCCAATTCGAAATCCATTTGACGCTTCAAATGCGCTGTGGACGGAGTCCTCGAGCTTGACCAGGGATCTCCCTGAGCTGCCACGTCTTTGCATATCCAGATCGCGAGGTTATCTCGACGGCTCGTTATTGCTGATCTCATGCTGTCCAAGTTGCGGCGAACGTGATCTTCGCGGCAGCGATCGGAAATCTTGCAATTCTCCGTCGTGGAAAAGGTTAGAAGGTACCTGCACACTCGACCACAAATTGCCTCTCCCACTTGCTGCCATCTTGACCAACAGACCAGCGAGCTTTTTTCTTCGCTGCCTACGAGGTAATCGTTCACCGAAATGCATCCAGCATCCCATAAAGGTGCACATGACGCCAAACTGGAGACGTCCCACAACGACGAGTAAGTGACCTCAACCTCACTGCATTCATGATATGCTCCGATCATCAGAGAGTATTGGCGAGTTGAGGTCATCGATGAGCTGGCCGAACGGGATGCCGAGGATGGTGAAAACGGATCCATCTATAAAGAAAAACGTAGACCTGGTAGCCGAAGGAATGAGGTCCAGCAACGGTAGAGAAGCGCAGAACTCGAGTCGAAGGTCCCCATTTCTCATGAACATGATGTTACAGCAATTGGCCTAAAAGCGCTCACATCAGCTTCGGTGATAGGCACTCGTGTGAGAATGTAATTTATGTGGTACGTGGTGTGGTGCGTGGGATGGAAAATACCGGCATTCGCGGTAAGTAGATGGTGACCTGGCAGAGCCGGAGTGAGGATGGCGTATGATCCTTTCAACGAGGTAGCGATCCGACAAGACAATGAACCAAATTGAGCCACGACCGCGTAAGCGTGAGCGTCGCATGGATGTTACTTGTCGTACGAACGAACCTGATCCGGAGAAATCGAGATACACAGGCAGACTTGAATCTCGCCTCGCGCCCGGAAGCGCCTCGCGCCCGGAAGACTTGATCCGTGCCATCGACTTTCCGAGTTGCGCTCTCTGTGCTTAGTCCAGAACTTGAAATTATGCAAGGTCGGATCGATGCATCTGGCTTTGGCTCTGGCTAATGCCAGCGACCGCATCAGGCTCCTTTCCCGCATGTCACTCTAGCTGGAGCCAGGTTTCCTGTAAACAAGTCAACCAGAATCGCGTTCTTCTCTTCCAGTGCAATATCGAACGAAGATGGCCTTGTCAATTTGCTAGCTTGAAGCATCGGCAGGTATGGGTCGGCGCCGTATCTGAACAGCGCCTCTGCGACGGGCATGTTTCCGGTTCGCGATGCGATATGTAAGGCAGTCGGCTGCTTGCGCAGACCTCTCCATCGAAATGCTGTCCGGTTATGAAAGCGGTAGGCATTTACGCGGGCTCCTTTCTTCGCCAACTCCTCGACTAGATCGGCACCTTCGAACTGATTAACCCGCTCTGCTGCACAATGCAGAAGATTACTGTACCATGCGTGAGATCTGTTCCCTCGTCGATGAGGTATCGCACAACATCCATACTGCCGCGACCAATCGCTAGTGAAAGCGGAGACTCGTCAAGGCTAGATCGGTCATTCACGTCGGCGCCTCGTCGGACTAGGAATTGCGTGAGACTTAGGTCATCTACGGCAAAGCTGTATCTTTTAGCGACGAAAAAAGGTAGCCACGTATACTGTACTTACTCAAGGGGTGAGGAATCCATTCCTAGCCTCATTTTGATACGCCACCCGAAATCGAGGAGTATATCGAGACTCGCGCAGTCCTTGCATTCAAGCGCGGCTTCCACGACGCTCTCGTCGTCGAGATCACCATCCACTTCAAGTAGTGTCCTCAGCATTTCGGACTTCCCAAGTATGATCGCTAATCGTTTGTAAGGTAAGAAAGAAGTGCCCTTCATCGACCGCATTGTTTGGCGAACCAGAGCCTTGTTGTCGCTGCGGATAGCGGCATCAAGGATAGTGTCTGGTGATGAAGGATCGAGCTCGCTGTCTAGTCCTTCGATGGCTCTTTGTAAAGTATCGACGTGCTCGTTAGGCGGTGATGGAGCCTGTATCGTCATGATGTAAAGACGGGCGGTGAACCAGAGTGTACTGGAAGATAGTCGAGCGAAAGCCAGGCGGGAACACACTCTTCTAGGTAGCCGCTAGTAAGCTTGCGTCGCAGGTCTGTCGGGACTGATAATCAATTTGAGGTGGGGTCGAGCGGATCAGATTCCGACATCTCCGACATCACGTTTGTGAGAGGTCGCTTCTGGAATCCGGTACGAGAGCAGTGGAAGGAGTGACACTAATTTTGGAAGCCGTTCGATGGAGGTTTCCAAGGGAGATGTAAGTGTTTTGCATATACATATCTGCCTATATGTATATTTGCGTAGACAGGACGTGTCTTCAGCGAAACAAGTTGAGAGCGCGTCTCGGCAGCGCAAATCAAAGCATTGACCAATCTACGCATCGCAGCTTGGCCAGTGCGTCTCGTATAGCAAACATATACTGTAATATTGTTGCAGATGAAAAACGCAGGTGAGTTGGTGAGGTGTCGACTCTGACGCTAACTTCGGAAGCTCCCGCGTCGCTTAGTAAAGACGCATTGTGATTGGCTCACGCTGACCACTTCTTCTCCACCCATCTACTCGGAGAGACCTCTACCAAAGACCAAGACCAACGCTCAGTCTCGTGGACCCATCCATGAGGTGCGGTACAACAATGCACATGCGGAGCTGGCATGTTCCACCCGCACGAATCTGGTCCCGGATATTGTGTCAGAACTCACTCAGAACCCTCCCACACTCCCGTCTATTCGCATGGATAGACAGGGCGTACTGGAGAGCTATGCCAACTACATGACTCCTGTTCTCCACGATTTGCAGTCGTTTGAGTCTCACTCCTGGTCATCCAAAAGATTATACGTTCAGCTGTCGACAGAATTGTCCACCTGGGCCATCGTCGTCCAAGATATGGGCGTGAAGACCGCAACAGACCTCACCTACACCAACGGCTTAACCCAGGCCGCTGGCGGTCTAATCGGAGGCCTGATCGTGTACCAAATCCAAGGCTCCAAGTGACTCCTTGTCGCCGGCGTCATGATCAAACTCCTCGGCTATGGAATAATGATCCGCCTACGAGGAGTGAACAGGTCCTGGCCGGGAATCTTCGTCGTACATGGAGTCCGAGGCATCCCGAATCTGCCTTCTCGGGATTATCATCGTCGTCGCGGCACATGTAGCTGTACCCCGAACTCGGTGTGCGAGTTCATCATCAATGGCATTCCAGCAGAAAGCTCCGCGGTGAAAGGCGCTGTCAATCTGGCCTATTCTGACATCTTGCGATACATGACGTACACCGCCGTAGCGACTTTGGCATTGGTATTGCTGTCGATATTTGGTATAGGATAAGATACCATGGAAGCTACAAAACGGACCACGAAGAGCCACAGAATGTGTCGTTGGGTGGTGACATAGCCTTGGCTGTCTCCCAAGTCCGACCTCATTGATGGCCGGAATTCTTCAAATCTTGATTGACGGGTTCAATGAAATCTGGTAATGAATCTGAGGCTGAACGATTCGAAGCTGACCACACTCCGAACAAAGCGCCACTAAATCTTGAACAGAAATATGCAACCATACTCCTGCATTGGTAAAGACGGCTTTCTTTGTCACCCAACAGCGAAGGAACGAATGCATTCGCTTCTTTCCGCTTTGATACCAACTTCTGCACCTCTCACCTCACCTACCTGAACGCGTGTGGTGTTATGACATCTCACCTGATACCGCGCCTCGACGCGACAACACCTATCCCTGGCTCCTAATGTTGTGTGGTTTCAGGTTCTTGGTCCCGACATAGATGAACCGGTCCCAGGCGCCTGTCAACATCCTCGCTTGCATGCAACTCAGGCATGTTTGGAGGCCGGAGATGCATGTGAAGATGCGGTTTTGGAGTATGATATGAATCAGCTCTTCTACTCACGAAACACGTCGAATAGATATTACCATCTTACAACGGCAGAGTACATGCGCGTGGAAGTCTATGAAAAGCCCGACCCGTTCTGCACGTGGGCAGCACGAAGAGTGCGCGAGCAGCACTGTCATGCGTTGCTCAGGGAATGCTCATTCGTAGCAAGCACCGAGATTGGATTCCACATCGCCGCATTGTCGGTGAGTGGGCGTATGCGCAAACCGAATAAACGCGGTAGCGGTACTGAAGGTTTCGATAGTTGTGTCTCGAGATGCTGTCACGAGTCCTGGTCGCAGAGGGGAGGGAAGTGGCCACGGCGCGGCGCGTAGTCAGACTGAGCGCGAGACCCCGTCGGCTCCCACCAACAACAAACAACCGACATGTCGCGAGGAGACCTCGCGGGCAATCCGCCCTCACGAAGGAGCAAGCGGGGTATTGCCATGCCGCCACAGCCGCCGCAGAGGTGCAGACAACAGTATTCGCGGTGCAGAGTCTGCCCATGTGCTCGGTTGTCGGTGTCGGTGAGCGAGAGTGCCGCGGATAGATCCTTCGAGATCTATTTATTAATGATCTGCAACCAAGCTTCCAGACCCTCTCAACGCCTCTGTCGTCGACGGCGTCGTTGGAAAGTCGACGACAACGTGAAGGATGGAGATGTCACGATGTTCAAGGCAGCCACAGCAATATTGGCAGGCAGAAGGAATCATCACAACTGGGACGGAAGAGCGCTGTCTGTCAGCAGTGACACAAGCCCACGTTGATGCGGTGCCAGATGCTTGCATCGTCCGATGAGCCTCTCAGAATCGTCGCATGGATTGCGGCACATGGACCAAAGTGATCCCAGCGAACGGCGGCAACCTCTTGAGCGGCTTGCGAATCTCGACCGACAAAAGTTGCCCTGTGTGCCGCGCCAACTCGCTGCCATCGTCATGTCCTGCAGCACAAGGTGAGGGTTCCGCTGTCGGGCGTGTGAGCGGGCGTGACCGGCAGCCTGCCACGGGGCGTCGTCACGTCTTCTCCCACACGTCTTCTCAACTCTCACATGCTGTGCTCCGCCGGCATGCTCCCATCCTCAGGCTACGCGGCAGCTTTAGCCTTTCGTCAGCGTGGAGTCGTCTGGCTCCTTACCCGAATCGGCACCTGTTGCTCTCTACCATCGGCGCCCGTCTGCAGGGGTCCGCCGAAACAGCGACAGGCAACGTGACGCAGTTTTGTCATGGCCCTGCACATGGACCCTGCGGTCTCGTCCCTCCGCGTGCCTTCGATGGACGCCTCTTGTTTGGAGGGGTCCTGTCCTGTCACGGTCCATCTACTGCCTATAACTATACCTTCCCGCGTGCCACCTCCCACGCGTGCTCATCGCGTCCCGTTGTCCCTCACCGCCACGGCCTTTCCCGATCGGCCTCTAAAACACCATACTATTGTCTCACGACACAACGACGATCTTCACATTTGATCAACACTACGACGCTACGACCAATATGACTTCCTCCAAATTCGTCGAGATCCTCGACAACACCAAGACTCCATACTCACGCGCCAATGTCTCTCTCGACGATGTCCTCAACGAGACCCGGGCCCGCTCGCAATCGCAAACAAGTATAGGCAGCAACAGCGAACGGTCGAGCTCACCTACATCGACCACCAGCTCGTCGTCCACCAACTTCACCATGCAGCCAATCCGGCAGATCAAGACCCGCGTACGGGGGTTCTCGCTCATCAAGAATAATAAGACATGAACGCAAGCGGGAAAGTAGGCAGGGTGCTCTGATGATGAGAATGATCTGTTTTCGTCTTCCAGCAACGCAACGCAAACGCAGTAATGAACGACGCGCGACACGACGGATAATGTTTATGAATGACGAAGAGTCCGATCTATGGAATCTGGCTCTCTGCCGCCGCTCTATCGCATACTGGTCGCAACACTTGACTGCCAGCTACACTCGTCGGTCAACGGGAATCAACCGATTCAATCTCGATCACCGGGACGAGTAGCGACGTCAGCATCAGCGATCTTCGATCACAAGGCCAGCAAACCAACAACCACACGCAAGTCCGTCCGGATTGGCCAAAAGACCACTAGAGCCACGACAAGCGGTCAAGGTATCCCATCTTTCTAGCAAGCTGGCAAATGGTCGTGCCGAAGGCGGGTTATAGCATTGGGTTCATCGCGGCGAAATTTGTAAACGACGTCACTTTTTTGGTAGACTAGGATCGCTTTCGTGGATCCTTGTCGGAGATGTCGTCGCGATTGGTGTGATGAGCAGCACCAGGGCCGCAGTCGAAGGAGTACGTACTCCTTTCCTTCTTCCTCTGAGGAAGAGACGACGATGAGTAATGTACAACAAGAAGTAATTCAATGAGTTCTGGTGCTCGAATTCATGGCTGCATCCATCTCACTTCCGGGTCTGCATGGAGCCCGGAGGTATTCACATGTCCCACAATAATATAGTGGATCTTATCCATCCATACGGAAATTTTCATTGTGCGAAGGAATCCACCCGTGGCTGGCTTACATTATCACGTCTTGATACCTACCTATCTACCTATCGATACACGTCGGCAGCTATTCTTCCCCGTGATGCTTGCTTGCTTGCTTGCTTGCTTGCTTGCTTGCTTGCTCGCTGGCTTGGAAATCGATCCGATTCCGCTCTTCGTCCGCAAAACAACCGTGCATGTCTCATGTCTCATGTCACACACACAGATCTCAAAGAAAAAAGGCATGTGCCTCGGTCTCTTTCTTGATTGTTCGCTTTCTCAAAGCAGTGAGGCGTATTTACTCTGGATGAAGCAACCCATCTAATTAATACCGCAATCCCCATTTTCTTGGCCATTGCATCAAATAACATCGGTCAGATTTTCCGACCGCGAGCAGGAAATCTCCTTCTGAAGAAATCATGGCAATAATGTGTACATGCAGTGTGTCTGTGTGTGGTGATGTGTGTGGTGACAGTGCAAACGCCCCATTCCGAAGTTATCCGAGAGAACGTCATGCATGCAATGCATCGTTTTTCTGTGCTGGAAGCCCAAGAAGTCACGCGTCCGTTACTTCCGTTATCAGCGATGGGTAATAAGTGAGGCGTCGTCGATGATTGCGACGCAATCGATAATGCGCCTTCGTTCCTGGAGCTTCCGCGTGGCGATGACGAGCGGGCTCTCTCCGCTGACTACCTTACCTTACCTTACATACTGGCGACTGGCTGGCTGGATGAATGGAGAGCTTTGCGGTATCTCGCCTATGGATGCATGCATGCATGCATGCGTACGCACGGAGTCGTCAAAGTGATATAACATATAGCTCATAATGCGCGTCGTCAAACGTTTCGCAATGTGGTTTATTTTTGATAAAACATAGTTGCGTGCTCATCGATGCGGAGGCAAATCTACAACTGCCAAGATGAGATTCGCAGATCCATGCGATCAAACGTACGTACACAGCATCCACCTTCGCCTTACACGTCGTTCTATCTGTCATTCTTGTCGTCGTCCTGTTGTTGCTCATCCACAGCATCCAGTAGCAACCCCACTCTACTTGAGAAATCTTGCCATTCCAACTCATTCATCTCTTCCGGTGTCGGTCGTCGCCGCGGACTGATATCTCGGCCGTCTCGCACCCACACCATGCTACGCCCAGAAGCCCATCCTCGATGGTCCGGTGTTGAGAACTTGTGTTCGTCAAAGATGACTGGACGCCAGCAGTAAGCATGTGTGTATGGATTCCATTTCCACTCGCGATAGAATTGTCGTAAATTTTGCTTGTCATCGTCGAGGTTCCAGCATGCACTGTGCTCTGGAAGTACTTGTGGAGGTATGCCGCCCGAAACGACGTCGTAGGGCCAGTAGCATGGTGCAGGTGCCTCATCGATGGAAGTGCTGCCTTTGTATCTCTTCGCAACATGATCACCAGTGTCTGCGTGATGATGCGGGACGTTTGCAGCCAGTTGCGAAAGTGTTGGAATCCTGTCTGCGGGAGGGTCTGCCTTGCGTTTCCGATTGTCTGGTGCTTTGTGCGAGTGATGATTCTTCTCAGACCGCCTTAAGGCTTTGCGGTATTCATCGCGAGACGAAGCGCTCATATTTGTTTGTTCCGTAATTGCTATCGAGGCGTCCAGCGTCTCCAGGAGGTGTTTTGGGTAATGGACAGTCGATCCGTTCGAACGATCTACAAGATATCATGGCCGCGAGAAGTTTCCAACCATTTGTTCTCATCCGGTTCTATGCATGTCTCGAACGTCTTTGTTGTCCGCTGCGGTGTGCCTTATTTGTCTTAAACAAAGGGTCTCTTTCGGAACGCCCGAGGAGACACGCTGGTGCCTTGAATATCGCTCCAGAGCGAACATCAAAAGTCATTTCGGAGAATGGCACGGCTAGCGTAACCTTACGACAAGCATCGCAGACAGGAGGTGTTTCTTGAAAACACTGCGAGCAATTCCAGTGGCCAAACCACATCGCCCAATCCTGAGACATACCTCGAAACGGTCCAGTGTAATTTGGCGCCTCAAAAGCTTCGATGATAGGGGGCTCTGTAGGACCAAGTCGTTCAGGTATAAGCATCTTCGGCACACGATTCCAGCTCTTTGACCACGGACAGTATTCGTATCCCGTTACGAATGCCGACAAACTTTGGTGTACAGCTCGGTCGGCCCAGAATTGCTGCATTTCGGGCGAAACATTCGGCGGGACCCCTCCCGACACGATGTCGGAAGGCCAGTAGCAGGGCGGATGTGTCTTGCCCTCATCTACCCGTCTCAACGCTCTTTCAATCTGCGTGCGACTAAATCGATACACCGTGTAGTTGTTGTCGGCAAAAGGATCTTCATTCGCGTTGATGCGGACTTCCAAGGACATGCTGAATATCGTTCGTGCGGCATCTGGAGCACAGCATCTGTGTCTCGACAACCATCTCGCTCTCAGTGAAAGGGTGTCAGAATACAACAAAGCATGAGAGGTGGTTTGTCAAGGGTGGTAGGAGCTCATTCATCGAACAAAGACACAGTGTCCATCAGTGAAAAGCCAGGTTCTCCTTTCCTGAAGAATGCCATCTACGCGTCGGGCAGATTTTGCTCTCAGAGATGATTGGGCCGCCGTTTGTCGATTCGTCTCGTGCTCCAGTATCCTCGAATATGAGAAGGGCATCTCAACAGTTGATATCGCTTATTCCGCGTTGTCGGACTGGATCCGAGCCGGAATATAAGATCATTCATCAGGAGGTCAATGAATTCCCGCTGTATGTAAATGCTGTAATCTCAAATCAATCTGAACATGTTGTTCTTAACGCCTCGCTTCATCGCCACCGGCTTGCCATCTTCATATTCGATGCCGGCCTCGCCACCCTCTCCACTAATGCCAGCAAGCTTTTCCATGAGCTCTTTGTCTTTCTGAGCTTGTGTCATTTCCGGTTTGTTTGCAGCTTCAGCCTCGAGGGCCTTCTTCTCCAGCTTCTGGTCATCCTGTGAAGGCGTATCTGATGGTCGCGTATCCTTGGATGTTGCAGTGCCTCGAGCTGGCTTGAAGGTTGCAACCTTTCTCAAGACCGCAACTCTCAATGGTGCTCGCGAAAGCATTTCGACCCTATTTTGAATTGTCCAAGGGGAACTTTTCAATTCGGAACATGTCTGAATGTTCGAGTGGAAACTCTTTCAAGAATGATTGTGATGCTGTCTGATGTAATTGAGTTGGCGCTAGCGTGGAATCGAGTCGCGCGGGCGCTAGGAGGGGCTTCAAATGACTCGCGTCTCCCTTACATGAATTCCAAGATCATCTTGATCGTCCGCAAAACGACATCTTTCGTTCCTTTGGCCGCCAACATGCCCGTCGTCAAGGGAGGAGTTTGGACCAATATCGAAGATGAGATCCTCAAGGCTGCGGTCTCCAAATACGGTCTCAACCAGTGGGCGCGTGTGTCTTCGTTGCTCGCGCGCAAGACCCCCAAGCAGTGCAAGGCGCGATGGACGGAATGGCTGGACCCGGGTATCCGCAAGATTGAATGGAGCAGGGAAGAGGATGAGAAGCTCTTGCATTTGGCCAAGCTGATGCCGACGCAATGGCGCACGATTGCCCCCATAGTCGGCCGCACGGCCACCCAGTGTTTGGAGCGCTACCAAAAGCTTCTTGATGAGGCAGAGGCGCGCGAGAGCTCCGAGTTTGGACTGGCTGGCCCAGAAGGAGGAGAGACTCAGGCACCATCTGCAGACGATGTGAGAAGGCTCAGGCCGGGGGAGTTGGATCCCGACCCGGAGAGCAAACCTGCGAGACCAGACACTATCGATATGGATGAGGATGAGAAAGAGATGTTGTCCGAAGCAAGAGCGCGGTTAGCCAACACGCAGGGAAAGAAAGCTAAGCGCAAGGCCAGGGAGAGACAATTGGAGGAGAGTAGACGTCTGGCTGTGTTACAGAAGCGGAGAGAGCTGAAGAGCGCTGGTATCAACATCAAGGTCACGACCAAGAAGAAAGGTCAAATGGACTACAATGCCGATATTCCCTTCGAAAAGGCGCCTGCTGCAGGATTTCATGATACACAGGATGAACAGACGCAGAACGAATTTGCGCGGGAGCAGTTCGATCCTCGCAAGCAGCAGCTGGCCAACAAACGAAAGGGTGATGGACAAGAAGATAATGCCCAAGAGCACAAGCGAAGGAAAAACGACAAGTCTGATAGCGGCGCAGCAGCATTTGCAGCAGCAGCCAAGGCAGGGCAAATGCAGCGAATTCGAGAGGCCGAGCAAAGTAGCAAGCGACGAGGCCTTGTCTTGCCCGCTCCTCAGGTCAGCGAGAGTGAGCTTGAGGATATTGTCAAGATGGGCATGTCTGGCGAGCGAGCGCATATGCAGGCTGAAGGCGAGAACGATGCTACGAGGGGTTTGGTCAGCAACTACTCGAACACCGTTGGAGCAACACCCATCAGAACGCCCCGTGCGCCTCAAGAGGAGGACAGAATCGCCAATGAACTACGAAATGCAAAGGCTCGAACTCAGACCCAATCCGCACTCTTTGGTGGCGAAAACGCCGCGGTGGTGGAAAATAGCGCCACTACTGGTTACGGCGGGATTGCTCCCTCGAAGCAAGCAACGGCGACTCCAAATCCCATGGCAACTCCCTTCCGACAACAAAATGGTGGGAGTGCAGTCGGTGCCACACCATTGAGGACACCAAGAGATAACTTTCACCTCAACCAGGAGGATGGTTCCATGCAACTTGTTGGTCAAACTCCGCGAGACGTCCGATTACGCGAGCAGGCAACTCGAAATACACTCCGTGGAAAACTGGCAAGTCTACCGAAGCCTCAGCAAAATGAATGGGAACTTGAAGCTACGCCAGGAGACCGGGAAGAGATTTCTACTTCTATGGAGCTTAGATCAGAGGATGCGGCTGTTCGTGATCAGCGAAATGCTGAGATGGCTCATGCGGCGGCCCTGGCAGATTTCAGGCGGCAGACGAAAGTAGTGCAAAAAGGACTACCACGACCAAAGGTTGTCGACATCACTGCTATGCTCAAGGCTGCCAAAGTTATACAGGACCCGGTAGAGCGGCAAATTGCAGAAGAAGCTGCGCTTCTGATGGCGAATGATGCACAGACATTCAAAGGGGCCATACTCAACGGTAAAGCTAAGCCTCTGGAATTGTTCGATGATGACAGGCTCCAACGGGCTCAACTGGAAGTCATCCTTGACATGGGCCAGGACATGGAGCGGTCTCAATTTGGCAAGGCCTTTGAAGCAGAATGGGAAAAGGCTCACGCAAGCACAGCTCTCCCCGGGCTCGCTGGCTATGCCGAAGATGAGCTGGATGAAGAACAGCTACTCACGGAGGCTTTCGATACTATTCAGGACGACATCACAAAGGCCTCCGAAAAGGGCAATGCCCTTGAGAAGAAACTTGCAAAACATCATGGTGGATACCTGGAACGACAGAAGAAGTTGAAGCTAAAGGTGAGCTCACAATAAAGGTGCTCCCAATAGTAGAATGAATGTTGACTAACACCATTATAGATTCTCGAAGCCAGTGAGGCACTTGCCCAAACGAGGCTGGACACGGAAGTCTCACGCCAAGCCCAAGTGGCCGAGGAAGCTGGAATCCAAGGGCGGCTCGAAAAGCTAAGAGAAGAGGTCGCATTGGTCAGCCGAAGAGAGCGAGAAGCTCAAGAGGTTTTCCGAGAACGGAGAGATGAGCTGAAGAGCCTAGCATAGCTGCTGTACGTGTATATTCTTCGTTGTGTCAAGATACCAATATGAGCTATACTCGACTCTCCAGCCTTGAGGGCAATCTCGACTGTTGGTGTCTACTTGGCTTGGATCTGATCCAGGGAGAAAGCTGCCATTGATGATATGCTCACGGCGCAATGTTGTCCACAAATTGGGATCGCTTACGCCGCTGTCGACTCTCGTCAAACGGGCCTAACGGGGACCATTCTGGATTAAGGAGCCATCGATCCTACCGCGAACGACAATGACATTGGTCGAGGCAGACGCTAAGGACGGTGGCCGATTCCTGGTCTGGACTATCTGGACGAACACGACTAGCACGCGAGGCGGCATGGTGAATTGGCCCAGTCATCTCGGAAGGTGACTAGCCTGTTGCAACACCTGCACGCTCACCACAAGAAGCATGCATAGCTCGCGCCTTTCTGCGATTGTCGTGGTCACAAGAGCGCGTACGAGCTGGCCGTCGTGGCGCTGATGGGGAGTGAGCTAAGGGTCCTCAATGGCGGCAAGGTACTAGCCGGTGCCCAGGACGTTGGTGCTCCAGGAAGACTCTCCTTGCACTTCCTCCGAAGCATCGCATGAGCCTGGTGAGAGCGGTCTCACGGGCAGCTTCTGCGCCGACGCTACGCTTCTTCACGGCCTTCATGGCACATGATATCGGCACCCGGAGCGTGCTGGCCTCCGCTGGGCAGGCTTTGGCTTTGAGCAGGATCTTTAGTGCTGCCGAGTCACTCATGACAAAGTAGACAGGTCGAATCAGGGCGTAGAATGCCAATGGAGAACCAACAGAGAACGTTTGAGAGCGTGGAGCAGGTGGCGAGTCATCGACTGAACGAACCCTGTGCTCCTCCACATGATGGCAATTGAATAAGCTACGCCGCGAGCCAACGAGGAGCTCGCTGAACTCGTCGGCCATGAACCTCATGGTCCTCATCGTGTCGAGGGAGATCCTCTTCTCTCTCCACGGCAAATGTACACCTTCGAGGACGTATCGATCGTCTCTGTGCTATCTCTAGACGCGTAAGCTATGAGGAATCTAACCAAAAAAGGTCAAGGCATGTGGGCCTTGATCAGCTGAAGGACTTGTCCGATCGTTGACTTACACAATCACCACGGCTTTCGGATTCCGAGCTGGACATAAATGTCTACATCCCCGTGCCCGCGTTCGGTTCTCTGCTGCAGTCTCTGGATGGGCCGCGGAATTTTAATTCCAGCTGGCGGTTTCCTGGACGATGAATGTGCGTGGATAGGATATTGGAGTGATCAGGAGGGTAGATCATGTGATCTCACGTGGTGAAGAGAGTGGGGATTGTGCTAGGGAATCAGGGATGGAGGACATGATGAAGACCGTGGACGACTGTTAATCAACGCTACTGGAATTGGAAATGCAACAACACACACGAAAACTAGATCACAAACCTCCTCCACCAGCTCAACCACGACAACCAGCCGGCGCTCTCCTTCTCCCGGGCAACCTTGCTCTCGTTCTCAGCCCACTCATTCTCAACCTCCCCACGGCTCTTGTCTTGCCCCTTACCCGGAGCATCCACCACCCGGCCGTTCCAGACATGATCTTCGAGCCAGCCGATGGTCATCCTAGCCTCTAAATCAGCATCCACCAAAAAATCTCATCATCTCAAACCTCCTCCCGATTCTGAGAAGGATGATTGGAACCCACCTAGACCGCGCGGTATCCGCGAAATTCTCATGATCCGGCATGATCTTCACCTTGTACTCCGGATCCCCCTTGAATGCGACCCAGCTCTCGATGTCGCGGAACGTGGCCGTGATGACGGCGTCGTAGTCTGCGATATTGGCGAATTGCGGGCCGAAGATGTGCGCCATCAGGGAACGCGTCGAGGTCGTGTTGTGCCGCTGGCGTGACCCCTTCAGCTTCAGCTCACGGGGAAAAAATTTGTTTTCCAAAACTTACAATGGTATAGCTCACAAAGCCATGTTTCGCCAGCAGACCGCGGACGAGCGGTCCATGGTTCTCGCTCAGGTATCTAGACGGGTGGGTTCTGGGATCAGCATCAACCTCTTTCGCTTGCCGTGTTAACTGCGCCGGGATCGTGCAGAAAATGTTTACATACCTGTGGTAGTCTTCCTCGCTCATGCCGGGCTTGCGATATCCGCAGACGGTCCAGCACAAGAGAGGCTGAGGCTGGGGCTTAGAGGAGGAATCCACGGCCATCTTTTTGGAATGTCTGCGAAAAGATTTGGGTTGGTTTCGGTGGTGAAATTTCGAAGACGTGAAGAAGAAAGTGAAGCTGGATAGAAGCTGGATGGATGGAAGGTGGAAGGACTTCTGAGAAGAAGAAGAAGAAGAAGAAGAAGAAGAGCCAACGGACCGTTCTCCAACAGAATTTCTTTCTTTTTTTAAACTGGAAAAATCAAGATGGAAAACTACCTAGTATTATTCTGAAAGCTCTCTCCGACCGACCCTTAAGCCTTGGTCCTCCCCTTCTTGGAGAGTGGCGGCGAAAATCTTCCTCACCGGATTTCTATTCCTGGCGAGCACCGAAAAGCGAACAGCGAAAACCTGGAGCGGCGGCGGCCACGAAGACGACGACGACGACGGCGATGGGGACCAAAAGCAAAAAAGTGTCACCGAAAGATGATGACGAATGGATGAAAAGAGAGATATTCTCTGAAGCTGAAGCTGAAGCTGCTACAAAAAATGACATCGCACGGAAAATTCGGTTTGCCGGATTACTATTATCATACTATGGATGATTTCCCTTTGTCCCTCACACTTCGGACTCGGAAAAGGTGCATTTTTTTTCGGTTTTCGGGATTTCATTCACATGGCACCTAGACGGACGGACGGACGCACGGACGCATGGACCACACACGCACGCACGCACTCACTATGCTTGGCGGTTGCTCCTACGCTACGCACAGTCACAGCGCCTCTGAGCCACGTGTAACGCAACAATGGGGGGGATACCTCTATGCCTCCATGTTTCTTTCTTTCTTTCCTACTTCCTAGATCTGCCGTCGTCATCGTCGTCGTCGTTCCCAACTTTCTCGAAAACATCACTACGTACTTAGTTCATCATGGGAGAAATGTTGACTGCCTTCGCCACGGGTCTTCACCCGGGAGGAAGAAGCATCGCTGCCTCCCGACGGAGTTCGATTTCCAAATACAGTCAAGACGACAAGGATGCCAGTCGATGTCCTTGGTGTTCTTGCAACGATCCAGTCTACACTTCGCACCACCACAACAACAGCAGCAGCAGCAGCAGCAGCAGCCATGCCGGCTGGCGACGAGAACATGAAAGCACAGAGACGATCCTCGCGAACCGCGGAGGAGACTGGTGGCCCAGTTCCATCAGCGAGACGTCCCTCAAATTGAACGACCTGGACCTCGGAGCTTCAAGAGACTTGGAATCGGGGGAGGAGGCGAAGAAGGCCACACCTCAAACGCCTCCTTCTCCTCCTTTCAATCCCAGAGAAAACCCAGACGGCGGAACACAGGCCTGGCTCACTGTGTTTGGTGCCTTCCTTACGCTTTTCTGCTCTTTCGGCTGGATCAACACCATCGGTGTCTGGCAAGCATACTACGAGACCCATCAACTCGCGCAATATACCTCGTCCGAAATAGCCTGGATTCCCTCGTTGGAAGCGTTCATGATGTTCTTCCTGGGCCCCTGGGCAGGAGATCTCCTGGATCGGTATGGTCCAAGGTGGTTGTTGTTCGCTGGAACCATACTGCATGTTTTTGGGTTATTGATGACAAGTCTCTGCAAGGAATACTATCAATTTATCATTGCGCAGGGGATCGTGAGTCCCGTGGGGGTTTGTTTGTTGTTTTATGCGGCCATGGGGACGATTCCGACTTGGTTTTTCAAGAAGAGGGGGTTTGCTTTTAGTGAGTGCTCCGATTTTCCTGGCCCCTTCAGCGGAATCGTGCACGTACTGACCTGTCGGCTCTTCAGGTATCGTCACTTCCGGCAGTTCTCTGGGAGGTGTCATCCTGCCCATTATGACACAGAAGTTGATTGACGATGTGGGTTTTGGCTGGAGCCTGCGAATCACGGCCCTCTTCATGCTATACCTCCTCACCATCGCGAACTTCACCATTACCTCGCGAATGCCGCCACGGCCGAAACCTTTCGTGGCAACGGCGTTCCTGGATCCACTCAAGGAAGTGCCGTTCGCGTTAGTGACCTTCGGCGCTTTTCTGTTTACACTGGGCTTCTTCATCCCCTTCAACTTTGTAATAGGTAAGTCAGCCCTTCTATAACGAGAAGACAAGGAATTTCGAAGCTGACACGATTGCGCCGCAGTCGAGGCAATGCACTACGGCATGAGCGCCAGCCTAGCATCTTATCTCGTCAGCATCCTCAATGGTGTGTCCCTGTTCGGCCGTATCATTCCTGGTTATCTGGCAGATTACATTGGGCAATTCAACGTCATGATCACGACCTGCTTCATCACTGGTAAGCTTTGGAGACTGCCGTAAATCTTTGCTTGGCGGGGCGACTGACACGTGGTGATGGACAGGAATACTGATTCTAGCAATGTGGCTGCCGGCGACGACCAACGCGCCCATCATCCTGTTTTCGGCTTTCTTTGGCTTCTTTAGCGGCGCGTTCGTTTCCATGTGCAATGCGGTGATCGCCGAGATTACCACAGATAGTGAGTCGCTCAGCCCAGTCGAGTGTTTCGGGAACACGTTGCTGACATGTACTGCTTTGTAGTGAGCCAACTGGGAATCCGCACCGGTACCTTCTATGCCATCTTCGCAGTGGGAGCACTCTTCTCGAGTCCGATTGGCGGTGCTCTCATTGCGAGTTGGAATGGCAGCTATGTTGGAGTTCAGATCTTCGCTGGTATCATGTGCCTTGCTGGCGCATGCTTCATTGCTGCAGCACGGGTCAAAGTGGCTGGCATGGGACTAAGGACGAAAGCTTGAAAGGGTCCAACTGGACGCGAAGCCCTGCGATTGGTGCCTTGAAGCGAAGAGCGGAGAGAGGAGAAGCGAATCCTGATCGTTGCTGGGTTTGGAATATCTGGTCGCGGGACCACATAGGCTGGAGGACCGCGCAGGGTGAGCGCCACAGAAAGCTCCGTGTCGGCGGGTGGAGCGGTATTCTGGCATGTGGCGGACGGAGTTGCTTACTGGTTGCATTGATTGGCGTTGGTGAGTGGGTTGGATTTCGCTTCATGATACCACACGACAGCTTTCCGGAACATTAGATCTACCATCTCCACTCGAAGTCCGCGTTTCAGATCTTCTGTGTTAATTTTGTCAACCGATGACGACAACCTGGCACCTGGGATCAGCGTCCACGTGTCAGACGCGGCGATCATCTCGCCGAGGGAATAAGCCGCAGCTTTGAGGAGTAGAAGAGCGGGAGAAGTTGGGATGCAGGTGACAGGCCATCCGAACTCAGCTTGAACATCGATGTTCGGTGATGACTATGCGTGTCCCATATCGCACCGGCATCAGGGTAGAGGGCTACATTGTTGAGCTGGTGTAGAGCTGTCACACCAGATCGGCGAGGTGCATGGCAGACGGTGAGAAGCACATGGCGGGCGAAAGTCTCAAGCACCGCAGTCGATGGTTCTGCACTTGCGTTTGGTCGGTGAAGTTGACGAGAGGTGATCAATCACCTTCCTGCTGCGGTGCAAGATCTGAATGTGTGGCATGCCGCGGTGGTGAAACTCATGCGAAGGTGTTCAGGGTTGGTTCCGCGCGTGGCGTGGTGCTCGCAGCTGTGGTCGGCGACGAGGGGAAGTGGGACGTGTGTGCGAGATCTCGAACTCCGACTTGTCTTCCACGGTGTCGGATTCGAATGCCTCCCAATTCCCAAAAGCGGTTGACATCCCCGAACCGAAGTAGACGTGTGCTGTCTCTGGCACTCTCACCTCGGTATCGACGCTTCTCATGTGTTGGTTCTATTGTTGTCGTCGAGCAAGAGCGAAAGTCGGTGTATGGTAGTATGGTCGAAGCCCGCGCTGTTGCGTGACCGGACAGCGCCATGGTATACCGGCTGCTGCTGCTCTTACGCCAGAGGAGGCAGGTGGGGGAGCAGGATGAGGCGCACTGAAAGCCCCGTTCGTATCCTCACCCGTAGCCGCAGTCTGACCGGTGGTGTGCTTGGGTGGTGGCAGTAGAGTGCCGAGAGTGGGTGGTGTGGCGGGTGCACTGTCGACGCCGCGGTGATACGATACGTGTGCTTCGGTGCTCACGGCCATGTGCGTGGCATGATGATGCAGGGACTTGGAGCGAAGGAAGCGCTGTTTGTGTTGGTATCTTGGGATCTTGGCTTGGGTGGATCCGATCCTCGGCCCGCCCCGCGTGAGGTGCGAACTACCCGGACGGCTGGCCCCGTGCTCTCAGCCGGTGTCGGCAGCTCTCAGCCGCACAGTCGATGGGCACAGCCGAGAGATCAGGAAACCGGTCAATTCTCCACAACACACAACACACAACACACACACACTGGCGATGCTCGGGCGAATATTCTGGGATGGAGCACATTTCCATTGCGTCACACCCATTCCACTTACTCATTCACCTCGCCGGGAGATGGTTAGCACAGTAGGGCACTGGATCTGCACACGATCCTGACGACAATCCCTCATGGATTCCGCGGCATTGCCAACGTGTGCCTGCTTCTTCACCCTCCTGGCGCGAGAGGCTAGACCTGGGGAGATCTGCATCTAAGCATCTGCAATAAGCTACACAAGCGCCTACACACTGGACCCTCTCGGCACCGCCAAGCTTGAAGCAGCTTGAAGCAGCTGATATTTTTAGGGCCAACGAGTGGAGCGACCATGATTAATCAGGTAGGACCAGAGCGCATCTGCTTCCTACCGGCGAACTCTGAGCGTCTTCGAGAGAGTCTTTCGGGAGATCGCACCTGTGCGTACATCCTTGTCCCACGTGCGGATAGCGTCCATGGCTGCCATGCGAAACTCAGCTGGCCGCGGCTGGCAACAGTGTGATATAAGCCATTGCCTGCCTCATGCCGATTACAACCTACCTCATCACCCTTTCCATCCGACACTCGATCCACCACTCGATCCAGCATCTCTCCAGGAGCAACCTAATCGTGGTAATCTCCCGATAATCTCCCGATCTCCACACCTCTTCACCCTCACATCCTCGTACACCATACCACACTTCACCCACAACCTCGTCGACTTTGGCCGCGGAGATGAATCGCCACTCGATCTCATCAGACTCCAGGAGCCGTCGCTCTGTACCAGCGTCAGACAATGCCAGGCAAGGAGAAGCACCCAAGATGAAGGGCACATGCGATAGATGCGTAAGTCTTGCAGACATTCTACCACAATCCACTGAAAACTGTGCTCACAAAGCGAGCAGGCCCTATCCAAAGTCAAATGCGATCGGGCTCTTCCATCGTGTGCCAGATGTGTCTCCATAGGCCAGGAACTCGGCATTCCTCCACCGTGCCACTACACTGTCTCCCTGCGATCTCTACGGAAGAAGTCGGGCAAGAAGCAAGGCGAAGGCTCTTCTCGCAAGAACTCAAGACCAACTCACGTCCGGAGCGACACCGCTTCCACATACTCGGAGGATGCCAGCATGTCCCGGGGCGACCAGTCACCCGATCCTCAACAGACCGAAGGACACATCACATCTGCGCCAGCCATGGACCCATTGCCTCTGGGAGCTTTCAACGCGGCCGACATGAAGGCCGACCTCACAGGCGATCCCTTCACCATGGACCTCGAATCCGCTTGCTCGGACAGCTACTTTCCACCCATGAATAGCCTACCTGCAAACCCATTCTCGCTCGACCAAATGCAATACCCCAATTGCCTCAACGCACGCTCTGAAAGCCCATCTCGCACAACATATACCTCCGGCTTCCCGGACACCACGCACAGCAGACAGGTCCCCTGCTGTGCCGATCTCGTCTGCCTCACCGTTCACGAACTCTGGCGAGCTTCCCGTCGCAGCCCATGTGCCAACACACAGCCTCCGCTGGCTCAAACATTGGACCAAGCTTTGATGCTCCACCGCACCGCTCTGGAAGCCTTCGCCACCGTCCTCAAATGCTCCTGCGCAGAAGATCAAGAATTTGTCTTCAACGCCGCTTTCATGCTGCATTCCATCCTCGGCTTCTATCGTACCATTGTCCAAACCGCCCTCCCCCGCTCTTACCAGTCTTCCAACGACGGCATGATGCACATGCAACAAGGCGTGCAATTTCTCGGCGGCATGCACCACCAACAACATCTTCCTTCTTCGAGCTCTGCCACCACTCCCCTCTCCACGCCCGGAATCGGCCTCGCGGCTCCTCTCCGACTCGGAGTCTACACCATGGACGCGGAAGACGAACACCGCTTCAAATTACAGGTCCTCCGAAGCGAGATCACCAAAGCGTCACGGATGATGGACGATTTCGTGGCAAAGTACTGTCAATACGCCAATCCGGAAGAGACGCTCGCTCCGCCTCAATCGGCACTCTTGAAGTACACCCTGAGCATGGAACTGAAGACTTGTCTGGACGAATTGGATGAGAGAGCCGCGATCTACAGTAGTGCAGGGTGTTGATGATGATGATGATGGGAGAGGTGGGTATTTTTCTTCCTTCGTTCGTCTGTCTGTTCACGTTTGGCGAGGCGCAAGGATGGGGCAACGCGGTCTTGAAATTTTTTTTTTGACAGGAAACAGAAGTATAGATACAGCAGAGCAGCGCATAGCATAGCAAAGCAATCCCCTCGGAGGGAGAACAGGATGCGAAGATATGAATTCAAAATCTATGATGTAGCAAAGAGATTCTTGTCCTTCAACGAACCTGCTCCACTTTTTTTTTTCCTGCATTGCTCGTGGGTTGAAGTCTGATAACCCCTACTGCAAGGCGTTGTGATGTACCTACGTTTTACTGCCTCTCGCTCCACTAACTCCGCATCCAGACGCGACCGACTTTTTCCATTCTTATAGCCATAGCCACGGCCATAGCCATGATCACGGCTATGGATTCTTTCACGAAAAAATATATCTACACCTTTCCGTGCATATCCACCACAATTTCGCTCTCATGCTCTTCTTACTCTTACTCTTGCTCTCCGAAAAGAAAAAAGTCCAAGTTTCTTCTCCGCGAGAAAACAAAAACAGTCACAGTTACAAGTTACAGTTACAGTGATTATTACAGTGATGACAGCAAATAATGGATCATGCACAAAAAATGCGATGCATGCCAAGTATGCACTAGTCACGCCTCCGTTTGGCGCACTGATAAGGAATAATGTAGGTAAGGTAAGGTAAGGTAAGGTAAGGTAAGTGTACACACAAGCCCGATTCGGGATTTGTCGCCTTCTGCCACGTTTGGACGGGGAGCGATTTTTTCTTTTTTTCAGCCCCGGTATCATAGGCGTTGTTTCGGGGTTTAGATACCAGGGAAATTCCAGGTTGTTGCGTGCGAGCGCGCGGAGAGTATATATAGTATAGAGGGAGAGGGAGGGAGTAGGTGAGTGAGTAAGTAAGTAAGTGAGTAAGTAAGTGAGTAAGTAGGTGAGTAAGTAAGTAAGTAAGTAAGTAAGTGAGTAAGTGAGTGAGTAAGCGGTGGAAGATTTAACGAGGACGAAAAAGAGAAGAGAGGTGGGTTCCAATTTTAGATTCTCAATAGCATGGTAAGGTAGGTCGTTTTTCCATTTCAATTTCTTTGTGTGTGCTCGTGCTCGTGCTCATCTCATTTGGTGGGGGGAGGGGTTTGGGGGAAAACAAAAACGAAAGTCTATAATACGCTAAGAACGGTTGATGATAGTTGATGTTGATGTTGAACTCCGATTTGGACTCCGCTTGCTCCTGCAGTACTTCAGCCAACTCCGCCACGGTGTTCTCCTCCATTGCACTTCCTCGAAAGAAGATTTCGTAGTTTCTGTGTAAGTCCTCCCAAGACACCAGGGACTGCTCATCGCGACTCGGGATTGAGTCCGAATCGAGTCCGAGAGGTGTCCGGGCCGTGGGCAGGATCTAGTAGATGCCCGGGAGGATCTTGTACGGAGTGCGGCGCTTGTATTCGGCCCACTGGGAAGTGTACTGCCAAAGGGCGTGCGAATTAGTAGACGGCTCATCACAGGGCGAATGTCTCTCTCTCTCTCTCTCGGACTTACTCGCTTCGTGCAGTATGCGTCAAGTGCGGGGATGGCGCGGGAGGAGAAGTCCCAGATGAAGAAGGCGAAGGTGACGGCGCCCAGGATCCAGCCTCCCGTCGCGAGGCCGAGCCCAGCGCGCCAGAGGGAGTAGCCGGTGTAGTTGATGTGGCGGCAGATCGAGAACAGGCCGCCCATGTAGCACTTGCCCTTGTTGCGGGCATCGTCCTGTGTCTTGGATCAGTCTCTTCACACGAACAAGCCTCGTCGCGTCAGAGTACAGGGATGGAGCATACCTTGAACTGCTTGCGCTGGACTTCGGCCAGAGTCTCGGCTCCAATGCCAACCCAGTACAAGAACGAACCGATCCAGAACGCAAGGCCCATATCCTCGACGCCAGACGTGTTGGAGGCAATGGAGAGCGCAGTGGTGAGGAAGAAGAGGGAATTCGTGCTGAACCAGAAGACGTTGAAGAAGCCGACGGCGAGAGCTCCCGTGACGGTCCAGGCTTCCTGTGCCACACACAGGACGAACCACACGTGCTTCAGGGCGGCCATGGAGACCATTACCAGCAGAGCGGCGCGGTAGGGTGTCAAACCGAGGGGGAAGTGCACGGATTCCAAGGGCTTCTGAAGGACATTGCCGCCCAGGAATCGGATGAGAGGGTCGGCCAGACCGAGCGCGAGCAACCCATACTGCAAGAAGCAGTCTCCTATCCGCAGTCCTAGGAACAGGGTGGTGGTCAATGGAGAGGAGGATTTGTTGCCTCGAGGGACGAAGTCCGGTCTGGCCTTGCCGCCCAGCGGCTTCTCGGCTGCCACAGAAGTGGCGGTGACGGTTTGGGTGGTGCTCATGGCGCTGGTGCAGACGGGAGAGGCGGTTGATGGGTGTTAGAGAATTGCGTGAACGGTAGGAGAAGGCGAGAGTGAGTGGAATGCTTGATATGCCAAGTTTGCCAATGCGAACCCAGCGGTGCTTATTATCTTCGATCCAAGGACGCCAGGAAGCTTAGTATGCTCCTTGCAACGCCTTGGACGTTGTCGCCGTCGGGCGTGACGAGTGCCTGTCTTGCATGGTGAAGACCGATGGATGGATATTCAGGGCGGTGATGGCCTTGTTTCACGCCGCATCTGTCGCCGAGGGTTCAGGTTCAGCCATTGCGTGCTGAACGGGTCTCACATGAAACAGGTGATCGACACGGACTCAAAGCAGCATCTCGCAGTGCGTTTGTGCTCACATCATCCAGCGAGCTGCGGAGAGGGACGCTGATGATGCAGTGCCGGTGAAGGTGGATGTACGTGTAGCTCACTACTGGGAACTTGCGCGATCGGGAATACACAAATGCACAGCTATTTCGGTCTCACAGCCGAGGTTCGTCCGGGAGGACCCGCAGCCACATCTCTTCCTTCCTTCCTTCCTTCCTTCCTCCACAGCTTCACCATTCATGTTCCTCTGCTCATCCCCTCACGCTCTTCGTCATCATCACCATCGCCTACGTGTATTCCATTCTATTGCTAGAGGAACGCAGGGCTTGGCGTCCAACGATGACAAACATTCCCTAGTCAGCCTCGTTGCAGGCAATGATGCAAACGCGTGCCGACGCGTCGAAAATGTCAACGCGTCTCGATCCAGGAAGATGACACGGACTGCTCTTGAGGAAGCTCATGAACTGCATCGCCGAGAAAGGAAGTCTTCGACGTCTGATGAAGCCCAAACGATGGGTCTCTCTCGAGATCATGTGCGATCAGAGGACACTACAGAGCATGCCTCGCCTTGCTGTAACATTCGCTGACTGCGATTACATGAAGCTCAAAAAAGCGTCACAGATACCCGCTGGACTGTTGATTATTCAGATGGCTTTCACTCGTCCAAAGGCCTCGAATAATTCGGTCTGGCTGAGCTCTGCGGCTTGAACCCCCTTGGCATATCTCTACTGTCTGTAGAATCGAAGAGCATCAGCGTTGTCAATAAGAACGTTCAACAATGGCCTATGCTGGAAGCAAGACACAAAACCACTAACATATTGATGACTGGCATAAGCAATTTTTCCCCAAAAGACGCACGGTCTCACAGCTCTTCAAATAGCAGGCGTGGAGGAAGATACAACACAGCAGACTCTAGCCCGTGAAAGCCTCAGCCCGGATTCGGGATTCGTCGATTTCGGATACTCAACCCGCCAAGGCCAGTTCACGCCGTACACATGCTTCCTACCGCGTCTTGCTTCGGTCTCAGCTGACACATGCCTACTGCGTGCTATCTATTGCCGAGAATTTTGGGCTCGAGACGCTACCATACTGGACGTATTCATCGACGAGCCTCTCGTCTAGAGTCGGCAATAGCAAGTCTACACAATTGCGAAACCGGCCATTGCCACCGCAGCCATGCTGCCTACGCAATCCGCTCGGCCTTCATCGAGGAACCAAGACACGGCAACAACGTACCTGTCGCCGACTTTTGAAGTCAATGCCCGTGTCCATTTGATATAACTTGGTGCCACAGCAGTGCACCTGCAGCCTCCTCAACAAGCCCTCCATCCCACGTACCCTGCCCTCCACCCTGCATGCCCTCTAGCAACATTCGCTACTGCCCTACAAAAAGACCACTACTACCACGACTGAACCGCCACTACTCATACCCCATCATCCCATCCGTTGCACCTCTCCCCTCGTTATTCATGGAGCAAATTCAGAAGATGCAGCTGCTCGTGTTTGGCGACCAGACTGCTGGCTTCAATGCTTCGCTGCGTCGTCTGATCAACATCAAGCACAAGTCTCTGTTGACCTCCTTCCTCCAGCGCTCTCACTTTGCCCTCAAACATGCCATCGGTCGTTTGCCTGAAGAGCAACGCTCCGATTTCCCAAACACAGCCTCCCTGCCCGACCTGCTTGCGGACTACGCCCTATCAGTACCGCACCCAGCCCTCGAGTCGGCCTTCCACTCCATGAACCAGCTCGGCAGCTTCATTGCGTTGGTTTACTCTTCCCTGTGAATGATGAACCCATTCTAACATACTAATGCAGGGCTTACGAAGATGGCGACCGCCCATACCCATCTTCATCTGACGTTCGAACCGCCGGTGTCTGTACTGGAGTCCTCGCTGCCGTTGCGGTCAGCTTCGCGCAAAGCGTCGAGTCCCTCGTCCCACTTGCCGTCGAGACGGTACTAGTCTCGTTCAGGACTGGCATGCGAGCCCACGAGATTCGATCTAGAGTCCTTAAGGGGGAGACGGAGCCGTGCTCATGGCTTGTCATGGCTTCACAGGCTACTGTAGAGAAGGCCATCGCCCAGTTCTGCCAGGATCAGGTAAGTACCATGGACCGATTCTAAGGGGAAAGCAAATCACTGACCGGAATACAGCATATTCCAACGACCATCTCGCCCTACATTAGCGCAATAAGCCCGAGCTGCATCACTCTCAGCGGTCGACCAAGCATCGTTCGTCAGTGTTTGGAGACTACCGAGTTGAGCAAGTGCAAGCCAATGAAGCTGCCCATCTATGCGCCCTATCATACTGGGCAGCTCTACTGCGACGCTGACGTCGCCAACATCCTCTCGGCAGCAGAGCAAGAGATCCTCGAACGTCGCAGCTCCAGCTTGCCACTTCTCTTCCCACAGGAAATCAGCGATCTTGGTTCAGCTCTGCGCTTCGCCCTGCGTCAGATTCTGATTGAGCCGGTCCAGCTGAACAATCTCTCCCGCTCGCTCGCGGACGCGGCAAAGAGAGTCGATTGCAGCAAGGTCACGATTGTGCCTGTTGCTGCTACTGCGTTGCAGGGCGTGGCCACCGCCGTGGCCAAATGCGGCGTCTCAAGCGTTGACGTCGCCACAGATATCGCGGAGTTGAGCAGGAAGATCGAACAGGCTACTGCTACTGGCAACCCGGGCCACAGCAAATTAGCCATTGTCGGCTTCGGAGGTCGTTTCCCAGAAGCTGACAGCTTGGACGAATTCTGGCAGCTTCTTCAAGATGGACGTGACGTTCACAAGCCGATTCCAGCGGACAGATTTGATGCCGAAGCCCATTGGGACCCTACTGGAAAGCGACGTAATACCAGCAAGGTCAAGCACGGTTGCTTCATTCGTCAGCCGGGCTTGTTCGACGAGAAGTTCTTCAATATGAGTCCTCGAGAGGCTGCCAACTCAGACCCTGCCCAGCGTCTGGCTATCACCACTGCATACGAAGCTATGGAGATGGCGGGAATGGTGCCTGATGCCACAAACGTACGTCAATCCCTATGTATACTCGGGGTGCCTCGGATGTTTGCTAACTTTTGATCACATGAATAGTCTACCCGCCGTGACCGTGTTGGCATCTTCTACGGCATGACTTCCGACGATTGGAGAGAGGTCAATTCGGGGCAGAACGTCGATACCTATTTCAGTGAGCATTCCATCCTACCCATCGGCGTACAACATGCTGATCACATACTTTGCAGTTCCTGGAGGCAATCGCGCTTTTACTCCTGGACGTCTGAACTATCACTTCAAGTTCTGCGGCCCCAGCTTCAGTATTGACACTGCTTGCTCTTCCAGCTTGGCAGCTATCAATGCTGCTTGCAACACTCTGTGGAAGGGCGATTGCGACACTGCGATTGCAGGAGGTAAGATACCAAAGGCACAAGCCATCCCCAACGCACATCTCGTCGTCAAGCCACTACCCATCCTGCCAGCTCCTGGTGTCTGAGGAACCCACTGACCTTCCAACAGGCGTAAACATCATCACGAATCCTGACAACTTCGCCGGCCTGGACCGCGGTCATTTCCTTTCCACCACGGGCAACTGCAACACCTTTGACGATGCCGCCAATGGCTATTGCCGTGCTGATGCAATTGGGACTATCATCCTCAAGAGACTTGAAGATGCAGAGGCTGATCGTGATCCCATCCACGGCATTATTCTATCGGCCAGCACGAACCATTCCGCTGAGGCAGAGTCCATGACACGCCCGCATACCGGTGAGCTTTTGATTCCTCTAATCAATTCGACTATCAGCTAATGACTCGATAGGCGCCCAAGTATCTATGCTCAATCACATGCTCAACTCCGCCGGCCTTGAATCTCGTGACGTTAGCTACGTGGAGATGCACGGCACTGGTACCCAGGCTGGAGACGCCACCGAGATGCGAACAATGCTTCAGGTCTTCGCACAGGACCAGAAGCAGCGCGGAGACCGTCCGATCCATGTCGGCTCAGTCAAGAGCAATGTTGGCCATTCTGAGTCTGCGTCTGGCGTCACGGCACTTATCAAGGTTCTACTCATGATGAAGGCGTCTGCTATTCCTCCTCACTGCGGTATGTTCTCCATATTGAATTCTTTCGCCTCTGCTGACACTACTGGTTCGCAGGTATCAAAACCAAGATCAATCACAATTTCCCAACCGATCTTGCTCAGCGCAATCTGCACATCGCTTTCAAGACTACACCTTGGGAGCGCCATGCCGATGGCAGACCTCGTGTGGCGTTCGTAAACAACTTCTCGGCCGCCGGTGGCAACAGCTCTGTTCTGCTTCAAGACGGACCAGTTCGTGGTGCCATTCCAACAGAGGATGCCCGTCTCTCTCAAGTTATTACTATCTCCGGGAAGTCAAAGAACGCTCTGCAACAGAATCTCCAGGCAATGCTTCAGTGGGCTCAGAGCAACCCCAATGCATCCCTGCCAGCGCTTTCATACACCACGACTGCTCGCAGAATTCACTACAATCACCGTGTCGGTATCGCCGCAACGGACCTGGTCGCCGTACAGCAAGGCTTGCAGAAGGCAATCGAACAAGAAAGGAAGCCAACCAAGAAGCGCAAGGTCGCTTTTGCCTTCACTGGTCAAGGCATGCTCAAGAGCGGCATGGGCAAGATTTTCTACGACAACTTCTCCTCCTTCCGCTACGACGTCCTCCAATATGACAAGGTCGCTCAAGATCTTGGCTTCGAGAGCTTCACTGGGTTTCTCACCGGAGAGATCACGACCGATACCATGGAGCTTAGCCCAGTTGTCACTCAACTCGGCCATGCTGCATTTCAAATGGCTCTGACCAAGCTCTGGAAGGCATGGGGAGTGGAGCCAGTCGCTGTGATTGGTCACAGCCTTGGCGAATATGCTGCCCTCCATGCATCCGGTGTTTTGTCGCCTAACGAAGTCATCTTCCTCGTCGGCTCGAGGGCTACCCTCCTGAAGGAGAAGTGCACGCCCAAGACTCACGCCATGTTGAGTGTCCGCGAATCTGTCTCGACGCTCAAGAGCAAATTTGGCAGCAATCTTCCAGAAGTGGCTTGCATCAACGGACCAAGCGACACCGTCCTGAGTGGACCAAACGAGGTCGTCGCTTCCGTGCTTGAGGCTCTAATGGCCTCTCGCACGAAGCACACTGGTCTCAACGTCCCGTACGCTTTCCACTCCAGCCAAGTCGAACCAGTGCTCTCGAACTTCCACCTTAAGTGCCAGGGCGTGCAGTTCGCCGATCCTACGGTTCCATATATCTCGCCGTTGCTTAAACAAGTCATCAACGAGGGCTCACGCCTCGGTCACGGATACTTGGCTGATGCTTGCCGTGGCACTGTAGATTTCAATGGCGCCATCACTACTGCTCTGGAAGCTGGTGTTGTCGATAAGGCCACGATCTGGGTTGAGGTTGGGCCGCATCCCGTCTGCTCCACCATGCTGAAGAACATCCTTGGCTCTGAGACTGTCGCCGTGCCATCCACCTCGATCAAGCAAGAGCCATGGAGCGTGCTCGCCACTTCTCTGGCTTCGTTATACACGGCTGGAGTGGACATCAAGTGGTCGGCCTATTGTTTCGATTTCAAGGAGTCGGCTCATGTCATTGAACTTCCCAAGTACGCGTGGGACGCCAAGAACCACTGGATTCAGTACAAGAACAACTTCACTCTTGACAAGGGCGAGACTCCCCCGGTGCAGCCGCTTCCACAGCTTCAGATGCAACCCGTCCAGATCTTGACCAATTTCAAAACAACTGCCTCGGCACAAAAGGTCATCCAGGAGTCTGAGAACTTCATCGAGGTTGAGTCCGACATTTCCACGCCGGCCCTCACAGGTGTCGTGCAAAACCACAAGGTCAATGGCATCATGTTGTGCCCATCTTCCCTCTACGCCGACATTGGTCTTACACTGGCAAATTACCTTGCCGAGGAGGCCAAGCAACTGGCTCCGACCATCGGCTTGAATGTGGCTGAGGTCAAGGTGATGCGTCCTCTCGTAGCTACTGGTGCCAAGCAGCTTTACCGGGCTACTGCCAAGCTGGATGTCCTCAGTCGCCAAGTGCGAGTCAGGATCTCCAGCGTCAGCGAGGTCGGCAAGAATATGGGTGACCACTGCGAGTGCATGATCAAGCTGGAGGATAAGGAAGCCTGGTCGCGTGACTGGAAGCGCAGTGCCTACCTCGTCAAGGCCCGCATCAACACGCTCCACACCTCCGAGAGCGACAACGTCGAGATTGTCAAGCGCAATGTTGCCTACAAGCTCTTCAGCGCGCTGGTTGACTACGGCAAGCCTTACCAAGGCATGGAACAAGTCGCTTTTGACAGCTTGGAGCATGAGTCTTCCGCTCGTGTACGCTTCCAAGCTGAACCAGCGGAGGACTTCTTCTTCAGCCCGTACTGCATCGACAGCCTGGGTCATCTTGCTGGCTTCACCATGAATGCTGACATGACCAATGACTCTTCCAAGCAGGTCTTCATCAACCACGGCTGGGACGCCATGCAGGTATCGAAGAAGCTCTCTGCTGCCGCTACTTATCACACCTACGTCCGCATGGCCCATCTCGGCAACAAATTGTACTCCGGCGATGTCTACATCATGGAAGATGATGAGATTGTTGCTGTCTACACTGGCGTCAAGTTCCAAGGCGTGCCTCGCCAGGTGCTTGATGGTCTGGACCCAAGCAAAGCGAGAGCTCCCGCCAAGGCTACCGCGCCGAAAGCAGCTGCCGTGGCACCAAAGGTGCCAACCATCATGGAGAGAAGACAGTCGATCAAGCCTGCCGAGATTCCTATTGCTCAGCTTTCCCAGCCGAGCAAGTCGATTGCTGCCCTGGCCATCATTGCCAAAGAGGTCGGGGTGGATGTCACCGAGATGAAGCCAGAGCTTGCATTTGAGGACGTCGGACTCGACTCTCTGCTCTCCCTGACCGTGGCCGAGTGCCTCCGCGAAGAGCTGGGTCTTGAGGTCGACAGCTCTTTGTTCATCACCTGTGCGACCGTCAAGGATCTTGTTGCTCATCTCGACAAATTGACTGGCTCGGCTCCCGTCCCACCTTCATCGAGCGTGAAGAGCTCTTGCTCCAGCGTCTCCATGTCCCGCTCTGTCTCCAGCTGGTCGGCATCGAGCTGGTCAGATGTTGGCTCTGGCACGCCATCTACTGCGCAGACCAGTGTTGCTCCTACCGCCGCTCCCAGCGAGTGCGGTGACAAGCCCGAGCAAGCCACCACCACGGCCAACGACTCTGCTATCGAGGGTATCCGCCAGGTTATCGCTGAAGAAATTGGAGTTGAACTTGGCGACATCACTGGGCCGACCGACTTCAACGAGCTTGGCCTTGACTCGCTACTTGCGTTGAACCTCACGAGCCGGCTGAGGGAGTATCTTGACACTGACATTCCATCGACCCTCTTCACCGATTGCAGCACCTTCAACGAGGTCCTAGCCACACTTGGGATCCAGACTGCTGTTGCCAAGCCATCGGCTCCAGAGGTGCCACGCGAGCCAGCTAGGGTTCTTCCACCAGCGAGTTCTGTCCTGCTTCAAGGGTCCGCAGCAACTTGCACTCAGAAGCTATTCCTCTTTCCGGACGGCTCTGGATCCGCATCCTCCTACATCGGTCTTCCTCAAATCAGCAAAGACGTCGCAGTCTACGGTCTCAACTGTCCTTTCCAGAAGTCTCCTGCTGAGCTGGAGAAGATTCGCCTCGACGAATTGACGGCACCATACATCGCCGAAATCCGTCGACGTCAACCACAGGGTCCATACTCTCTCGGAGGCTGGTCCGCGGGTGGGATCTGTGCCTACGACGCTGCTCAGAAACTCATTGCTGCTGGAGAGAAGGTAGAACGTCTCCTTCTCCTCGACTCTCCCTTCCCCATTGGTCTTGGTAAGCTCCCACCGCGGCTCTACCAGTTCCTCAATGGGTTGAATCTGTTCGGCGAGGGCACTCGTCCCCCTCCATCCTGGTTGCTCCCGCACTTCCTGGCATTCATCGAGAGTCTGGATACTTACCGCGCCGTGCCATTCGCGCCCGGTACCGCGCCGAAGACTTTCGCGATCTGGGCTGCGGATGGTGTCTGCAAGGACAAGCCCATGCCGGAACTCCTAGCTACGGACCCGAAAGAGATGAAATGGATTCTCAGCAATCGATCTGATTTCGGACCGAACGGCTGGGATGGCTTGCTCCCCGGAGCGAAGTTTGCGACCAAGAAGATGGAAAATGCGAATCATTTCACCATGTAAGTTTTTGCTTTCTCCTGCCTGTGAGATTCTGGTTGCATGTGCTGACGAGGTCGATAGGATGAAAAATGACAAGGCCGCGGAGCTTAGCGCTTTCATCGGAGAGGCCATGAGCTCTTGAGGCTGCAGATTGAATTCATTCATCAATCAAGGCGTTCTTTCTTGGGTTTTCATCTGCACTTTTTTTGCGAATTTGATTTCTTTTGACGAGTGGGGTGCAAGGCTGGAAGGGAAAGGGGATTGATTATTAGGGCACCCCCGACCTGGACGGACGCATTGTGTGTCTCACTTTGTGCGACCTGACCCCCGTGGATTCCATGGTGGATTTGCCTCGAGCGAGGGATTAGGGCACCTCGGCTCGGGAGATTCGGTATGAAAGAAGCGGAGGGAGGGGGATAGTGTTGTGTCGTGTTCTTTCTTTTGTCTGTGGCATCGGGGCTGGCTGGTGTTTTGCATAGCTCTTCTCAAAGGCAAGGCAAGGTGTTGGATAATAGATTTTCTTCGCATTTTTGTTCTTTTATTTTTATTTTTGATATAGAGTGGGAAATGGAAGTTTTTCTTGTTCGTTGTTTAATTGCTGCAATAATGTTCGCGTGTTTCTTATGATACTTGATTTTTCTATCAATGCGGATCGCTACCTTATGCTCGATTTCATTCATCTCCTTTTGGTGAGACATTAGACACTGCTTGGGATTGGGAGACGTCAGATTTTTGGTGGTTTGGTTTCAATGTTTGAATGGTTCTGCCAAGGGAGTAGCCTTCTGAATTCATGAGACGTGAGCTCGTGATGTTATTGGAAGATGTTTTCATCAACGCTTTCAGCTTCTGACCATCGGAATAAGCTGTGATGACAAAGACCTGCTCAATGCTTGCATCGTGCATGAAAGGAAGTCCATCAAAATTTGCTGCATCTCCATCAAAGCTCGACTCTTTCCTCTTTGGGACTAGCTAGCATGTGGGTGCTGAAAGATCTATTTTCGGAGCTCAGCCGCGACGACATCACCTCTGCTCAACACCGAGAACATCTTGAATACCGACAACGCGATCCTTTATCGCTTTTCACGAACGCGAACGCGGCATCAAGTCCGTTTGGAGTGATTGGAGTTGTGGATATGTTGTCTGTGAATATTGGAGAATGATGGGAATGCAATGGAGACTTTTGTGGAAGAAGACCACAAGATGCGCTTGATATGGGGATTCTCCTCTTCGGTTGGTGGCCTGAGGCGCATTCGATCCAGAGACTTCCTAGTAATTGCGAATCGTGCTCTCAGCGAGGATTGCATTCCGACTCGGGCTCCAATTGCTTACTCACCCAATGCCTCAGCATGTATTTGCGGTTGCCGCGGTGGCTGTTCGCTCACGAGCCGTCGGTGTTCCATATGAGCTGAGACACGCAACAGGATCTCTTCCCATTCGGGCATCACATGAGTACCGACGACGCTCTATCTACGCAACACCGATTCACCGTGCACCGCGCACATGGCTGCCACGCTTCCCATCTCGACTCAGATGCCTATTCGAGAACTGATCTGCCTCATTGGGAAGAGTACCAACACGACTGGCCGAATGGGTATCGACTGCCGTTGCAGCCGTTGGCAACATAAGATGTCTGGAGCTGCACCACAGGAGCAAGTGCAACATACACTTCCTCTTCCTGCGCATACCCGTATGACATCGCTGCAGAACACAACAGCTGTCGACGTTTACTTGTAACATGGGTCTCCTCCGGTCTACGGCGGCCTGCCTTGCTGCCGTCGCGCTTCTTCCTTCCATCACCAGTGCGAAGCTTGTGCAGACGTCGTTGGAGTTGACGTGGGATTTGGGTGCTCCGAATGGACAATGGCGAGAGATGATCTATGTCAACGGCAGCATGCCTGGTCCGGCTTTGATCTTCGATGAGGACGACGACGTCGAGGTATGTCTTTTGCATCCCTTGTGCATTCAAGTCCTGAGCTAATCATCATCAGGTCACAATCCGCAACAAGATGTCGCAAGATGCCACTGTCCATTTCCACGGCATGCAGATGTGGAAGACTCCCTGGAGCGATGGAGTTCCAGGCTTGTCGCAGACTCCGATTCTTCCCAACACCGAATTCGTACATCGTTTCAAGGCCCAACCAGCTGGAACCTTCTGGTACCACTCGCATTCGAGAATGACACTCATGGATGGTCTCTACGGCGCCATCTTCATTCGACCCAAGAACGGCACCGACTTTCCCTTCCACATGATCAGCAACGACAGCTCGGATATTGCCGCTATGGAGAGGGCGGCTCGCGATCCGAAACTGCTCGTGTTGTCCGACTGGGAACAGTATACATCCGATGAGCTCTGGAACTATACTCTGGCATCCAACCTCGGTCTCTTCTGCTCCGACAGTATCTTGCTCAACGGCAAAGGAAGTGTGTACTGCCCGGGCACAGACTTCCTGATCAACCACACGCAACCTGGCGTTCAAGAGTCTATTGATCCAAAGTTTGTCTCTGACAAAGGGTGCCTGCCCTTCGTGCCAGCCATCGACGAGATCTGGCTTGATCTTGGCAACGAGTCCAAGATTCCGGACAAAGTACAGTCCGGTTGCGTTCCATCGTATGGATCAAGGGAGACGATTGAGGTAGACCCAGAAGACAAGTGGGTGAGCTTCAACTGGGTTGCTGCCGGCACCTTGAAGACACCTCAGCCCGCCATCGACGAGCACGACATGTGGGTGTACGAGATCAATGGCAACTACGTCCCACCCGTCAAAGTACAGGCGCTGAACCTTTGGGCTGGCGAGCGATACAGCGCAATGGTACACCTTAACCAGAAACGGGGCACGTACAACATCGACCTGGGAGACTACGGTGCGACCCAAGTCATTGGCGCGTACGCCAGCATGCGCTACAAGGGCCAACCAGAGCGATGGGGTCCTACCGAACCATGGACTCAGTACGGTGGCGCGGCCGTCGAAGACAAGAACGTCTCCATCTTGATGCCGTGGGCAGTGCTCAATGACTCCATTGGCTCCTACCCGAACCAATATCAGAACTTCAAAGTCCCGCCTCCCAAGCTTCTGGCCGACCAGGAGGTCTACCTCTACGCCGGTCGCACCAATTCTTCCTACTCCTACACTGTCGGCGGCTGGCATGGAAACAAGATCAATAACACTCAAGCAGGGCTCATCATGTATCCGATCGACTGGCTCAGCGGCAACCCGCTCATGTACAACCCCAACGGCACCGACGCCATGAACCGCGGCCTCGTCTTCCGCACCAACAACGCCACCTGGGTGGACATAGTCTTCATCGTCGGCGCCAACTACGGCGACGGCAAGCCCTTCACCCACGCCATCCACAAGCACGGCTCCAAGACCTTCCGCATCGCCCAGGGCGAAGGCGTCTGGAACTACACCTCCGTCCACGACGCCTATGACAAATCCCCCCACCTCTTCAACTTCGACAACCCCGGCTACAGAGATACCTGGTTGACGATTGCCGATATGCCCGGCTGGCAGATTTTGCGCTACTACGTCGACAACCCGGGTCCCTGGTTGATCCACTGTCACTTGGAAATCCACCTGGCGGGGGGGATGGGTATGGTCGCGATGGACGGCGTGGACGTCTGGCCGGAGATTCCGCCCGAGTACCGCGCCGGCAACCAGGGCGTCATGCCGCCGAGCCTCAATATGACCACGCGGTATGGTGGGGATTACAAGCGCAGGGTACCGATGCCTTCTGCGGCTGACTATATCTAAAACTCCGTTTGAGCCTGGCGGATCTCTCTGATGTTTTGAAGTGGTTTTTTTTTTTCGTCTTGCATCGCGAGGAGTCATTCCTGGTTTGGCGGGCATTTTTGGGGGGGGGGCGGTAATGCGATAGATTTGTGTAAAGATCAACATTATATTATCGAAAACCTCGTAACAACCATGTTTTTCCACCCACCGCGAGAATTTCTCTTTCTACTCGATTGCCTCCTCTTTCTCTTACCGGGTTTTCGCGCTCGATTGATTGAATCTCCAAAAGAGCCATACCGTCTCAAGAAACGAAGCCGCCGTCGGACCTGTCAAACATCCAACCAGCTATAGTACCCAGACTCCAGGCTGCATCTAATCTTAGTTCTGGAAGGTAAAGGAAACCCCCCGGGTGGTTGACAAGACATACGCTTCATATCGCAACGTACGTCGAGATGATATGGCAAAAAGCGGGCGTGACCCGCTCTAATAGCCTAGCCAGGGGAGAAAAGGCTGTAGCCGTAGAAGAGAATAGAACAGAATAGGACAGAACAGACCAGAACAGGATGAACGAGATATAGTGCGCCCTAAGTCATTTATGCCGTATAGGGCTGTACAAGGCTCTTGGAATAAGGTGGACTTGGACTTGGTCTTGGTTTTTGGGAAAGTCTAATCTCTCTTTCTGCAAAGTAGGTGAAGGTACTTATCTACCGAGTCTCTGCTTCTTTGATCCATGGACAGGGGAAATCTTAAAAGGGTCGTGCAAATACCCACACATTCTATCTTGTTATTATGATTATATCTGCGATTGTCGTGTCGTGTCGTGTCGTGTCGTGGGGTTCACGTTAATACATTATCCGAAATCTGTACTGTACTAGAGCTGCTTGAAGAATGAGAAGTAGGTATACTAATACTAGTGGTGTGAAAAGTATACTCACTCTCGCTGCGATATATTACATGGTGTTCCGAAGCGGTTGGTTTCGAAGCAAGAGTCGTGGTGCTTCGGCCAACCCATGGAGTGATCTCGCGAAGCTAGGGAGATGCAAGAACTGGCCCCATAGCTGAGAGTACTGGTGCGGCGCGGACTATGGCGTTGATGATACTTGGGAGAACGACTGTTCTGGTGCGAGGGAGAGCTATCAGAAAGGGTATACATTCATAGATATAAATAAAGATATTCAGACCTTCAAATCGTCGGGTTTTGATTCATTTTCAGATCGACGTCTGTCTCCTCGCCAGCCAGTTTGGAGTGTGATTTTCCGAAAAAGCCGTTTGGCATCTTCGCTGGCGCCGTAACAGCTTGCTTTTTGGGTAGGAGATGTAGATATGCACGACGACCTCCTTCGTTCCCTGTTCTATAAGCTTACGGTACGCACCACAGTGGCGTTGCCCTGGAAGCGAGCGGACTGTGAGATCGCCAAGCTCAAAAATCGAATAGCTCAGAGCATGGCCAGAAGGAAACAGTGGCTCAACGCCATTTGCGTCGAGATGCTTGGATCCCGCCTCCAGCGCTTCATCGTACGGGATTTGAAGATCGGAGGTGATGATCTGTCCTGTATCGTCCAGCGTCTTGGGAGAGTTAGAGGTAGCTTTTCCCACTACTAGGTGAGAGATCGCCAAATAGCAATCTTTCCCGCGCGAGACCGATCTGTTGACTTGACCGCCAGATTCAGACTCCATGACAGCGTCGACTTCATTGAGCCAAGGCCAGCGGATAGCAGAGTTCGCGTTGAGGATACGAACGGTTTACTTTAACAGTTCGGCGATTCGTGTCATCTATGATAGCATAGCTTCTTGGTCTCCTGGTTCAAAGTCCGTGGTCTGTGTTCTCTCAAGCGGTGAGAATTGCACGGTGTTTCCCAAGTTCGCTTTGGACATGTTCGGAATGAGATTCCGCTGTGTTGTTAGAGAAAAGTGATGGAGACCGGTCGGATTTGGCTAGAAGGTGCCTTTGTATACGCACAAAAAGACCCGTGGCCGTGACATCCACAGTTCTTCAGAGTAGGCCGCTGCCGTGATGTTGGCTAAGGAAAGCTGTGTGGTTGGAAGCTGCGGAGTAGTCTGTCGTTGCACAGTTGTGTACTGTAGTATGAGTGAACATGACAGGGGGTTGTGGTGGCGAAATTTCCGGTGCCTGGATAGGCTTCTGAGTAGACGACAGGGATGTTCTCCGATGCACGGCCATTGTCGTGTCGATTACAAATCCAGTTGTGGTTCGTGCAGTAAATATGTGACTTAGCCTTCCGTTGCTGGTGCTGGAGTGGTGTTGCACTTACAGCTGTCTAGCACTCGCAGCTGTCTAGCATAGCACTTGCAGCTGTCTTGGCCGAGTGTCGGTTTGAAACGAACCCTCCATCAGTACATATCCCCTCGGCCATTATTGAACCCTGGTATGCCGAGCTTCTAGCCCGGCACTCGCAAGAGCTTGATCATCATGATGACCGAAGATGTTAGGGTGTAGTCCGTGCCTCAGGGGGATCTTATACAGTATATTTCTATATTATCATTAGTTGGGTAGATCGCCTAGATCGTGCTAACATACTACGGCTCATCATCTCCATCATTGCTTACTGTACTAGTTTACCCGCCCCGAAACGCCCGGCCCGTGCTAATGCCATTATTCAGACCGACCTATGCGTGAGTGAGTTGTGCAGTGTCGGGCGATATGGCGATACTGGCCTATAGTATCTGGCCTATAGTATCTGGCCTATAATATCTGGCTGTATGCGTGTGCTAGCTATACGTATCTTGCTGTTGTCGGTGATGCGCGGTGGTCTGTGCGCCGTCAGCCTAGTCTATCGTCTCATCTCATCTCATCTCATCTCATCTCACATTTCATCTTATTTCAACACCCTGGACTTCATCCATCTACGTGGACATGGAGAGCCTGCATGATGCTAATGCCATGCCACGCCATGCCATGCCATGCCATGCAGAATCATGCCACAGCATATAACACATAACACATTGCTGCGATGGACGGGGTCCCAGGCTCATCCTCGCCCTGAGCAAGGAGCTTATCCCGTATGGATAGGATGATCCAGACACTGGCACCTCGGGAGCTGTTACGACTGGTAAGCTCGCGATGAGAACGGTAGCCCAACGAGGATACAGGCCAGAATCATGCAAGGTAGCCTGCAAGGTAGCCTGCAATAATTGGGACATGACTTTTGCAACGTGATTCCAGCTGACCATACCCCATCGCAAGCATGTATAAAAAGGCGAATCCTCTGGCGACCGCGATCACATGCGCAGAGCTACCAGCTGGTGCGGCACGCGAAGAATGCCTCCCCCAAGGTCCTCGCCCGCGTGCCTGTCACGCTCGGCCTTGATCGTCTTTTCCATCCTCTCCCTCGCGACAGCCGCCGACAAGAAGCCTCCGCAGACGCCCATTCTCTTCAACGATACGCCAGATTCATTGTCCAAATTGACGGATAAGGTGATCGCGGCGCAGAAGGCAGTAGTGGACAAAACAATCAAAGAGGTGCGTATATGTGGGTCGCGAAATCTCCGCCGTTGCCCTCTAGCAACCACCTTCTCACATTTCGCAGGTGAAACTGGAAGATGCCGACTGGAAGAACGTCATCTGGCCATACCTCTCATTCGAAGACGAAGCCTCTCTTGCGACTGGTGCAATTGGTCTCTATCAATCCGTAGGCAATGCTGAGCTGCAGAAAGCCTCCAATGACGCAGCCACCAAATTCAACGCGGCTGGCCAAAAGGACGTACTCATCCCACAGTACTTCCGACTCATCGATGCGGTGTACAAGAAGTACAACAAGACGAATGGCCAAGACGATGATGGGTATGAGTATCCAGTATCCCTGACCCGCAGGCAAGCGGTCGATGGGAGGCTACCGTTGGATGAATGGCGGATACTGGGAGGAATGTGGCAGGGCTATGTGGACGCCGGCCTCAGTCTCACGGACAAGGCCAAGTTTGCACGACTGCAAGAGATTGATCGCCTTCTGGTGAAGCTTCAGACCGATTCCTCACAGGCGGTCATCGATGACAATACCATCGTGTGGCTAACGCCCAAGGAACTCGATGGCGTCCCGAAAGACATATTGGACGCGATGAAGAAGGGTAGCGGAACCGACGAGGGCAAGCTGGGTCTTCCACTCAAAGGACCGCTTGAAGCAGGAGCTGCACCATACATTAAGGACGGCAGTGTAAGGCTGAAGGTCGCCGTTGCTATCGCGAACCAGGCGCCCAGCAACGTGGATCGTCTTCAACAAATGGTGGCCTTGAGAGACGAAAGAGCTCGAATCTTGGGCTGGCCCAATTTCGCCGCATATGTAAGTGTACTGACAGTTCGTCCTCCGCAGGCGATGTGGCTGACCTGCTGCAGCGAATTCACGACAACGTGGCAGATGATGTTACTCGAGTCAACAAGTTTGTCGATGACGTCCGCCAAAAGCTCTTCAAGCCCAATCAAGATCAACTGAAGATAGTGAGAGATTTCAAGCTCTCCAACGGTAGCTTTCCGCCTGGAACATATGAGAATAGGACCTTCGACGACAACAAGCTTTGGAGATGGGACGTGGGTTACTACGCCCGACTTTACGGAGAGCAGGTGGACAAAGTCATCGACGACGATATCAAGGAGTACTTCCCCGTCGACTCGACGATACAACGAATTCTGGATATGTACTCCAGGATCTACGGGTTCGAGTTTCATCCGATCAAAGGCACAGACCTCGACGATCTGTCGCCGACCGGAAACGGCACGGACTTGGTATGGCACCCTGACGTGCAGGTGTTCTCGGTCTGGAACACCCAGGGTGGTGATTTTGCCGGCTATCTTTATCTTGATCTTTTCTACAGGGAGGGTAAAGGCGGTGGCGCCTACCAAATTCCAATCCGACCAGGCTTCCTGTATGAGAACGGCACGAGGGCGTATCCATCGGCAGCCCTTGCCGCCAACTCGCGCAAATCAACCGGAGACATACCGTCGCTGCTCTTACACTCCGAAGTTCAGACTATCTTGCATGAACTCGGACATTGCATGCATTATCTTTCATCAAAGGTTCGTTTCAGCAGGTTGCATGGGCCTCCCGGCTGTCCACCAGACTTCTTCGAAGCGCCGTCACAAATGATGGAGAACTACAACTGGCAGCCATCGGTGATCAAGTATCTCTCGAAGCACTACTCCCACATCTCGCCCGCGTACCTTGAAACCTGGAAGAAAGACCACAAAGACGACAATAAGGACCTGAAGCAACCCCCAGAGACCATGCCCGAGGAGATGATCAACAACCTCGCCAAATCGCGCTTTTCTTTGAGTGCCTATAGCACGCTCGGACAAATCTTCTACGACACCTTCGACCTGCGGGTCCACGAGCAACCGTCGCAGCAAGCCGCCAAGACAGTCGACACCTCGCTTGTCTGGAACCATCTGACCAGGGAACTGTTCGGTCTCGACGGCGCCGAAGTGCTCGATACCAAGAAATGGAAATACGGACACGGTGAGAGCACCTTCACACACATCATGGGCGGCGGCTACGAAGCTTCATACTACGCCTACATGTGGAGCAAGGTCTATGCAGACGACATCTTTGTGACTGCATTCCAGCAGGATCCCTTTTCCAGTGAGGTGGGCGCGAGGTATCGCAAGACCGTGCTGGAACCCGGCGGAAGTAAAGATTATGAGACGATGTTGAAGGACTTTTTGGGGAGGAAGCCGAACAAGGTGGGTTTCTACAAGATGCTTGGGTTGGAGAATGCCGGGGGCGGGGAATTGTGAGGGGTTCGAGGATGGGGGTTGAGAGAGAGAGAGAGAGACAGATTGCGCGCGTTTGTGTGGTTTCTAGGATAACATATTTATTTATTTGATTGGCTCCTCATCATTCTCATAGATTTGGTTTCTCAAGTTACCTTTTCTTGTCATCGATTGCTTCCAGCTCTTGCGCGTCAGACCGCCGGCCGGCCAAGCTCTGCATCTTGCACGCCGGCCAACCCGGCATTATTCATCCATCTTCATGCACTCCGCCGGCTCAACACCAGCTATCTATCTCAATCAGCCAGCCAAAAAAAAAATCGCAAATCTTCAAAGTTGCCAAACTCTTAGATCCACCAAGAACGATTGATTGAGGAAAAAAAAAGAGAGAAAAAAGAAAAACATGACCCCCCTCAACAACACCACAAACCCAGCTCCGCCGCCGCCACAAGGCCCCCCAAAAGTAATGTCCCACGTCAACCTCATGACGGACACCGTGATCGCCAACCTGCCCCCAGTGGCTTTACGTTCCATTCTGAGAGCTCTGCTCTCCGCCGCGGATCCGTCTGTGACGGCTTCCTTTGAAGCGCGGACGAGGGAGTACCTGATGAGCAAGAAGACGACTTCTTCTTTTTCTGCTTCGCGAGGAGAAACGGAAAAGGAGGAGGATGCGGCGGCGGCGGCGGGGATCGTGCGGGCCACGGTGGGGTGTGGCATGTGTTGGGAAGCGGTGGAGATTTTGGCGGGAGATGGTGGTGGCGGGGTGGTGCTGAGGGGGGGGATTGGGGATGGCGATGTGGTGCAGGGGATCACGGCTGTTCAGAAGAGTTTGGTGACGACGACGGGAAAAAAGGGGACGGGAGAGGAGAGGGAGAGGTTGCAAAGACTACTCCAAGCACTGGAGACTCACGACGGAGGAGGAGGAGGACTTGAACGGAGTATTGCATCTCTGAGAGCGCTGCTTGGGCTCGCCAGTCCGCCGACGATGCAAGACGCTGCTGGCTTGCAGCCCTGTATTACATGTACTGTCCCTCCGCTCTCCACGAGAATCGAAACTTTCGCCCTCGGCAGTAGGGTCCTCCCTAGACTCTTCTCCGGTCTCTGGCAGCTCTCGAGCCCTTCCTGGGGAACGTCCACGACAGCCTCCATCCAGAGCCAGTTTCAGACCTATGCCGCGCAGGGGTTTACGGCGTACGACATGGCTGACCACTACGGTGATGCGGAAATTCTCTTTGGGAAATTCAGATCCTCATGCTCGGATCCGGAAGCAACCTTCGGAGCGACAAAGTACTGCGTTTTCGTCCCGACGGAGATTACCAGGGAGCTTGTGGCGGCCAATGTGACCGAGAGGTGTTCAAGGATGGGATCGAATCATGTGGATTTGCTCCAGTTTCACTGGCAGAACTATGAGGATACAACGTATCTGGATGCGCTTCGCTATTTGCAGGAGGACAGCAGGGTACGGATGCTTGCCCTGTGTAACTTTGACACCCAGCGGATGGAAGGGATTGTCCAAGCCGGGATAAAGATACACACGAACCAGGTCCAGTTCTCGCTCATTGATTCTAGGCCAATTTCCAAGATGGGCGCGGCATGTAAGAAGCATGATATCAAGCTTCTGACATACGGCACCCTTTGTGGAGGATTTCTCGCAGACAAATGGCTAGGTCGGCCAGAGCCAGAACTTTTCCTCGAAAGCATCACGCCTAGCCAGCGCAAGTATTACGAGATGATCGTCAACTGGGGTGGATGGCAGCTCTTTCAAGAGTTGCTGCAGGCGCTGAGAGATATTGCGACCAAGCACCATGTTGCTATTTCAAATGTTGCAACCAGATGGGTCCTCGACTTTCCGTATGTGGGCGCGGTGATTGTTGGTACGCGGATGGGCGTGAGTGGCCATGCTGAGGGGAATCTAGCGACATACGGCTGGACTCTTGACGAGCAAGACCAAGCGGCCATTGAGCACGTGCTTTCCAAAAGTCGTCGAGATAAGATGATCGAGCTTCTTGGGGACTGTGGAGGGGAATATCGATGACGCGCTTCTGAGATGCTCGCACGGGCGTCAATTGCTCGAGCACCCAGCATACTAAGACATGTGACCGGTTTTGACGCTCGGTACTCGCATTGGTAGCGTCCCGCCTCTCTACGACGGCAACGGCGTACCAGCTCGACTGTCGGGAGTCCCAGCACCATCGACCGGCCTCCTCTTCTTTTTCTTCTTTTTCGGCACCACAGCTGGCTTCTGCCCATAATTAGCCATGGTCAGATGGCTTCCACAGGTCAAGCAGGTGCTATCATGTAGCGGCTCGCAGAAGATGCTTAGGCAGATGGAGCAGACGAATCCTATGTCCACGACTTTTCTATGGCAGAAGCAGGCAGCTCGGAAGTCGACTCCCTCGCCTTCTCCAGGAACGATGAGGTGATTGCGGGCAGCTTCGTCAGGAAGGTATGCAAACATGAGATATTGGAGAAATCCGGCTCGGGTCTTATCATTGAGCGCCATGTAGACACCTCCTGTTGCGTCTGCTGCTTGTTGCAAGAAGACGGTATCTCCAGCGAGCTTTAAGATGTCGATTGGGATGTTTAATCGCTGACAGGCGAAGATCGAATTCATAATCGGGATATACTGGCTCGCCAGATCTCCCGATACAGACAGAATCAAAATGCGCGAAGTGAGGCTCATGATGGCATTGCCCCGCAACCCGTCGGTAGCCACATCATTACCAGCGACAGAGTTTGGATCCGAGTAGTTGAATTGGGCGCTAGTGTTTGCCATTGGTAGAGACGCAGATTGCTTCGATATGTACGTAAGAGCCATCGTGAGCGCACCGGCAATCATAGTCGAAGGCGTAGATCCCAGTGCATCCGGAGAGGTTTTCGCCACCAGTCGTCGCAAATTGCTCGTGAGAGCATGTTCTAAATGCGCAAATGGACGATACTTGTTGGCATCATCTGGCGGTCGTACAGGGCCACCATCGCCAGCGGAGTCTCCATTCGTGCCATTCGCGGCGGCCGAATCCGTTCGCGAGGGCGTCGGGTACAAGAATTCCGCTTGCTCGGCGTGACTGGCCACGACGGCTACGCGATTTGCATGATTGATAGCCAAATGGGCGTTGATGAAGACCAGCAGATTGGCGACGACTTTGGAAAGGGATGACGAGTTGTCCAGTAGAGCCCAGGCGTGCGGATTCGTATCGAGAATGATGGTTAGCAGAGAAGGTGCCTCGGCCTCGCCCTGCTTCTCCGTTCGCTCAGTGGCATCGACGGCGTTCATTGTGCCTCACGCCAGAGTGATGATGGCCGTTGCGGGCGATGAGAGGCGTGTCAGAACGCAATGAAGAAGTCGCGGATGAGATGTGAAGTCTCGAGGTGACTAAGCGGTAAACTCGTGGCTCGGTTGCGCCCGTTACGATATTCACATTTGCTGAGCCATTCATGTCCTACAATACTTGCATGTGATACACGGGAAAGGATGCGGAAACGCTGGAATATCAATAGTATTCAACAACAAGAGAAAACTCGGATTGTGGTTTCATGCCTAAAAACTCTTTTCAACGTTGCTTAAGACTTTGGAGAATCTTTTGTCCCTCTCGTTGCTCAACCAAGCAGACCAACATCCAGACCAATGGCAACCATGAACAAGTTGACATCTGCCAGTCGCTTCTTACTCATTCCCTCTGGAAGAGTCTTGCTCACTCCAACCGTCTCCATCACCCTATCCTTGACACCCAAGACCAACCTCTGTTGTTGGTCAGGGTTTGCCGAAACCGCCATCGTGGACAAGTATTGCCATATATGCACGTCATCTGATGCAGCAATGTTGGTGTCTGTGGGGAAAAGGTAGGGTAAAACGGGCTCGATCGTGTCAAACAGCCGAGAGTAGAGGTCCTGCCACTGTCGCCAGTCATCTGAACCTTCCAATTGCTGACGAAATGTTTCGGCGCGAGACACAAGCAAGGTGAGCACTTTGACTCCGATCTTCGTGCGGACAACGGCCTGGACCAAAGTTCGGTCGAGGACAAGACCCAGCAGGCCGATGATGATGCTGAGCGACGCTTCGTTTATGAATGAAAAGAGTGGGGGCATGATGGTGTTGTTGAACTGCTCCACTTCCTCTTTGACGCGTGCCGGAAGAGGCGAATTGTCAGCTGGTGGGTATGCGTCGCGAATGACGTCCAGAATGTCGAGGTGAATGATGATAAGAGTGATCATGGTTAGGCGTTGTTGCTCGTCAAGATGTCTGAACACACGAGGGATCGCCTTCTTGCCTTTGCTGAACGACAAGATTTGGATGAATGGGTGGGGTGTGGCAGAGCTGTTACTATTAGCACATGATCGATAACATGAAGCGAAAAAGGTACGTACTCAGGCTGTATTGGCTCCATGACCTTGAGCGCCTCCCAAAGCTGTTGGTTGAGCTCTTGCATCGAACTACGCCATCTCATGTGCCCCTCAATGGCTTCAGGGGGGCTCTCCTCATTCGGTGGCGGCGGTAGCTGGCGCTCATGATGCTCTAGTCTCATCAATGTCGAGTACAGGTCCTCAATATTCCGAAGAGTGGTCTTTCGGTCGGCGGGCTTGGCGTGATGCTTCAGATGCGCCCCGGATTCGGGTCGCTTGATGTTAAGAAGCGGTCGAGGCGTCTTGGAATTGCTGAAAGCGATCTTGCCGAGAGAGCCCTCCATGACAAGCTGCTTGTTCTTTGGTCGTGCCTTCGCTGCTTCCACAGCCCGAGCGACCTGCTGCTCCATACGCTGAACGTGGTTGTCGCCGCCGCGGGGATGATGCCGGCTGCGGCCGTAGCCGTAGCGGCTGCCTGTCTGGAAGAGGTATGTCTGCGCGAACTGATTGAGAGGCTGGCCGGGGCCACTTCGGGGAGGACCCCTTATTTGTGCGTAGACCTGATAGTAGAAGTCTTCGGCGAGCTGCTCCTCGCTTCCCGGTTCATTGTCGATGCCTCCCGTGGCGGTCAGTAACTGCTGGAGTTGAATGCGTGTTATCCAATTCTTGTCCTGGGGAGTCATGAGGCCATTGTTTTTGCTGAGCATGAAGATCTTGTGATTGCGCTTCGCTCGCTTGGCTTCTTCGGCCATGTAAGCATCTCGATCCTGGGGAGACATATCCATCATCTGGCGGGCTTGCGTGATAGGAGGCCCACTGTACGAAGGTCCACGGCCGTGCAAGGATTGCTGCATTGGTCCGGAAGGAGGTGCTCCTCTTGCGTGCGGAGGAACATGCGGGCCCTGCTGGAACTGCATGGGCTGAGGAGACTGGCTGTGGAAGTCTTGGGATTGCGGTCGGCCTTGAGCTGGGGAGTGCTGCCTTTGCAAGATTTGCGGAGCGCGGAGACTGTAGTCGAGAGCATGTTGTTGCGTTTGCTGGGGTGGCTGCTGCTGCGGGCGCTGAAGAATCTGCGGAGGTCTCTGCTGATCTACCTGAGGTTGAGCTGGCGGAGTGGGAGCACCGCCAAGGCCTAGCATGTTCTTCAAGCCAAGAGTCTGTGCTTGGACATCCGGTGCGGCTTGAGGAGGAGGATTGGGCTTTGCTTGCTGACGCATAGCAGCCTCGACCTCCTCGAGGCTCATCATCTTGGGACCAGCGGCGGCCTTTGGCTGTTCAGTAGGCTTTTTGGCAACAGACTGGCCCCAGATGGATGCATCGGCTTCAAGCCTTGGAATGTACTCAGACTGCTTGTACGCTTCGTATCCAGTCTTGGCTGGCTTTGCTGAGCGAGCCTGTGGGATAGGCTGTCGGGCATGATGCAGCATCTGCTCTTCCAACAAGGTGTCCCTTATGTTGGCCGTTTGTCCTGCAAAATCGAAGTCCCTGCCGACATCCTCCCTCGTGACAGGTTCATCTCCACCGAATGTGTCGTCATTAAATGTGTCTCCAGACTCTTGCAGCTGCTGGCCTAAGCCATCGTACGTATCCTCAAAGTCCAGCATGTTGCCTTCCTGGCCGCCTGCAGCTCCCCCCAGACCAGCGAATGGATCATGAGCATCGAACATGCCGCGCGAGCCAGACGCGGCTGGCTTGTCGCGCGGCAAGCTGGTGTCGAAGCCGAAGAAAGACATCGATCGAGGTGTGCCTCGTGTGTTCTGTTTCGAATCGATGGACTGGATGGCAGCGCATGTGCGCCGGCAGCTCGAAGGGCCAGCAGCTCGGAAATAAAGCGAAGGATGTGTGCGTGTAGAGATAGGTAGGTTGGTGTTTGCAGATTGCCGCAATGGACTTTGTTATGGTTGTGGTGTTCTCGCAGCCGTGAAGTCATTGGCAATTAGGCTTCGCGGCGACGTCCCGCTCCCGCAGCGTCTCAGCCACACAGAGGGAAGACAGCCACAACGGCATTTGGGCCGCGGAGGGGGGAGGGAATTATTGGATTGCGATTAGGAAAAGGGCAGCAGCAAGGTATGGAATAGTGCGATGATAGTGCGTGGATAGGGTATCGGAATGGTGTCCATCCTCCTGCAAGGAACCTCCGTACAAAGACACGCACTCAACCACGCGTTCTTTTTCCTCTACTTGTCCTTTCCCTTCTCCCCAACTCCAATTGCACTCTTTACCCCCCGGACAACACTGCTACCCTCGACAGCCTCAGGCATCATCGAGGTCGATGCGACTCTCCCGCTGACCTGACAGCTGCATCTACTCATCTCGTCAGTCATTACCCTTGCCATCGTTCGCGACAGGAGATCAGCAATCGAATCTCAGACGGCGACTGCCGTGAACGGATCCCCGTCGGCCAGTGAGCTCGAAGAAAAGCCAACGCGGCTTCGCTGGGCAGGCCTTCTCGACTGAAAGTCAACCCTCTTCCAAGTCAGCGCCGGCTTACCACATCGACGACGACGACGACGACGACTTTCACAACATGGCTGGCTCAACAAGATACTTGCGATACATCATCCTCGCCTTTGTCGCCCTAATAGTCCTCTTCTTCTACCTCAGACCCCCGACTCCGACAACCTTCAGCGGCGAACATCTGCAATCCGCCAAAGACTTGCTCAAGTCGCAAGGCTTATGGACGGGCACACATGAGTCTGCCAAATCAGGCGCATTCGTATCAGACGAGCAGAACGCGGCTGCACTCCACGGCGATGTCGTCAATCCAGTCGCTGCACCTGTAGCGGAAGCTGCCTCGAAACACAACACTTCGCCCAACCCTAGCATCGGCCAGAATACCCTCTCAGCACCAAAGGCTCCAGGCGAGCGCCTGAACGCCACATTTGTAACACTCGCTAGAAACAGCGACGTCTGGGAGATCTCACGAAGTATCCGACAGGTCGAGGACCGATTCAATCGCAACTACAATTACGACTGGGTCTTCCTTAACGATGCCGACTTCGATGAGACCTTCATCAAGGTCACCACCGCTCTCACCTCGGGAAAGACAAGATATGGAAAGATTGACAAAGAGCATTGGGGCTTCCCGGAGTTCATTGATCAAGAGAAGGCAAAGAAGGTCAGAGAGGATATGCATGAGCGCAAGATCATATACGGAGACAGCATCAGCTACAGGCACATGTGCAGATACGAGTCTGGCTTCTTCTTCCGCCATCCCATCATGCTTGAGTATGAGTGGTATTGGCGTGTGGAACCATCCATTGAGCTCTACTGCGACATCGCATACGACCCGTTCAAGCTCATGGCTCAGAAGAAGAAGAAGTACAGTTTCGTGCTCTCGCTCTACGAATATGTCGAGACTATCCCCACTCTCTGGGACAGCGTCAAAAAATTCATGAAGGAGCACCCGGAGCACATCGCGCAGGACAACAGCATGCAATTTCTGTCGGATGACGGAGGAGTCACATACAACCACTGCCACTTCTGGTCTAACTTCGAGATTGGCAACCTCAACTGGCTGCGCAGCAGAGCTTACACCGACTACTTCGATTTTCTGGACAGAGAGGGAGGGTTCTTCTACGAGCGCTGGGGTGATGCGCCGATCCACTCCATCGCAGCAGCTCTCATGCTGTCCAAGGACGAAATCCACTTCTTTAACGACATCGCATACTATCATGTGCCCTTCACGCATTGTCCAACAGGCGAGCAGATGAGACTGGATCTCAAGTGCCACTGCAATCCCAAGGACAACTTTGACTGGAACGGATATTCATGTGAGTTTCCGCCCCCGTAGCCTTACGGCTCGGCACATGCAAGAGACATGCAGACGCCACTGACACTTGACACCTATAGGCACTAACCGATGGTACGACACGAACAAGTTGCCCAAGCCCGAAGGTTACGAGAAGGAACAATGACTGGCTGGGCGTTACGGTATGGTCTTTCTGCACTGGCTCTGGCCACTCATTTTCCTCGGGACCGCCCTCGGCCTAGCGCTTATCTTGCTCCTCTATCGCCCGTGCAAGAAAGTATATCGCCGCGCCTCGAGATATGTCCGCAAACGCAGCCGATTCTCCGCGAGTCGCTGGGAGCGCGGCGACGTTGCTTGGGAGAACTCGCAATCACGACGATACTGAGAACGGGAGGAAAGGCCAGCGCTTCGTTTCTTTGCACGCAAGAACATGTATTTTTGGGACTTGGGATTTGCTCTGTACGCGATAGTTTGGAACTACCCGCGGCCACCGAGGATCGGCGGCATGCATTGCTCAGGAGTTTCTTCCGGGGTCTGTCTTTTCGCGGACGGGCTAGAGCGGGCCTAAGACATCGTATACGGCGGGCGGAAGCATCGAAAGGGGGTCGGCATTATTTCGCCTCACTTCGTAGTCTGGGGTTGGAGTACGGGTGGCGCTACCGACTACCAGTACGACTTTTTGCAGCTTCTTCGGACCCTGTGTGAAATGATACCGCTTATTTACTTTGAAAATCTTGTATTCCCTGGATTTTGGTCATGAGGATCATACGATGGCTCGTGAGGTTAACGCAGTGAGACCGCTGTCTGCGCCACAGGCGTGGCTGGCTTTTTCCCTATCTTGGCGGAAGCTTGGACATTGTGTTCACATGTTGATTTTTCATGCGACGCTCTCGTACAAGGAAGGGGCGTTCCTGGACGTAATAGTAAGAGTCGAAGACATTACCGATTTCGCATCATGGTGGACAGGCCAAGCCAAGCAAGCCTTTCCGGCATTTCAAGTAGGCACTCCGTGGCATCGCAAGAGCTAAAGTACACTGCCGATGAAGGAGAACCTCGAAATTATGGAAATGTGCGCCGCACCAGAGCTATTCCCTGAGACGTCCTTCGCGCTGGAAGTTTGCCTTTCTAGACGAGAATTCCGTAAGCTTGCTGTTGCGGAGGAATACGACGATATGATGACCGCCTTGGCAGGCTGCGGGCCTCTTTCTTGTCGATCTCTTCTTCCGCTGGATTTCCATCTTCCTCGTCTTGTCAAGTGAGATGAATCTGCTCTCCGATGTTGAATTTGTTTCCGCATCTCCGAGCAGTGACTACGTCTCGTCAGCTTTCACGGCACTAGCGTATTCTCTCTTCGAGTCTGCATGGACCTTGACGATCCTCCGAGCTACCATTCCCTACAGCGCGAATGCTCCAAACAACGGAGCGCCTTGCACGTTCTAGCAGGACGCTTCGCCGCGAAATCACTCTCCAAATGGACGAGAAGAACAGAAGATCGGATCGAACAGATGGGGGTTTCCAGCTCAAAGCGAAAAGGTTTACACTTCTATTAGTATGATATACGCCACTCACCTCTTACTCTTTTAAGCGGCAGCTCTTTCAGATGCTGTTGGCCTCATCTACGCACGACGAGTACAAATCGGGTATTACCGACCACTTCCTACGGACGCTGTAGCTGATGTCTCGGCTGTTATATCGTCCTTGGTCTTTTCCGCGTGCTGCGGTTCCTTTGGAGATGGTGCTACCTCTTCAGTTTAATTCTTCCTGTCTAGCTGATATCTCCGGTTGTAGCTGTACAATCTAGATTTGCTCTTAATACTGCGTTTACATCTTCGAGAGGTGCTAGGTGTGGACGTCTTTCCTGGAGTCGACTTTGCTTAGGCATATCAGGAGAACTCCTGGTGGTATTCGGACGGCAAAGTGGATTCAGAGCAGACAGTGCGTTCTTAAGAATTGTATAGCGGTGTTATAAAGTAAGTTTATTGCTTTTTCCGGTCCCAAATACGTGCGATAAAGAGAATTCGAGTTTCTTCTCAAACATGCTTGACCCAGAAGACCTCGTGGAACTTGTATTTATTGGGACTTGTATTTATTAGCTTGACCCCATTTCAAATTCTCTGTACAGAGACACTGATCAAAACAGCCCGCTGGAGAGGTGCGGTCAAACTCGAAGAATCTGAGACGGTTTTGAGCTGAGCAACGTCGAGATCGGGTAGTTTCAGCTTACTAGTCGTGTTTGGTGAAGCTGGTAAGCGAATGTCGGTGATGGGCTGGCGGTTCTCTGGCCGGAATTTGGCAAGCCTCCGCCCAATCAGGCGGGTGCTGGAATAGACCGCGGAAGCATCCTCGAAGGCTGCGAAGGACACACGCTTGTAATATTTCGTGAATGCTTCGAATTACATCTGCTTGTACGTAAGAAGAAGCTCTGGAGCGATCGTGTTCTTGTCGTAGTAGACGGTGCAGCCTTCGGAGACCATCTCCGAGATGGACTCGCGAAGCTCAGCTGGCAGCAGTACTCAGCGCGACTGTTCATCGTCCGTCCTTTCAACTGCAGTACTTGCACACGAATGTCGTTGAGAAAAGTATTTGGAGCCTGCACCGAGATGTCGAGAAGCAGATGATCTTAGATACTTGCGTCGGTTGCCTCACAAACACAAGTTGGCCCACGCCGCCAAGATTCACTCTTGAGAACTTCTTCTGATGTAAAGTGAGTTGCGGTGAGAGAATCATTCGGCGATGGAAGGCTCGTGTCTGACATATAATGCTGCTGAGATTTCCATTGGAACCTGGTGGGAGAGAAGTCGAACCATGAAGACTTTCGAAGCTTTCTATACCATTTTGCCCCATCGAAGCATGGCCTGCACGGACTGCGGCTGATTGTGTCTTATCAGGCTTGCCGTGAACCCGGGAATGGTCAAGATTGTCGAGATGGGTTTCAGGCCATAGATTGGTTGGGCCTCAGCGAATGCTGTGGAAATGTGCCTTCTCCATGTTTTCTAAGGTCCCCACAGCATCTAGCCGGAATGTCTCACCCGTCGTGTCGGTACTGGTTCAGCGCTGTCCCACCCGATGGCTCAGAGGTATCGATTGCCTCGAGGACATACAGACATGCAGGCGTATCTGGTTGTTGGTGTACCGTCTAGGTTAGAAGGTAACTCCAATGCGTTACGAAGCGGTTCGTCGCGCTGGGCGCTACCTACCTCTAAGGATCTACTGATGCGTGGCTACCCGTTAGCTCAGATCTCGCCGAGGTACTCGAGGTATTCGGAATCTCAGGAGCTCAGTCGCTCGGTGTTTCCTCCGCTATTGTCGCATTTGAGGTGAGGGGTGATCGGATTTTGACCACTCCATGGAATCTCGACCAAGAAACACCCCGAGAAGACACAGTATCAATTTGCAGCTTCTAGGATGCCGAGTGCCTCTGCCTAAGCTGATATGTTTGAGAATCTGGAAGGAGACGCAATCCTGGGGAGGTGAAGTTCCAGAGATAAGGTTTTGACTAAGTGAAGCTTCCTGCAGGTACCGCGGTCTACCTAAACAAAGCAACGGCACATGAGGAAGGAATGCATTTCCGGATCCGGCCAATCTCATATCGACCTTCATAACACAGGGAGCGTCCATGCATCTGAATATCCTCCTCATCTATGAGCCGTCTCTTCGAGATACTACGCAGTGACAGAAGTCTTGGCATCGTGAGAACAGCCCGAGACGGGAACGGTCCGAGTACTAGCGCCCACGCTAGCCCAGCCAGAGGGTTTATCCAGCTGACTTCGACTTCGACTTCCCGAACGCGTCTTCTTCGCGACATCAACATCTACGGTGGCATTAACCTGCCACATACACCCACACAGATGTCGTCTGTCCGGGGATCGTCCGCGACTCCCCACCTCGCCCGCCAGACTCGCTCGCGCCCTTCGCGCGCCAACACTCCTGCGGTCAACGAACCTCTCCCGGCTTTGCAGGCCGCACAATCCTTCGCCTACGGCGCCCCTGGCAAGGCGCATCTAAGAAAGCAGGTGATCACCACCGCTGCAGAGGTGGATGAAGCGTTCGACAGCCAACCGCGCGCGGACACGCCGCACATGCCGCCGCCGCCAAGACCAGCACGTCCGGAAAAGGCTCAAGAATTGTCCATCACGGATCCCCACGAACCACGTCGCGGATTCAAGCCTCAGACTGCTCCCAGTAGTACTGTTCTGAGCCAGAGTACTGGAATACAAGGATCTGCCCTTTACCTGAACAGACCTAACATCGATCTAGAAGCACCTATCTCTGCCCCTCCCCGTGCCCGCACACGTGTAGTCCCAACTCCCGGCACATGGAAGGATGCCAAACTGGCCTTCTTGATCTTGTTCTCTGCCGTGGGTCTTTTTGGATGGATGTTAACTGGCACTATGGCACTGATCAGCTTACGAGTCCCGTCTTTCCTTGCTGGTACCCAGGAGAGGATCCTCTCCGGGATGAGATTCCTCAGTCTACGGCCTCCACATGAGTGGGAATATCGCTGGAACCAGTTTCTACACGACGTAGACTTCAACTACACCATGCCAAACTTCTCGTACCCAGAAGCGCAGGTAGCCATCAACCATTACCTCAAGGTACATCTGGACAACAACACCGAGGAAGTTCGAGCCCTCCAAGACCGCACGACAGCTCTCGAATCCCGAACTGATCTCCACCAAGCAATGATCGGAGAGCTGCAGAAGTACCTCCCGATGAGCGTTGAACTCAACCGCACCGTGGAGAAGATTGCTGGCATGGGCCATCTTGTTCGAAATCTGGAAGCATCAGTGCGCGAGATCAACTACTTCTCCCCAGCACAACGAGCTCTTGTGGATCCACACTACACCTCGCGTACTCTTGGCCGCCCCGCGACTTGGTCCGAGTGGCTTATATGGGCAACTGGTCTTTCGGCGCTGCAGATCCCACAAACCAACGGCAATCCGCCAATCGCAGCTCTGATGCAGTGGAAAGAGTTCGGCGAATGCTGGTGTTCCGTTCCATCTGCGGACGAAAAAGGTCAAGCTCAGCTCGGCATCAGACTTGGCCACACCGTTTACCCGGAGAAGTTGATTCTTGAGCACATCTCGGCAGGCGGTACTCTTGACATCGCAGGCGCACCTCGCGAGCTCGAATTCTGGGCTCAGCTCGAAAGTCCTCAAGAAGCTCAGAAAGTCAAGGACCTCCTTGCGCAGCGAGTCCACATCTCGCAATCGTACGAATGCGGCGCGCCCCCAAAAGGCCAACAGAACTGGGTTTGTCTCGGCACCGGCCACTACGACATTCATCAAAAGTTTTACGCTCAGGAGTTTGAGTTGCATGGTAATTGGGAGGGCATTCCGGTAACCACGAGCCGAATGGTGGTCAGAGTGGTCTCGAACTGGGGAGCAGAGGATCACACCTGCATCTACCGCGTGCGCATGACGGGGTCTCAAGCTGCTCAGTTGGTAGATGTGGATGAAGAGCTGTGAACAGGCAGCCAGAAGACTCGGCATTTGGCAGAACAGAACACTTTTGCATGGGGAGCAGGGCGTTAGATGGAGAGTGGAAGACTGAATATTTGATTAAACGCGAAAGCGAGGCGTTTGGGCGAGACAAAGGCAAGGGAACTTTGGAGCATAGCGACGATGATACCCCATGGGCGGTGGCTTTGAAATTGACTCCCCAGCGCTCTTATTGCAGGGAAACCCAGTACCGCAGCTGGTTACATATTGAATGTAACACTATATGTACATGCATCCCCTTTCCTCTGTGCTGATCTTCTTCTGCCATTCTGATGGTTCGAATTCATTGCTATGTTGTTTGCGGGAGAGTGTGTTTTTGGTCATGTTGAGCGAGGGTGAAGACGCACGCACGAATCGAATCCGCGTAGAACAGCATACAGAAAACGGCTCCGAATTCGATTTTCTTTCTGAGGGGGGGAATAGAGCAAGCGCGAATACTCACATATAACGAATTGTTTCGGATATTCTGTAGAGTGCCAGGAAGAGTACGTACCTAAGGATTCGAGGCATAAGTAAACACGAAGTTGTTTTGTTGCAAGCAAACGGAGAACCGAAGGAGTGTCGATTTCGATTTCGATTTGCAAATTTCGAGCTCGATGGGACATGGGAAATGGAAAAATGGATACATGTCGCCGTTGGGGAATTGAGAATTTGCGCGGGGAGTGCGATTTTCATCGATTGACGAGCAGAAGGGGCGGAAGAGGATTTCTTGTTGTCTGGCAATTTATATCGATCCGCTCTGCAGCTGCAGCAGCAGCAGCAAAGCGAAGCAACGCCCCTCCGCAAAAGGTCATTGATCAAATATCAGTGCAAGCTACATGTACAGCACCCCACACTCAAAAAGCAAAAGTCGTACTTCTCAGAGCCATTATTGGGCACTCCAAGGAAGTACCGCCGCGCGACGGCAAGGCTTCTGAATACGCGCTCGTGAAATGAAGTGAAGTGAATGAATAAACGGAAACAGGGGGCGTCAATCATTGAACTTCCTCGCATCGAATAGACGTTACATCATCCTAGGTAAAGTAACTAGCTAGCTCCCGCCAAACCCACCAGGAGTAAGTAGGAGGAATTAGAATCCCAGCCTTAGACCACCAAACAGTCCCTAGTAGCACACCGCACTGCTGTCGCGGCACATGTTGAAAAGAGGAGGGCCGGGGCCGGGGGCTGAGAAAGCTCCACACCAAACCCAACCCAACCCAACCCAACCCCCAAAAAGTCAAAAGCCGAAGTGAAAAGGGAGTTCCTTCTTACTACGTTACGTTTACACTATGTCACTGCATAGCAAGCAAGCAAGCAAGCAAGAGGGGGGGGGGGGGGGAAGCGGGCGTACTGAAGATCGCCCATATCATGCCGTCGAATCCACTCTCACCACCGGAAAAGGCCCCCCAAGACGCCGCGCCTTCGCAAATGCCATCCAGAAGAATCTTGAAAAGTCGTTTGCGCCGTTTTTGCAAAAAAGTCAGAGGGTATCGTTCTCTCTTCTCTCTCAGTCAAGGATAATCGCGCCGTCGTCCTCATCCACGATGACTGCCTGGCCGGCAGCTTCACCCTTGGCTTCGCCCTTGGCCTTCTTCGGAGCGCTTCCCTCTTCCACCGATGCGGAGCGCTTTCGTTTGGGAGCGGAGCTTGGACCTGCTCCTACTTCTACTGCTGCGTCTGCGCCACCGATAGAGATACCATTCACTTCCATCTTCTTGCCGGGTTTCGGTGGTAGCTCGATCGTGTCGGGGAGGAGTATCATGTCGCTGTCGTCTTCTGGAATGGCTTTGCTGATCACGCTCAGGACAAGGTCGACTTTGGGCTCGCTGCTGTCGTCTTGGACCGTGACAAAGCCGGTGTTCGTCCCGTCAATGCCAAAATCCTTCATCGGCTTCTCGAGATTGTCCTCCAAATCCGGATCGTAGATCATACCTGCGTCGGCGGTAATGGAGAAGTCCTCGTAGTTCAGGCGCTGTTTGAGAAGGTCGACAAGCGATTGAAGAGTGGGCGTGGTGCCTTGCTTGAGCTGCAGCTTAGCATAGAAGGGCGAGCAGACCGGGCAATCGGGCTTTGGTGCAGAGAGATTCTCATTGGCGATCACACGCTCCGTGCTCTTGGAGTTCAGAAACACCATCTTGGCGCCCCCTAATAAGGGATCCGGCTTGCCATTCGTCGTTTCTGAGTTGGTCGGAACGGCGTTGTTAGTCGTCGGCTGCGCGTACGCATTGATCTTGGGCGTCTGGCTCCGCATAATCTTGAAAGCCTGCATGACGCACAAGCTCGCGGTGAGCGCATTCGAGGTTGCGATGGCAGGGATGATATTACCAGCCATCTGCTTGATGTCCCATTCGCTGTTTAAAGGGATGTGAAAGACGTGAGATCTGAGGTTGGCGGCTGCCGCGACGAAGTCCAGGGTATCCTTGTCGTCTTTGTCGAACTCGATGACTTTCTCGCCATTCTGCACACGCTTTGTCAGGGCCTCAACAGCGTGGCAGAACACTTTCAGATTGTCCTGTAGACTCCAGACTGCTTGATCTTGAGCGGCAAGCGTCTCTCCTTGCTTAGCCGGATTCGAGTCGATGCAGACAGACTCGAACCGTAGCGAATCTGGGGGTGTCCGGCTCTGCCACATCTCACTCATGGACCGGAGACGCTCAATGTCATCGTGGAAGACCTTGTTGAAGATCTCCTGCGCGAATTCATCCTTGCCCAGAAGATTCCGTACTTTCTTCAGTGCTTCAGCCTCCTCTTTCAGTTTGGCGACCTCTTGCGCATTATCTCCCTCCGTGACAGCGACTTCCGACGACTCCTCTTCGCTCATTCCAAACAGCTCCGGGAGAAGGTATGACTTTGCCCACACTATGCAGTGTATGGGCTGTGACGGCGTGGAGCGGATTGTGCAAATCGGAAAGGACTTCTGGACCGGCTTCTGATTGCAGTCGTAGCATTCGGTGATGCCCTTCTTGATCGGCTGTACCTGTCCATTGAATCCCGTCGTGCCGCTCTCTATTAGCGGGACATCTGCAGCCAAGCACATGCGATTCACGTGTTGGCGTGCTTTGAGATTGTCGAGCGCATTGAAGACGACATCGAATCCCTCGAAGAAGTCGACGTTGTACTGGCTGTCAAAGATGGAAGCGTGTTGCGCGTCGATATTGACAGATGGGTTGAACTGGCTAGCCGTCTCCTTGGCGACGATGGCCTTGGGCTTCTTGAGGTGCTGCTTGCGGAAGAGGAATTGCCGATTCAGATTGCTGAGATCAATGGTGTCCAGGTCAATGACCACGATCTCGGCTGTCTTCGCAGCGGCACCGTCGCCGTCGCCGTCGCCGTCGCCATTCTGACCCTGCGGTTGAGGGAGTCCGGTGCCAAATCCGCAGCAGACAAGGTTCTTCAGCAGCTCGCAGCCGATTCCTCCAGCGCCGACGAGCAGAACGCGGCTATCTTTGACGCTTTTGGTGAGCTGGCCTAGCGACTGCGCGATGTATCGGTCGCGCCGCTGCATCGTGAGCGTCATGTGTCGGCGTATTGGTGATGGTTGTTTCGCTACTCGGCGTTTCGGTAGAGACAGTGTCGCGCTGCGTTTCTGCGACTGAGCTGAGCAGCCTCCTATCGGTCGTGACGCATCCAGCCGGCGATACGGTCGGGTGTGGGTGATCGACGGAGGCGGAGCGGATGTCGGTTGGCGGCGGTGCGCTGATCGGGTCGCGGGAGGTGGTAAGCGGATGATCTTGTCGTTTGTCGGTGGTGATGTGCGTCTGCCAATGTTTTTGCCAACTGCGCTCGCGTTTGGCGACGTTGGAGACAGCTCGGCTCGGAATCGGGTGCGATGTCGTAACTCAGATCGCTTCCTCGCGTGTGGGGCCGTAGCTTGAACTCTGTTTCGCGTTTACCCGTTATCCCCTCACCCACGGACACACGCAAAGCACATGCAACGTCTACGAAGCGGAATTGAAAGTCGCCAGCACCTGCACGAGTGGCAAAAGCGCGAGATCCGCCATCAACTCAGACCATATACACGTGCCAGGCCTACAGAAGCGACATGAGCGACGACGAAGCGGACCCTGAACTGCTTGAACTCCTTCGTCAAAGCTTAGGCATATCTCAACCGACCCACGGCGAGGTTTCAAGCGACACTGGTATGTGGAACTATCTTACCCCTCGGCGCTTAACGTCTGAGTACATGTTCGCCCTGTGTATTCCCCCTAACCTATCCCTCTCTGACTCTGCGTGAAAGGTGTCCTGAGAGATGCCGAATACATCTACAGCAATGCCATCGACGTGTCCATCGACATGTATGGCACCAAAGCCGCCGCTGCCGAGATCTACAAGACGATGCAGGAGAAGTCTTACTCCACGGAGACTTGGAGTGAACATGAGTTGCATCCCAAGATGAGCGAGGGCTTTACCGAGCTTGACATTGTCAATTTTGTCTTCACGATGGATCTCTTGAATTTCTCGTGAGTGCTCTCGACAGGGTCGCACATGACAACGCACACTGACATGTGACAGATTCTGGTCAGAGCTGTCAAGTGAAGAGCGCTTTCAGGTGGAGTACCGCGGCAAGCGGTGGACGGGCTACAACAGCCTCGTTGCCAGCTTACGACGAGCACTGGACGAATCCATTCCCATTACGACTCCACGCTACTGGCGTACTCGAGGTTTCACAGACGATGTTCTGCAGCATGTCTTTCGAAGTGCGACTGCAGAACCAATCCCACTGCTCGAGCAAAGGATGTCAATCCTGAGAGAGGCAGGTGATGTCCTGCGCGAGGTGTGTACAAGTTGTGCTCAAAACGCATTCCGGGCCATGCTGACTTGGTAGAGCTTTGGAGATGAGACGGACGGAGAGGATACGATCGACGGTGTCGACGACCTTGAAGCTGTTCGCAATGATGCATCAGCCGGTGTCACCGAGCCTTTCAACGCAAACGCACCTGTACGTTTGGATATCACCCAACCAGGAACTGAAGAACTGGTAGAAGGAAGTCAGTACATCGAGAGCCTGCGAATGGATATCGACGGCCCTGCCAGTGATGCGCACAGGGACAACACCGAGACCACGACGTACGGTTCGACAGGAAACGCGGAAGACCAGACTATCCCGCAGACTTCATCGACGCAGCCATTGTCCCTTGGAGAAGTCGACGCGATCGCGAATGGTAAAGCACACACATCGCTCAGCAGCGATCGGGTGGAGATTAAATCGGGTTCCGGACTCACAAGCGACCAAGTTTCTCCTCCGTTAGACACAGGCACAAGCGACCAAGTTCACGACAGCTCACGTTCCCCGGTGAATACAAATGCGACATCGGGTTTGCGGTCAGAAAGTGCGAACGAGGGCGCCGTGCCGCAAAGTGACACGGAATGTGCACTCGGCAGGCGGCCGCGGGATGTTGTGAGGCCAGACCATGCGGTTGTGCAAATGATTCAGCGAGCCGATCAGTCGGCAGGGAAGCTGGTGAATCTGCTGGCCAAGCACTTCGAATGCTTCCGGGACGAGACTCGTTTCGACGGCCGCAGAGTGCGACTTCTCAAACGAGCGCAGATATTTGTCGCTGACTTGTGGGCGGCACTGAATCAGAGGGGACTGGGAGAGTTTGTTGACATTGGACACCTCACGATGTTTGCAGGTACGTGGTAAGGTTCCCATCGCATTGCTGCGCATATGTGCGGCGGCAGTGTGCAGATGTGATATGGCGAGGAAGCGGCAGAAGTGTGTTGGGCTGACGATCTGTTGTGTGCGCTTGCAGATTATCGTGTGCCGCAAGCATTGCATTCATTGGGTGTGTTGACGTACAGCCCTCCATTGGATTATCACCTCCGCGACATGAAGCCCCTGCGATCAGGGCATAGCTGGGAAGTGCAGCTTCGGTAAGTCTCGCCACGCGGCGCGAGGCCGTATTCCGAAAGCAGGATGCATGCAGCTAGCTAACCGCCTGGTTGATGGACATTACAGCGGGTGCAGCATCTGGGCGGTGGAGTTGCTCCGCCGCGAGATTGTCAAGAGCCAGCCGGAGGCAGCCAACACACTGAATGCGGTACTCATCGACTTTTTCCTGTACGATCTGGCCAAGGAGCGGGAGAGGGCAGGTGAGTGTTGTCTTGGCAAACGAATTCTCTGTGCCTGTGCCTGTGCCTGTGCCTGGGCGTGGGCGTGGGCGTGGGCGTGGGCGTGCAGACGGGAGAAGCAAGGGGCGACTTCCTGTTCCTGCGTCTGCGTGTGTGAGGGTCTAATCGGAATCGGACTGCGATTTGTCGAGGTTGTCGTGTGGTGAAACTCGAGGGCTGACGTGAAACGCAAGCAGGCATCCCCGGCATCCCCACCCAGCGCACCAGGTCCATCTGGTACTAGCCCCTCTGGTACTAGCGCGGGATCGAACCCTTACCCGGGTCGGATAGATCTGCGGTCTTGCCGCCGGACGAGCCCGAGGTGCAGCTTCCACTTCAGCTGTGGGCGTTGTGATTGGAGGGCGAATCGAGCAGACTAACGTCCTGCATGCATCGGATCACCACTGCACATCCAACTCCACCGAGCGCATCTGCCTCCTTTCCTTTCCCACTCGAGGTCCCTTCCCGCTGCTACTACTCGTCGTGAGGAAGGAAGGAAGGAAGGAAGGAAGGAAGGAAGGAGGTCCTTGCGGAATCCGATTCGTTGCTTGCATGCTGGTACGGCTGAGGGACTCCTTCGCCCGCACACCGGGCAGTCAGGAGGTCTCCCAAGGTAGGCCATAGAAGTACTCTGAGTTCTCACACCACAGCCTTTCTGTTGTTCGCTCTCTTCCTCCACCAGACAGCTCATCTTTGCGCTCTTGTCCCTCGTTCCTTTCCACGTCGCTCGTCGACATTGTCACTCTCTTTCACGACAGACTGGTCTGTCACCACATTCCTTACAAACGCCACTGCTTTGATAGTCCTGCTTTGATAGCCCTGCTTTGATAGCCCTGCTTCCTGCCAGCCAGACCAACTATCTTACCTACCCACTCCCGACGACTTTCCGACAAACAAGCCTCCTCACCAGAATCGACAAGATGCACTCCTGGATCGCTCTCTCCGTGCTCTCGACACTCACTCTCTCAGTCTCTGCCATCCCTCATGCCAAAGGCCACTACCATCTGCACCCGGCCCGCTCGCCGCTTCACCTGATCCAAGGGGTGGGCTCGCTCGCCGGCCAATCGAGCCCGCTTACATCTCGTGACGCTTCACTCCCAATCGACGGCTTCGGCAAGTGCGGCGGCGACTCTGGCTTCGGGTGTGCTGCTGGCTACTGCTGCTCGCAATGGGGCTACTGCGGATCCAGCGCCGACTACTGCGGTACAGGCTGTCAATTTGGCTCCTGCACCGGTGACACTTCTTCTCCCACTACTGCGGTCGCCAACACCAGCACCGTCGCTCCTGCTGTCATCTCTGGTGCTGCGCTTCCAACCGCCATCAGCATGAACATCGTCACCAAGGTACACACCGTCTCTGCATATGCTGGTGGCCCTGCTTATGCATCTGGCTCTTTCCCATTCGGCGGCACTGGTCCCAAGGCTGCTCCAACCGTTGCTCCTACGACCATGGCGACGCAGGTCTCTTTCCCTTCCTCTTCCTCTTCCTCTTCCTCTTCCTCTTCCTCTTCCTCTTCCACCTCCGCGGCACCCCTTTCCCAGGCTACTGCGCCGGCTTACAGCCCGCCGGAATACAGTCCACCAGCCTCCTCTTCACCAGCTCCCAGTGCGCCGTCCTCCTCTTCAAGCGTCGAAGCACCCTCTGCTCCAGCCTACACTCCTCCAGCTACCACTTCCTCGGTCGCAGCACCTTCTGCTCCGGCGTACACCCCGCCAGCTACTACTTCCTCGGCCGCACCCGCTCAGTCCTCTTCTGCACCCTCCACTGGTGGCGGCGCCGGATTCGGCAACACATACAAAATGTACACGGGTAACGGCGACGTCTCCTCGGGATGGCCCTCCGAATCCGACTGGACCTCCTTCGACGACGCTTTCTCCAGCAACCTCGACATCCTCAAACAATCCTGCTCTCAATTCGGCGTCCCGAACAACTCCGACGAAGAGAACAACAACCTCAAATCCGCCATTTCCAGCGTCGCATCTTCCTCTGGCGTCGACGCACGTTACATCCTCGCCATCGTCATGCAGGAGAGCAAGGGCTGCGTCCGTGCCCCCACGACTCAATATAGCGTCCGCAACCCCGGACTCATGCAGAGCCACAACGGCCAAGGAACGTGCAACGACGGCAGCAACGTCCAAAACCCATGTCCCATGGACCAGATCACGCAGCAGCTCAAAGATGGCGTCGAAGGTACCAGCTCTGGCGATGGATTGAAGCAGACCATTGCGCAGGCAGGATGTGATGATATCTCGAAATACTACAAGGGAGCACGGATTTACAATTCCGGTTCGATTTCCGGTACGGATCTGGGGGCTGGTGTTGCGACGCATTGCTACGCGGCGGATATCGCGAACCGCTTGACGGGGTGGACGACTTCGACTTGTCTCTGTACGCTGGACGGATAGAGGAACATATATGAAGTCCGTGATGATTGATGATCTGGAAAATTTGGGCGTACCACGGCATGGGAAGGGAGGGAAGCGATCATTGTCGCATTTTCAAAAAACGAATAGGTGCCACACACGTGTGGTCTGGTCTGGCATGAAATGAACTAACTGGATGAGGTGCTCTTGATTTGTATATACCTTCTCTTCCCTCTTTATTATCCTCGATTTGAGGCATTGTACGCACGCAAAGCCGCTTTGTTGGCCGTTTCTTCCCTCTCTCTCTCCCGGCACTACTTACTTCGCCGGCCGCTTTCCCACCGAATCGCGACATCACCCCGTTTTCAATGCTGCTGCTGCTGCTGCTGCTGCTGCTGCTGCTGTTGTCGTCATCGCAATCCACCGCTCGCTACGAAACAACCTACCATGAGCTCGGCCCGGGTTCTTCGCTCTATCAGGGTAAGGCAGGGGTAGGGTATGGTATGGTGGAAGAACCCCACAAACCCGTTTCGCGTCGCGTCGCATGATTCTTGGAGACATGCAGCCAGCCACCTGGTTTAGTGATGATCTGGAATCTCTCTTGGATGATAAAGGTATCTTTCCCAACAAAAAAGTCTTGTCCATCATATGTCAAATGGCTCTCAAGGTAACTAATTTGAAATTTGCATCCGAGAGAATCTTAAAGATGTGAGAGTTCATAACTTGATTGCGTGCGAAATTTTGCAAGGAAAAGAGGAAAAAAAAAAAAGGAATGAGATTGAAGTTTTGTTGGTTGGTGATCGGATCTTCTAAACCCCCCTTTCACATGCTCACTCACCCTGCGTGGATTTCTCTCTCTCTCTCTCTCTCTCTCTCTCTCGGCGCTGCAGGGGTTCCTTGATTGTCGGGATCTGGGACGTTGGAATTCATTCGCTCGGGAATAGTCGAGTGGTTATTCTGTTCTGTTCTGTTCTGTTCTGTTCCTTCTTTCACCGTTCGATTCGGATTCCCTGCTCGTCCGGTCTAGAGAGCTGCATTTTCTCGTTGTTTTTCTGACTGGCTTCTCTCCTTTTTTCGCGGGCGAGATACGCTTTGCCTTCTCTCCGCCCTTTCTTCATGGCCATGAAGGTTTTTCCCCATGCCGGCGGGCGGGTTGGGGGATTCTCCTTATTGCTCGAAGGAACGTCTTTTTTAAATGCTTGCTTTGAATAAGGCTCGGGCTCGAGACATGTCTGCGGGTGGATTGGAGAGTTATGTGGTACGCTTTCCCTGGGAGTATTTGCGTACGTACGCTTCGCACTATATTGACTGTGCTGGTCTTTGGTAGTGCTCGGGTAGCGCTGAGTAGGTAATCTTCTAAAGGGAAGCGCATGAAGGAAGCACAATCCAATTTAGACCGACGAAATTATCATTCTCGCTTTCACGAGTATGTTGAAAAATGTATATAGTGAATGTCGAATCGCCCGGGTACCGACGCTATCAGGGCGCCTACAAGGCTTTCCAAAGTATAGCCTCGATGGTTGTTTGACGCTTGGCGTCGAACAATGCAAGACCACGAATCGCGAATTGGAATGACTTTTCCATCTTCATTTCTAATGCGATGTGCGTTAGGTGAGGCATTTTTGGTAGAATAGTTTTAGTTTGGTGCTAGTGTTTGGTGAGTGAATGTTGCGACGGAATTGAGCCGAGGAAGTACCGGAAAGCTGTTGACATGTGATGATGTGATGATGTGATGATGTGATGATGGTGTGGGGCGAGCGATGGGGATGCGGGAAGGCGCACCTACCTTAAGGTACATTACTCCCGACATTTGCAAGTTCACGAAATCTTTCGATCTCTTGCATTCATCGATGCATACTGCAGCACGCTCAGTCATAACGCCAAATTCGCCGGCATTTCATGTCAGTAACACTGTGACGCGCCGTGTCTTCTAGACACTCTCCCGAAACCGCTTCCGGCAGATCACGACGTACCAACAACAGCCACACCTTTTGTACGATGATGGAGAGACTGCTATGCCAACTCATCTCGCTTCTTCCTGCGATTAGGAAGTCATCACCGACCCGCGCGAGAACGTAGTAAATCGTCAATACTACAATGCCAATGGACCATTCTACAACCACACACATCGGAAAGATGACTCTAGAATGAGCATATCCAGCTCAAGCAGACGACGGCTCGTCTTCAACTTCAACGTCGTCGTAGAGCTCGGACGCAGCGCAGCGAAAGCCATATATGCCCAGCAATTGCTCGAGCGTGGAGAAGTCAGCGCAGGGCGACGACCGCAACGGAGTCTTCCTGCTGACAATGAGTTTTAGGAGAGAGAAGTCTGTCATTGATTCCCAAGCTTCCCAAATCCTCCTGCTGGCTGGACCGGCGCCCTTTCACGACTGCGAGCGAGGTGGCAACAAGGGACTAACTACGCACGAAATAGACTTGGAGGGAGGGCCTGCTCCTCGGGTTTTTCTGCTGGAGAGCTACGTGCGAGAATGGCGGGTGGCGCCGAATACATCATCATGGAACGATGTCGCGGGATCGAATTGGAGAAGACGTGAAACGACCTCCTAGGTCGTCAGAGAGCGGCGATTATCGGGAAGATCGCTCTCTCTCTCTCTTTCTCTCTCTCTCCTTCATCAATCCCAGTCCCCTTGCAATCCTCACATCTCACACCTCCCCTCTCCCAATCAAGAGCCTTCTCGCCCGCGTCATCAACATCAACATCCTCGGCGGAGAACGAGGTCTTTCCAAGGTATCTTTCTATCTTTCTAATCCTCCCCCTGAAAGAGCCAAGCCAAGCCAAGCCACTCCACTTCCCTCCTCCGTGGACTGATCGTCGTATATCTCCAACTTCCGCGAGGGTCGTGCGTGGAGGGTTTCTAAATTGGAGTAAGCGTTGCCAAGATCTCATGCTTTCTCCTGCATCGGGCGGACCACTGCCGACGTTCCATGAGATCTCAAAATCGCCAAAGTCAGCTGGCGGGAACGCGGAAGCTGGGGTCGAGAGGTCGAGGAGATGGAACCGCCAAAGAACATGAAAAACGGAAGAAGGCACAGGAGAGTTTTGTTCAGACCAAGAAGTTTTTACGCTGTACAGACGCATTTTGCTGCCGGGAGGGGTTCGTCGGTTCTCACGCCCATGATGAGCCGCAACGCCCCAAGCCGCAAACCGCAAAAGCAAGAAGCAAGAAGCAAAACAAGTAAGCAAGTTTGGTAGCCACGGGAGAGCACGGGGCTGGAGGACAACGACATCCGACATGTACGCAACACAAGAGGTTTCACTCTCGCCCTGTAGCTGGATGACCAAAGCACAGCGAAAAGCCGGCCTACCGATCACCCAACAAGGGGAGAGCGCCTCCACGCAACCAACTCGACAGCCTTAAAAAGGCCGGAATACCGGTTACGCGGAGAAACCCCATGGACACCTCTCAACCGCCGAAGCAGGAGCATGGTGCCATGAGGTCAAACCTCTCGTGTGTGTGTACACATCTTTTCTCGCAGAACGCCAACCCAATGTCCCCCATGGACACAACGAGAAAGCAAAACATCAAAAAAGCAAAAACCAAAAAAGACAAAAACAAAAAGCAAGTACAACGCAAACCCAAAACCAACGCCCCTCTGATCTCCGTCATGCTCGTGCGCGCGTCGCGGGGTATCACAAAATCACCCGATTCCCAAAACGCCTTCGCTGTCGTAGTCTTCCCATCTCGTGCTCATCGTCATGCTTGTGCGCGCGTCGTGGGGTATCACAAGATCACCCCGGGTCCCAAAACGCCTTCGCTGTCAAAGTCCCGGTCGTTTGTGCTGTGTGTACAATGACCTTAAAGGTCAAATTCGCCGGTGAAGCCTCCATTGATAAGGAGTGCGACCAGCATCTTGCGAGCCTTGGGCATCAGCTTTGCCTCCAACTCAGAGTAGGGAATGTCCCTGGCGCACGCAAGAGCGTTCATGCACACGAACATGCCACAGTCGTCGTAGTTCGTCTGCTGAGTCGACAGCTTGTCGTGCTCAGTCCACTCATCGGCGACGTAGTCATCGCCCAGTTCCATCTTGAGCCATTGGCGCGCATATCCAAGTATCGCTTGGTTTTGGCCGTTCAGACTGTCGAGCATCTCGATTCGCCGCTCCTGTGGTTTGACGACGAGGAGCATCCAGTGGCAGCCGGTGTTGATGGGGAAGAAAATCTTCTTCGCTCCCAGCAACTTCTTGCCGGACACCTTCTGTCGTCTGGACCAGGTCTTTACGCTCTGGATGCCTTTGGTCTTGACGTTGGTATACCATCCGGAGTGGAAACGCGCCATCTCTGGAATTTCATCGTTCTTGCCTTTGAAGCCGGTCTGCTCTTTGTTGCGTGTGACAATCATCGTCAACAAGCCAACGACCGCCTCATCGTCGAGCCAGTTTGATGGCGCACCGGCCTCGCCGAGTTTGTTGAGGGATTCCAGAGACTTGCCCTTCTTGTCGACCTGCGGCAGGATCTTGCCCAGGGTGTATCGGGTGATTTCCGCACCATCGGGGGTCTTCGCGACGACACGTGTGCGATCTGTGATCTGCATCACTTTCGAGACCTCATCCTCCCACTTCTCACTGAGCGTCTTGACGATTTTGTCTTTAAAGTCGACCTCCTCAAAGACTTCCGCTGCCTTTTCTGCAGCCTTGCGCTCTTTCTCTTGTGCCTCCTTGCGTTGTCGCGACTCCTCTTCGGCCTCTTTCTGTGCCTGCTTCTTGAGCTTCTCCGTCTCCCCTGCGACAATCTCCTGCGCCTCCCGGACATGGCTGTCGTGGGCTCCATGGGTAGATGCTGCAGGGACAGATGCTTCCTCGGCTTCTGCAAGAACATCTCCCTTCCGGTCCCGCTTCGCCATCCGATCGGCCTTGGCGAGTAATGCAGACGTTGTGTAGGGATTCTCGGCTCTGTGACCATGGTCTTCCTCCTGGAGACGGGCAACGCGCTTGTTCTCTAGGTTGCGTGCCTGGCGCTGCATCTGCTCCTCGAGCAGTCTTCGCTTGGCGTCATTGGCCCGCTGCACAAGTTCGGCGTCAGAGGGCCGGTTAGGGTTGCGCTTCTTTCCCTCGCGCTCTGCATCAGTCCAGTCGGGTTCCCACTCATTTCGGGGAACGGGCTCCTTGGTGTAATCCATAGTCCATGGATTAAATGGCAGAGCGAGATCTTTCACGCGCGCTGCTTTGAAATCTGCAGGGGTCTTGGCTCGCCATGCCTCCTCACTGATTTTCGGAATGCGGCTGTTCCAGTCGCGGCGCTTCGCTAGATCCTTTTCACGTCGAGCTTGCTCTTCGAGCCGAGCTTCCTTCTCTTCCTGTGTCTCACAGCTCTCATCAGCCTGTGCAGTTGCGGCAGAGCCCGGCAGGGTGCTCTCGTTTGGCCTATTGGGCCCGTCGGTTGTGGCATCTGAGTCACTTGAGCCAGGTCGGGAGTCTGGCGGAGTGTCAAGCGTTTGCTCTGCATCGGCCGTAGCCTGCTGCACTTGAGTGTCCTCTGTCGAGGGCAGAGCTAGGAAATCACCCGGCATGATGGCGTCTCCTGGCTGTGGCGATGGCGTGCTTCGAATCAGGTCTTCCAGGTCTTCCAGGTCTTCTATCGCGATCGCGCGGCGCTTGCGTCCAGTAGTGTCTGTTTCGACAGCAACAAGCTCGCGTTCCTTTGCGTCTTTTCGTAGGATGAAGACGTTGTAGAGGGGCTGCACTACCCACTGATACCAATACTGCCAGCCAGCGACAAGGATTCCACCGATCTTGCGCACCGCTGTCTGTTCAGGCTGCTCTGGTGGTTGGGTGAAGTCTAGTGCCAGATCGGGATACAACTGAGTGGCGGTGGGCCTCGGAGGGGACCGTCTCAGTCTTGGCTGGAGAATCGGACGCTCCGATGATGTTTCCAGAAAGGATGGTGACTCCGGCAGAGATGGCGAGGTTGATCTCGATGGCGAATCCCGCTGCGATGATGAGGTCGGCTGCAGACTGATGGCTCTAGGTGGAAAGAGCTTGGGAGCGCTGAGGTCGATTGAAAGATCAGGCTTTCGTGAGCGTGAGTGAGAGCGTGAGAGTTGGGATGAGAATTTGGAGAGCAGCTCTGCAGTCTCCTTGCGAGTGGGCTGTTTCTCAATGCCGCTGGGACTTTTGTAGCTGTGGTAGCCGTGTGTTGGGTGCGTGGGCTTGGATTGGCGTAGTGGTCGCTGCAACAGCTGCTTTCTATTGTTTGAGAAGTTAGCCAAAGTATTAGAGTAGGACGCGGGGACACATTTACCTTCTGAGGTGCTCGTCATGAGCCTCCTGGTAGACTTGTTGACGCTCACTGGGTGGCGGTACGACCGGTCCCCGCACCCGGTAATCAGGCGTCTTCCTCGGCCGGTCAGTGCAGTGGTGTGCACTGTAGGGTAGCATGCGCTGCTTCAAGAGCGATTTGGATTGACGTTGATAGACGGGGATTTTGTTGCGTGGGGGACTGAAGTGGACGCTCTTGTGTTGGCCTGGAGCTAGTTCGCGTTGCTGTTCCTGGAATTCGTCGTATGTGCGCTTTCCGCCATTGGTTTCGAAGACGTGGTGCTGGTCGTATTTGTCCGGGGTGCGGGTGCGCGGAGGTGACCAGCGAGCTTCTGCTGGGGAGGGGGTGGAGGGACGCGGTGCGGCCGCCGCGGACTGCTGAGGGGGTGGTGTACGTGGTGGACTGCGAGTCGCTGGAGGGTAGTCGTCCAGCTCCATGTAGTCCATGGTGGAGGGTGGAGGGTGGAGGGTGGTGGGGTGTGGGGTGTTTCGATGATGGATGTGATATGATGGAGTTTGTCGGTGCGTGTCGAGTAGTGTGTGGAGGTGTTGGGTGGATGGAAAGTTTGGAGAGAACGCCGACCCGAGCTGCCCTGTCGCACTAAAGCTGCGGGCCGAGGGCGGGCTGTCCCGGCAAAACAAGCCGCTTCGGCGTAGATCCTGTCACTGCGAACTCCTCAGTCCTAGCTCTGTATTGGGAAGGCGCGAAGAGGGCTGCCGTTGCCACAACACTGCGACCTGTCTGAAAAGAATTCCTCAGGCCAACACGACCGGTGCAGAGGCATGAAAGAGAGCATGAAATGACAAGATCAATGTCTTCGATAAGGTACATAGCTACGCTCGACCGCGCCAATGCGCCAGCCCTATGCACGGCCGAGGCTAAAAGCGGCAAGAACCTTAGGTCCCGTTGTTGAAACACCCGCCGTTCTGGGACGGACGGAGGGCCGTGCATCATTCCAGTCCATCAGCCTCACCTCACTTCACTTCTCTACTCTTCTTCTTCCCCACTCAGTCGCCAATGCCACAATAGCTATTGTCCCCTCGACAATGTGAACTTTCCTCCATCCGGCGCATATGAACGTCTAGACATCAATTTTCTTCCAACCCATTGTTGTCCGCTCAATGCGCCGGATGCAGCCTTTATTTCACTCTGCCTGCCAGCCACCTGCAAGCCATCTTCTTAATCGCACCACGACACACAACGTCTGTGACTTCGCAACATTTCCATTTCACACCGCGCACTACGGCCTGCCACCATGACCTTCTTCAAGCGCCTGTCGGATGGTTTCTGGTCCTATGTCTCGCCTCGCAAGGCCAACAGCGCCGCGGCCACGCCCCTCCCCACGCCGCAAACCGATCCGCCTGCATTCCAGAAACCTGCAATTCCGCGTCTGAGTCCAATGAAGCGGCGTTCAAGTCTCAGTGCATCGATTCGGGACATCTCGCGACATGCTCGGTCTATGAGTCCGGGGGAGAGGATTGGCAACTGGCGCGTGCGATCATCATCGAGCCAGGCAAGCTCCAAATTCGTGGGCGGTAAGAGAAAGAGAGAGTATGCAATCGAGAGCCCCAGCGCAGGTCGCATGGGCAAGCTACGCAGGGTAGACAGAGACAGCAGCGCCAACCACGGGTACGACGACTACATCGACCAACAGACAGTCCTCCACGAAGATGACGATAGCAGAGCCACTAGCTCCCTCCGCCATGCGTCCGGAAGTCCGCGTTTCCCAAGGTATAAGTCTCCAACGCTGGACGAGTATGCCGAGGAAGAGGACGCCACGTCTGTCGGCAACACCCTCGTTGTCAGCGAGAACCAGGAGTACACGCCCGCCACACGCCGCGTCGTCGACATTCCGGAGGAGTCTGCATTACCCAACATTGACGAAGACGAACTCCGTGCGAAAGGCTACGATGATGACTACATCAGTCTCATCCGGCGGATCGCGCTGCGGGGACACGAGCCACTGCTACCGTCATTCCTCCGTCTCGACCACAAGTTCTTTCCGGATGCCCTCTTCGAGGAGACCGACGATGCTTTCATCACAAGCGTTCGCGGAGAGCACTTCAAGGCTGGCAAGGCTCTCGATAGGCTTATAGACCTGGGCGGAAGAGTGCGCGATCGCATCGAGACGCAGAGTAAAGTGGCGCCAGAACAGCAAGTTAAGCGTCACATGGAGAAGTACATCAAGTGGGCCATGGAAGACGCCGGATTCGATGACCGCACGAGAATCCCCATCCTCGCCATGGAATTCCAACCCGCTGGCACCGAAGCTGCCATTCTCAAGGCAAACGCCCTGAAGAAGTGCAAGCGCCTAGCGAGCCGGTACCGCGAGGCTTTGCGCGTGAAGCAATCGGTCGAATTCTCTCCGGTATCGCTTTCCTCCCGCAGTACTCTGCTCTCATGCCCGCTGCCAACCTTCTACGCCCTCGTCGCTTCGCATCAAGTCGTCGCCATCATGGCCTATCGGCCCGACTCGGAGATCCAGGAACTGAATCCCATGGCCTTCTTCAATTTCAAGGAGCGCAATTACGATGTCTGGAATGCACTTGCCCTCGCTATCCTCGTCAACCACGTGCGTAATGTGCACCAGCGGATCGCGGACGAGACGGGCTTGGGGCTGAAAGAAGGACTTTCTGATGATGAGATCGATAGGATGGCATCTGACCCAGATGCATAAGAGCGAGATCGAAGGAATGGGGTCAGGTCGCGAGTTCGACGTGTTCCTTGTGTTGTTTTGATTGGTGTGCGTGCAAATACTGAGACGATTACATGCTGATGATATACCACTTTTCCAACGCGCGACAGAATGAGATGGACGGACGGACGGATGTTTGCATGGCTGCGGCGTATATGTCACTTTTGTTCTTGGTAGCGAGTTAGATACCCGGATTGCCCGCCTCCGCCGCGCAATGTCATTTATGATGCTTTTACTTATTTCCGGTCTGCGTCATTGTCTCGTTTTACTCTTTCTTACGTTTCTTCCATCGAAGAGCGCGATTGCTGCTGCTGCTGCTGCCTCTGATCTCGCTCTACATGTACCTTACCTTGGTGCTGCGTGCGTGCGGGCTTGGGCTTGGGGATCTTCACGTCAATTTTTATTACTCTCTGCTAAGATGCTTTGATTTTCTCCACTCATATTCATGACATGGACGTGGATATGGACATCGATATCGACATGGATATGGATATGGATATGGATATGGGGACTGCCGCCACCTTTTATTGGAGCTGAGCCGAGCTGCATCCGCATCCGCAGTCTTCGATCCCGATCACGAGTGGCTTTCAAGCTGACACACAGATTCTGGTGCCAATGTCCTTCACTGGCAGCGGCCCGATGAAGCCGGCCGACTGGCAGTAAATGACGTGAGATCGAAACCTGCAGTCTTGTACTGCGGGAGGTCGCACGGGATCGACAGCAGCAGTACGACACTTCGAACGGAGGAGAGAGACCTTTTCTCTTGCGAATGCGATTGCGATGGAGGTGAGCTGTGTTAGATAAATAGACTGCAGTTCTCGATCGAAACGTGAACTATTAATATAATCATTCAGTCTGTCTGGCTTCAATTCAAAGATCAAAGATCAAAATCAGGACGACGATGGGCTTAATGGTTGCTGTCTGAGGTGGACGTCGCGAGGAGGAGGGGGGCGTAAAGATTCGCGTAAGAGGAGTCGGAGCACGACCAACCAACCGGGCGATTTCAGAAGTGAGAGAGAGAGAGAGATACGATATCTTGGATGAAAAGGAATCTAGACGTTTGCTTCCGGCAGATCTATCGATCGAGTAGATAGACGCGCGGTAGGTGGCGAGTGGGAGATCAGCCTGCCTGGTGATGGGGAATGCCATGACCGGCTCTTGCGAATGAAAACTAGAATGGTAGAATGGTGATTGGAAGCGAGAAGGGATGGTCTTGGAATGGACAGCTCAGCGACGGAATGAAGACTTTGTGGATTCTTGGAGTAGACGCTGTTTTTACGGTGCAGAAGGTCAATACGTGTACAAACGCTTCTGGTGGGCGTGGCGTTGATGACGACGACGACGGCTTGCTGCGTATCTACGAGAGGCTGGAGGTGCTTGGAAGTCACGGCACCTGTAGAGTCAGAATGCATAATCCCTTCTCGAAGAATGGAAAGCGAAGGCTCTATATCATGATCGGGTGGCTATGCCTCTCCCCAAGAGAAGCCAGAACCACCGCAATCCGACAAAAAATTCCAATCGACACAGCCGAGCCCACCCATGCAAAGCTGATGATCGTAGCAGCCCGTCAAAACTCACGCTACAATTTCCCGCGATTCAGAAACCTCACCGGCAAATCCACAAACCTCGCCCTCAGATACTCGGCCACATTCTTGCCCAAGAAATCATAGGAAGACGAACAACTCACCCCGCGATCCAGATGGTCGTGGAGGAGGAAATGCACGGCGAGCAGGTTGGGGAATTCGCAGCGGTCCTGTAGTTGCATTCCGAACATGAATTAGTAAAGAGTTTTCAACCTCTTTTTCGTTTAGAAAGGGGGGGGACGCGTGAACTGACGATTTTCTTGCCTGCTTTATACTCTTCTCCGAGGAGTTTCTGGATGGTATCGATGGACAGGAGAGAACGTAGCCATTCCCATTCATCCCGATTACGGACCCAGAATCCTACATTTGCGTTGGAGCCTTTATCTCCGGAGCGGGCGTGTACGATCCAACCTAAGGGCCCTCTCACCGTCTGCCCAAAATCTGTACTCTTCACATTCCTTGCGGACGGCTCGCTGGGTTGTTGAGCAGGATACATTTTCGTCTCCGGAGGCGGTGGGATTTCTATTTCCGCTCCATCCCAGAGATGAGTTTGATGTTGCACATCTGCTTGTGGGAGCAGAGTCACATAGTATTCGTAGATGGGTTTCGGGAAACCTTGTCGACTATCTAGATGGAACGTCGCACCGGGGTATCCGGACATTATGAGGTCGATGATGGGACGGAGGAATTTGTTCGTGGCAAGTTCTTTTTCTTTTCGGGCTTGCACGAGGATTCGAAAGTCTACGGTTGCTGCGTTTTGGTTTGGGGGATCGGGAGCTGCGGCGCCATTCAGAGTGAAATCGAAGCGTGTGTAATTCTGGGAGTAGGGTTTCAAGGCATGGCGGATTTGGGCTTCCATCATTCTGGCTTTGGGTTCGATGTCGAGACCTGTCAGGAACCAGTGCATCTCGGCTTGATAGCCTCCTTTTGCGGTGAGGCCGATTTTGGTGGTTGATGGTGGCAGGTCGCCTTTTACGCCTCGCAATGCTACGCGGTCTCGGCCAATTTGTTCGAACCAGAGATCGTCTAGGATGGCGGTGACGTCGGAGTTGAAATACCAAGGTCCTTGGATTTCGTAGAGTAATTGTGAAGAACAGGTCTGCGTGCTTACTTCTCCTCCACCCCATGTACCCTTCGTAATGACAACTTGTCCGGACCGTGAGATTTCTGCGATAGGGTAGCCGATATCGTGCCAGCCTTTCTGTTCGAGGCTTTTGAAGCCGGAGAAGTTTCCGCCGCAGACGTAGTTGCTGCATTCGATCATGTGGCCTGCTACAAATGCGTTTGCGAGTTCGTGGATTTGGGACCTGTTCCAGCCGTGCCACCAGTATGCGGCTCCTATCACAGGGCTGGCGTCCGATACTCTGCCGCAGACTACGATGTCTGCTCCTCGTGCAAAAGCTTCTGCTATCCCGAGCCCTCCGAGATAGGCTTGTGCGTATACCGGTTCAAACTTCCAGTCATCTAATACTTCGCCGGTAGAGAGGTTTTCGAATTTGCTTCTCTTCTCTGCTCTTGCTTTCTGCACGGCGGGGAAGACTTCATCTCCGCTGACCCAGGCTACTTTCAAATCGAGATTTTTGGCTTTGCACATCTTCGTAACGGCGGCGTGGAGGCGTTGCGTATCGGATGCTCCGGCATTCACTGCTACTTTGATCCCATGCTTGGCGATGTCGGGCAGGGCAGGTTCGAGGGCTTCGAGGAAGGTCGGTTCGTAGGCTTCGCTGACAGACGTGTGTGCGAGATCGTATGTCGAGACGGTGGAGTTCGGGGATGCTTTCGAGCTTTCTGACTTCATGATACCTCTCGCAGCTGTGATAGCCATTCAGTTGAAGGGAGAGAGAGGGCGTGTGGTGCTGATGTACTCATGTTTGCCTCGCTCATCCAATCACCGATGATCACATCCACAGGGTCGTCGGGATGGTTCGCTGCAAAAGTGGCGAGCGCATGCCGGCGGTCTGATACGGAGCCGGAAGCACCTAGACATTATCAGCATGATATTTCTGGAATTGGGCACGAAGATGTACCTGCTATGCGAATCGGTCTGGTCGAATCTGCTGCCATTGTTGAGTATTCCAGAGGACTTCCTAGGCAAGGCAGCTCTCTCGACATGATCGTAGCGTTCCCAGAGAGGAGAGAGTATGAAATCAGATTCTCATCGCGAGCTACCTACTCATATCGAGCTGTCATGTTGCGAGGATTACCGAAGTCAATTGCGGAGTCGGAGAGCTCGACCGAGGATCTGCACGTAATACACGTGACTGTCATTCTTTAAGACAATTGACGACTCTCGGACGGATTGCAGAAATGGCAATGAGAAATAGAGTGAGAGAGTTTGTTGTCGATGAGGATGAAGAAGAGAATGTGAAGGGAGCAACATGAAGTGTGGTTCGGATGAGCAAAGGAAGGTCGAGCTTAGACTTGCCGAAGCTCGGTGAACACACATTTCTCCTTTTCTTTCCACACTCTATTTGCTTCTGACAAGTACATACCACCTACACCACCGTCAACTTCATTGAGAGATATCGACCGCTATCGTCTTCGATCAGAGATGTATACTTGTACTGCCTCTTATCCCTTGCCTTCTCATCGGGTCATCCACCATGTTAGACCCTCTGCATCTCCTGCAGCGAAGCTAGGTCGACAGATTCTGCTTCGGGATATCAATCAAGGAGTCCTCGATGTTTTGCCTGAAGTGAGGTCAAGAGTACAATGATACATGTGTTTGTCCAGCCATATGGATGTTGCGGCCACAAGAAGAATTGAACTTTGGGACTCTCGTTCTGCAAGTGCTACATCTAAAGCTTACTGCTTTGCCTCCACCAGTTCCTCGGATCCACCGTCAACTGCTTCGACTTTCTCATCCGAAGACTTCTCCCCTGGCTCTTCAGCACCAAGGAGCGCAGCGAGACCAATGTCTCTCTCAATCTTCGCCTTCAGCTGCAGATCTGCGTGCGCGAAACCAACTTCGCCGAACAGCTCGTCCATCTCCTCTAGCGTGCGGCCTTTGGTCTCAGGGACCATGAAGATGACCCAGATGACGCCAATGGTTGTGACGCATCCGAAGAAGATGAATGTGCCAAAGTCGCTGGCGGCGATGAACGGTGAGGTAGATATACCCACTGCATCATCACAAGTCAGTCCCGAGGCCGTCAAGAAGCGAGGCGTCGCTTACCAGCAAAGTTATTCAACCAATTGGCGCTTCCTCCCAAGCTGACACCCTTGGCTCGCATACTCAAGGGGAAGACCTCACTCACGACGATCCACGCAACCTGCAAGCCGGAATGTCAGCTGATGTCTCCCGCACAATATACGGTTCCGCTTACCGGGCCCCAGCTGTACGCAAAGTTGCCCACGAAGATCCAGATGAAGACGATCGCGACCCATCCAGCGGCTCTGTGCTGCGGCCACGAGTCGTCGAAACTGCCGATCAGAGCAGCGACGATGAAGTGGCAGATTGCCATTCCAATGCCACCAGCGATGAGAATCGTCTTACGTCCGAACTTGTCGACATAGAGGACGGCGGGGATAGTGAGCACGAATTCTAGAATGCCCACGACGCCCGTCGCGAGCAGCGAAGTGGTGTCGCCGGAGAGATTGAAGTCGTTGAAGATGAAAGGGGCGTAATAGTTGATGCTGGTAACAGACGTCAGTATGAACTTGGAGTAATATCTGAGGAGGCTTACGCATTGATGCCGTTCCATTGTTGGAATGTCATAGTCAAGCACGCCACCATGGAGCGCTTGAGCAGTGACTTGTTTGTCACGAGTGAAAGGTAATCGTAGAGGCCGATCATGAAATTGCTCTTGAAAGTGCCATCCTGGTATTGCGGGTATTTTTCCTTGGACCGAGCGACTTCGAATTCTTTCAGGGCTTTGATCTCCAGAAACTCAATCCGAACTCGCAGATCTTCCTTGCTGGCACTTCGCAATCTGGCCAAGGTTTCGAGGCATTCTTCTTCACGGCCACAGTTCATGAGGTGACGAGGCGACTGAGGCATGAACATCAGCATACCCGCCGCGAGGACGATTGCTGGCAAAAGTTGCAAGCAGACAGGAATCAGCCATGCCGCATCGGACTGGCTTGCTCCAGTACCGCCGATGTAGTTGGTCCCGTATCCGATCCAGAAGGAGACCATGATTCCGAATGTGATCGCCAGCTGCTGCACGGCGACTAGCGCACCTCGTACTTCTGGCGGTGCAAGCTCAGCGTTGTACAAAGGTACAATCATACTCAGTGACCCGACACCGAGACCAGTGACGAAGCGACCACCCAACACATAGTCCTTGTTCTCTGTGCAAGCCTGGACGATCACACCGACGGCGAAGACGACACAAGCTATGACAGCGCAGAAGCGGCGGCCTACAGCGTCAGCTAGCCAGCCGTTGATGAGTGTGCCAACCCAAGCACCCAGCTCCAGAATGGAAGTGAGCAGTCCCTGTTGGATACCAGTCTCAGCAGCGAAGCCTTGGGTCCTTTGGACGAACGACGACATGGTCAGGACTTGGGCAAACATTCCCTGGTTGTCTGCAAGTCTTGTCAGCTAGACCATCCGCAGTCGACACCGTTTCACCACTTACAGCCATAGACCAATCCTCCCAGCGAGGCGAAGAACGCAATCGCAGTCGTCTTGCCATTCGCAATGATGCCCTTCAGTCCCGATGGTCCAGCGAACTGGGCTCTCCTTGCAGAGACATCGATTGCTCCAGGCGCATGGTGAGGTGCAGGGACCGGATCTGCTCCGACGTGGCCTACCATCTTGAGGGAAGTCAACGGGTAAAAATATTGGCCAGGAAAAAGAAAGAGATCGACAGAAGCCCACAAGACGGATCTGGAGAACTCCACGGGATTACTCCCTTTTGTATTCTCCATGGATTGTACCCACAGAACGCTGCACCCGTCGACTTAAAGCCAAGCATGCACTCGGCGCATACTCGGATCAAGCGGACGGGCGACGGCATATGTTCTTTGCTCTATGTGACAGTCGCGCCATGTGAGGAATTTAGGCTAAATTGCCCATGGGGCTCCAAAGGATCAGCTTGCAGGCCTGGCGAGCCGGATGTGTCCAATCTGTTTGCTCGCTTGCTGTGGGGTGGTGGCAGCGTGCGGCGTTGTGCCGCGTGGTCATCTCGTGCGGCGCATGGCTGGCTAGCACGGCATCTGTTGTTCGTCGAAGGATTGGGATTGTGAAATATGAGCCGGAATATTAACAATGAATTGATTTCTAAGCAGAATCGATTGACGGCATCGCGGCAAAAGTGAGAAACCGCATTTCTACTTACGGACTTCCGGTTTCTCCCAATCTTATACCTCGAGAGTATTTCGCTGTTGTAGTCTAGCGACTGGAGCCTTGAGGATACCAGAAGGGTCTGTGGGTCACTACTGTGGGGTCTGGAGATAGCGTCTGGAGACTCCATGCGAAGCGAGATACCCCGAACCGAGGACCACTTGCACTTGCACTTGCACTTCCATGCATTCCATTGTGGTGTGACCTTGTCGGCTCGCATGCTTCCACGTGGCGGCCGTTGGTGAGGTCGTGCCCAAGCATTCGGCGTCTTTTGTGCTTCGGATCACATGCATCTTTGTCGGGTATCAGACTCCGAGCTCTTGCGAGGTTCCCGGCTCGGTGTTTGAGTGTGGGATCCGGGGGAGGGTCCACATCCCACGAGTTGCTGCTTTCGTATTAATCAAGCCTAGGATTTCGTCAACAAGAACAACGTATGCAGCGAGCTTCTGTTCGGAAAGACTTCGATTTCGGCTCTTGACTAACGAAGGCTCATGATTTTTTAATGCATCCCTTTGTCGGCTCAGGGCAGAGGCATCTGGAGGCCACTGGATCCATACTGCAAGCAACATAGCGCCATGATAGCAAACCGATAAATGGAAGCACAGCTTCACAACATCCCGCTTCATAACCGCGGCAATAGTCTATTACAACACAACTTTTGAGACAACTGAAAAGGTGCAAAAGATAGAGCAGAGCGTGGCGGTTCTTCTGCACTGGTTTTCGCTGTCTTGCTTTTGCTGTTGGGGTCGCAATACGAGGACAAAGTCAGGCCCAAGAGGCGACATTTCACGTTTCAGTGTCCCCCAGTGGGGCGTCTGTCAGTCATGCATGTGACGGGCTCCTCTCGCAAGGCGGGCGTTATCAGTGTCCTATCAGTACATGCCTCGCCTCTTGGCCTGACTGTTCCTCAAACCCAGCTCCTTGAACAGCTTGAAAGATAGGCCCTCAACGACAACGATAGACTTCTCGATGACGGGATCGGTCGACAAGTTCGCCGCGCAATCCAATATCGTCTTGATCATGATGTCTCGAAGTCCCAGATCGCTGTCTTCGGTGGCTCCGAACGCAACCCCGATGGCTGCCGCAAAGTCACTCCGATTCCAGGTGCCCTCGACGGCGGCCTTGAGTTTCTCCATCGCCAGTTGGCGAAGAGGCTCGATGTCGTACTTGGATCCCATGGCGTAGAGTCTTGCGTGCATGGTGAGAGCATCTGGAGATGTTGACGGGGTTCCTGAGGTTACTCGATCGCCGGGTTTGGATGCGCCATTCGAGTCATATGCAGGTTCTGGCTCTGGTTCAACACAGGGCTCCGCGAAGAAGTCTGGATCGTAGGCCGCAGGCTCGTCACCCCAGCCGAAGACCCTCGCCTGCTTTCTTTTCTTGTCCTTCTTGCTTCGGTTCTTGCTGAACGAACCCCCTAGATCATCCTCTTCGTAAGTCTGAGTAGCGACGCTAGACTTTTCAGCAACATCATCGATATCAGACTTATCAATTACCATCGTATCTTGCGTCGGAACCTTGGTCGCAAGCTGAGAGGGGTCAATTGCATCCGCATCAGCATCAGAAGAGCCCGGCGTGTAGTCGTTCATGTAGATGTAGTCGATCATGAGCTGGACCGCTTCTGGATGGTCACAGCTATAGTCCTCCTCTTCAGCTTGGCTATCGATGGCTTTGAGAGAAATGACACCAGCCTTGCCCTCCTGGAGGTTGTCAGTCATGACGATTGTCACGAGTCAGGGCTTGCTTGCTTACCGCCCATTTCTCTTTCTGACAAGCCTTTGCGAACCACTTCGAGCGCAGACACATCACATTCTTGTGGACCTTGAACTGATATCCCCCACAGCGTACTGTGAGATCGGAGTATTCACCAGTTTTCCTCAGGCTAAAGTTATCAGTGATCTTGTCCAGATCAAGGGACCAGAAAGTCGTCAGGGCACTTACCTTGCCAAAATTTCGCCGTGCTCCATTCTGTGAGCCTTTGTCGTTCCAGACAGCAAGTTCGGAAGTTGTGTAAACGGGGAAGAATGAGTAGGGCGACTGCGTTTGCTTGGCCTGTGCTCTTATCAACACTGAATTGAACTAGCGGGGTCCTACAGCTACCCCTGCTGCACGAGCTGAAGCCTCGCGTCTCGAAAGCAAACGGTACGTTTTGAGCGGTATTCACAACTCGCAAGAAGTCTTGTTGGCCTCAAAATCAATTGGTCGTGGTTCAATCCTCGCTTAGAGCCGCGCCTCGATCCTCGCCTCTTCAGCCACACCCTGTGCCGCAGAAGCCGCCTGCAATTTCTACGACAGAGGACAACATAAACCGACATAGTTGCTCTTACAACACTGCCAGCAAGTCTCCGAAGCATCATGGCACCCGTCAGTATGGAGATCCTCGTCGCCGGTCTGAATTTCACCTCCCAGCCGGACTTCTCATCTGCCTTCGCCGAATTCGCAGCCGACCGCAACCCTATCTTGGACTTCATCACCAGATACTGGTCTGTGGTTTTGGATTGGATCAGCACGGCTTCAGCAGATTGCGTGCAGTGGGTGTTGCAGCCTCGTGAGTCGCATATCAGAGCCTGTCGAGTTGATGACTGACTCGGAAATGACCAGATGTTTACGCCGTCATCATCGCCTGGGCCGTTACCTTCACCATCATTATCACGATCATCCTCACTCTTGGCTTCGGACCAGTGGGCGTTGGTGCTGGCGAGTCAATCGAGACCTTATAGTTTGGAGGTTGGCTGACCATGATGCAGGTACTCTAGCGGCCGGATTCCAAGCTTGGATGTACGGCGGGTATACTCCTACCGGCGGCATTTTCGCGACTCTCACAAGCTTGGGCATGTTGGGTTTGCTTGCTCCGGTGGTAGCTTTGCTTGCTGCGTCTATCGCCAGTATCGTTGCGGCGATCGTCTGGGCATTCGGAATCTGGCGCTGAAGATGGAAGCCAATTTGCCGTACGGCTTTTTCGCGTACGAAGAGAAGGCATGTTCCGAGTCGTCCAGCTGAGCTATAGCGATAGACGTTCTGTCTCAAGCAGTCAGCCTGGAATATTGTCAAAGACTATCTTGACTTCTCTCCTCTGATCGAGCTGAGCTTCTGATCAAGATGCCCTTATGCTGCTGCTCCATGAAATAGCCCCTGGCGTTCTTGCGTCAGCATACTCCAACTTCACGTCATGACCTTTGAGTATTCTGGCGGCTTCCATCGATCCAGCTAGGCATGAAAAGGTACATATACCTACCATTTGCTGCTGGTTCTTCAACGAAACCCCCATTAGCACTTCATCGACGACTTCCTCAAACACCACCTCAAAGCCACAGCACCTACGAAGAAGACGAGCTCTCCTCACAGAAGCATACAAACCCACCAAAGCATTTTCAAATCCACCAAATCCCTTGCAATCATGCCCTTCGCCTTCATTGTCCAGCCAGCTCTCCAGGGAGTATGCTCTGTACTCGGCTTCGGCGCCGCGGGCCCAGTGGCGGGTGAGTTGCTCTTTTCAATTATATGATGAGCGTTTACTGATCCCAGAAGGCACTTTCGCCCCGCTCTGGCAGTCAACAGTCTACGCAGCAGCGGTCCCGGCGGGAAGCACATTTGCGTGGCTGCAGAGCTTCGCCATGTGTGCTGCTCTCTGATAGAGCCAGTATCGAACGGCCGGAGATTGGCGCGCGTTCTCCGGAAATCAAGACAATAGGGCGGAAATGGAGATGTTGGAGGGCTCTTGCTGAAAAAGGTATTTTGCAGTTGGAGCAAAGTCAAGGAGACGCTCGTTGGGATCGGTTTTGTTGTAATATTAGTATCTCGTATCCCGTAAGATGCCTTGATCTCGCAACCAGTTCCAGTCATGCGCATGTCGAACGGGATAATTGAGTTCTCCAAGACCGCGAGAAGATCCAAGTAGTCATAGCTCGGCTTTTCTTCGGCAGTGCAAGGGTTTGTTTTGACCTCTTTCCATTCGAACGCGTCTCTTCTCGTTTCAATTTCGTCCAAACACTTCTCCGCGTCCTGTTGTACGGAACGGATTGTTCAATCGCCTTTTCCTGTGTAGGCGCCTTCCTACTCGACCGATCTGTCAGGTCCCTCGGTATCCGACGCGTGTTGCATCCTGTCACTAGCAGGCCGAATCCAGAACAGGAAGCCGTCAAAGTCATATACGTCTCGGCTCCAGAGTCACACGAAGAGTCTAAAGACGATGCAGCTTTCATCGAGAATCAACGAGTGCCGGTTTCAGTCCAGAGGAGACGCACCGTGAAAGCCGGCCGACGCAAAGCCCATAGGACATCCTGATGAGAACTAACATGTCCCTAAGGACAGCAAGTCCAGCGTGTCAAAGCAGGACTGGCGAAGCCATGCTTTCGAATTTTCGATCATGCATGTCCGCCAAACGATGCCATGTGGGTTCCATCACTTGCCACGAGGTGTTTTGATCATGCAATTGGCCGGAGGCAACTCCGTCTCCACTTCCTCGTCTCCGCATGGAGCCTCCGCATTTCGGCGCGTCTATAACCTTATCCTTCGCCACACCTGCCTCTCCAGGAGACGACTTTCTCGAAACATTCTCGCCAGACACACTCTTAGCAATTCTGGATGGCCTCTTGCAACCGATGTTCGTGGGCAATCCAGGTGCCCAACTCTCGACATTCTATCTTAGAGTTACTGGCTCCAATGGACACTTTGGATGAATTTAAAAGAAGGAGCAATTCCAGAGATTTGAAACATGTGCCTTCGACGCGAGTCCGTTACCAATGAAGCATTGATCGACATGGAAGGAGCCTGCAGGCGTCACGAGGCGAGGCGCTGTTGGAGTCTCACATCAGAAATTCAGAAGACACACTTCATCCCTTAGATCTCACACTTCACTTTCGACAACTGGAGGCTTATCTTACGCTGCGCATAGACGGATGCCTAGCAGTGCGAGCCAACTTCACCTGTGACATCCACCATGCTACCTCGCACAATGTTGAACCTCCAAGGGAGGGCCTTCTATCAGCTTATGTCGTTTAGCTGCGCGATGGTGTGTTGGACGTCAACATATATTGTTCATCGCTGAAGAATCACAGGCCTTCCTGATCTTCGGATACGACGCTGGTGTTCTTGGTGGCGTGCAAACAACGCAGCCATTCCTCTCTGGATTAAATGTATGCTCTAGACATGGTCAATGCTCAGGCCAAGTTCAAAAGTCTGACTGCAGTGCAGATCACGGGCAACGAACAAGGCAACCTTATCATCCCACTCATTGCCTCATCCTACACGTGAGATGAGATTCCCCAGCGTCCGGTTATTGATCTGACGATATCCTTTAGGCTTGGATGCCTGGTCATGGCTATCTTTCTCGTCATCTCGGGCGTCGGCTACCACTTTGGTCGACGTATGAGCATTCTCATTGGCGATGTCCTGGTTGTCATCGGTGGCGCTATTCAAGCCTCATCTTTCTCCGTCGCTCAAATCATCACGGCTCGCGTCATTTGTGGATTTGGCATTGGCCTTATCTCAGCCACAGTTCCGACTTACATGTCCGAGACGACCATAAAAACTTCTCAACGCGGTCCGCAAGTTGCCATTCAATGCGTATATTTGATCTGGGGCGTTGCGCTGGCATACTGGGTAGACCTGGGCATGACGCAGCTGGACAGCCAGGCGAGTTGGCGATTCCCTATCTCGCTCCAGAGTTTGTTCACGCTGCTCAGTTTTGTAGGCATGTTGGTGCTACCAGATACGCCGAGGTGGTACTATTCCAAAGGAAGAATCGAGGATGGAGATAGAGTCTTGAGCCAACTCTACGCACTTCCCATTGAAGACGAACAAGTCCAAAAAACCCGGGCAGAGATCTTGGAGACCATCAAACTGGAGGACCAGGAAGGGCGGATCAAGGTTCTGGACTTCTTCTGGGACCGATCAAAATTACAATCAGCGAGACGAGTGCGCACAAGCTTCTTGATCCTGTCGCTTCAGCAGAATATGGGTACGTACAATGAAGCATTCCCAGATCTTGGCGGGTGCGTGGCTGACAGAGCGTGCAGGCATTAACATTTTGGTTTACTACTCGACGATCATCCTCGCGAATGTCGGCCTCGATACCTTCATGCAGCAAACCATCGCTGCCGTCACAAACACCGTTTTTGCGATTGGTACCATTTTCACTGTGTTCACAATCGAGCGTTGGGGAAGGAGAACAATCATGTTCTGGACAGCAATCGGATGTAAGTTGCATTGGAAATACCTCATTTATCGAAAACTGAACCCGTTCAGGTACCATCTCCATGGCGATCTTCATTGCGGTGCAGGGCCTGCCAAGTCCCACTCTGGCCACTTAGTGGACCGCGGTGGTGTTCGTCATCATATTCCAATTTCTGACAGGATTAGGCTGGATGGGATGCCCTTGGCTATATGGACCTGAGATCGCACCGCTACGCTACAGACATCTCGGTGGAGCAGCAGGTATTGTAGGCGAATGGTCCATGACTTTCGCTACCGTCTTCGGAGGAGGGATTGCAGTGCAGTCTGTTGGGTGGCCAATCTGGTTCTGGCAATTGACTTCGTGTGTCGTTGCCGTGATATGTAAGTTTACTAGTGCGTTGTCACTCATGGAAACTGACCCGGTGTGCAGTCGTCTACTTCTGGTGTCCAGAGACTGCTGGCAAGACTCTGGAAGAGATCGACGACGTCTTCATCGAGGAAGCCCAAAGGTGGCCAGGTGCTAAGCACATACGAGTGCACGAAGAAGAGCTGAGCGTGGAGGATTCGAGATCGGGAAAGGGGGCCAAGTATGAAGAAGTTGCCGAGCACGAAGAGACAGTGTAGAATGAGTGGTTCGCATAGCGCAGCATACTAACAACATCGCTTTGGAAAGTCAAGAGAGCAAACAAAAGAGTCCACCAGAACAGCAAAACTTTGGGCTTGAAGCATGCTACGTTTTACTATATACCATTCATGAAAGATTGACCACCAACTGCAGCGTCGAACGCCATCAAGTCTTGCAAGCCGCAGATATTGAACAGCCCACTTGAACCCATCGGAGGCTTGACCACGGGCGGCTTGCTCGTCGTCTTCATTAACGTTCGGTAAGCATTTCTAGATCTTTATTAGCTGGTGGAATGCCAAGACCTCATCGATATACTTACCGCAAAGCAGGAATTGTCTCTTCCAATCCAACAAAAGGCCCAATCACGATGCTGAAGCCAAGCTCCTGCGCCTCCTGGAAGCTGATTACAGGCGTCTTCCCTTCAGCGGTAATATCAACTGAGACCGGCACATTCTTCGGCAACAACAAAACGCTTTCTTCCTCCCTCAACACAACTCAGAGTCTCGAAGAACAGCGCATCGGCGCCTATCTCGGCTGCTATTTTCAATATCGCTACGGTTTGGCGTATTCTTCGTGGGAGATGGTTGTTTTGCCAGCGAGATGGCCGCAGCGTTTGACAACCCCTTGGTCTTCGTTGTGTAGGCCTGCGACGCCTGCGCGGGCGTATTGGTGGACTGTGATGGCTACATCGAGGGTGCCGTCATAGCCCGTGTCTGTGGAGAATCAGTCTCATCGAGCTACAGCATTGCTACTACCAGGTGGATCGACATACCGACATCAGCTATTAGTGGAATATCGGGATCTAGCGAGACAATCATGCCTGCGTTGCGAATCATGTCGGTACCGTTGGCTATTCCGAGGTCGGCCATGCCGAGGGTGGACATACTGGTACCGGCGCCGGTCTACAAGACGGAGCCAGCATCAACTTGAGACGTGACATGGTGCTATCTCCGTACAGACCGCTCGCAAGCTTGCGATCCTCGCTTGATACCCTCAAATACCTACCCACATGCCCTACATCCCCTGATCATTCATGTGATCAACTTATGAGGCCTTGAGATTTCGAGTCCGTGGAGATAGTGCCGAGAATCTGGAGTCACGAGCTGATGATAGAGCCAAGGGAGCACGAGAACCAGACGGAAGACGATCTACAGTGCTATACAAGATGCTATTACCAGGACCTGTGCGGTTCGTGTACTTGAAGTTGTGGATCTTCCTCGTCTTGCTGCGTTACGAAAGGTGGTGTCAAGATATGATAGAGTTCCCGAGCTCTTCCAGGATATATGGCGGCTGCAACATCCCTGGTCAATGGACCATAACGCGTGAGAGTCACCGATTGACGGTAAATGAGGAAGGAACACTTTGCACGGAGGGCAATAGGCATTGAGCTGTTTGTAGAAGCAGCAAGCCAGCTGCTATGGCTGGCCTTGTGAAATCTATGGGCGCCATTCAGACCAAGGTCGTTGGGAGTTAAGTCACGTTCCATGTTGTGTAATGCTGCTAATTGTACAGCGCAGTACTATGTCCGCAGCAACTACTGCCATCATCGAAGACCCAAAAGCGCTGGCGGTGAGGGTTGCGTCGAATGGCAAACCACGACAACCTCAGGCCTTCATACAAATGCCCGGAGGCGGCCATCATGGTCCACCAGAAGAAAAGCTGACCGACTGCCCATGCGGGCCTTTCGAGCTTGGGACATGCTCCAACGCTATCTCTCGCCCTCCTCAATGCGTAGCCGTATACACAAGAAGACCCTTGCTGGATCTTGCTATGTTAAAGGACGCGCAGGCAGACCTCTACACAAGCAAAGATACAGTCTTTCGCCATAGCGATCAGGCTCCAGACTGGCCTTGGCCCCGACCACCTTACTAGGACTCGGAATGATCCTCACCTGTCATCGCGCTCGCCTACTCTCCTCCTTCATCAGCAGCGTCGTTGGGGCCAAGTGTGGGGTCTTCCACGCCGAAAGCGGCTGCGAACTCCATGCGAGCGCTGCGTAGAAAGGGATACATGCCGCGCAGCGTGTCTAGGGTGTACTCGTGGAAGTCGTTGCCATCGAAGAAGCCTACTTCTCCGCCAAGGGCTATGGTCGCTTCTTGAAGGGCCTGCATCTCCGTTATTGCCTGTGGAACTGGGGTGGCTATATGGTCGTTGCGCTCGGCGTGGATTTGCTGTTCTTGCTCGGCAGCTTCTGCCTGGTCGATGTTCCGGGTATTTATATGCTCTCCTGGCTCGGAATTGTCTTCGTGTCTGACGTTCTGGGTGTTCGTTTCCTGCACCGTATCTGAGACGTCCGGCTGGCGACTCTTTGACGTAGCTACGGGCGACTCTGCCGTTGGCGACTGAGCTGATACCAGGTTGCCACTCCAAACCGCGATATTCGTGCCGGGTTCTATGCCCAAGAGCGTCAGGTCATGATGGATCGCTGGTTCGTAGCCCTGTTGATCGAGCTCTTGTCGAACCGCATCGTCTACCACATGTCTCCAGACGAAGTTGCGCGAAGGCGGTTGACGCGTGCGGAAGGTCTTGACGTCGGATGAAGAAGGAACCGACATGACTGTGACGGCTGACAGTGTTTTCGAGGGTGGAATATATTATCTGGAGGTGTCGAGTCGGGTCGGTCTGAAGAGAAATGGTGTCGAGAGGTCTTGGAGAAGCCTTGGGCCGCGTTTCTGAATAATTGGAGTCCTTGGATATCGCTTTACCAGCAACGAGTATAGAAGCTTTTTCCTGGATTTGTACGGGGAGAAGTCGCTAATTAAGGCTTTGAGTGACTTGGGGTATTGCGAGAATTCACTGGCATCAGTGAAAGACCGCTAAGTCCAAGTTCATAGTCGACAACAACAAAGCATTGTCTCGCAAACACGAGCTTGCTGTAATACCATGACTTCTATAGAGGCGTCAAGGCTGGAGCAGCGCAACGGCACTTCGTAAGATCCGATAAGTGAGCGGCAGAGCTTGAAAGCTGTCGGCGCTCCGACAAGGTAGAGTCAACGGCGCTCAGCAATGCTGCCATGGGAATGCCACTTATACGATCGATGAATGTCTTACGCTGTCTGTTCGCTTAATGCAAAATGTGAGATTTAAAGTAAGAGCAAAGCCCTTACGCCTCTTTGAACGCTTCATGAGACAAGTGCGATAATGAGACAACAAAGCCGCATCCCGTCCAACAATCATTCGATACGTTTGTAGAGAACACAACACGACCACTAAGGTCTCATAACTCGACTAAGGGGTTATAGGCAATTGGACACGACCCTTCTTTGTGATAAGACTCTGCGAGCGCTTCATTAATCTATTGAATTCCCGGCCTCTACAACCTGTAATAGTCCATATTTTCATTGTAGAATCTACAGGCAATCTCTTCCTTAATATATAATAATATTCAGATTTGTACGCTAGCGTTTCGTGGAGGCATTGCCTGTGATTTCGAGCGTTGGCTAGGCGACTTGACGACGGGGAATCTAAATGGCTCCTGTCAAATATTGATGGGTAAGGGTACGTCACGAAGCGCTGAACATTCACTTGATCCACGTGAATGGCACGCTGATGACGCTTCTCCTAATCGGGAAGGAGCGCGAACGAGAACGCGCTTCTCGAGCGCTTCACATCTCACCAACTTTGATACAAACCACCACGCTACGGAACAACAACAACTTATGCGATTGTTACCACCCCAGTCCCCTTTCAAACCCGCGCGCACGCTTCATCACCTCACGATCCCTGCGATAGCCATGCAACTACACCCTAGACTTCGCGAACTTCTAAGACTCCAATTTTCCGTCACAAAATCCGAAGAATATCAACCTCTCCTTCTTCTTCCACGACCTCACAATGTCTACCGGACAAAATCAGTACGGATTCGAGTCGCTCGCCGACGGTGTCGTTCGCGTCTGCGGCTTCTGTCAACTCGAGCACCCTAACGAGTTCGACTGTCTTGCTGCCATGCTTGACGAAAGTATCCCTGAAGCTGACTTCGAGCCTGCCGAGCCGGACATTGACGACCTCACTAATGACGAATTGGCGCACGTAATGTCTACAATGGGGCAAGAGGTTTCTGCATGGAGAGCGCAACAAAACTTCGCCTTCGAAGAAGCTCGCGGCGGTGTGGAGGCCCACGGGGAGAACAATATGCTGAGCACTGGTGGTATCGCAATTGAGAACGTCCCAGACGGCAATGAACTCTACTTGGAAGCTTCTATGCCTCAAGGTGCCCCGTACAATCCAGGTCGCTATGGAACGCCTCCCTACTACAGCACTGCCGGCGACTCGAACCTTGGGGGAGATTTTGAGCCTTATTATGATCTTCCACTCGAGTCAAATGTAAGCTACGCCGCGCCTGTTACGCCTAAGGTGGCTTTGATGCCTGGAAAAGCCGCCGCTGAGCATACTGCGAGCGGCATCGGAGCTATGCCTCCCGACAATGGGTCCACACCGCCACGCATCAATCATCGAATGAATGACGTGGAGCGCGAGACCATGTCCAAGCTATCTCATCAAGATCTCTCGCGATCCGTCGATCCTCCAACCAAGGAGCCATTCGTGTCGTCCAACAATCCAGAGGGTTCTGTGAAGAGAAAGCTCGAGCAGGACTCTCGTGCTGTATTCCAGACCTTCGATGAAGATGGAACGGTTGCTACTACAGCTATGGCGCCCGGCGAGTTCAACATGCCGCGCGACTCTCTAGCTGCAGGCGAGCCCACAACGGTGAAGCCGACAGTCTCTGAAATTGTCCAGTCAACAAAGAGCCTCAATCGGCCTAACAAAGAGAGAAAGCGCAAAGCTCATTCGACAGCAACTTCCGCTAAGGCGCTTTCATCGACTACGGCTGCCACAGATCCCCCTGATGCGGCATCACTAGCAACAGCTCCACAAGCTACTGCATCTGCCGATACCAACGAAGCCCCGGACGCTTCCTCTGCTGCCGATTCTGAGTTCTTTAGCACAATCAAAGAAGCTGAATACTGGTTTCAACTTAACCGAGAGCCTAAAGGGAAGCCCGACATTGACGGTGACGACTATGAAACTTTTGGAGAGTGCCAAATCTTGGGAAAGGCGCGAGATTTGTTTCAAATGCTGGAAACCGCTCATGGCCCCCCAAAGGAGGAATAGAACGAGAAAATCAAGGAGTACTTCAAGCAGAATCAGAGGAACTCACTCGCTGCCATGAAGCGAATGAAGAAGGCTCCGGGAGGGTTAAAGCAGATGCAGTACCACTGTGTGAAGGCCGCTGAAGCAATCTACAAGGTGCACAGCGAGGGAGTACCGGAATCACACGTCGACAGGACGAAGTACGCGAAGTCAACCTCTGGATACTACTCGAACATGGAGTTGACATGTGGCGCGCGATTTCTGCAAGTGGAGGCCGTCGTGAGAGGTAATAAGTCTATTGCCAAGCGGCTTGCTCAGGGCGACTACCTTCATGTCTCGCGGAACCCAGAGGACTGTCTACAGCGAGAAATGGCCAACATCTACGTCAACGATGGACGCGAGATTAATAAGAAGGAGGAGCGCGAGGCGGAGGAGCTGGCTCGAGCAGCAGGCACAGCTGCTGAAGCAATCGGCAACGGCAATGAAGATGCTGACGAGCCACCTAAGAAGACTCGCACCAAGTCAAAGAAGCGGGCTGCTGAAGAAGCAGATGAGCCAAAGCCGAAGCGACGTAAGAGTAGTAGGATTGCAGCGGAAGGCGACGTCAATGTCGATCAAGAAGTGTCCTCAACGATGGGCGTGCAGGCCTCAGCCGATGTTCTGAGGAAAGGGGCGTCAAATCCGGCTGCATCCTCTTCTTACCCAGTGCCAAACTCTACGGCACCACAATGCACGATGATTGCAAATCCCCAGCAAGGCACCAAGAGAGAGGAGATCGCCACTACTGATGGTGAAGCTGAAGCTGGCGTGACGATGGCGGATCGTGTACAGCGGGAGCGTGCTGCCGCGCACGGTCGACTCATGCGTGCGCAGAGAACGATACAAACAGACACTCGAGCCACAAACGTTGACGGAGTTTACGGTGACAACACTATGTCCGCAACATACTCGAGCCCGGCGTACCGCAACCACATGCCCAACGACACCGGCAGCAATGTCTGCTCCGCTGTTCCAAGCTCTTCGACGCAGTCAGGTCCTCGGAAAGGCTCAACGATGGGGCACAGATACACGAGCCAGCTGTCAAACTATGCCGCTGGTTATGGAGGCCTGTCTCCAGGTGCATCCTTTCGCTCAGGTCCGAATCATCCAGCCTTTCCAGGTGGATCAACTGGACAACCAACGATTCGGCCACCATTGCCAGGACTGTCGCGTGAGCCATCACAACAGCCCAACTCGCCCTTGAACTACTTTCAGGCATCGCATGTGAATGGTCCAAATCCGGGCACACAGTATCCTACCGCAGACCTGACTGATAGGCCCACCCTTACACATGAAGAGCAATGGAGTATCCCTGACCAGAATCAGAGGCCCAACAGCCGAGCTTTCCACGACGATGAGGAGGAGTTGTAATGCAACCGGCCAGAGAGACTTGCAGCGTGCAGCTGCGGGGAGGCTACCATCTCTGAGCGTAATGACATGCCGCCACAGCGCAAAACTTCGCAGCACTACAGAGCTTGTGTTGAATCCACTACAACATCAACAACCAGCGTGCATGGTTTCTCCTTCGCCATGACTGGAAGCAGCCCACAATGACATGTTGGGCTGTGGCATTGTACATGTGACAGAGTACCTGCAACAACAACAACGAAAATCTTCCGACAGCTCATCAGCACCCATGTCTGGATCCGTAGCATTGCTCTCAAAGGACGAGCAGAGCTATGGAACCAAAGTGAGGCGCTGTATAGGCTTTGTCATGGAAATATAGAGCACTCTACGGTCCAAGAGCTCCTTGAGGATGAACGGACCTATATGAACTTTACAACAGAGCAATGGCGACGGTGTGTTCCAAGATATATCATATGGCCGTTGTCTTTCGATCTCCTGAAGGATGAACGAAATGACTGGCGCGTTATACAAGGGAACTGCTACACGCCGCGATGGAAATGACTTGAGTCTGTCGTATAGAGGTGGAAAGACCGGGGTCGGACATTCAGAAGATCAGAGGTGACATTCAGTATGGTGTCGATGAACAAGAGATAGCAAGGGCACCTATCCAATGCTGATATCGAAACGGGTTTTTATTTGAGAAAACTTTCACATCGTTTCTTGATTGCATTCCTTTCTTCCTCCTTGTGTGCTCTTTGTCCGTGCTGATGTCGGCCTGCAACTGGTAAGTCTTCGGGCACCTACTTCTAATCACCAAACCAAGATGACCCCCTCGTGGGCTACCAAAGCAAGGTAATGCAAAGCAAATTCGAACACACAAACAAACATGCACGCATAGGGCGCCATGAATAGAGGCACATCATCTACTTTCAGCTCAGTGACAGGGAATAAAGCATAGTGCAGCCACGCATAGCAACGACAACAAGAACATTGTGCTCGACGCCTTTAGCGTACAGTTTCTGCTTTCTGTATCTTTATTGCACGGAAAGATCTCGTTGATTCTTGCTAGAGCCTTTCGTTTAGCAAGATTGATCACGGTCATTGAGAAAGTTGTGAGCCAAAGGAGAAGCAAATGCTTCTGACGGCAAACTTCTCCGTCGTCTTTTCCTATTTCTAAGGGAATCAAGCGCGCACTTCGAGCATGCTTCATTCCTAGCAGAGGAAATCGCATTTACAACTGTTTTCGACAAGTTTTGGTGTCTAACAAGCATGGCAGCTCACCCGAAGGGATTACCTTAAGATTCGTGCCTCTCTTCGCCCGGCATGGGGCCAGATACCCACGCTGGTCTCTACAAAAACATAGCTTGCGGGAGCTTCTCGCGCGCAAGCCAATTGCACAGCTCGAAAGCTCGAGCTGCTATACCCATTCACTTACATCAAAAAAGTGGGCCTATTGTCCTTGCATCTGACAATGCCTATTGTGCCTCCAGTGCATTTTGAGCGGACTCTTCACCCTTTCCTCGTATACCAATACCACTTCTCAGTACAATATAGCCTTCGCGATACCCTCCCTTCCTACCACATCATCTCCAGCAGAAGTCAGCATCGGGCCAACAAGCACAACCGAAGTCGACCAACGACATTTCTTCTCAGTCTAGATCGTCCACCTCACAGATCATCAATATCTTCAGCAAGCGCACGACATCTAGTGGTCTGATCATCAACATCTTAGAACATCTCACACACGGCCTGCAATCCGAACCGTCCATAAAGTCGACCTACGCGCTCTCCCAGCTATTGAGACGGTGATCACGAAAATGGCCTTATCATTCGCGGTCTACCCCGACAACCAGGAGGTCTTCGATGTCGACAACATGGAAAGCGTCATAGGCGGTGACTGGACGCTCTACGATCCTTTCAACAACGGAATAGACGGTGCGTCTGAGAGCGGAGATGAGCTATTCGACGACCGCTATACGTCCAAGGAGTACGCTACTCAGGAGGATGGTGACGGGAGTCACGTAGACGTATCCAGCATTGCTCGTCCCCATGACTCCGAAGACCTCCAAGACTCGACCGAGGAAGAGGTTCCGAAACTCGATGCCAGCTCTCGAGACGTCTCAAGCCCGCAGAAGATTGCAACGGCTGGTCTCGATCAGCAGAGTAAATATACGTCTCTGCAAACTGGTGCCTTAGAGCACGAGAACAAATCAGCTCTCGAGGCAGCGAGGACACCGCTATCAGACGTCGCTGCAACTCCACCTTCATCTGCACCAAAGCCCAAGGGTCGCAAAGGGCAGCATAGCCACGTTCTTCTCTCGAGGTCTTCTCTCGAGGACCCCAGAGGCAGAGAAGTACGTCTATGGCGACTCCACCTCCACCATAGCTCAGGCCCGGGCATGCCTAGATGGGAATCGCGGACTCGACCTGGATGGAAGACCTGACGACTCGGCGCAAGTCAGATGCGGCAACCACAGCTACGCCAAGGACTTGTTTGAAGCCATTCATCACCCATACGCCCCAGCTCCCGCTGACTTCAACGAAAATCAGAAAGGGTTCTACGAGGCCCAGCAAGCCAATGCTCTAATCGATGTTCAGAACCGATTCTGCACCGTCCAGGAGTGTGAATGGGCGAAGGCGCAGATAATTCTGATCATGGAGAAGGTGATTGATCTCCACGAGAAGGGCGGGATACCGGAACGCTTAATGTTGCTGCAGCAGAAGCTGGGCAAGATCAAGCCTGAAACAACCCTGACATGCTCTGAGCGCGCTGACAAGATCGTCTCCATTGCGCGTGAGAACAAGCTCATCGCCGTAGCTCTTCTTGACGGTGGTACTGCTTGCGAGGACATCATCCACGCTCCGCAAGCATCTTTGAAGCGTAGACTCGACAACGCTAAGACTAACGCCATGAAAAAGAAGCGTTTCAAGTTCGCGATCGACAATATGGAGTCTTCTGAGCAGCCAAAAGTTCAAGCGCAGGGAGGTAAGAAGGGCGGGAAGCAACGTCAGCAGACAGCACAAGCTATGTCGAATACCTCACCAGCGCTCCCAATGCCACCACCATCTACGCCACTTGCAAAGATGGGGACTCAGTCCAGCGGCGTCCAAAGCAGAAGCATCCTCCCGACAATTGGCGATCCGACCTCCAAGACTACTGCTCAAAGCCCATCCTGGTCTGGTGGCGCGAAGAGATCTTCAAATCAGGCGTTCGAGAAGGACGAGACCTCGCCTTTGAACGCAGCTCTTACGAAGCGGCCTCGTTCACGAAAAGCCAGGGAACCTCGTCAAGCCACGCAAGTGTCGAAGCAGGGTGAGCTGCGGAGCCGGCCAGCCCCGCCACCGGCTCCAGCATTTGGACATGCACTACCGCAGTCTGCTAAGATGCATGAAGTGCACAGTAGCATATGTACGATCCAAGAAGTCCCTCAAAGCACTCTAGACCCCTCGCCTGTCTACACGAACTATGGAGATCAGTACACGCAGCCATATGCGGCCGGAAATCTCAACGCCATGATCGCAACGCAAGGCAATGCCCATCAGTTGCAGCATGCTGCCCAAGCCGAGAGCGCAGGAGTTCAGTATCAACCCAGCTACGGCCAGGAGCAGTCACCTGCCATCGATCGACTCCAGGGCGATGGTCATTCCTATCATGCGGATGAGCGCCAGGCGATGAAATTTCCCATTTCGTATAATTTTCCGGCGGCTGTGGGCCAAGGTCAACACCACAATTTCGTCTATGGACCGAATGCCAACGACACCGGTGTCGTCTCTCAGCAGCGTTTCAGTTACCAGAACTACTCTGAAGTCCCAGCATTTCACGACCTTTTCGATGCGGAGTTCCTCAACGAGATCTCATATGTCGACAGCTTCGAAGAAGAGGCTGCGTTCAACAGCGTGGGAGGCGCCGGTGGAGATAAAGTCATGTGAGGATGGGTGTTGCGATGAGCTTGAGGGAAGAAGCGATGAAGACGATGGTATAGGAGGAGAAGATGTGGGATATGGGCGCAAGTAAGGGATGAAGTCGGATTTGACTTCCGAGACATATGACGCGCTAGCTAAAATAGTGCGCCGTAGCGTAAACATTCAGGTGCGAACTTTGAATGCCATTGTCTTCGCTGTCCGTCTCACACAACCTCATCACCTTGCCTTTATTCGAGGAGAAAATCTCACTCGTCCAATATCATCATAATGAGTTCGTCATCGAAGAGAATGCTTTGCATTGAAAGCCGAACATCATTGACATGGCATGCTAGTAGGTATAGACGCCGTTTGTTGCATCGATATTCGTTCTTACCGTTTGGAGTTAAAGCCTAGGTCAATTACCAAGTCAGTCGGAGAGCTTTCTACCATCTTGCAATTCGACACTCACTTTGATTTGGCCGTATATGCCGCAATCAAATCCATCAAAGGCGGATTCAAGCAATCGTATGGCTCCAATCCAACCTCCTTCAGCTTTCCTCGAACTTCTCCCATCTTGTTCGCATCAAAGCCCTGCTCAATGATGCTGCTCACGAATGCAGCGAATTGTGGCTCCTGCCAACCTTCATCCGTGCTCAGCTCCACATGGATGAAATCCAATCCCTTGAATGGATGATCCTTCTCAATGCGTCCGAACATATGCACACCGCAGTCTTTGCATGCGTTACGCTGGATTGCAGCATTGCAGTCGATGAGGGTGAGCTTGTGTCTATTGGCGGTCACAGAGAGGTTGGAGACGGGTACGACGCCGACGACGGAGAAGAGCGCACCGGATGGCTTCCAGCACTTAGAGCAGCCACAGGCATGGTTGTGAGCAACATTGCCTTTGATCTCGACTTTGACGCGGTTGCTGAGGCAGTGGCATTCGAGAGTTCCGCCGGAAAAGTTCGGGCCGCCTTTCTCAAGGCCGTTGTCGATGAGTGGGTGGAGGCCGATCATTTTCGCTGGTCTACTTTTCTCGCGCAATTGATGGGCCTTGCTCTGACAGACTCGAAGTAAGTCGAGGAAAGGAGGCAGTGAGCTCTTCACGGAACTTATATTGGTCCTTCCTACCAGGGTCAATCCATGAGCTTCAAGCGGGGTTCGAGTACGTCCTTCTCATTCCGGAAATGGAACGGCATCGCCATTTGCTGACTGCAAGGTCTCAAAGCTCCTCTCGTGCGGTTCATGCATGGATTCGGAGGGGGCTTTGCAGACGTCCTGATACTCCGCTTCGCATTGGCTTGCCGGATCAAGTTCCGATGTCCTGGGAGGTAGATTTGAAGAAGGGTTGTAATTGGCAACGCACGCCGATTCTGACAATGATACTGCGATAACAAGATCCTGAGATAGGTTTGGTCTGGGAGATGAGGAATTTCGACGAAGTGATGGTATGCTCGCCTACGCGATCGTTCACAGCTCCGCAATAGCCGGATTATCCGCAGAGATGCCGTACAATTCTGCTTCGGCATATTTGAGCTGATCGCATTCATAGGAAGCAATAAACACTTGTAAAATAAAAGATTCGTCCTGGATTCGGAGTCTTGCGGACGCAGCTGTTCGACCCGAGAAGCCAGTTCGCCCAACAATGCCGTTTTCAGCAGGAGAGAGGGTTGGGAAGTAAGCTGACCGCATACCATGCCAGGGCGAGTCCTTTAGGAAGCACAACGAAACATACAAAATCGATTTGATGCAAGAGAGAGGAGACAGAGAAGAGAGAGGATATGGCGAAAGGAAGAGTGAAGTTGAAATAAGCTCGGCCTCACAGTAGTTACTCGAGGGCACCTTGATGGGCATCTTCGTCGGCTCGAGCTCTGTATCACTCAGCAGTATCAAAGGATTACTCTCTGCTTATTGCTCGTGAAGAGACGCGTTCGAGAATATTGGGATCGGTCGCTACCGCTGCGTCGGAAGATGGACTTGAGCCCAGTCGCACACGCAGCCAACCCGCTTGCTGCAGCTGGAGGCACGTTCTGCGAGCCAGGAATGTCTCAATTCATCGCAGAAGCTCGAAGTGATGGAATATGCGCTATACTGTCGTTTCTGGTATGGAATCGGGGCCTGCAAGAAATTCACATTTGAGCTTCATTGCGGCCCGCACAAAAAGTGATTGTCACATGCGATTTCATCTCGGGTCGCCCTAGAAGCATCTATTTCCGCGAGAGATGGTTAGATCTCTTTCCACCAGATACCTACACACCGCGACGTCGAACAATCGCTCTCAACAACAAAACATCCTTTGAGAGATTGTCTACGCTCGCATAGCACGCCGAGAGTGCTCGTTGAACCCCAAGCTTCGCCAAGATATATCGTGACATCGAATCGCGCGGGCATCGCGGCATCCGCAGGCACGATGCAAACTGCTGCAACCGTACCAACTCAGGCTGATCAGCTGTTCGAGTGAGTACACGCGCGGACTTGGATGACGGCTTTGCTGATTGCTACCACAGGAAGCTCGAGTGCGATCGCATGATCAAGATCTCCATTGAAGAGGAGAACACACCCGTTCTGGTACCCGAGTCCACACTACGCCGCGCCTCTCAATATTTCTGCGGTGCACTCGATCATGCCCATCTGGGTAACGGCCAGCGCGACACTCTGAAATTTCCGGAGACGAAGCAGACTTGGAAGATTCTACTACTCTGGATCGTCACCGGCCAGGGGATTGAGTTCGAGGAATTGGATTCCGACGGATTAGATGACTCCCGACCTATTCTTCCCCTGAGTCGTGCTTGGATCGCAGCTGACAAGTACCTCATGGCCCCGTTGCAAGACAAGATCATGCTTGAGATTATCCGTGCCCTTGAATCACATGAGTTGGATATCAACACGGCGAAGGAGGTCTTTGAAAACACTGCACCAGATTCAAAGCTGCGGCGGGTGGCTGCCGAGGAGGTGACTTTTGAGCTATCTATAGGATTCCTCGAACATGAGGCTCTTCAGGCTCTGGAAAGCGCTGTGGGTGGTTCAATGTCTGTGCTGAAGGTATACAGCCGCGTCACTGATGTTGAGGACCTCCCCAATCATCGTGCCGACCTGCCCTTGGACCTTTGGCGAGAGTATATGGTACAAGAGCGCTGCAAAGTCATTGACTGGAACGAAGTCTGAGTGCAACTATCCGGAATCTTGGAACCACAACAGATGCATCTTACAACGGACGAGAGATCCAAGAAGGACATCCGCGCCAGCTACCAGTCTCTGGACCGAAGGCAGAAGATCAGAGGGAAACAATGATCTCAAGTTGGGTCAAAACATGAGAGTACTGGAGGGAGAACTTGGATTGATGTTGGGTTCAGCCAGGGTGCTTTCACAATTGGACCTCGAGATACTAAACGAAGTCCATCTTCACATGCTTTCCCCTTGAGGCGCTCATGTGATTAGTATCGAAGGCTAGATAACTGCTCAATGTCACATGCTGCCGCGAGTGCGAGCTACCCATACTTAGGTCTCGACGTCAACTCCATCTCTTACCTTTACACCTCACCATCCACACCATCAACAATCCAACATCCACCAAGCTCGTCAGCTCTACTACTTCACCACGATTATCTACCCACAAGCGGCATGGCGCAAGGCGCAGAGAAGCGCACTGCGCCAGACGTAGGTGCCGATGCAGAACAACACTACAAGTGAGCGAACCTGGTGCAGGCTATTCTCAATCCGCTGACTCCGTTCAGGAAGCTCAAGACCGGCCAAGTCGTCGAAATCCTCATCGGTCAAGAGGTGGATCCAGTATTCGTGTCGGAGGATACTCTTCGCAAGGCCTCTCGGTACTTCACCAATGAATTGAACACCGCAAACCAGTCCGGCATTCAAGTCACTCTGGAATTTCCAAACGATGATCTTGAAGCATGGAAGATCATGCTGTACTGGATCGAGCACCAGAAACTTCCCGAGATCACGTATGAGTGGGTGGGAGAATCGCAGGAAACGAAAAATACGCGCACTCTATGTCGTTGCTGGCTCGTGGGAGAGAAGTATCTTGTGCCGACTTTCCAGAACGCCATCATGAACGCGCTGCTGTACGCATTCAACTTCAAAAGCGTCGCTCTAGACACGGTGAAAGAAGTATTCTGCAACACTCGTCCTCAGATGCCTTTGAGACGAGTCATTGCAGAGGAGCTGGTATACGCCACACACATTGGGAAAATCCACGGTGATGAGCTCTTTGCGTTGGATGGGGTCATTGGACTGGGGAAGAGCTTGATTGACGCCAAGGATAAGCACGCTCAGACTTCTCGTCTTCGTGGTGCTCGATTGGACGAGGGCACCTTACTTTGGAAGGAGTACATGGTGGAGGAGGACTGATCGGCTGCAAGACAGTCGCTGGGGCATGTCAGGGCGAGCATGGCCATGACCTGTCTAGACGGTCGTACTTGTGGCCGAAAGCCTCACATATTGTAATGAGAGACAGCAAATGCGAAGAAGGGACGGCGTCTCTACCAATCGCAGGATCACAGCAGATGAGAGCGGTCCAAGAGCCTGCTTTCGCAAAGTCTTTTGATTATGGGGCTGTGATTTGCTTTATGTTTTTAGTCAATCTCAATACAAACCTTAGCAAAGTGCTTCTGGTCCCACATGTACTGTAGTCGAAAGTTAGCATCTGATTCTGTACTTGACGCGGAGAAACTTCGAATCCTTACCTGATAAGCATCCTTGGCCTGCTCCAGTTTCCAGACTTTCTCATCAATAACTGGCTTGATGTTATTCGCCTCGACCGCGCGGTTCATCTCCTCGAACTGGTGTCGCGATCCAACAATTATACCGCGAACTGTGCAGATGTTCGTCAAGACATCCAAGAAAGTCGGTTGCTCTTCGCCCTTTGCTCCGCCGAGGAAGCCAATGATCGTGATGACACCATCGAACGCAATGGCCTTCAAAGACTGCTTCATGGTGTTCGGTCCACCGACTTCAACGACGTGTTGCACGCCTCGACCGCCAGTGATCTTCTTTGCCGTCTCGCCCCAGTTTTCGTCCTCCTTGTAGTTCAGAACGTGGTCCGCGCCGAGCTGCTTAAGCTTATCGCCCTTCTCCTTCGAAGAAGTAGTGGCGACGACCTTCGCACCGGCAGCTTTAGCAAATTGCACAGCGAAGATGCTCACGCCCCCAGTGCCTTGAGTAAGAACCCAGTCACCTGGCATGAGCTGCTTCAAGCCATACAGAGCATTCCAAGCCGTCAAGCCAGCGCATGTCAGAGTCGAAGCTTCCAGGTAGTTCAAGTTGGAGGGCATGTGGACGAGTCCTTGTTCGTCGTAGGCTCCATACTGTCGAAGAGCACCATCAACAACACCACCGACGCCGCCACCAAGAGAAATCTCGTCGACCGAGCCGGCAATGTGACCTTGGTTGAAGAGCGTGATGACATTATCGCCGTTCTTGAAACGAGTCACGGACTTGCCAACCGCTTCCACAGTGCCTGCTCCATCGGATGCTGGAACAACGTTGTCGCGCTGAGGAAATGGGTACATGCCCTTGGGGATAATAAGGTCGCGATAGTTGAGAGACGAGCCCTTGACTATGTTCGATATCAGCATTTGCCATCATCATTGAATCTTCTCACTTGAGGAACTCACACTTCACGAGGACATCGTGATCTCCCAGTTCTGGAACTGGATCTTCGGTAAACTTGAGCGTGTCGAAGTTGTCCTTGTTACTGCCGACAACGTGCCAGGCCTTCATTGTTCCAGAAGGCATTTTGCGATAAGAGAGAAGATAGATAGCAAGTGAGCTTTCTCTATCAATGTGGATGGATGGAGAAGATATTAAGAGGACCTGCAGCTTTCGAGTATATAAAAGGACGATTTCTAAGCTTTTCCATTTGCCTTCCGTGATTCGACCCACAATTTCCCGCGGTGGAGTCTCGAGAGATGATGTGGGCGGAGAGAAGATGGAATGACGTTGGAAAGACGTGCCGATGTTTCCCCAATCGCCCGAACGGCTCCGACAGATGTCCGAGTTCCCTGCTGAACACATCGACTTCATCTCGTCATCTTCAAATCATCGACATCGACCACAGCTTCAGAGTAAGACTATACGCCGAATGTCATGTCCTCACTCAACTTGCGCGGAAACTCCTTTTGACTCTGTCATGTGACGGACGATCAGTAGCTTCCGCCGGCCACACTTTCGAGCTTCGTGTCTCACAGAAGAGCTCTCTAGACGTAGGTTAGAATAGCTCTTGTCGATCTACCCGTTTGACAGCACAGCAACCTTTTGCAGGACATCATGTGACAATACTCGTGCGAATTTTGCCTTCTGATTTCCCTGTTCCATTTAATGGCTATCGCTGTTGAGCTCGAATTCCAACCTTCGCCAATTGCTTGGAAAAAATGTGGCCAGAAGCTGCTCGATGGGCTTGCATAGTCGCGACGTTGGATACAGCAGCTCTTTGGACTGCGACGACGATAGCATTATACTGCAAAAGCTAGGTAGATGGCACAATCCTCGGGATGAATTCGACAAGCTCTCCGAGCGAAACCACGATTCTGTGCTCAGCTGCTTGGCTCAAAGCGGCAACCTTGTCAAGCATCCCGATACTGTCTTCGTGGTCAAAGATATGACAGCTACCCGCATTGCTCTCGCCGCTTCGAAGATCAGCATCATGGGCTTCTCTTACGGCACGCAGATGACCGCCGAATACATCTCGTTGTTTCTACAGCAGGTCGGCCAGGTCAGAATGGACGGTGCCTTGGACCATACTACAGATAAAATCGTACACTTCATCGAAGAAGGCAAGTCTGTGTAAGAATGCTTCGGACGATGGGCGAATTAGTGCGACGGGAACAAGACTTTCGCATTTACTGGCAGCGACTCGAAAGCCCGAGAACTTTGGGGAGACCAGTTGAAACATGTGCATAACGGGAAGATGAAGGTCAACTACGCCTACAACCGCGAATCAAACGGTCGCAAACCTCAGCAGCTTATTTCAAGCGACATCCTTCAGGTGGTTCGCGCTTTCTTGTACAGTGCCCCTTCTGATTGGGTCCAATCGGATCATGCGCTCAATGATACGGCGCATGCAAATATTGAACGAGTCTCTATCCGAGTGGAACAAACCAAGAAATGACGCAGAATTGCCGCACAGAAGGCCTCGTCCTTCGTCGGCACTGGTATCACATGCGTCGACTTCGACTTCTCAACAACATCAGACCATTTCAAGCAGCTGAAAGAGCGGGCCATGTCCGTCGCACCCTTGATAGAAGGCTATATGACTCAGACCGCGCTCAACAACATCGCTTGTGATGATTGGCCTTTCTGCGCAGGCAAGGGGATACCGCGGATACCTCTTAACATTCGGGACAGGACTATACCTCCTGAACTGTTGGTACAGAGCAATTATGATCCGGCAAGAAGCTATCAAATTGCTTTTGATGCTCACCGTCAGATTCCGAATGGTTGTATTTTGGATGAGGAACGGAGATGGACATCAAATCTACATACTCAATGACCATGTTTGGTTGATTATGGATGGGTTTTTGCTAAACGTGACTTTGCCAAACGTGACTTTGCCACAGGAGCGAGCTATTATTAGAAGCACTTTCATGGGAGATGAATATGGTGTTTAATGCAGGAGCATTTCTTGCATGTGTACGCACTCAATCATTAGCGTCGTCACATGAAACTGACACTTAATCGGCCCTAATTTTACCCGAAGCTCCGACTGGCTCCTGCACATTTCCAGGTCATTGCTGCTTTCGACAAACAACCTTGCAACTTACATCAACTTCGCCTGAAAACCACCCACAACACCGGCGCGATGTCAGATCAGGGAAAGCAATGCGGCTTGCTCAAGCTCCCGCCCGAATTGCGTAACGAGATCTATCTCCTCGCCATCGACACCGACAAAACCTACCGCCTCCCTACCGGATATGGAATTTATCGCCCAGACAGCTGCCGTCCACGCCTCTCGGAGCCGCGAATTTCTGGAACGTGCAAACAAATCCGCGCGGAGGTCTTACCGATTCATTACGGCCAAAATACATTCGAGTCACGAAACCTTTTGAATGACACCAGGATATTCTTGCGAGCGCTGGGCGAGGAGAGACGAAAAATGCTGCACAATGTGCGAATCATGCCCTCAATATGCACCACGTCGGTTGTGGCGGGGCTAGTGCAATATCTTCATGACTCTGAACTGTACGATGGGCTACAGTGGGGAGTTTGCCGGGCGCTTTTCAGATTGCATGGAGAATACAGGTTGATGTGGTTGAACTTGGATGAAAGGGAAGACTACGAGCAGGCTGCTGGTCTGTGTATCCGGAGAAGGTCATGAGGCTACAGGTCGGATCGGCGGCTAGATGAGTGAGGAAATGTATCCTTGTGGAGATGGATGTTGAGGCGAGTAGGGTGGACAAAGTCGGTAGTCGAGTCGGCTCAAGGTATTGCTGCGAGAGTACGAGTAGGGTGCCGAAAAGACTTCCAAGACATGCCTCAGGCTCCCGTAATCTCTGCTCGAAGACCTTCGATGACTCTGCGACCAAAACGATGCTAGCACAAAACTTCGTCTGGCTGCTTACGATTGCTGGCTCCTGCCCAGCAAGCCGACGTCAAACGTTCACAAAGATCGTTAGAATGATCAATCTCATCTCCATCCTTTCCCGTGTGCTAAACGTTGCAGTCCGATACTCCAATGAGCTGCGCCATCGGTGCGTATCGTCAATGTGAAAGAGCGAGAAAGGAGATGGAGGACATACTTATTAGGATGAAATGAGATCTGCCCGAGATAGTGGCCTGAGGCCCACAATTTAGTGCCTTCTAAATGCGAAGATGGAAACCATTGAAGAACGAGAGAATTGACCTGCATCTTGACATGTGAATATTGCCAACTTTAGTCAGCCTGTCATCCATGAGGCGTCTCCAGTCGCTGCTCAATCATCACATCGAGCCACATCGAACAGGTGGCTCGGGCGACATTTCTCGTCGCCGGTATCTTCCATTGTATTCAGTAGCTGCATAGTGTAGTCGTGCAATGCGTGGTCTCATGTTGGGATAGCCGAGGAGATGGTTTACTCTGATGACAAGGTGTGGGCGCAAGGCTGTCGCCAAGTTTCATTGATTCATCAATTCCAGCGTCAGAAAGCGCATTAGCGACCGCGGCAACTCCTGTAGCCTGAGAGCTCGTGTCTCGGGTAGCTAAGGCAGGTGCTGGTACAGTCGCTTCCTTTGTCGGTTTGAAGCGCTCATATTTGGTGGCGCATCTCAATTGCTTGACGTAGCCTCGACACTGAGCCTTTCTGCGGACACACTTCTTGCATTCCGGCCTCGTCTCATCGCATAGCATACGCATCTGCTTGCATGCACTGCAATCAGCCGCCGGAAGTCATTAGCATCATGCTTGCAGGGGAGTCAAATGAGTGGGGTTTCCATCGGCTCCTGATAATCCGTCCTGGCGGATAGATAACTTCCAGTCTTGCTAGTAAGCCTCGCCGTCGTTGGATTGACGTGATAGTGGAACGAGAAGTGGGCGGGCCAGAGCCATTTCGGCGAGTGTAGTATAGGTAGTAGCTAAGTAGTCGGGCGTCGAGATCAGAGGCGGCACCGGAACAACCTTTTCTCCGGCTCGGCCGGATTAGAGCTAGCTCGGGTCTGACTTGGGAGGAGGGATGGGCGGATCACGGAACCGGGCTTAGCACCGAACACTCACTAGGTAAGGTTCGCTTCCGGCATCTGGGAACAATCACGACGGGGACGGGATCAGTCACCTCGCGGACCAAGCATCGGTCGCGTCTCTTCCACCGGTATTCCCCATCTTTCATCTCGACATCAACACTCACTCTTGTCCCGTCGAGAGACTCTATTGACACTGCTGCCGGCAATCTTGATATACATGGCGATTGCTATTACCAGTATGGCTGGAGTTGCTGCTTTGGGAGACGGGACGGCATTGAAAGCGGATTGCTATGTGCTACGAGATGAAAGTCTATTTGGCGCTCTGTCAGCCGCGCCGCGGTCCAGACGTGCCGGCGACTTGCAGGTGGTTTCAACAACATCCTGCTGTGGAACTGTCGCGTTCGCCGCCTTGAAAACTCTCTGCACAGCGATGTGCCAGACTGCCTGTGAATTTCCTGGAAAGGCGTGTCTCCGTGAGACATGAGCGTCCTGGCAGCGAATACTCCTCTTCACCCGCTCGACAATGGATGAGGCACAGCCGGAGAGCGGTCCCGCGAATCTGCCGCTGGAATTGCAGGCATTGGTCGATTTCCTCCATGTCGACACACGACCAACAGCCATTCTCCACGTCGCCGCCAGTACACCGAGAGATGACAGCGTCGAATACCGCGCTATCTACAGCAACCCATCCTTCCGCGACCTCCCCTCGCCCCCGCACGAGCTCGACGATCTGCGGCAAGCCTTGTCACGAACGTTGTATCCACCATACCCGCTCCAATCGCTACATGGTGCACTGCTGGACGGCAAGAGATGGCAAGTGAGAGTCTCAGGCGAGTACTACATCGCCGTCGCTGCAGAAGGCAGACGAGCCGCGGGGAGAGCTGAGCCGATCGAGCAGGACAAATTTGGCAAACAACGTGTGCAGGTCCACGTAAAGGGACCGGGACAGACAAATGGCGTGGGTGGTGAGGTTGCGACCGAGGAAGTGCAGCAATCTCTAGACTGGACGCAACACAAGACAGCAGACGCATCTCCCTGGATCAAATTCATGCGGAGTGTCGATTGGGCTTCTACTGGCGTTGGGCCCATGGAATTTTGGGAGCCAACGCTGCGTCAACGGGTACTGGCAATCACTGCTCATCCGCATCCTCGTCTGATTGTCTTTGGGGAGGGCATGACGTTCATCTACAACGAGGCCTGCGTCCAGCTTTTCGGAGCCAAACACCCTGGTTGCATGGGTGCACACGTGTCTCAGCCATGGTCAGAAATCTGGACAGACCTGAAACCTATGCTAGAGGCAGTTTACAGTGGACAATCGACACAGCTATCGAATCTTCCTTTTGCATTGGAGAGGAATGGCTTCCTCGAGGAGACGTACTGGGATTCGACATTGACTCCAATATTCAGCCCCGAAGGCAATGGCATTGGGGTCTTCGACGAGCTGACTGAGACCACTCTTTCCGTCACAGATAAGAGGCGGCGAGCTTGTGTTTCCAGCCTCTGTAGACTTGCAAAATCTTGTTCTACTCTACAGGACCTGTGGGCTGCCGTTCTACAGGTTATCGAGGGCGCGGAGGTAGACATTCCCTTCGCACTGCTCTACACGGTGCTGGACGATCTTCCAAACACCGGCTCTGAGAAAACGGTAGGCTCTCGTCGTGTTAAGTCTGCAAGGCTGGCCGGCAAAGTTGGAATACCCCAAGGTCATCCCGATCTGATCACTTCGTTCGAGCTTTCACCGAATTCCAGTCCTCCCGGGCTTGCTTCAGCTTGCGCACAGTCGTGGCAATCCGGTGGCACAGTGGTCGTGTCCACCAGAGAGGGGTCCCTCCCGGCAGCTCTCGGGTCAGCTGCACCGCAAAGAAGCTTTGGCGATCCAGTCACGACGGCTTTGGTCTCTCCTATCAAGTCAACGACCGCAGACGACATCATAGGCGTTCTAGTCACTGGCTTAAACCCTCGTTGCGCCTTCATCGACGAGTATAGTCTGTTCATGACACTATTCTCAGATCTCATAGAAAAGACGGCCGCCCTCATATCGTTGCCGGAAGAGCAGCGGCGATCTCAGCTGATTGCGGATGATATCAACAACGCGCTGGCTATGCAGCTCAAAATGACGACGTTGAAGGCGGAGCGTAGCGAGGCCAAATTCTCTCGATTGGCATCGGCCGCTCCTACGGGCATGTTTATGTTCGATGCTGAAGGCAGAGCGTTGTATGTGAATGATACATATCTCGAGATGCTCGATCGCACAGAAAAAGACCACAATGCCAGGCGCCCTGATACACTTTCGTGGCAAGACGATATTCATGAGGATGATCTGGAGCGGTTCGTGGCGACTTGGAAACGTGTGACAGAAGAGAAGGTGCCTGTCACGATTGAATATCGACTCAAGAAACCTTGGAGGTCCATCGACAGAGCACTTGGACACGAGATAGAGGGAGAGACGTGGCTCTTGGCTACTGCATTTCCAGAGGTTGAGCCCGACGGCAAGGTCACTACTGTGCAAGGCTGGCTTACAGACATCTCGCACCGAAAGTTCTCAGAGAATCTTGTTGCTCAGAGACTCGAAGATGCTTTGGAAAACAAACGGCAGACCGAGAACTTCATCGACATGACCAGTCACGAAATGCGCAATCCTCTCAGTGCGATGCTGCAGAGCGCGGATTCCATCGTCTCCACGTTGACCTCGCTCGGCATGCCCATTTCGGACGAGGGAATAACCTTGCCTGCTCAGACAGCTGAAGATATTGTCGACGCCGCTCAGACCGTGATCCTGTGTGCTCAGCACCAGAAGCGAATTGTCGACGATGTTCTGACTTTGTCGAAGCTCGACGCAAGCCTATTAGTGATCTCGCCTGACAAGGTGCAGGTTCCGACGCTGATCACCAAGGCACTGAAGATGTACGAAGCCGAGATCGAACGGGCCGGCATCGAGGCACAACTCTGCATCGAGCCTTCATACGAAGAGCTGGGTGTGGACTGGGTGGTTCTCGATCCCAGCCGGCTGCTGCAGGTCATCATCAACCTACTCACCAATTCGATCAAGTTCACACAGTACAGCGACGTCCGCAAAGTCAAAGTATTTCTTGGCGCTTCACATCAGAAGCCGACAGGACAACATCACGGTATATCATTCGTTCCGCCACGTAGAAACCGTGCGAGCCGCAAATCACGGCGAGATCAAAGTCGAGGAGACGAGATCTACCTGCAAATTGCTGTCTATGACACTGGGAAGGGCCTCAGCGATGAAGAGATGAAGTCACTATTCCAGCGCTTCCAGCAAGCCAGTCCAAAGACCTATGGCCAATACGGAGGTAGCGGCCTAGGTCTGTTCATCTCCCGCGAGCTGTGCGAACTGCAGGGTGGCCAGATCGGAGTAGCAAGCTCAGAAGGACGAACAATCTTCACTTTTTTTGTAACAGCAAGAAAGTGGTTATCTGAGGAGGATGAGCGAACTCGCAAACCAAGCATCGTCAGCGGCAGTCGTTTCACGAGCGCCTCAAACAGCCCAGTGGCCTTCAGTCGGAGAGGCAGTGTCCAGATGCAGGAGTTGACGAACCAGATGACACACGAGAAAGCTGAAGACGGCAGTACAGTCGAAGAGTTCCACCCTCTTACACGCAACCCCTCCAATGCGAAAACTCAGAAGCCTCTGGAGAAGATCTCGGAGAAACCGAAAGCGAAGGCCTCGGTGGAACAGGAATTGCATGTCTTGATTGTGGAGGACAATCTCATTAATCAGAAGGTTTTATCTCAGCAACTCCGACGAGCTGGGTGCACAGTATACGTCGCCAATCACGGCGTCGAATGCCTGGAGTTTTTGGAAAAATCACATTTTTGCACGGCGGAGACGCCACTTTCTCTTATTCTTTTGGATCTTGAAATGCCCACAATGGATGGCCTGACTTGTATTCGGCATATCAGAGAGCGACAGGCTAGCGGCAGGATTACTGGCCATGTACCTGTCATTGCTGTTACCGCGAATGCCCGATCGGAGCAGATATCTGAAGCTATTGAGGCTGGCATGGACCAGGTCGTCACCAAGCCTTTCAGGATTCCGGAGCTGGTACCACAGATGGAGACCCTTGTGGCTGAGGTTGCCGCCCACGCTGTTGTAAACGCTACTTGAAACGAACTTCATGTCTGGTTTCACAGCTTTGCCATGTTCTCCGACTGTGATAACAAGTGCCTATACTCTCCGACAAAGGCCTCTATCGCTTTCGCAAAGCCATCCAGCTCACCATGACTCAGTACCAGGCTGAGCGAAACGAAGCCCCGTCGCGCGATGTAGTACCCACGCTCCAGCAAGAAGAGGTGCAGTAGGCCTCCCAAGACAGAATTCTCGTCCAGCAGGTCTTTGTGGCATTTGATCTGTTCCGCCGGGGCGCAGGTAAAATGGAAACACATGATGGATCCACGTCCGGTCACTTTCAACAGCGTTCCGCGCCCTATCTCCGACAACGTCTCCCGGAGCTTTTCGCCGGTATCGTGAAGCTCCTGCGCTCGTTCCGGGGTGAATATCTGCTCCAGGCCTACTCTTCCAGCGGCCATGGTCAGGACATTGTTATTGAAAGTCCCTGCGTGCGCAAGTGCGTTGGATTTACGAGGATCGAAGAGGGACATGATTTTCTCGGAGCCCCCGAAGGCGCCTGTACGCGTCCGCCAATGAATTAGTAGCAAGAATACGGATAGGACGAAAAGTAATGTAATCAAATGAACTTTACCGAAAGACATTCCTCCACCTATATATTTCCCCAATAATGTCAAATCCGGTCTCATTTCGAGGGGCAGTTGGCTCTGAATTCCACCTCCGGAATACATTCGACTTGTCATTACTTCGTCGTAAATCAGGACTGCTCCAACTTCATTGGCTGCTTTCCGTAGACCTTTTAGGAATTCGAGGTCTGCGGGTATGGCTCCTCCGGATCCGAGCATTGGTTCGATTATGATTGCCGCGATGTCGTCTCTATGCGCCGTGTTCCGTACAAAGGCATCAACAGATGAGAGGTCGTTGTACGTCGTTATCAACCATTCATGTGGCACATTCAACGGCGAAGACTCATAGCCTTTAAAATTGAAAGTTCCGCCGTGGTAAGCTCCGGCGAAACACAAGATCTTGGACCTCCCTCCGGTAGAGATCTTGGAGGCCGCGAGGGCGAGCAGTGTAGCTTCCGTGCCGGAATTCGTGAACCGGAGGAGATCGATGGAGGGGAATCGAAGTTTGATCTGCGCGGCCAGAAGCTGTTCGTCGGGATGTGTGGAGCCGTAGGAGAGGCCGTTGAGGGCTGTTTTTGTTATCGTGGAGAGGAGTTCGGGGTGGCTGTGGCCGTAGAGGGCTGCGGTGTATTCGTTGAGGAAGTCGGTGTAGGTGTTGCCGTCGGCGGAGGTGAGATGGGAGGCGGAGGCGGAGAGGATGTGCAGGGGGAAGGGAGGGTAGTGCAGGACTGTTCTGGTGTTTCCGCCTGGGAGGTGCGAGAGGGCGGTTTGGTGGTGGTTGTGGGAGAGGGGGTTTGTGGTTTTGTACGTTGCTTCGAGGGTTTCGTAAGCTTCTTGAGGGGTTTGGGGAGGCATTTTTTGGGGGTCGTATCATCAGATGTGGTGAGATTGGTTGCTGGAGGTTAAAGAGGGTGTGATTATAAGATAGACGGTGAGTAACTCCGATTCCGATTCCGGGGTCTGGAGTTATAGCTAATGAGCTCCTGCAGGTCTGTGTTCTCGGGCAAGAACTGCCGGCGTACTGTTGGCCGTGACTGGCTTCATGTTCCTGGCACCCGGTGTTCTTCGCCTTCGCACTGTCTTCTTACCGGGCACATCTTCTACTAACCATACAAAGCATCCGCTTCGCAACGAACGGATTCAAATTTATGCCGGACGATCTACTCCGCGCCTTCTACGTTGTGGTACCAGCAACATCATTTGAAGGTAGCGCTTGACCGGATCTGAGCAAGAGACTCTCGAAACGAGCAGGAGCAGTTTGACACTCAAGTTACTTTCGACTGAGGGAGCGAAGACCAATATGTCTTTGGGTTCTGATACTGAAAAGCCCAGACTGCATCCTATTCCAACTCTTAGGGTCCGTGGCTGTCTCTGTGGGCTTTGTCGCTGGGTAACTCGAGCTTCCATCGTTCGCCAGCCATTTCTGGATACGTCTCCGGTTGCTTGCATTTCTCAAAGTCTTGCTTGCAAGCCAGATGCGGAGAAAACGCTGTCGAACTAGTCGTGCTCAGAAATCGCTACAACAATGCCTCTGCCGTGACCCAACAGGCGAGATATATGGCCTTGATCCACGTCTCAACCCTCACCTGGATGAAAAAGATTGAGGGCGTGTTTCGACGGCCCGACCAATCACATGCGAGCTAGCGTAATCTCTAGCCGCCCATGCCAATGGCACTCTTGCATTAAAACACCTGATGGGGCTTCAGAAACATGCTCGCAAGGATGACCGTGTGAAATGTGAACTTGGAATTCCGCCACATTCAGGGGCGCGCGCGTTTATTTCCATGCGGCGCAGAACTTCTCTCGAACCTCAAATCACGCCTGTTGCATACAATGCTGGAGCACTTGTTGCCGACGGGACGTTCGCTCTTTTTGAAATGCTCAGCTGGACCAAGCAGTCGCTGCATATATGTCTTGCTTTCGCAATCTTCACTCTTCTCTGGATTTCTGTCTACATCAAATGGCATACTGCACCCCATCAGGTTCCGGCTTTCACCAGATTTGAAGATTACATACACGACTCCAAGCAGCCTGCTGTTGTAATCGCAAGCCGACTTCAAGATAACACGAGTTGGATGCGGACGGCTTTTCCAAGATGGCATCACCATATTTATGTCACCGATGATCCCAAGGCTTCGTTACAAGTACCCTTGAACAAAGGGCGAGAGGCCATGGTCTACCTCACGTAAGATGAATGTTATGTAACGCTCTCGCGAATCAAATTAACGTGCTTATAGCTACATAATCGAAAACTATGAACATTTGCCGTCGATCACCATATTCCAACACGCGGAGCGATATCAATGGCATAATGATGACCCACTATACGATGGCAAGCGAGTATTGAGCCGGCTCAACATGTCGCATGTTCAGCAAGAAGGCTATGTGAGTCTTCGCTGCGTTTGGACGCTGGGTTGTCCGGCAGATCTTCATCCGCACTTGGAAGAACAACAAGGGCCGCCAAGCAGCGAGGAAGATGTTGGTAATCCGCCTGCTGGTTTTTATTATAAGGCAGCCTTCTTGTCGTTATTTCCCGGCGAGACTGTTCCGACAGACATTGGGGCGCCATGTTGCGCCCAATTTGCCGTTGCGGATTGGGCGATTCGTCGACGTCCCCAGAGTGACTATGAAAGGTTTCGTCAATGGCTACTAGACACTGATCTGAGCGATCACATCAGCGGACGGATCTTGGAATACTCGTGGCATAGTGAGTACATTTTGAAGAAGAATCGTTTCCAAGCAAGCTGACCCCTTGGAGTTATTTTCGGTAAAGACGCGGTCTCTTGTCCCAATGCACGAGACTGTTATTGCTCGCTCTACGGGCTTTGCGACCTAGTGTGCGAAGAAGAAGGTGTTTGCAAGTCGCAGTATACCTTGCCAACTTCCTCTGTGCTGCCTGAAGGATGGCCGGACTTTGGCTGGGATGGCGAATGGCAGAATGCAACAGATTTTTGATTCTCGAGATTTGGTACGTAGTTCTGGAGTACGGTTTACAGCTTCTTCGCATGAGAATTGGGTTCAAGAAGACTGACAATTTGGACTAAAATGCTGTAAAGATAAGCCTCGCAAGACGCACCTGTGATGTAATTACGCCCCCACTGGAATATAGTCATGGCTTCTTTACGACGGAAGTGGAACATCCTGATGAAGAAGGGAGGTTTGAGATCATGGATGATTTGGCAGCGCTCAATCAAAGGAGAGACGCATTCCATTAGATCCACGAATCTGGTCTTGATGTTGCCCTGCCGAGCCAAGCTTTCAAAACAATTGCGGGACCTGGTAAAAAGTGTCTTCAAAATTCATCCTTGGAAGTCGTTATATATCGATAGCATGCAACAAGTCGACTCCAACCCGTCCAAGAGAAGCACAAGCGGAGAAGACTAGTTCTTTGAACCACAATGAGCACGTTCACAGCTGTCATGGAACCCTTTGCCGCAGGAGCCCGCAATTATCTTCGCCCACCGCACCATCCGAAGTGAAATACTTCCCATGTTTTATGGGAATCTCAAGATACGCTTGAAGCCTGCGGTCGAGGCGGAGACTGATCTCGGTCGGATGAGTGATCAAGTTCCTCGTATACTACTGCACGTTTGGATTAATAGAGGGGGGAGAGAGCGGAAGGGCCCAAGGATTGGACGGGAGCGGTTACGGAAGAACTGTGGACGTGGCGGCCTGTTGCGGGAGGACGCGGTAAAGGCAGTATGTGCCGTTCTTGATCGAGACGATGTCACCATGAGGCTGGCTTCCATTCCTTTGGGGAAGATTCAGCTTGGGAGTATGGAAGTCGCGGAGAGAAGGTACTGATCAATCGAGCAGAATATCATTGCCATTGAAGAGACTGTGTGGCAAGTCGATACAGTCCATTGGAATGACATCCAGCCTTCTTCCTTCTGCTCGCCCGGGAGCGAAAGATTTAGATGTCCAACAGCTAGAAGCCGTACAAATTATCCGGCTCCTTGTAATAGAAGAACGCCACAGCTATGATCAAATACCAGCCTACCAACATCAGACCTTCCAGATAATTCGACGTCCCGCCTCGAATTAGTACGTTGACCACGAGCACGCTGAGAAAGAACACAACAGTCTCAAAGAGCTGGAAATGTAGCGTGAGGTCCTTTCCCATGATCCAGGCAAGGATCACTAGAAGTGGAGTCACAAACAGGGCGATTTGCAGACCACTCCCGAGATCCACGAGGAGAGCCAGGTTCATCTTCCCTTTCCAGGAGACAATCACGGCAGTTACGTGCTCCGCTGCGTTCGTCACGATGGGCAGGAGAATGATTCCGATGAAAGTCTTGGACATGGGCGTGCTGTCCACGATCGGGTTGATAGCATCGACCAGGAACTCCGCGCAGAATCCCACGCACACGGTCGTTAGAATCAGTGTTGTGAGCGCACTCCATAGGCCAAGAGTCCTGCCGTCTTCTTCCGCGTTCTCCGCTCGCGCAACATCCGGGTTGACTTCTTCGCCGGGCTCTGGCTCTCCATGCTTGCCTTCTTCCTGATCATCCGTAAAGAGGCCGGAGTGCGTTCTGAGCTGGAAGACGAGGTAGAAGACGTACACCACCGCAAGGATGACAGCGGTGCCACGGGAGACCTGGATAATTTCGACTGTATCGCCGTCTTTGGAGTTGAGGAGGGTGGCGTAGAGAATGGCCGGTACAACGAGAGCGCCAGCCGCGAGCATCATGAGAGCGGTCATGATCCTAGCCACTGTGCTGTCGAAGGTAGATTCTCGTCTCCTGATACCACCGGCGATGAAGCAGCATCCGAGGACCTAGGATCGTGAGCTTCTGAGTCTTGAGAGTAATTTTCTCGGTACTTACAAGTAGAATGTTCACCAGTACACTCCCCAACAAGCTCGCCTGGATAAGACGATACTCGCCCTTCATAAGCGCAATAATACTGACAATCAACTCAATCGCATTCCCGAACGTCGCATTGAGTAGACCTCCAATCTGCGGACCAGCAACGGCCGAGAGCTCCTCCGTAGCGAAGGAAAGCATGGCAGCCAGAGGTATGATTGCCAGGAAATTCAAGACGAATATTGCAATCGGGGGCCAGTCCACAACTCCGGCTGCGATTCCGAAAGGTACGAAGACGAGCAACACATTGATCCAGCTGTTGCTCACTACAGCCCAAAAAGTCTGTCCAACTTGTCGCGGCCAACTTCGGAGTCCATGTTGGTGCTGAGACAGATGATCCCTGGCCATAGACTGGAATGGCCGTGGGTGATCCAGTAAGGCGGTGCTTTCGTCGGCGCCATGGATGTGCGAATGCTGCATCGCTTTGAGGCCAAGGTCTCCCCGTCCTAGGCGATTCTGCCTGGATCGGAGCTGTGATGCTGACATCCTGTTGTGTTAGGTCAGAGCAATGCTGTTCGATAGAAGATCAGCATTGAAGAGTCGGGTATGAACGGGAGGTAGGGATACGTCAACATCGCGTGTGTTGATCTCGTTTACCGTTTACGTCATTGTAACCGAGGACCGTTGCACAGGTTGATTAAAAAGCTTAAGTTGACCGCTCCTCCGGGTTGCGAAGCGATCTTTTGCGTCGGTTAAAGGTCAGCATATAATTATTCTGGGATGGTCTTAGACCTCCAGCATGACAACTTGAACGTTGGTAGCACGAGGCAGTCCGGGCGCAGCTGCTAACGGAGTCGCCTAATCTGGCCTAGCGCGGGATCCAAACAATAAGTGAATGTTGAATGCATTTCAAAGGAAATGGCAGCGTGTTTAGTGAACAGGAGATTGAAAGAGCAGTCAATGGCTTGGAATTGCCGGGGTAAGGCAAGACGCCAAGAGCTTGCTCATGCCTCAGATTTTGGGCAGATAGCGAGGACGGTTTCTGCCCTTCGGTATCGTAACAGGTGTGCATTCTAGATCATCAATTCTTGAACAGGATGCGCAAGCTCGGACAACGCCTCGCGCAAGCTATGAAGATCTGAAACTTGCTCTTTGGTCTTAAGTGGCATGTCGCCAATGAAAGGCAAGTAGTCAGGCAGACAGATTGTGTCGTCCAAGGGCAGTCTGCCTGTTTGGAAGTATTCACGCACACGAAGTGCAGTGCATGTCGATGGATTAGCGTGCGAGCAATGCCCCTCAGATGCTTGCTACAGCACGATTGAGCCTAGAAATAGAGTTGATACCCGACGAGCGTTTCGCAGTGGTGTTACGGTATCGAACGTATTTCCGATAATGAGCAGCGGATGAGAAGTGTTGCCTTGTATCTCGTCTTCGAAAGTCCAAGCAGGCCTATCCATGATACCGATGCAGGACATCTTGTGCCTCGCCCAGCTGAGGCTGAACCAGCGGCTTTGCTTCGTGAGCATGGCAAAGTAAGACTTGAAGTCCTTTTTACTCAACACTCCAGCTCGGTGATTTGCGCTATCCATGCATTCTATTGACGGTGTTGAGCCGAGAATACCAAAGTAGTTCTTGGTCATGCAACCGTCGGAGGCTTTGCGACAATTCCCAAGTGACGCAGCAGCCTCTAGCTGACCTTGTTTGCTGGTAGCAATTTCGGTCACATTGCCCCTCACAAACTCTGCCAGAAGTCGGAATACATCCTCAGCGGCCGAATACGGGAACGCCATAGCATTGATCAAGCGGAGGTAAAAGTCATCGAATGTGATTACGATCGGATCCTTCGTCGATGGGTCCACTGGTGCAACTGGCACAGGCCCTTGCTTCAGCTCAGTTAGGACTCGCGTTATTTCCGCTTCGATGTCCGCGCCCGATTCTCCGGTGAAGAGTGGGCACTTGGAAGGGCCAGCCTGGTGGCAATAGTCACACAGCCTTTTGAGTACGTTGTCGGAGTCTTGCAGATTTGCAAGCCATCGTCCTTGATAATAGTCGTCCGGGTCCAGAACCCCATCGATGACAAGCCTTCCCACTCGGTCAGGATGCATTGATGCGAATGTCTGTCCAAGTAGACTACCATAGCTGAAACCCCAAAACTGAAGCAACTCTCTTCCAATCCGCCGCCTAGCTCTTTGAGCGACGCCTTCGATCCATTTTTAAGATTCTTTGCCCGAGATGACCATGTCCTCGACTTTCGTCTCTCTCCATTCTCCGTGGGCCTCGATGAACGCAAACATATCTTTGACAACCTGAGGCGTGTTGAGGTATCTTAGAATACCCCCCTCATCTTCCAGAGAGCAGCTTCGGCCCAAAACCTCAGTTCTAGCCCATTCCATAGCAAGCGAAGGGTTCGTCTCGAACATTGCTCCATAATCCATGCGTGTGAGTAGCCATGTTTGTTGTGAGAAAGCATCGGAGAAGCAGTCCAGCGACGGCGTAGTATACTTGACACCACGCGGATCAAATCCCAGGATATCAAAGAACTTGCTTGGATGATTGTCTTCGAGATCTGCAACTGGAGGATCGGAAGACGCATCGACGATAGTCTGGATAGCTCGGCCGCGAGAAATGACATGATCAACTCCGGACTCGCCGGGTCCTTCAGGGTTAATCAGGATCGCCCCGCCGTAGTCAGGATGGTTCACGGAGACTTTTGCAGGGAGTCTGGCGATGGCAATAGCGGCACGCTTTTGCAGCTGTTCTTCCTTGGAAGCATTCCAGTTCAGCGGTACGTGCAAGCGGGCACACTGGAGTCCGTTATAGCATGGCACATACTGCAGATGAGTGCTCGGCTCTATCTTGAGAGCAGGTCAGTACCCTGATTCGTGATACGGAACAGCGAAGGCGAGGCTTGATGAGAATGATCTACCAACATTGTGCCAGTTGAAAGGTCGGTCATCAGCTTTCAGTGGCTTTTGGAGATGTCCCTCATCGAATTGGGCGGAAGCTCCTTGTACGGCACCGGCTACCGCAGCGTACCACAGAGCGATGAACATCTTCAGCAATGCACGACGTTGTTCTTTCGCTGCGAGAACAGATAGATGCAGAAACTTGAGTGCCTGTCAGATATGCTGGCCGACAATGACGTCACTCGTCAATATTTGAATGGACGCGTCAAATTGGATCCCTGCCGGACTTCACGACGTCGTATCTTTCTCCTCCCATCATTCGACATCGCTGCGCGTTATTTCATGCGTAGAATATTCGTCTTGCCATCATTAAAGATTTAGTAAGCTAATATCAGCTCGAAACTACCTCAGCCCGCGCGCCTTTCACGCATGCAGACGAGAGCCTGCTCGGAATCGTCAACATTCCTGGGCAAAAGGGTTGACGCCCCTCCGAGTATAACAATCATGCTTCATGTCAGCAGGAAGAATTATGGGCTAGACCAGATCGAAGTGTCACCCGATGGCGTATACCTATACTACCAGCCCGGTAATGATCGGTCTATCGCATCAAGACACCTTAAATCGACGCCACCCACGCCGTATCGACCCTGGCCGAGTCGCTTGGAGACCAAGCCGAAGCTGTGGCTCTGACACCGACTACGGGCGGCAGTACGATAGATGCGAATGGAAGCATCTACCTCAACTACACCAATATGCTTGCAATCTGGAAAGTGACACCGGAAGGCCGCGCGACGATTTTCGTACAGAACGACGACCTGCTCAGGACAGATCCGATATGGGTCAGAAGCTTTGGTTGCCAGCATTCCAGACGCGTCCGTAGGGAGACGGCTTGATGGCAGATGGCCCGAACTATATTTTCACGTATTCGATTGAAGCTGGACCTTCGCCGATTGACCATGCTAATGTGGATATCATGTAAAGGCATCATCGAAAGTGGCGTCTGTAAAGACGACATACTGAGCGGATCCAGCACCACTGACCTTGGAAACTCGCAACAAGACTGCCGAATACCAGGACTTCTGGAATGTAGCAATGTGAAAATCGTTGTTCCGAAAACGATACTCTTAAAGAATATATGTCGTCGTGAAAGATGTCATATCGTAGACCGCATCACCTGGTCATCTCACAAGCATCTCCACAACACCGGCGGATTTAGGATGGCTTGTAGGTAGAATCGGCAGCTGGATCATTTGGACCTCCATCAGATACAGTCGCGGCAGTGCTAATACCACCATCCTTTGCAGTACCGCCGACACCGTAGTTAGGGTTGCCCTCGTGGGCTTCTCCCTTCTTCTGTGATGGAAGATCGCCACTCGTCTATGGTGAGCCGTGGCTACAAAGGACTTGTAAAAGAAACTCACGTCGTGCTTCTGGTCTTATGTTCGCCAGATCCTGCGGTATCTCCAGAAGGTTGATATGCCCTGTCCTGCTGAGTCTGAGCAGCATCTGGGCCGCCGTCGGCTACCGTGGCTGCTGTAGAAAGACCTCCATCCTGAGCAGTGCCGCCAACGCCGTAGTTTGGATTTCCTTCAGACATCTCCTGTGATATTGGCTCGAGTAGATTTTCGTAGAAATGAATCAAAATACTGTGGATGACTATCCTTTCACGATGAACAATTTCTTGTCCTTGCTAACAAATATATCACCTCCGGTTTCAATGAAAGCCCTGACGTATGCTGTTACCCTTGCGCGGGGTGATGGCACTGTTACGTCAATCGTCCCGCGTTGACAGCTCTTGAGTTGACAGTTTCTCTGCCGTCCTGCCAAGTTCCTGCGTGGCGCTTTCGTCATGGCCAATGGGTCTATTACACATCTGCAAAAGGTGTGTTAGATTGATGTGGGTTGGAGGCAATATGCTTGTCGTAGTCGGAAGAATAGTTGGACCGTGTCTTGGCATCTTGTGCTCGAGAGCTTTGAATTTGACACGTCTTTTTGTGTCTGTGCCTATCAACAGCACCTTGTTCGCTCTCCCATCATCGACACGCGCGATTGCTATCAACGTTAATAGGAGATCTGCAACTTGCAATGTCGAGAGATCTGCCATCGATTCATGGTCTTTGCATTGGGCTTGGTGTCTGCCGATTCAGAGCTACGCAGGCTACAGCGAGGCGCGTTTGCATAACAAAAAGTCCTTGCCCTGCTCGAGGAAGAGGTATGGAGTCGTCTCCGGTTCGCTCTACGCTGATATTGTGAGATGACATTTGCTTTCTTGCTGCAAGCGACTGCGTATGTCCGAAACCGCGTAAATTCTCATGTCTCCTGCGAAACGATGCTCTGAGATACGGAGGGCGAGTCTCCTGGCGGTTGATCTTGCACGGCTTAAATACATCTTGGAAGCTGAAGAGGCCGCCGATGTTGCAATGACAATGTAGTCGTGAACGACAGCGCATGATTTAAACCATACTGCTCGCCGGAGGAACTCCGGTTACAGATACCTACAGTAGGAGGACCGCCATCCGGAAAGCTACCACTTGGGTGAGGCGACGCTCGCTGCATGTGATTCTTGGCGCTATGTAAGCAGTAACGACTCTTCTGCCGATTTCGACAGCCGCTAAGAGCATTTCAATGCCGAAAAAGTCCCCCGGACGAAGCGATGACGTAAGACCTCTTCTGATTATATCCCCCATTCAAACTTCTCGAAATGCTGTTTTGAGCTCCTGAGAGACGGTCGTATGTTAACTGGGAGCACTCACAACTTTCCTGGCAACTGGTGTCATCGAAGATTATGGATCAAGCAAAACTCAAGGCCAGCTTCTACAACTCTTCTGCTGCTGCATCTCTGGACCTTCCGACTCCGCAGCTGGAACTCGATTTCCGCATGTCTGTGGCCCTGAACCCTAAGATCTCCTTAGGTGAAGGTCCCTGGGGACAGCGAAACTGGATTAGTTTTCAGGGTGGCAACTGGACCGCGAGCTGGGGTAATGGAACGGTCGAGGTGCGTCACTTCTTTAGACGCTTTCATTGATGGTACTGAGAGGCATCTATAGCCTGGCGGTCAAGACTCTCAACTCGTCAATCCAGAGTCACTGAATACCTTTGTCACAACAAACTATCTCCTCAAGACGTCGGATGACACACCAGCTTATATCGCGGTTTCGACGACTGGATGGCGCACTGGACCAAGAGATGTTTTGGAGAAGTTGTTTGATCCCAAAGCCGCTGACGACGTGGATGCCAGCGAGTACAGCTTTAAGTTGACGATCAAGCTGGAAACGGGAGATGTGAGGTATGCTGAACGCTTGAATACTGGTATCTGGGTGGCTTCTGGGGCGAGAAGGGGTGCTGAAGGTGAGTTTGTCTGAGCGTTTGCGTCCGGGCTCGCATCGTGCTGACCTCGAAAGTGATATATGATGCATACCGGGTGACGTGAATCTTCACCGCAATCGGACACAGACAAAACGACACTGTCTCGAGAATAAACGCTGGTCGTTCAATTGGTAGGACCGTAGGTGCGCATGTCCGGTCAACAGTCTTGAGATATTGTACACCTTTGAGGTATATTCAATACGTGTCCTGCAGAGAATATCCAGTGAAGATGTCGGAGCTTCCTAACTCGCAGCCGTCGCCGTCACATGTCTCCTTGCTCACTCCACCATGGGCTCGTGTCTGTGCCAAACAGATTCTGCGTCGGCGCTGGGATATTGGAGAAGCACTTAGAGAGATGACCAGGACACAGTCGAAATCGCCAAAGCTCTTCGCCGGCAATGCTTATTGGTGACAGGTATGCCATTGAGGCGATCATAAATCCACGAAAGCGCATCCAGGGGGCCCTCAAAGCACTCCGGGGTGTGATGAAGCGGCTCAGCGATCTGGAAATCGATGTTCACACTGCTACCCTGAGCGCATTACTGAGCAACCAGCGCCGCAGTGAGCTCGAGGGGCGGAATTGAGACGTGCCCTACTTCGTATACGAGCAGAAGCGTTTACGGCAATCTACGCTTTCGTTTCAACACTGGTCTAGTAAGGCGAGCTATCTGAGCATAGCGACGGGAACATGAGATGTGAGGGAGTATGCTTCAGGCGACCAATTTGAGGATATCTAGAGTGCGAGGCCATGCAAGATGCAAAGGATGGCCTAGTAGTGATAATGACAAGACATCGAAAAGCGAGCGTCACTGCTGTACAGACTGAGGCGCTTTCTGTGCTGTATATCTTGGGAAACCAAAGAACGGGCCGCAGAAGGTCTTACAAGTTGTGTCCTCAGTTGTTTATTTCACATGTACTTCTTTGTTTTCAACACCACCAGGACATCGTTAAGCGCGCTCAGAAGTCTCCAAAAATCCGATTAAAAAATCGATAAAAAGATCAAAAACATACCGCACGAGGTATTCTCGACTGGTCACCCACGTCAATACTAATCTCGCGGTCGAATGGTTATCTTTGGAAGAGCGGACGGGGTTCCGAGTTCTCATTCGCCTGTGGCCGTATGTACTAGGATATAAGAATTTCAGCTTTAAGTAGGCTTGCGCAAAGAGGAAGCCGAGATTATGCCGATTTTGGCCGAGAGCCCTCACTCAGCGATCTGTGTCAGCTTCTCACGACTCCACAGAATCGAGGATACATGATTACAGTGGATGAAAGCCGGTTTCTTGCTCTGATTGAAGCTGACTACGAGACTCGAGAGCCGGGATTCTTTCGCGCTTAGCGATTACGATAGCGACACTTGCACAGGTACGGAGTGCGCAGAGTACAAGTCACGAGCGATCTCAGGCCTTGCCAACTTGCGCCATTGTAAGTCGGCTGTCCGTAAAGCGGCGGATAATTTTGCCAAGACCTTGCGCACGGGCTGTTCACATGCTCCAAGTGAAGGCTTGGCGACCACTAATTGAGTTTGAAAAGTAAGTTATGCCTTGGCATTGAGGGAGATTTGCTGAAGACCGCTGTGCGCAGTAGAGTCTATTCTCGTCGACGCCGAATGTCACCGACGCCAATATCTACTCTATCGAGTGCAATGACATTTTACAACTCGGCCAGACCATATATATCGTTCTGACAGCTCTCCCACGACAACATCTGATTAATCCATGGTAGGTATTGCTCTGCTCTAGATGTAAACTGCGAATGGATCGAGGTGGGCTCCAAGGTCTCGATCATCTGGCCTTCAAACAACTCGAGTGGCCTCTCCTCGGGAAGCCTTGCCGACAACAATGCAGGATCAATAGTATCATCACATTCTGGTGTGGTAGCGCGTCTAATATCGTCTGGGTGTTCCGAGCCATTCTCCTTGGCTGGTTGCTGCAGCGTCGGGCTGATTCGTCCTTCGGGATTCGCACAGACGCCTGACAACTGAAGATTTGAGATTTTGGGAGCAGTCAATTTGAGCTTCAGTCGTGCTTCATCATAGCTAAAATGATGTCAGATTTCCTCCGCGTTCATGTCTTTTGAACATACCTAAGGTCTGCTGCGGTGATAGCTTGGGCCGGATCGAAGATGAATTGAGTGTCTATGTCAATCCACTTGGTATCCAATGAGCTGGTCAACAGCCTACAGATAGTTTCGACGATCTCCTTAGAGTATGAGCCCTGCAGTCGTCGCAGGGCGGGCATGCTGAAGGTGAAACTATCGCTAGGAGCAACTTCGCTTCGTCAGCAATCAGCCACAGTGATGGGTAGTAAACGGGTTGATACCAAAGAGAGAGGAGAGCGTATTGTAAGCTTTTGGCCCCAAAGTCTCTGAGAGACGATTGAGTAGCTCAATGAACAGTCTCCCGGTGGACGCAAGGTACCTTCGAAGCCTCTCATCCTTTACAGGTGTCTCTCCGGGGGTCAAGGGCTTGTTCACCGACGACGGTCGGCCAGTCCGTTTGGAGATGATGACCATCAGTAGGCATCTGATGAACGATGACTGTCTGGACTGCTGGAAAGCGCCATCCGCAATCCTTGTGTGGGCTTTGTAGAGTTGATCCAATGTCATGGTGTCTTTCTTTGAGCCGAGCCTTTGAAGGTCATGTAGCCATTTTGATCCGCCCGATTTGTTGGAGGGGGACAAAACGTGCCCGCCTTGGATAATCGTGTGGGCAATCAACTTGGATAGCTCGACTACCGCGGCCGGTAGCGGAGAAACGCTATTGGTGCTTGGGTTCCTGCCCTTGGGTGAGCTCGACCTTTGTGCAGAAGATGAGCGAGCTTCGCCTGGAGATTCCTCCATGTTGATGGCTGTGAACGATCCAAGCTGTTGTTCTGGAATTCCATTGGTGGAACCGAGATTGATCTCGTTCTCCTCATCCACATGCATGCAGGTATCCCGACTTTGGCTTTGTACAATCAGACTAGCTCGAAGTGATGGAAAGACTGATAGGGTTGTTTGTGGAAATTCTTACGTCTTTGCGTTGTACTGCTGCCTCAAATGCCACAGTATAGGCTTCAAAATGAATTTCGCAACATCGCCGACCTCCTCGTCTACAATTCGAGACGGTGAGGCGTAGGTAACGTTCAACGTTAACTTAGCCTCGCGACGACCATTCGAATAGGAAATCGGGTGTTGCTGAATCGAGACGCTCGTACCACTGTCAGCATCAAAGTCGTGGACAGTCGAGGAGTCGTTTCCGTTCGCATTGTCTCTCCGGTCTTGTAGATTCATCCTCGGGATCGAATCCATTGTCTATGCATGCAGGAAGGTGGCACACGAAGACAACTTCGCGCGGAGCATCGTCTTTACTACTGTCTGTCTATGCGCACCTTACTATCCGGTATATGCGCCACACAGCATTAAGCTCAGCTCGCTCTTGCTATAATAGTTAGTCACTGACTTGCGAGGCATAGTCAATTTCTTCGAAGAGCTGAATATCGCGAGATGTCACCGGAGACCAACAGCACCGCACCACTGCGAGCCTCGCACTGAGCCACTTTGGTCATTGAGAGGGCTGGCAAAGGCACAGTTGGATGAAGTCTCCCACCCTAAAACTATATTTGAACCTGGTAATATTGAGGGACGCGGCAACTCACTGCTGCCGTCTGCCGCTAAGAATTGATTTAGAACAAGCTTGACAAGGGCATAAGCGGCACATTACAGTATGGCTTAGCAAGTCCGGGCCCGTTCCATGGCCAGTCCCATCTTGATCCCGTTGATTCGGCCGCTCAATAAGAAACGGAATCTCGCAGACGCGAGGCAGCCATCGCTGACCCATCGGCGCGCCGCGCAACGGCAGCCTAACAGGAATCATGCAGGTCTGAAGTCAGTTTGGTGCTTACCTTATAACTCTAACGCCCAATAGTAGTCTAGGCCGTGACCCGTCCGCCGCCTGCATCATCTCTTTGACTTGTCTCGCAAGTCCTAATCCACAGCTCAGTGGTCGATTCACAAGTGTTGAAGGCCGACGACTCCAGCTGCCATGCCGCTGGGATATGCGAATCCAGCAACACTCACGAATTGCACTGTTGAATCCTGCAGTGTCTACACCAGCTTCTACAACTACCGGATCGATCTCGGTGCCAACATTGCTTTTCTGGTCTGCTTCTCGATCCTCCTCCTCGTCTATCTCGTAATATGGATCACGAAACGACGTTGCCATCTTTTCGCGGTGGCTATGATCCTTGGACTTGTCATTGAGATTGTGGGATACGCAAGCAGGATCTGGTCGTATTACAATCAATGGGTCGAGAATGCATACCTCATACAACTCATCTGCATCACGCTTGCACCGGCGCTATTCTCTGCGGGCATCTACCTCTGTCTGGCCTGGATTGCCATCATTTACGGGGGAGAGAACTCCAGAATCAAGCCCATCAAATACACGGTCATCGTAAGTGCTTCCAGAAGTCATCCTTGCCTTGGCTGACGAGTATAGTTCATTCCATGCGACGCGGCCTCGTTACTCCTGCAAATGATTGGGGGAATCATTGCAGCCATAGGCCTCGACGAGCTGTCCCTGACGCTTCTGGACCAAGGCACATATATCCTCACGGCTGGACTGGCCTGGCAAGTGTTCACATTGTTCTGTTTCCTGGCTCTGTGTGTCGACCTTGGCCTTCGAATTCGGCGACGGCGACGAAAGCTTGGAGATCAGGCAGCATTGTCTCAAGATCCACGGGCCATCACAACTCGCTCTTCTCAATTGTTCTTGGGATTCCAGCTTGCGATAGGTCTGGCGTCGATCTTGATTTTCTGGCGATGTGTTTTCCGCCTTGTGGAGCTTAACAATGGATTCTCAGGCCCTGTAACGTTCAAACAGGGGCTTTTCATAGGGTTTGAAGGCGTTCTGGTGCTCGTTGCTGCTGCCGTATTGGCGATAATGCATCCTGCGATTTGCATGGGCGAAGCGATCACGAAAGAAGTACCACGAAGTTGATCTTCATGTCGCATTCAGTCGGAGAGGCGTCGTTAGATACCGACAAGCGTTCCGGCCGCGGTTTGTCCTTCTACTACTTCAACATAAATTACCGCTGCCAGCGTTCGCACTTTGATTTGTCAGTGGAGTGCCAGAAAAGCCATCAAAAAGCGCTCGGAGTCAGACACTAGTCTTGATCAGAATGAGAATGGAATTATAAAGGCTCAATGTATCCTCGTGCCATCTCAACGGGTGGTCTGGTCAACGACTCAACTCTTGCAGCAATGGCGGCTCCCAAAAACCTCGACATCAAAGATCTCAACGGAACGACGTGGATAGCCAACCGAAGCCTTTCTGGAGACTCTGATAGCGTGTTGGCCCTCCAGGGAGTCCATTATGTCATTCGAACCATCCTCAGTGCCGGCCAAATCACCGTCTGTATCAAGCAGTGGGAAGGAGAGGATGGCGCTACCCACTTCGAAATGCAGAACCAAATCTCCGCGGGCCTGCCAGGACTCACGGACACATACAAGACGGACTTTGAGCCGAAGCAATACTCCGATCCCATATTTGGAACCGTGCGTGATCGATCTCGTTGGATCGGGATAGAGGAGCTGGAGGACGAGTATCAGAAAACGGAATGGGAGGAAGGCACCACGAAGACTCTGGAGCTGTTCACCGATCACCTTGATACTGGGGCTACCACATCCCAAGTATGTGGCTTCGAGCTGATTGAGGGCGAGAGACGCTACACCAGGCGATTGGTTGTGAAGAAGGGCGAAGAGGTCTTGCACGTGCGGCTGGTCTTTGATTACGTGGGGGGAGAGGATCTCGAGAATGATGCAGATGCAGAAGATGACTCCGAGGGATAGATAATGACTAAAATAGATAACTCGGGGTTCCAAATAAGGCTCAATAGCTGCAGGACCCAAATCTATGATAGTGGAGTTCCTAGCTGCATGGAGGATTATGTCTATTCCTCTAGAGCCCGTTCCTTCATGTTCCTTTCGCATCCGCACCCAGAAACTTTCAGCCACCGAAGCAATAATGACGACCCAATCAAGAGATCATCACCAAGACCCGTAGTAAGAGCTAGAATGTGCTCCGAAGACTTTGCACGTGCAGAATATGTGAAGCAGTCGAGTCTTCTCATTCGTCGAACCTGATCAGACCCATGTGGCTTCAAAGGCTGGACGATGCGTTATGCATTCCATGGTGACAAGAGGACCACAATTTGATCACGAAGAATATCTGAGATTTGACCATTGTGTGTTATACTTCGCTATTGAACCGAGACGGATAGCGGGATGCTTCCCTATTCGTCATCTACTTTTAGCCCGGCATCTTCTCGTCTGGTGAGAAGCCCTCCTGAAGTGTCGTTTTGTCTCTTGCACACTACTTCTTTGGATGAGCTACAATCATCACTGATCTCAAAGTACCGGCCCATCCCCAGTATCGCAAACAATATCCCCAGTGAACAAAAGGTCGAATAGCTGCCATCGACCCACCAATCTCGTCCCACTTCTTCGTTTGCGCGCTGAGAAAGTCGGCATACGGCGTAAAAGAATGCTCCGTGATATCGATGATCTGGATGCTGTCGCGGTCGTAACCGCATCGTACAAGAAGGTCGATGTACTGCTGCTTCGTTAGACGATTCCACCAAGGAATCTGAATACCAGTCAAAGTCGCCCACAACAGCCAGCGCTCCACGAAAGATAAGTTCTCTTTGATCAAATAGTCGGTTGCCACAAGAGACGTGCCAAACTCCTCCTTGGCGTAAGTCAGCAACTTCTCGCGGCCAGCGCGGAAATGGTAAAGGCAATCAACACAAATCAGCCATTTGCGAGCAGGAGCTTTCTCTGGCGATATCGAAGCCGAAGGCTGCATGAAAGAATGGATGGTGTCGCGAACTTCGTTTGACCACGTCTCTGGCTGGGCTGCATCTGCTTTGAAAACGCGCAGAGTCTGCGTCTGAGCTGGTTTGCCATGCTCGCTTTGCCAGTCCTTGAGGCGCTCTTGACAAAACTGGGCTTGGATTTTGTTTATGTTCAATCCAACATAATTCACCAGATTCTGTGGTCTGTTTGACAGCATATGCAGCGCAGCTTCCACGCAGCCACAACCGGGCTCCAGAATAGATGTTGGTTCATTGTCCAGAGCTCCCGAAACAGTCAGCATCTTTTCAAAGAGATCCCGGCACGCTGTTGGAAAATGTCCATTGGCGTTCTAAGGCATTTCGTGAGTGACACGTATTCTAGAAGCATCGTGGTGAAATTACCTTCCAGTAACCACACTGTTGGGTAGAAGGTCAGCTCTTTGGTTGCACAAACACTTTTGAAGCCGTCCTTACATTTTCCCACATTGTATCAGGATCCAGTTTCAGGTTGAAGTAGGTGTGCTCGGTACCGTACATATCGCTGAGATCGGCTCTGTCGAGTTTGCCATTGCCGCGACCTTTCCCCTTGGTATGCTGCAAACGACGTCGAGCGAACTCGCTGGTGAATGGGTTGGTCGGATTGAAACGCAGAGGAAGAACAAAGCGGCAGAAATAGGACGCCGCGAGTCCCAGACAAAAAATCGCAAGAGGCGTCTCGGAGCCCTTAGTAATGGTGGTGCGATAGTTGAATATCGCACCTATGGTAGCGGCTTGAATGATGAGCTCTTTGATCACGTCCATGTTGCTTCGAAGACGGTTCAGAAATGATGTGCCAAAGCACTGGTCGGGCGTCCATCAAGCAATGGCCTTATAGTCCTTGTGTCTTGCACAACTTCTATTCCGAGACGGTATCTCATGAAGATTGCCTCGGCCGGGCAAGTCAGCCTCCAAGACGATCCGGGGCCAAATAGAAAGATCTGGGAGAGCTGACTAAGAACCTGCTGCATGTTGGTGGAGATCCGTGAAGCTGCATACAGAGGGTTGGACGTTTAGCGGGCCTTGGAGGCGTTCGCGTGAGATAGAAGAAATTGAGGTCAAGATCGCTTATCGTTCTAGAAGTGCCTGTCCTCCTGAGCGAGACCAGCCCACGCTCCAAGAGCACGAACTTACCGGTTGCGACCCCCAATCCTTCTTTCAAGTCGGAATGCGCATTCCGCCTTTTCCAACATCTCATTCGCTTCCTGTGTGAGGTTCGATCCTTGAGGAACAATGTTTGACGGAAGCTGGCGTCGATGTGCGTCTCCCCCCGAAACCACGGACATGTGGCAGGAGGAGGAGTGCTTAGCAGCCCCGTGGGAGGAATCAGCGGTGCTTGTTGTACGATATGTACGAGGAATGTGCCGCAAGCGGGATGGAACGTGAGGATCGTGAGCTTAAATGTGTTTCGTGGCACAACTAGCTAGACACGTGGCGATGATCAGATGACGCATTGGCGAATCTTCTGCCATGTGGGTAGTACGAGTCTCACTAGCGTCCGGCTGCTGACGCCAAGTCTGTAAGCGTCAACTTTATTCCCACCGCAGGGAGCTCACTCTGTCTACCTATCGGTGGTGTGTTCTATTCCGGTGCTTTGTACGTCTATACTGGTATACCTGGAGTGGAGGAGTGAACGAGGATCTTGGCGAGATATACAACGTTATTGCCATAGAAGCACTGCCTATGACCTTTCGAAGCAGCTGAATGCAGCATATAGTTGCGATGTTCGCAACTGGATTGCACTTCTCACTCCATGAAAGGATTGCCTGCCCTAGGCGAGATGTCGTGTCCGCTCGCAGACATCAATAACTGAAGCTTCTGCGCCACAGCAGGCAAACGTCCTTTCGTCTTCCCCGTCTCTATTGCGTACATCTCCTTAGCCCAGGTCAAGATCGAGTTTGCAAGCTCTTCGACTTGTTCATCGGTATTGCCGGCATGTATGATGAGCCGAACTCGTCCAGTACCCCGTGGTACGACTGGAGGATTGATCGGTATAGCACTGAAGTTGTCATTCAACAGGTGTATGGAGAGGAAATAGTTGTATCTGTCGGCTTAATCAGCGTTGGTTCGAACGTGAACGTTGTTTTTCGCTCACTTCTCCCGTGTCCAGACCGGAACGAATTGTGTAATATAGTCTCGTCCCTCCCAATTATTCAAGAGTGGGATGGAACATGTTCCAGCTTTCGTAATGGCAGCCCACTCAGGATCAGCGGTCATCTTGTCGTAGAAATGTTTTACTAGCCGCTGCATATTCTCCCGTAACGGCGTGAGCTGTCCAGTCCGGAGGAGGGTGTAGCCAGCTTTGATAGCGGCAAGCATCGGAAACGAAGGAGCCGTGGTATAGATCAGAGGCCGCGCAAAGTTCAGCAGCATGTTCTGAACGGTCTTGTTTGATAGAATAGCCGCGCCGGTTGTCGACATGCCCTTGCCAAAGGTGTGCAAGCGGATGGCGATCTCCTTCTCGAGACCTAGGTCGCAAACCAGTCCACGTCCATTCACACCCATCAGACCAGTACTGTGAGCTTCATCCACGACGAATTCCACATTGCCTTTGGGAAAGACCTCTTTGGCGATCTCGACAAGCGCTTGAAGAGGGCACACGTCTCCATCCATGCTGTAGACTGACTCTACAGAAACCAACACACAACGCTGCCCTTTACGAACCAATGGGTGAGATTCTTCAATGTCATCAAGGACGTCTCTGAACGATGTCGGGTCATTGTGACGGAACGAGATTTGCGACTCGGTCAAGCTGTATTTCATGCCATCCTGAACAGAGGCGTGGATCAACTCATCGTATACGATAACGTCTCCTGGTCGAGGAATGGCGCAGAATATCGCACAGTTGGCATCGTATCCCGAAGCGACAAGTAAGGCGCTCTCTCCGCCGTGGAACTCGGCAATTTCTTGCTCCAGTGCCTCCGAATAAGGGCTGTTGCCGTCCAAAAGCCTAGAGCCAGTACTCCCAAGTTTGAACTCGGGATTACGAGACAGCTCTTTGAGGAATTCCTCACGAAGGATACCATTCGTAGCCAAGGAAAGAAAGTCGTTGGACGAGAAGTCGACTGCGTGGTCCCATCGGTGCAATGCAGCCAAGTTCTGAGAGGAGCGTCGTTGATCAAGCACTTCCTCTAGATTGCGGTCGAAAGCCGAAGCGTCCTTCATGTCATGAGCTCTAAGCTTGTGACCTTCGGCATGTTTCTGGGCCTCCCCCAAAATACTTTCTGCTGCCTTATGGTTTTGAATGCTCTTCCAGAACTGGTCGTTTGGCGGAGAGACCTTCTCTTCGTTCCCAATGGAGCCCATGATGATATTTTCGATTGAGACAACGACAGATTGCAGATGAATTGTAATGAGTTGACGAAGGTCGGAGAGTCTTTCTGTTGCCGACAGATCGAAGTTAACGTGCGTATTCCAGACAAAGTGCTCCACATTGGCGAAGATGTGCAACAAGGCCGACGGAAGGATGGATCAATGACAGGTCTCGACGCTTATCGACCTCGTCGTCATCATTTCACTCAGCTCTCCACAATATCCCGTCCCAACAGCAGCAGCTACACATCCTTTGGACCATTTCTGGACACAACATGCCTGTCGACGGAACATCGAGCCTCGGAGCTGAAGTGAAGGAACAAGTCACTTTGCCTTACTGTTCCTTCATTACTGTAATCAGTCATTCGAAGTGCCAACAGTCCGTGCAAAAGAGCTATTGCGAGCGCACGTGGCGATCTGGAATGACTTTGGACAACATGTGGCTGCATGGTTGGAGCACGCTCGGTGACTAAAGCCTCGAGCTCAGAGGTTATTACCTTGGTGCTGCTAAATGGCACACCTCTAGAAGTTCTGGCCAAGCCACATCACACATAAGCCAACATTTACCCGTTTCGCGATGCTCAGAGGATGATGATTATCGAGATGGTGATCATATTGAGGCTGAAAGCACAGGATCGATAACTTTGGCCGACCGGACGACCTTGTCCATGTTTGGTAACTCAGATCCTACTAAGACGGGTCGAGTACCTGCAGAGCCCGATCGTTCGTGCCATCAAGGCGGTAAGACAAGGAATTTCACCCAGGCAGAGGCGATTCATCCCGGTGGGTGGATACAGCACGCCCCTCATGCTAGCCAAACTGAGATGTGCTATCATTAGAGCCGTGGAATACAGTTTTTGCAACCAACCAGATAGGGACGTCGTGGCGTTCTCGAGTATGGGCGACAGCCTGGCGATGCACTCTACTCGCGAGCTCTGCACGGTGCAATGACTATATAGCACAGCGCAATTTCATACTATTTCCAGGGCGCTCTCGCGTTTTCTTCAACCTTGTTGCGAATAGATCTTTTCAATCGCTGCCCTGAGACCTCAACGTCTTCTCTGTTGAAAGGTTCACGATGTCACCACCTTCAGCGACTGCAACGCATGTGCCTACCTCCAACGGAACATCCCCAGAGAAAGGCGAGAGACACATAAATGGCCACGTAGAAAGCAATGGAGCACAGCCTGTCAACGGCACTGCCATGAACGGGGCTCATACGAACGGAAATGTGACGAATGGGAGCTCATCACCCAATGTCGGAGCGACCATACCCATCGCGGTCGTCGGCATGGCGAACCGACTGCCAGGTGGGCTCAATACTCCGCAGCAATTCTGGGTAAGCGTCACCCTGTCCGGCATATCAAAGACAATGATGCTAATATTAAGAAGGAATTTTTGATCTCGAAAGGAGACGCTCGCTGCCGCGTTCCAGCTAGTCGATACAATATTGACGCCTACTACTCCAAGAGCGGCAAGCCTGGTACGGTCAACACACAATATGGATATTTCCTCGACGAAAGTGTGGACATTGGCGCCTTCGATGCCTCCCTTTTCTCATTACGAAAGGGAGAGATTGACCGTGCCGATCCTCACCAGCGGCATATGCTGGAGGTCGTCCGTGAGGCCCTCGAAGATGCTGGAGAAACCAAATGGCGTGGCAGAAACATCGGCTGCTACATAGGAACCTTTGGCGAGGATTGGTTTGAGATGTTCGCAAAGGAAAGTCAGCAGTATGGAACCTATCGCGCCACTGGGCACGGCGACTTCATGGTTCCTAACCGAATCAGCCATGATCTGGATATTCATGGTCCCAGTATGATCATCAAAACAGCCTGTTCGTCCGCTCTCGTCGGTCTTCACGAAGCCTGCCAGGCCATCGGGCGTGGAGACTGCGAGAGTGCTATAGTCGGCGGCGCAAACTTAATCATGGCTCCGTACATGACAACCACAATGGCAGAGCAGGGCGTCTTATCACCAGACGGAAACTGCTACACGTTCTCGGCTGAAGCCAACGGCTATGCTCGAGGAGAAGCGATTAACGCAGTCTATCTAAAGCCGCTGGATGCTGCACTTCGTGACGGCAATCCCGTCCGGGCGGTCATTCGTGGCACTTCGTCCAACTCGGACGGCTGCAGCCCTGGCGGTGTATCGGCTCCTAACTCAGAAGCCCAGGCTGCTATGATCAGACGGGCGTACGAGGTTGCCGGAATCAAAGATTACTCCCACACGGCATTCGTAGAGTGCCATGGAACAGGCACAGCCATCGGAGATCCTCGCGAAACGGATGCCGTCGCAAGCATTTGGGGACCTGCCGGAGGTGTCCACATCGGATCGGTGAAGCCAAATATGGGTCATTCCGAAGGTGCCTCAGGATTAACCTCGCTGATCAAGGCTGTCATGGCGCTCGAAAACAAGACTTTGCCGCCAAACATCAAGTTCAAGACGCCAAACCCAGACATCAAGTTCGATGTCTTGACGGTTCCAACCGAGCCCACAGCGTGGCCAGCTTCTCGAGCTGAGCGTGTCAGCGTGAACTCCTTCGGTATTGGAGGCTCCAATGCTCACGTCATTCTCGACTCTGCCAGCAGCTTTGGAATAAAGCAACGTTCCTCCACGCGGAAGGAGTCGCCTCAACTACTTTTATTTTCCGGTGCATCTCCAGACTCCGTCAAACAACTGGCAGCGAATTATAACGAGTATCTCGATCGCAGTCCGGAGAAGGTCGCGGACCTCGCGTACACCCTCGCCAACCACAGAGAGCACTGGAATCAGCGATGCTTCGCCGTGGCAAAGAAGTTCGATGCTTTGTCGCCTGCGGCAGTCGTCAAAAGCCCGTCCGTGGTACCACAGCTTGTCATGGTCTTCACTGGCCAAGGAGCCCAGTGGCCACTCATGGGCCGTGAGCTGATGCAGGACCCAGGATACTCGGTATTCAAGGACTCAATAAAACTTCTGGATAAACACCTCCAGACAACCTCGTTTAGACCAGACTGGTCGATCGAGGAAGAGTTACTCCACCCTCCCCAGACTAGTCGACTCAACACCGCAGAGCTGTCTCAGCCACTGTGCACTGCTATCCAGGTGGCATTAGTCGATCTCTTGGCTACATTTAACATCAAACCAGCTGCCGTGGTGGGCCACTCCAGTGGTGAGCTTGCTGCAGCATACGCTGCCGGCGCAATCACTGCGAGGGAAGCTATCATCGCGGCGTATCACCGTGGTGCAGTGTCGAAGTTGCAATCAAAAGCCGGAGCCATGGCCGCAATCGGAATGGGCCGGGAAGAGATCAAGAAATATCTCACTGTCCCTGGTGTGGTAATTGCCTGCGAGAACTCACCCAAAAGCGTCACTATTTCAGGTGATGCAAGCGCAGTCAAAGAAGTTGTTGCAAACATCAAGAAGGCCGACGATGATGTTCTCGCCCGGCTGTTGAAGGTTGACAAAGCGTACCACAGTCATCACATGGTTGAGATTGGCGAGGCATACTATGGCCTTATTGAAAAAGAAGTCCACAGCAAACAGCCTACGATTCCCTTCTTCTCGAGTGTGACGGGCGAGCTGGTGGATTCAGCGGAATCTCTCGGAGCACGATACTGGCAGAAGAACCTGGAGTCTCCAGTGCTCTTCGAGACTGCGGTTACCAATCTTCTACAGCACGAAGCCACTGGAAAGGATCCGATGCTGCTTGAGGTCGGCCCTCATGCAGCTCTGTCCGGTCCTTTGAGACAGATCCAAACCCTGGTATCCAAGCCATCACCTTACACATCGGTGCTGATGAGGAACGAAGACTGTGTGGAAACATTCCTCACCGCAATCGGAAGGCTTTATTGCTCAAAGATTGACATCAACTTCAAAGCGCTGATGAGTGAAGGCACCACCCTTTCCGATCTTCCTAGGTATCCCTGGAACCACAGCGAGTCGTACTGGGAAGAGTCTCGACTCAGTAGGGAGTGGCGTCTTCGCCAATTTCCCCATCATGACTTGCTCGGTGTTCGACTTCCAGAGAGCACTGAACTCAATCCCACCTGGCGAAACGTCTTCCACCTTGATCACGCCGAGTGGATACGGGACCACAAGGTCATGGACGATGTTGTCTTTCCAATGGCCGGGTACATTGGCATGGTCGGGGAGGCCGTTCGCCAGATCTCTGGCTTGGACGAGTCTTACAATCTCCGCCATGTCACTGTAAGCACCGCACTGGTCTTGAATGACGCCAAGCCTACTGAGATCATCACCTCATTCCGGAAGCACCGTCTCACAGACATGTTAGACAGTCAGTGGTGGGAATTCACAATCGCGTCACACAACGGCCAGATGTGGATGAAGCATTGTGCTGGAGAAGTCAGGGCCGGCACCACGCCTGCAGAGTCGGGTGAAGCGCGATCTCTCCCGCCTCGAAAAGTCACCCAGCAGAGATGCTACGACACTTTCCGCAGAGCAGGCTTGAGATTTGGGCCCGCCTTCAGAACCCTTCAAGATGTCAGATCGGAGACAACGACGGAGGGAGCGACAGCACGCGCCGTGAGCGACCTGCCCGATGCCATTAACTATCACATGCATCCCACTCTTATTGACGCTGGTCTTCAGTTGCTTGCAATCGCGGCTAGCCGTGGATTCTCTGGTTCTGGCAACATCCGCATGCTGGTGCCAACCTTGGCCGAGGAAATCACGATTTTCCGGACGGCTGGAAACATCGATGTCACATCTTCCGCGACTTTCAATAGCACGGGCACATGCCGCGGCCAGAGTGTAGCCACCGCGGATGGCATCACCGTCATGAAGATCAATGGTCTTCGCCTCACTCCTGTTGATGATGGAGTCGGTCATGAAAACCGAAACTTGACAGCTCGCGTTGAGTGGGGACCTCACATCGATTTTCAGGAGGTAGCCTCGCTCTTCGTTCCAAACCACAATCGACCCAACGAGGTTCCCTCGCTAGACAAGCTGTCTCGCTTGTGCATGACCATCTCGCTGCGCAAGATTCAGGGGCTGGAAACCCAGCAACCGCATATGCAGAAGTACGTGAGCTGGATCAAAGGCCAACTGGCAGCCAGTGACTTGGTCACTCGCGACATCTTCAGGCCCATCGAGAAAAAGCAAGAAGAGATAGTCCTTTCTCGGCTCAGTGATGACGAGATCATGTTCCACATTGCGACTATCATGTCCGAACTGCACGATTCTCCCGCATTGCCTTTTGCAGAAGCAATTAAAACTGTCTGCGATAGCTTCGCTCCCATCTACACAGGGGAGAAAGAGGCACTGGAAGTCTTAATGGCCGACGAACTTTTGACGAGGGTCTATCGATACGTTGATGAGGTAGATCGATCTGCATTCTTCAAGCGTATGGCCTTCACCAACCCGCACCTGCGGGTGTTGGAGATTGGCGCTGGTACCGGTGGAACCACATCCGCAATCTTCGAATATCTGTCGGCAGCCGATGGTCGCTACATGTTCTCCGAGTATTGCTACACCGATATATCGGCTGGCATGTTCGTGGAACCCAAAGAACGCTTCAAGTCGATTCCAAATATCGAGTATACGGTGCTGGATATCTACAAAGACATCTCAGAGCAAGGCTTTGAAAATCGCCAGTTCGATCTCATCGTTGCAAGTAACGTTCTCCATGCCACGAGGAGTTTGCAGCGTTCTCTGCAAAATGTTCGCAAGCTTCTCGCTCCCGAGGGAAGGTTCTTCTTGACCGAGCTTGCCGCGCAAACAAAGTCTCTGAACTACATCTGGGGCACCCTACCAGGCTGGTGGGCCGGTGACGAAGATGGACGTGTCGATGAGCCGTATGTGGATGCAGAGAGGTGGCGCAAAGAATTCAACGATGCAGGATTTGACGGACTCGAAGCAGTCGCAATGGACGGCGAGGCACCTTACCAGCTCAATGCCATGATGGTCGGAAAGCCGAAAGCGGACAGCAAGCCATTGAAGAAGCTCACGCTTCTATGTCAAGACGTTTCAGGACCGAATGTGGCATACAACGAGCTTATCGAGGAGGGCTACAGCGTCGATATGAGGACGATCTATGACCTTCCTCTGCCTGCGAATCAAGACGTGATTGCGACGCTCGATCTGCAAGAGCCTTTCTTTACCGGCCTGAAGGAAGAGCGACTTCTAGCATTCAAGAAGTTCATCAACAGCCTGGAAGGAGCAGGGATAATGTGGCTCACCAAGCAATGTCAGATGGGTTGCACCGATCCGAGGTACGCCCAGTCCATCGGTGTTGCTCGCACTATGCGATCTGAGGCTCTCCTTGACGTTGCGGTATGCGAGGTGGACGACGATGCCTCGTCAATCCGTCGAATTGTTGATGTCTTCAGCAAATTTCAATTGCGCAAAGAGACGGAGATCTCCAAGCCAGACATGGAGTATGCCATCTCCAAGGGAATTGTCAACGTATCGAGGATATTTCCGTTCAGGCTGCAGGACGCCTTGGCGGCGGCGGAGGGCGAAGATGACATCTCTGTTTTCACGACGCGGAAGCCTGGCCGTCTAGATGACCTCCGCTGGTACAAGGAGCCTCGACCAGTCCTAAAGGGAGACGCGATAGAAGTCGTCCCACACGCCAGTGGCCTTAACTTCAAGGTAATCCACCCAGTCCATGTTGTCACGGTACACACTGCTAATGCTTGAACAGGATATCCTCGTCGCCATGGGCATTGTCGATGCTTCCAAAGAAGGCTTTGGATTGGAAGCAGCTGGTACGGTATCTCGCGTTGGGCCAGATGCTAAAGACATCAAGGCCGGAGACCGGGTCATGTTTATGGGCTACAGTGCGTTTGCATCTCACAGCTACATCCCGGAAAGTCTTTGCGCCAAGATGCCGGACAGTCTTAGCTTCGAAGACGGTGCCACCATGCCTTGCGTATACAGTACCTCGATCTGGTCGTTGTTCCATATTGGCGGTCTGAGGAAGGGTCAGGTGAGTTCCCAACAGGCACGATTTCTGCAATTGGCAATTCTGACAGATCAAAGACTGTTCTCATCCACTCCGCGACCGGTGGCGTCGGGATCTCATCTATTCAACTTGCCTTGATGGTGGGTGCCGAGGTGTTCGCCACGGTCGGAAACGACGAAAAGGTGAAATACCTGATGGAGACCTTCGGCTTGCCTCGCAATCGCATCTTCCATTCCAGAGATACCTCCTTTGTCGAGGACGTTATGCGCGAGACCAAGGGCGAAGGTGTTGATCTGGCTCTGAATTCTTTGTCTGGAGAGCTTCTCCACGCAACCTGGAAGTGCATTGCAAAGTTCGGAAAACTTGTGGAGATCGGCAAGAGAGATTTGCTTGGGGCCGCGAAGCTCGATATGACACCGTTCCTCGACAACAGGTCATACTGTTGTGTAGATCTGGATCAGCTTCTTTTCAGTAAGCCCGCGATGGTCAAAGGGTAAGTTTGATTGATAACCCCAGAACGCGCGACACAACAGCTGAACATCAGGGCTTAGACTGCTCTACGAGGCCATCGAGTATTATCAAGCAGGCCACATCAAGCCGATCCGACCAATCACTGTCATGCCGGCTACCAAGCTGCTTGATGCGTTCCGAACGATGCAGCAAGGCCAACACATGGGTAAGATCGTCATTCGCATGCGCCAAGGGGAGTCTGGAGAACTCGATCTGGATTCTGAGACCAGGATTCAGAAGCGACAAAAGTCTGCCAAGTTCGACGGCGAGGGATATTACTTGCTCGTCGGAGGCCTTGGTGGGCTTGGTCGCAGCATTTCCACTTGGATGATCCAGAACGGCGCCCGCCACTTCATCTACCTCTCCCGCAGTGCGGCCAACTCTGAGCACGAAGATTTCGTGCACGAAATCGAGAGCATGGGCTGCGACGCGAAGATGGTGCCCGGAAGTGTCTCGAATGCTGCTGACGTTTCGCGAGCGGTCGAACAAGCGAATGGACGGCTCAAAGGTGTGCTTCAATTGTCCATGGTCTTGCGTGATCAAGCCTTCCAAGAGATGACCATTGATGAGTGGAACGCCGCAAGTGTTCCCAAAGTCGAGGGGACATGGAACTTGCACCAAGCCACGCTTCAGGAGAAGTTGGATTTCTTCTTACTCTTCAGTTCGCTCACTGGACAGATTGGGACGCCGGGCCAAGCCAGTAAGTATTCCGAAATTTGTTCAGAGATCCAAAGAGGTGCTAACTCCTCGTACAGACTACGCCAGTGGTAATACGTTCCTGGACGCATTTGCGCAGTATCGTAGCTATCTCGGCTTGCCGGCCTCCGTCATAGATATTGGTGCTGTCCAAGAGATTGGATATCTCGCTCGGAACGAGAAAATCTCTCAAAGACTGGAGGCCACCGGGATGCTTGGCAATGTGTCTCGAACTGTGTTACTGAACTGCGTAGATGCCGCGACGACCCACTTCTCCAATGCTTCAAACGAGCCGACCAATGGAGGTGCCACCTTTGCCTCCAGGAGAGGCTTCACTTTGGGACTTGAGTCTGATATTCCTTTGAACTCGCCAGAAAACCGCATCATCTGGAAGAAAGACATGCGCATGGCAATCTACCACAACGAGACCGGTGATGGTGGAGATGGCTCTGGTTCCTCAAACGATGCCCTCAAGGCTTGGCTGGCCCATGCGCGTCACGACGTGGATCTCTTGAAGTCTGCTGAGACGCCTGTCTTCCTCGCCACGGAGATTGGGAAGAAGATTTTCAGTCTGCTTTTGAGGCCTGACGATGAGGTGGACATCTCGGCTTCTCTAGTGAGCCTTGGGATGGACAGTTTGGTGGCCCTAGAGATGCGAAGCGTAAGTTCTTCTCGTCTCGCATCATTCCAGAACCGGACACTGACAGCCTCGCAGTGGTGGAAGCAGGTCTTCGCATTCGATGTCTCGGTCCTCGAGATGATGAATCTCGGAGCGCTCGATGCTCTCGGCAAGCATGCCGCTGAGGTCTTGATCAAGCAGGCGGAAGGCGATGGCGAAGAGGAGCAGAACGGCAGCCGATGATCACTTCTGCTTGCATGATGGATACGTGGAGAGGGCGTAGATCATGGATTGCAGTGGGAGGATGTATGTTTTGATGTTAACCTCTGAGATTGACGCGTCGATTTGAGATCCGCGCTAGTCCGCGTATCGGACCGACGCGTCTACGCACGTGACTGTGTTAAACCTTTTTCCCCATCTTACTCGCTTGCATACTTCCAATTTCTCTTGTCCACTTATCAATCCTCATCGCGTTCGCTAATTAGTACGGCATCAACAATGGAGCCGCAAGTTTCTGAATCCTGACCGCAGCACAGCTGCACAACCGGTCCTGAAACAAACAGTCTTGCTCACCAACGGCATCGAATGAAGCGTTTTCGCATCTCGAAATGCTATCTCGGCGGCTGCTACCTTTATCCCACTCTGTGCGGCCATGTCTCTTGACTAAATCCTCAGCACGACAATTACGTCCCGCCGCGGGGAGACGTTGTACTACCGGGCGTTGGACGCTCTCGACAGAGGTCGTGAATGCCCAGGTCCCTGTCGCATCCGCGATGCTGCAAAGGGAGAATCGAGCAGCCAAGAGAAGACGTCTTTACTTCGATCGCTCGACTCCAGCATGCAGATCTTATTTTCTGGTGCTTTCTTGGAGACTACTGGGTCGACCAGCCGCCGATTATATCCACCCGAATGCATCCCAGTAGACCTGCGCAGCAACGCTACCTTGCGAATTTTCATCCAACGGAACCGTCATTATCTTTGGAGAACTATCCACCGAATCACATGGGCATCCCAGCATTTCGCTCCAAAAACCCCACAATCTATTCAGGCCCTTCTGTGAGCTCAAATCCATCTATATCCAGGTACTGCGAGAGATTTCGACGACTTACGTTGTTTGCCTCTTGGCTTTCGCCTATCAAGATACGAGTCTTTGTCCTGGAATAGCTTCGCCGCTTCACTGGTTGCCAAACGAACCCCCGTTGCGCCGCCTTGCCTCCAATCCACACCGATTATGACCAGCGTAGTCGAGAAGATCCACATTACTGCATCCTGGAAGAATGCTGGGTCGAGTATCGGCGCTGAAAATATTCGTCTTAAAGAGGCCTGGCATAAAGGAGAAGCATTTCACCGGTGACTCCGCGTCGGAATGCCTTTGTGCTATGTTTGTGCCGCCCTCGCTGGTGCAATCTGCTTCGACTTGGACTGCTAATACCGACCCACGTCTTCTCCAACGAATGGAAGAGTAGGAATGTGGGAGCCGCGCTCAACCTTCATCTTAGTCTTCGACAAGGTGAAGTCATCACTAGGGAGTCCAAGGAAGCTTCCAGCACTGGCTGTGAAGATGATGCGAGCTCTCGGGCTGAGTGGGGGCTCCAGAAGCCGCGTGAGCAAGAAACTGCGTAGGAAGTTGACTTGATAGGTTAGCTCGAAGCCATCTCTGGAGAAATCACTGGCGCCGTTTGTATCCTCACAATGCCGGCATTGTGTAACAAGAATTGAAATGGTCCTCTGTCCCATTTTCCGGCAAGACTGCGTACTGAGGCCAAAGATTCGTTGTCAAGTACCACAATCCCGATCTGGGCATTGGGGCAAAGCCCCAGCTCTTGTTGTCTACGTGAGAGAACTTCCGGCAACGCAAATTCGCGCAGCTGCGTCCAATTTCGAGGTCGTGCGTGTGGTCTGCGCGCGACCTCGTTGCATATTCCGAAGCGCTTCAATCTCGCCTCGACCTTCTGTCGTACCACCTCATCGGCCGTGATCACTTAGGCGCCCACCCAGCATCTCGGAGCTCTCTCGTCGGACAATGACTAGCGACCAGCTATTCGGATCATTGTCGCACGACGATTTACTAATCTGGTCTTATAGCCTCCGACCACGACGCGCTAAAGAACCGCCTTCGGCTTGACTCTATGCTACACTAGCAGTCCACAACGACATTCCTGGCGAATATTGAGGAGCCAGGTAGAGGAGATGGACGTACAGTATCACACTCTGTCACAGCGCTCTGCAAAGGCGTTCGATTGTCGGGATCCGCAGCCTGGTCGCGTCAACACTGCACGTAGGAAGGCAAGAGAGGTCTCGCGAGCTACATACCGCCGCGTGCATAACTCGGTCCCATCACCAAGCGGTATCCTTTAATCGAGCGCTCGGAACGATATAACGCTGCCGTTCGAGCGCTCGCAATGACGTAACGCTGTGCCAAACATGCTCCGCCACTATGGCGTGGCCGTATTGGGAGTGGCGACGTGAGCCAAAACCAACACATCCATTTGTTGGTGGATCCATTCGGCAGCCAAGAAGGTCCCATCATTCGCTCTGGCCAGGGAGCCCAAGTGTCCAGCAGCTGCTTCATAAGTGATGGACAAAGCAACCGCTGCCTTTGTCCCTGCGCCGCCTGATGTGCCTTCAACTACCTTCCATAGAAACCCTTCCGACCACTGCCCGACAATTCCGTACCTTCACACCAGGTGCATATGGCGTACTCAAAAGTCGAAGGCGGACGCGAGACCGCCGTTGCCTCGCGCTGCCAAAGAGAGACCGCCCGCATCCAGTTAGACCTTCCTCTTAAGGACTTGCAACAAAATTCCAGCCTCTCAAAAAGCAGGCGGATGTAATAGCGCCGCAAAGAATCGATATCCTGGAAGGCCCGTCTATACCAGCATCTAGTCGCGCGACCGACTTGATTCGCGTTCCGGCTCAGTACCCAAAGATATTGCAGCGAACGGAAGTCATTGAAAGGTCATCTGTGTTTCCTTTCTGCCGCCGCGCAGGGCATCGGGCATCTAGAAGACCACATACGTTCTCTTTCTGTCGGGACGCAATACGTCGAATCCATCCAAGGCCAGCTACACCCGTTCCCTATTCGAGCGTCGCGCTCGATTCAGAGTCTACGAGCTTCTTCGGGGCAATGTACAAAGCGCACTCCAAATTCACCAGCTCTCGGCCTCACACCGCATCTGCCATCCGGCACGAGCGTAGGGCCTGGCTCGTCTCCCTTATGCGAGCAGATGAAATGCAGCGACCGTACTGCAGAGAGCAGGCGCAGTCAAGAGATAATCAGCGGCATCAATTGTCGATGCAGAACAAGAAGCACCCGGAGTCTGGCCGTGGATAATAGTTCTAAAACGAACCATGCCGCAGTGTACATCGCCCACGCCCACTCGGTGCACGCATCTGCGCTTACTGGCCTATACTCTGTCGCGTTCATCGCATGTGGGAACATTCTACGACATGGCGACTTAATTTGAAACCTACCGGCAGAAAACGAGATGTACAAGTGATTGATATTCCATTATGAACGTCGCCGGATCTGCTATGATCTTCCAATCAGACCTGTGCCGCATCCTGCACGAGTCGGTGCATTTCCCAGTCACTAAATCATGCAGTCTCGGACACAACCAAAAAATGGCGAAGGATAACAATGTCGTCCTCGAAAGCTGAAGGGGGTAGCAGCAGAGTTGGCATCTCCGTTACTGACCCGCGGCAAACTCCCAGGGATCGCACGTCGGTCGCAGAAGCTCATCAACGACAGCTGCTCGGCCGCAGGTCGTCCGGTAGATGTGCTCGAACGAGTTCAGCACGTGAGTATGACCGGGTTGCTCGCCTCCGCGTCTCGACTAGGTGACAAGACATGGTGTCGCAGGAGGCTGACACGCGTCTTGCGGCTCTGCTCTACTTGCTCGCGATACTGCCGCGCAGAGCACCGTGGCCTGCGCTCCCGAATGTACGCCGCCGCTTGCGCGATAGCCAGCGGTATGCAATCGAGTGCTCGTACCAGTGGGCGGTCGTCAGGACTTGGCTGTTCAAGCCTACCCTCGAGCAGCGTCTCCGCCTCCCCCTCGCTCGTCGGCCACACGTCAATTATGTCGACCTCGAATACCAGCTTCTCCACAGCCTCGCTCCTGCTCCGGCTCGTGATCACCATCGACCCGTGCTCGCACGAGGGAATGTAGTCGGTCCGCCTGTGCGATGGGTGCTCGTCACTCCGCACCGCGGACGAGTCTGGCACAAACTCGGCGTCGTCTGCATTGTCCAGCACGAACAGCCAGCTACCTTTACTGCTACACCGAAAGAGCTGCAAAACGTCCGCCTTCGAATCTTTTCTCCCATAGATCTTCAGCAATTCAGCAACATCACCCACTCTCTGCTCGAAACACGCCGCACTGCCCGCGTGGAGCCACAGCACCCACGTCTGTGGTAACCGCCGCCGCAGCTCCTGCGCATACTCGATTGCAAAGCTGCGATCTTCTGAGAGAGTATCCGTCCAGCCGTTGAGGACGCTCCGTACGTGTCTCAGCCCACTCCGCCCAAGCCCCCAAGCGTGACCCTACTTGCCGACACCTCGAGCGTGGTACGGATCTGGTCCGTTAGCGCAGGATGCAACTAGCTACTCCGTCGACGTTTCCGCTGAGCTGATTTCTCCAGGAGGTCGCTATGAGGGGATGGGGAGCGTGGGCATTGAGGAAGAGTAGGGTTGATGGTGCTGATCTCGGGATCCAGTCGAGCGACCGAATACTCTTCGGCCTTCTGCATAGAGGCAAGCTTGCGTTCCAGGAAATCTATTTGAGCTTGCGGCGGATTCTGTAGGGCGCGATAGCCTAGGAGCGCGCGTGAGAACATCTCCTTCGCCTCGACTATCCTTCCTTGGTCCTCGTAAAAGACGCCGAGATTGAAAACGACTTCCCGCGTCGACGTACGCTCCTGCTTTGATTGCTCCTGCTCCGTGCCCCATGCTTTCTCGTAGCCTCGTAGCGCTCGTAGGAACATCTCCTCCGCCTCGTCTATCCTTCCTTGGTGGAAGTAAAGAACGCCGAGATTGTTAACGGTATTTAGTATCGACGTGTGCTCCGCGCCGTATGCTTTCTCGTACCCTCGTAGCGCTCGTAGGTACATCTCCTCCGCCTCGACTATCTTTCCTTGTTCTCTATATAGTGTACCGAGATTATGAACGGTAGCTAGCATCGACGTGTGCTCCGCGCCGTATGCTTTCTCGTAGCCTCGTAGCGCTCGTAGATATATCTCCTCCGCCTCGACTATCTTTCCTTGTTCTCGATATAGTGTACCGAGATTATTAACGGTAACTAGCGTCGACGTATGCTCCGCGCCGTATGCTTTCTCCTTCCCTCGTAGCGCTCGTAGGAACATCTCCTCCGCCTCGACTAGCTTTTCTTGGTCGGCGTATAGGATACCGAGATTATTAAAGGTCTCTAGTGTCGACGTATGCTCTGCGCCTAATGCTTTCTCGAACCCTCGTAGCGCTCGCAAGTACAACATTTCGACTTCTCCTGAGCGCTCCCACCTTGCAAGAAAGAGCGCGACATCATAGCACTCTGTCGATATGTCCTCGTCGTCATCCTCGATCAACATCTCCGCTCTGCCACCAAGGGCTTTTGCATGAGCTGCCAGGCGAAGACCTGTCTCTGGAGATCCTACTTCCGGAAGTGTTTCTGCCATTGCTGCTACAAGCCGTAATGCAGTTGAAAGTAGCTGCTGCTCCGCTGTCGTTGTCTCGATGTTGTACGCGCACCACGCATGTACGACCGGATGGATCGAGTGCCGCACACTTCCAGTTCCCATAGTTACCATCGAGTATTGCACCAGAATGCTAACGGAGTGCTGCAGAGTAAGCTTAGTCGCTTGCAAAAGGGGGTCTGCTTCTCGCAGGTCTTGTTGCGTAACAGTATCCTTGCCTGCCAGGACTAGCTCTATCCACAAGTCGCCGCGGAAGAGGAAGGCCCACAGGTCGAGCAGCCGCGCTGCGAGTGCGTTAGTGCTCCTTACCTGCTCGTACGACATCTTCCACGTCGTGAGCACACTCCGCTCTGCGTACTCTTGTAACGGAAACTGCTCTTGATACCGCATGAGATCCGCCCATGTCTCGTCGTAGTAGCTAACATACTCCGACACCGTGATGCCCGTCGCAGCGAGGTACGAGCCCGCCTGTACGAGGGCCAATGGCAGACCACCGAGCTTAGGGAGCAGGGTCTCCAGGTCTGTCGTAGCTGTTAGTCATCCTCAGAATGTATGTATGATGACTTCGTGCACGCACCTTGTACCTGCTTGCCTGCCCGTGACTCCACCATCTCTCGTGCCACCTGATCATTCACGCTCGCGAGGCCTAGGCTGGCATTCCGCCGACGAAGCCGGGCGAGGCGTGTGGTTACGAGGATGCTACCGTGGTCCGCTTGGGCAGGAACTCGCTATAGTTAAATGCCTGCGGATCCTTCGCTTGAGACTGCCAGTCACGGTCCACATTATCGATGATAAGCAACCAGTCCTTGTTGTCCGGCAGAGCAAGCCACTGCAGGAAGCTTTCGCTCATCTGGGCTGAGTCGGCACCCGCACTTGGAGTCTCTATTGACTGCTGCCCCTTATTGATCGGCAATCGCAGAGCTGCGCTGAACATCGATTGTCTAAGCGCATCCCTCGAGGACCCATCCAGCCAGAACACAGCGCTGAATTGTTCTCGGTACATCCGCGCAAACTCTGCGCAAAGCTGCGTTTTGCCGCTGCCGCCCATGCCATGCACGACAAACACCCGCTGTTGCCGAGCTGTCGCAGTAGACCGGAAGTAGGACGTCAGATGCTGCATGTCCGCGTCTCGTGGTACGAAGAAGTCAGTAAAGGGGATACCTCTACGACTGAACGGAACGCGATACTGATCCTGCGCTGTCCCTGCTGTCAAATTGCCCTTCTTGGACACCTTCTGCAGAAGCCGTGCCCATGTCTTCTCCTTGCCGTCGCCGTACCTAATGTTCATGTTCACGTCTAAGATGCCCAGGAGGCAGTATGAGAGGTCTTCCCCTCGTGTCGTCTCCCTGCCCGTCATCCAATTCATCTTCTTATCAGTGTCTAATTCTCTGCTCGCCTCGTAGTCGCGCAGGACGTCCTCCGGGATGTTTGTGATCATCGCAATGCGGCTCTCTAGCAATGGGCCCGTCTGCACTGGTATCCTGCTTCGGCCATAGCCGCTGTGTCCCTTGTGCCCGATAACGTCCCAATCTTTAGAAAGGAAGACGACCAATCCCGGTGCTAGCAGCTCCTGTAGTGTCCATCCTCGCTTGAACCAGACGCTCCCCTTGAAAGTCGCCACGTCGTCCGTCGTCGTCACGTCTTCCAGATACGCAAGACATACTTCCGCATCCCGGTACCACCGAAACATCGAGTTGATCGCCTCTGAGAGTTCGCGGTCGGAGTTCTGCTTAATGCAGCAAGTGTCGATCCACAGCCATTTCACGAATGGGATCTGGGTCTTTATGTAGCTCACAAACCCTTCCACCTTCCGGTATCCTGCTTTACCCGTGTCCTTCTGCTGCTGTACGTCCTCCCACATCGCTTCCTTGCCCGCGAGCCATCGGTGCGACGCGATCGCGTAGGGCGGCGGCTGGACGCCGAAGAAGTCCGTGAACGTGAACGTGTCCACGTTAAGGAGGCGCATGTTAGGTGTCGAATTCGCGATGAGTCTCGTATCGGTCGGGCTAAGAGAGATCAGTTCAGAGAGATGGAGTCATGCCGGAGATAGACACGACGGCAAGAGCAAGTCACTGCAGCTCTGTGGATCAGGCTGCGCACGTCTGCACTCGACACAGCCTCATCCGCGAGGCCGCTATGGAGCTGCCGGCTGCGAGAGGCATGCATGACATGCCGCAGAGCCATCATGTCGCAAATGTGCATTCTGTTGCTGTCTGAATCTGCCCCTACAGCAGGCAGACGAGATGCAATTGTGTACGCCGTGCGCCAACGTAGGTAGTAGAGTGACGATGAAGATTATCGATAGGTTTGGGCAGCAGGGAATAGGTGGAATGATTTCGTCTTCCTTGGCCCCAGCTCGTGTGTTGCAAGCATGCTGGATAGCGCTGGCTGTGCTGGGTAGTGCTGGATATCCGCATCCGGTTAGTGCCTTGGCAATCTCGTATATAGCTCCACCCTTCTGACCTACCTTAGATGCATCATCGAACTCCCTTGAATTACCTCCGCATCTAGGACAGAACTTACTCACCAGGGCAACTCCAAGGAATCCCAAGGCCGTCAAAGCACTCTGGAGCATCGGCATCCCTCTCAATCTTCGAGGTTGCTGTTTGTCTGAGAGTTTTCAGAGCCGCTAAGGTCTTCGCAGATAGTCGAAAACCTCGGAAGCGAAGCCTTCCCAGACTCGTCGACTCTGTCTAGCCCTGTCAGCGTTGACTTCGCAACGTCCGTCACTGCAGACCGGAGCTCGCTTGGAAAATCCAGCTGGCTAATTTGCGGGCCCCGACACTCACGTGGACCGGAACATTGTCAGTCTCAAGGGCAATGTACTGGAAAATCGCATTGTGCTTCACTCAGTGTGTGGATATGGTTCTGGATGTGTTCCTTGAAGCATATGGAGCTGCCCTGGCGCCCCCCACGGAATTGGCGTTCCGCTTTTTCGAAGCTCTGATTGGCCCTCTTTACAAATATCCTATGCTACATCCTTCTGCTCCAATCGCAGTTTCGAGCATTTCATAAACAGTGGACTCCCCAAAAGATGAAACACTCTATCCAAAACGATTCCTGCATTCTACATACAACTCACGACTTATAATCATACACAGTCGTCATGGTCAGGACATCATTCCCCTTCTTCGACACAATCCTGCGCACATGTCTCCTCTCGCCATCCAGAACGGCAAATCCCCAAACCTGCGTCGCACTCCAACCATTCGTCTTGGAATCCGTGTGATCCAGGATCACGTCTCCATCGTCCTCTTCGATCCATCCTTGCTTGAGGAAATCGTCTTCGATGTCTGTGTTCTTAATGTACCTACGCCAGTGTCAGAGAAACAACTCCCTCGGCTACAAGGTTCGAAGGTAACGCACTTGGTGAACCCGGTAGTGGGGCCCCAAAACATGATCTCTACTTCAATCAAAGCTCCATTCATGAAGCGAGGTTCAAACTGTCTGACGCCGCCGGTAGAGATCTGGAGTTGGTCCACGCGTGGAATCCCTTCGTCGTCGACGTACTGCGTGAGCTTTACCTGGATGTCGCTGTATATTGCTGCTTGGCGGACGAGCCATGGGATGCCTTGCATTTTTAGCATCGGGTTGATAGATTTATGGTCGGAGAGTTTCTTGTTCATGACGAAAGTACCATTGAGGTTGTGGATTGAAACAGTTGATGGTGCCGCCATGGTGATGGTTGGTGATCTTGCTTTCGATAAAGACGGAAGTATTTTGCACAGTGTCGTTTGCGAAGTGATCTCAATGCTAACCGTTGTTCAGAAAGGCCGTAAAGGTCCCTGGAAGAAATTCTCCCTACCCCTTCATCCTTCATGTCTCTCGCTTCAGAGTGCAGGGCCTCTGAATGTTCAACGAAACTCCAAGTGCGCTCCTCCATTTCTATCAATAGAACACTTAATCTCCCGATGGCAATGATCTGTAAGCAAAGCCAGTAGCGGATTCACGGCGCGCGGAATCCCTCTGATCTTCACCAACAGCTCCACTACCAAATTCTCATACCACAGCCCTTTATCGAATTTTCTCTGCACTTCTTCCTCCAAGTTCGAGAGATGAGGAGCAGTGTCAGGGCTGAAATCTTGACCCTCTGCCTTGATCAATCTCACTCACTTTCGCTCTTTCGGCGCCAAAAGCTATAGAAACCTCCTCGAGCTTTGCAGTGGATGCAATGCACTCTCACTCAGATGAAAACAATCGACGCTTTTGAACCAGAAATTCCGAAATTCCGTCCCGAAAAGTCGTGAGACGGACGACAACGTTGTCAGCAAGTTTCTTGCAATTACGGCTGCGAGACGTGTCAGAAGATTATTGTTTAAGCGACTGGGATTGGAAAGGACGTCGTTTTCGCCCAGCAAAGCTTGTGAAGAAAAGTAATCTTTCACGATATATACATATATCTGATTGCGAAGTTCGTATCGCAGATCAAAGAAGTCAGCGCCCGTTGTTCAGTGTTCGAAATCCGAGGGTCCAGTGGGGAGAAGGTTGCGGCGAGATCGGTCAAGATTAAAGGAGCTGAGATTCAGGTTCAGATTCAGATGGGATTGGAGAGTCGGTAGTAGAAGACATTGTGCGCAAAGGTTATTCACAAAGTATCCTCGCGGGCCTTGGGGTCAGGCCCCTCTAAGATATACAGATACCGTGCCATCTCATAATTGGCGGCTTTTGTCAAATACATGAGCTACTTCCTTTTCTGGAACGCAGCCATTAACCGTATGCTGTGTCCTCGAGGCTGTGTCTTCGAGGCTGTGTCTTCGAGGCTGTGTCTTCGACGCTACGTCGCTAGTAGAAGATCTCACGAGGTCGTTTCACTAAGTCAGCAGTGAGAAGGAATGAATACATATAGCAAGGCTTTTCTAGAAAGCGGTGAGATCAAATTTGGAGGCGTGATTTCCACGATAACTAGTCTCGGTGTTGCGTATAGCAATACCATGTGCCAAAATGGTTCCAGAGCCCAGTGATAGCATGACTTTGAACAGCATGAATATAGCGAATGGGATAAACCCATAGTGAATCCGCGTTCATCATAATCCTAAGGGCATCCGAGTTAGCTGAGAGGCTGGCAGAAAGGCAACTTCTTTTGGTGATGCTGTGTCAATCTTGGCGGACCGAATGGGTACCTTGGAGCATTGTAGATTCGGAAGGCCAGCCAAGAGCGATATTGATATACTGAAGGGAAAAAGAAAACAAGACAAACATCGTGATGTGGGAGAAGAGGAGGACGACGGGCTAGAGTGCAGTCAGATTTCCTTGATGCCTGAGGCACGAGCGCTAAAGCTGCGGAGCGGCACCACGATATGCCGAGCATTACATAAACATCTTGGCAAGCACTGTGCTGGAATAACAGTCCGCATTGACAAAGATCTACTACCGCGTTTCCGCGTAACCGATCACCTCATATACGTGGTGTCTGTCTGGTGGTATCTTTCCACCTCACCTCCTCTCTCACAACAACAACACGAGACTTTTCATTGGCACTTGGATGAGATCGCTTACTGTGTGTGAGGAAAATTTATCCGAGATCGTACACATGAGACAGCACTTCAATTCAACGGCTATGTACAAGGGGCCATCCACGCCCATCATCGAGACAGCTCTACTTGGACGTGTCAAGCACGTATCGACCAGCGATCTGGCCCTTGTGCATCAAGTCGTACACGCCCTGCAGCTCGGACAGGCCGACGACCTTGAAAGGTGCCTTGATGACGCCGCGGCGGTAGAACTCAATCGCCTCCGATGAGTCCTTACGGTTTCCGACGTAGGAACCTTTAATCGTCACCATCTTGATCACAGACTCGAAGACTGGAGCCTTGAGGAAGGCGCCGGCTGGCAGACCAATGCAGACGACTGTTCCGCGTGGGCGAACGTACTATTACTGGTCAGCATTCATCTTAGACGCGGTCACTGTGAACTCACCTCAGCGGCCTGCTGGAAGGGCTTCTCGTTGACGGCGACGAGGATGACGGCGTGTGGACCCATGCCGTCTTCTGTAGCGGCCTGGACATCCTTCACGACGTTCTGGCTGGTGGCGAAGTCCACGAAGGCGTACGAGCCAAGCTGCTCCAAGCACATCTTCTTCTTCTCCTCACCACTGTCAATTGCGATGGTGCGAAGACCCATCGCACGGGCGTACTGCTGAGCGAGCGAACCAAGACCACCACCGGCACCAACGATGGCGACGGTCTGGCCTGGCTTAGCGCCAGACTCCTTCAATCCCTTGTAGACCGTGATACCTGCGCACAGGACTGGAGAAATGGCGTCGAGTGGCACATCCTTGGGAATGCGAGCGGCGTGTGCCGCCTTGGCTATGCAGTATTGCTGGAACGAGCCGTCGACGGTGTAGCCGGAGAGGAGCGCCTTTGCGCATAGTGGCTCGTCAGAAGTTTGACAGAAGTCACACTGCAAGCAGGATCCGTTGATCCATTTGACACCAGCGTGGTCACCACTAGGTCGAGATCAGCTTCTGGGCCACCACCCGCACGCTCATGTCTGCTTACAGCTCCCAGTCCTGGACAAGGCTGCCCTTCGCGACGACGACGCCGGCACCCTCATGACCGCCAACAAGGGGGAGCTTCGTCGGTAGCGGCCAATCTCCATTCACGGCGTGGAGATCGGTATGGCAGACACCAGAGTACTTGATGTTGACGAGGATCTCATCTGGCCCTGGCTTCTGGACTGGAATCTGCTTGTACTCGACGGGGCCACCGGTCTTTTCGATGACTTGCGCCCATTGCATCTCAGGGACGGCCATGACGATGGTTGTTGGGACGGGATCTGGATGGATACGGATATAAAACTGCTGGAACGAACGATGCTTGGAGGATGTCGAATCGAGTACTTGTTACTTGTTAAGGAACAAGATTGTGACAGGGAGCGAGCGCCGCGTCTATTTATCCTCTCTGTCAACACCTCATGCTCCTAGACAACAAACCAACCCCACTATCTGGCTTGCGCGAAAGGAGGGGAAGAGGGACTGTCGGTAATCGGCCAGAAGGCCAATGGTCAATGCGCCGTCCGTCCTTCCTGCTGAGCCTTGCTGGAAGAGGCATGAGTCTGACTTGGATGGGGACTCGAACATCTCTCCAGCACGCGCAGTGCGCCATACCAGCAAGTACGAGCCAATGCGGATCGTCTGGACCAGCCCGGTCCCATTGTCTCGACCTCTGCGCCACCCCGGACGGCAGATGCGCAACCAACGTGTTGCTGAGCCAAGGCTCCCTGCAGGATCGAAAGGCTCGAATGCGCAACACTGGCTCCAAAATAATGCTCGGATGCACGGAACGCTGCGGACAGTCGAAGCTGATCCCCACAATTCCAAGAGACGGCGGGTTTCCGGGGCGGGGAAAGCTCTCGTGACAAGCCGCAGCTTCAGCACGAGGCTTGATCTCTCTCACAAAGCTTGCCTAGATGCAGCTTGGTCTCGATGTCTCCCAAGTTATTTGCTCCTGCGAGTTGCTCCTGCTGCGTTTCTGGACAAGGACTTGCAGCTTTGCGCATCTTCGGACGAGCGCAAGGGATGGAGCTTTCCCAGCTCTGCTCGGGCTGCATTCGCTATTCATCACAATGCTCGCATTGGTTCTTGCAGGACGCATCCCTGAGCTGGTTGCCACAATCGTCAAGGCTAAGCCCAGGATCCCAGACCTCCTCCAATGCTCCGGCCCTTGGCCCGATGCAATACGGCGTCTTCGCACAGGGGAGGGATGTTGTCCTTGCGAGAATGTGGGCGAAACGTAGGGCAGCACCCAGTCGGATGGCCCGTGATCGACAACTTTCTGATGTCCGAAGACGCTGTGGCGCTTCTCTATGCGGTCCGGCGGATGCGACTCTGTTGCTAGCTGCTGTGCTCATCCAACGTTCCGCATCTCTCGTGATGGGCGAAACCTTCTTCCCCTGAAGCAGTGCATTCTCCTTGCATCTGAAGAATCTCGTCTCATGATCGGGCCGGAGGACTTCAGCTACGGTGGATAGTGTTGGGCGCCCGCATGGCAAAAACGCCACACGCACAGACGATGTGGTCGGGCTTGCGGATGAGAAAGAGTGTCGAACGGATGGGTTGCCGTAATGGAGCTTCTTCGAGAGCAGGTCGACGGTAAACCAATTTGACAATCATGATGTCGGACACGGGCAGGAGAGGCCCGGCTTTTAAGGCAATCGAAGTGCATCGTAAACACCTTGATGAAAGGACCTTAATGAGACCGCTTCTCTTGACGACTGCACCAAAAGGGTTATGCGTGCGCGCAACAATATGGAAGCTCTGACTCTGTACGCCTTCCCACGATATTCTCTGGACGCCTTGCAAGTTTCTGTTCAACACTCAAATGTCATCTGGCGACATCTCAAGCGGAGTATACCGACGAGAGCCGTTTCCACACGGACTGCAGGTACACGACGACTTTCCCGGCATGAACCTCTAGCTTCCTCATTAGCTCTCCCTCTAGCGTTTCGAGCTCGGATGAAAGGGTCCTGATGAGGGCTGCACTGCACGGAAAGCTACGGCCCAGTACACTGGTGGATTGGGTCTGCTCAAGTTGCCATCGATCGACGCCCCAACTTGGCCAGACCGGGCATCGGGAACCTGGAGGACCTTCGACCGTCCACAGCGTCTTCGCACAACGGGATGATTTCGAAGACTGCTACCGCCAAATTGGCTCTATTCGTCTCGCTGATGTCTAGATTTTCACTAGGATGCTCTAGTGTTCCGATGTGGAAAGATGCTGTACCTGAACGTCAATTGCACTGCACACTTGGTGCCAACATCGTCTCGCAGGAAGATGCGCTGTACCGATATTTACCCCCTCTCACTGCAGCGGTCACCAAGCTGAAAGCCGTTCTCTATCAAGGAGGATGCCCGAGTCCACGGCAATGTCTATTTCAAACTGATCATGTTTGAACGACGCATTAGCGACCAATCTCGCGACTCGACGGGCTCTTCCATGACTGCATATTCTACACACGCTTCTGCTCCCCGCGCGCTAGTCCGGGACTCTCAAAGGTGACGAGAGCTGATGCAGGCGACACTTGGTGCATGTATCTCGTATCTCAGGTACCGAGTTTCAACCTTTTGGCCGGCGCCAGCCTTGAGCTCCAGAGCTTTCTAAAGTCTAAACAATAGCTCCAGCTTTGCCGCGTGACTGCTCACGCCACGAGTCGGGATATCCGTGGAGGAAATAATGTCGATACATGTAATGTCAGTCTCGACGTTCCAAGACAGCGGCATCTTTCTGCATCAAAAACAGAGCTCTGTGCAGTCTTCAGGCCGGCACAGCAGCGGATGAGCGGTCGTCGAGCTCCCCACACCTTCGCAGAAGACGGAACGAACCAACTCTGGGTTGCACGCGCTAGGACTACGCACTTTCGGTGGAGAAGGAATCAACAGGAGTTGTTCGGATACAGAAGGCGACAACATTGCGCCGCGAAGATGGCAGCTTCTACTAATCAAAAGACCACCAACGCTGGCCAGCCGGTGTCCACTCCCGCCACCCCTTCTCCCGGCTCCTGCGATCAAGCCAACGACTCGGAGAAGCGGAACGCTGTCAAAGGCAGCTATTTCAGACGTAGCTCGGTTGACGTGGGCGTCCAGCAACCAAGGCCTAGCCCCGTTCGTTCTTGGAGCACGATGGACATTTGGACCTTCCTGTACCTCTGAGAGATGTCTACGAAGCAAGGAATCTCCACTGCTTGCTGGCGGGGAATTGCAAGCAAATCACTACTGAATTCAATGGCAAAGTCGAGTCTTGTCGCAATCCGCTTCTAACAAATTGGTCAGCCACTGGCAGTTCTGTACTCCCAGGGAGCGATCAATAAGAACTCTGCAGCGCCAAGTTTTCCTGAACGGTCTAGAGCATCAAGTCTTCGCGGCGAACAGTCGCAAATCGCGACAACAATTGCGACAGCTTTGAAGTGGCTCGTTCAGCAATACGTGGACGCAATGGAAGACGTTCGGACCAAGAAACCAGTTGCGACGACTCGACACACTATCGCACGTTCCTGTCGCCTCTCAGCTTGTTCGCAGGACATTTCGAGCATTCAGCGAGCCCGAGTCTTCTTGTTCAAGACCCTGACGTGTCTATTTGTCTCATACGTATTGGAAGGAAGCCAACCGCTCGGGCCATCGCAATTGTTGCATCAATGTGGTAAAGCAATAAGGGCTGGGAAATGATACTCTTGTGCCAGTCTCATTTGCCGAGAGAAGAGATTGTAACATAGGTTGAGAATGAGATATCACAATCAACAATCAAGTGGTGTGACTCTCCAGCTTCTGCCAGCAACCTGGTCTGGTGTACGAGCGGATGTTCATCCCGCGGCGCATGTTTCTCCATTCGCCTGTTCGGCCCAAGTTGCTCTCATACTTCGCCAAGACTTTCGGGATCTGTTGCCCCGCGCTCAGCTTTTCTTCCCCATGGGGACGACGGCTATTGAAGCCTGGACGGTTGTACCATGTCGGCTTTTGAAAATAAACATGTCAACCACACGTCTTCACATTATTGTCCACTGCTACATGGACGCTGTTCTTCTTGCTACTTCAGCGGCCGTGAGGAGAGTGAACCGACCTCATCTTTCGAAGAAAGCAGAAAAGATTTCATCGGACTGGTCATCATTGTCAATTGAATTGACCCGATCCGACGAGCAACCACAGCAAATACGGCAGAGCCCTGGGATTCACAAACGAAGATGGCCTCCTCCAAACCCATCCTCCTGCACTGCGGCGACGACATCAAATGGAACAAATCCCTCTACAGCACCCTCCAATCCAAATTCCAAATCGTGCGCAGCCACAGCATGTCCCGCGCCGACTTCATCACCGCCCTGAAGAACAAAACCTTCGGCGACTTCGTCGCCATCTACCGACCCTTCTGGGCCACGGGCGGCGAAATGTCGCCCTGGAACCACGAACTCATCGACCTCCTCCCCGCCTCCTGTAAAATCTACGCCTCCGCCGGCGCCGGCTTCGACTGGGTCGACGTGCACGCGCTCGCCAAACGAGGAATCCTCTACTGCAACGCCGGCGCCGCCTGCACGGAGAGCGTAGCCGACACAGCCATCTGGCTGATCCTCAGCTGCTTCCGCGACTTCACCTGGTCGGCCCTCGCCGCACGCAGCTGCCGGGAAGACAACTTCCAAGACGCCCAACGCCGCGCCGCGCTCACGCGCAACCCGCGCAACCACTCCCTGGGAATCATCGGCCTGGGGAAGATCGGGCAGCTGATCGCGCGCAAAGCCCACGTCAGTTTCGGCATGAAAATCCTCTACAACGACGTGCGCCAACTCCCCGGGGAGATCGAACAGGAGACAGATGCACAGTACTACGAGCAGCTGGATGAGATGTTAGGGGTCTCCGACTGCGTCCTCGTCGCGACCCCCTTCGGCGGCGAAGCCGTCCTCGACGCCTCCAAACTCCAGCGCATGAGAAAGGGAAGCCGCCTCGTGAACATCGCCCGGGGCAAACTGATCGACGAAGCCGCTCTCATCTCCGCTCTGAAATCGGGCCATCTCTCCGCCGCGGGGCTGGATGTGCATTTCGACGAGCCCCGTGTGAACCCGGAATTGGCGGGGATGAGGAATGTGGAAATGCTGGCGCATACGGCGGGCGCGAGCGTGGATAGCCATGTGGGGTTTGAGACGTTGGGGATGCAGAATATTTTGGGGTTTTGGGAGACGGGGCGGGCGGTGAGTGCGGTGAATGCGCATTTGATGGAGGGGGAGGAGAAGGCGAGGTTGTGAGAGGAGGTTCATAAGCGTTCGTTTTGCACATGTCTGAAAAGCATCATCATCGTATAGAACGTATCTATCATATCCGGCCAAGAATGAAAGTTTTTTCAAGAAGAATTTTGTCAAGATTCTTATATCAATCGCATCGATATCGATATCGATATCGATATACCCACATCTTCATACCATACATCATCATCATAAATAAAATCCCGAATCTTGTGATCCGCCCAACGCCCAACGCCTCTATCATTTATAACCTCATACCCAGCCGTTAACCCATGCCTCTGTACAACAAAGCGCCATCGCTGAAGTGTTCATGTGACCCATTCATTTCAATCAGAACCCCAAAAAACGCCACCATAAACCATAACCATACACCCATCATTCCTGTTCGTAATTTGCTTTCTCACTTTCATTTCACAATTGCTGTCGGGTATACATAGATCGCTGTCTCCACACGGGTCCATACCGCCAGACGAGAACCGGCAGCGGCACGATACAAGCCGTAACGAGCGCTAAAACTCCAAAAGCATTGCGGTAGCCCATGCGGGAGATGAGATCGCCCGTGACGAGGGGCAGGATGGTACTCATGAGGCACCGCATGACGACGACGGCCGTCATGGCAGAGGCCGAGTACAAGCCGAAAGCGTCGACGACGTAGGCGGTGAGGGGAAGGCATCCGAGGAGGGTGCATGCGCCCATGGCGCCGACGGTGAGGAGGCAGACGGGGAGGGGGAGGCGCGCGGAGGGGACCCAGCCGTAGGAGAAGACGACGACGGGCAGGAAGGCTCCGCCGAGGATGGCGAGGGGGAGGCGGAATTCGGGTCTTCCGAGGCCGGCGTTCTTGTCGCGGAGGCCGGTGTAGATGCGGTCGAGTGTGCGGTTGCAGAGAATGATCATCATGATACAACCCGCGCTGAAGGACAGGAAAGACGCGCCGACTGTCGAGGGCGAGAGGCCGTAGATGTCACTCAGGATCTCCGGGAGGGTGGTGGCCACGACGTACCAGTACGCGAAGCTCAGCGCTCCAAAGAGGCTCAGGACCTGCAATACACCCGATTTGGACAGGACCACGACCGGTCGCAGCAGAGTGCCCATGATGGTTGGCTTCTTCTCCAATTCCGTCCCTTGGACCTCGTGTATGCTCTTGAAAGCCGAAATCTGCGTGTCCTTCCTCAGCCGCTCTGCCCGCCTCGCGAGGATGGTAACGGCAAAAGTCTCCTTGAAGAAGATCAGGAAGAAGACTTCGCACAGCCCCGCCATGGAAGCTGCAATCCAGAGCACAGATCGCCAACCCAAGTTTTCAGCGATGATCCCAGCAACCGCGGGCCCGACTGCTCCTCCACACATGGGTGCGAAGATGAGAATACTCATTGCGGCCCCACGTTCCTCGGGAGGGAACATGTCGCCGACGATGGCCGGATTCAAAACACTCGCGGAGTTACTCAGTCCGCTGAGGAACCGGGCTCCGATCAGGGTGGGAATGGAAGGCGCGAACGAAGCGAGGATTGTTGACGCCGTGAACATGATGTTGGCCGTGTTGACGACGCGATAACGGCCGTACATCTCGGAGAGAGGAGCGAGGAAGAGGGGACCGATTGCCTCGCCGAGTTCCCAGATGGTCACGAGGAGGACGGTCGACGAGGCGGAAGAGGCAGCACTACCGCCGAGTTCTTGGATGATGGTGTTGGCTACAGGAACCAGGGAGACGCCCGTGAACGCTCTACAGACCGCTGTCAGTGGGGAAGTCTCTCTCGGCGTTGTGGGTTGACGCCGAAGACGACTTACACGGTGGAGGAAAACAACGCAAGCAGGAAGACGGCGGTCCATTTGTACGCCTTCGGCCAGTAGATGGGATTCTCGGTATCGTCGGGTCCCTCAAAGTCGACGACATACTTGTACTCGTTCTCGTTGCTGCCATACGTGGAAGAAGCCGCCGAGTCGCCTCGCAGGAGCGGTGTCCGTTCCGACACGGTCACCAGAAGGCCCGCCTTCTTCGAGAGAGGTTGTTCGGTTGTTGTCGCCATTCTCATGCCAAATCCTATCTTCCAAAACCAGCGAGAAACCAAACCAAACCCACGATCCAAGGAAATGAAGAATGAACCAAGAGGTGCGTCGTTGTTGTTGTTGTTGTTGTTGTTGTCGGAGAGGAAGGAAGAAAGCAAGACAGAAGGAAAGTCGATGATCTTCACCAGTCGGGACATGTGGAGCGGCGGTGTGGGACCCTCCAGCGATCGACGCGAGGTTCGGCCCATTGGTCATTGGTCATTGGTCATTGGTCATTGGTGCATCTCGTTGAGATCTCGCATCTCAAACCCATGTACCCCGGCTTCCCCGATCTCCCAAAAAGGGAAAACTGATGATGCAGCCCCAACGCCGTGCTCACATCTATCCAGAGTCCTGTCCTGTCCTGTCCCAGTGCAAGTGTGTCGACAAAACGCCGCCACTGTCTTGATAAGAGTCGGTCGTTGTTGTCATTGTGAGGCAGTCCCTTATCGAATCGTCGGCGCAGAGTCTATCTGCGACTTCTCGATGCTAGCCGAAGTCTATCTGCCACATCCGAAGCTCCTCCGCGGCACTTTGCTTCTTGTTGTTGTGTACAGTACATAAATCAAAAGCAGGTCTGCCGCCGGAAGCAGAGCGTAGCGTGCAGCACTCAGAGCCGCAGAGCGGCAGTCCCGCCCACCGAATCCTTCGATACTTCGTTCGATACTTCCAGAGCTCTGCCTTCTCCATCACAGCAAGTGCACACAAGCACAAGCACAAGCACCTGCAGGCAAGCAATCAGCCTCCGTTCGCCCCCGGCCGGCTTACGAAGCATTCGAGACCCGCGTGAAAGCCCGAAGGGTGCTGCTCCTGTACGTGTACGTGTACGTTACTTCGGAGCTCTTGCAGCCGGCCGGCTGGCTATCCAACAGACCAGCAGCAGCCGAGGGAGATGCCGCGTAACAAGGGAGTCGGTGAGAGAAAGGAGCGGCGCGGTGGAATCTGCTGTGAGAAGGACTTTGCTACTTACTTACCTACCCTACCTAGACCTACTGCGGAGACTCCATGCTAGCGGGTGTGGAGAAGTTGCGGTGGATGGAATGTGAGGCGAGCAGTCAGTAGTTTGGGGACTGCGTCGAAGAGCATGTTGTTGTTGATGTGAGAATGAGCACGCGTGCAATCCTGACTTGTTGGGAAAATCTGTTTCCACTGTCTTGGGATAATGCCGCGACTACCCGCTTGAGATCTGCCGCCATCATCCCATGCATGACCTTGATGCTTGTTGTTGCGCTCAGAGACAGCGCCGACGCACAAAGCCAAAGCCCGCGGGCGGCCGCGCTGCCGGCACTGAGCTCTCCACCTCCGCCCACTACCTCATGTGCCGCTCGCAAGCTCCATCATGCCATGACCATCATGAGGCCTGGCGGATCATGATGGTGGGTATATCGCGAAGAATCAATGGCAACTCGCCCAGTCCGTCCTTACGGCCTTCGGCCTGCTAGACGCCCTCGGCCGTGAATTCCGGATCAACTTTACTCTGCTTGAAGAGACTCTTTCCCCGCAGCCACTGTCGATACGCCTTGTATCGTTTCTTCCCCCCATCTTCCTCCGTCACCGTCAGCGGGTCGACTTTCTCCTCCACAAAGTCCCAGTAGTCCTGCAAGTCCGCTTCTCCCACCCCTCCGCCAAACGTACTGGCCTCTTCGCTGTCAAAGTCTTCGAAATTGCTCCCCCCGGCTTTGTTCACATACTCAATGTAATCGATGTTGGCATCCGACGGGAGCTCGCTCGATGTCACCAGCGGCAAGTTCTGTGGGTGCGTGATGTAGCGGGCATACTCGCTGGCTTCGTCATCCGACACGTGCGGATTGAGCGATTGTGTGTGGAACTGGTTGAGCGTCCACAGGTGCATCTGTGCTTTGTCGGCCGGTCGGAACGTCTTCTGTGAGCTTGCGGATGGTGGCCGCGATGCGCCGTGCGTCTGCGGTGGCAGCCTTCCATAGACTGTCTCTCTCAAGATGCTGGGCTTGTCCTCTCCAGCAGTCATGGGCCTTGGCTCCCGTTCGGGACGCTGTGTCCCCTCCGCAGGTGGATCTTGAGGGTCGACGATTTTAACGCCTTTCCGCGGTGGTTTCGTCTTTTCCGGCGACTCCAGGTGCCTGTGCGGATCCGCGCGGCGCACAAAGGGACTGAAGTCCCACTTGTTGTCCCCATACGGTCTATCAGGATAGTAGCGTTGCGTCGAGGTCATACGGTATGAGTACACTTTCTGCAGGGATGAGAGTGCTGCGGGTCTGTAGCATTCTTTCCAGTAGTCATCGAAAGCGCAAACGCCTTCAGATGTCAGCTCGTCCAGATCGCGGGCCAGGCGCGGTGGTATGACTCGTCGCTGGAGAAACTCCGGCGTGTACCAGTAGATGTAGTTCCGCCTGTTCCTCTCCAACCATGCCTTGGGATCGCTATGATGCAGATAGTAATCGGTCGGCAAGTCCCAGAGCATGGGTTGTCCTTGAGCCCAGATGTAATTGCCAAGGAACAAGTTGTAGGCTTCTTGTCGTTGACTGTCAAGGAAGGAATTGTGGTAGTAACGCTTGAAGCTCTCCACCATGTCTCTCGATGAGCTGTGCCAGTGGCTCAACTTGCGATACGTAGTCATGGTGTTGACCAGGTGCGAGCCTCCGTACTGCATCGCAATGTTGTCGCCATGGTCATGAAACATCGCGGTGAAGAGGTTGATCGCGTCGGTATCGTAGGCAACTTCATCCGTGTTGATGACGCCAAGCACCTTCAATTGCTGAGCAAACGCATGCTTTCCGATGACGAATTGCGCAGCGTTAGTTCGATCAAGACAATCGATACAATTTGTCCTGGCAATGCCGTTCTGTACCTGGGGCTCTTCGTAGCCCTGCTCTCCAGTGTGGAAGAACCCGGTACGCGCAAGGATGTCTCTTGCGATGACCTCGAGCCCCCCTATCACATCACTATTGCGTGTCTTGGCAGCTCTTGCCATGTCATAGGCTCGATAGAGGATCTTGCTGTCTTCGGGTAGCGACTGGTTGAGGTAGTTGATGCAGTCTTGGTACTCCGAAAGAAGCTTCGACTCTCGTGGCACCTTCTCACGGGCTTTGATCAGGTTGAGGATGTAGATGGGACAGCCATAGCGCTCGAACAAATTGTCGAAGTGAAGCGCGGCGGGCGAGTAGAACGGGTCGCTCAGGTTGATGTCGATCCCAGGCTTCGGTGTGACACCGCTGTTGTCTTGTGTCCAATACAGCGGGATGCTGCCCCTGTGATGTACGTAGGAGGTGTATGTTGGATTGGCATAGAGTCTTGGTCCTGGTGCATGCAGGGACGTCGTGAGCTTGTCGGCCACAATCTGCTCTGTCTCGACGTCGTTTGCCACATAGCCCGAGTCGTTCACACCTCGTTTCAAGAAACGAGCACCAGCAAAGAAGCGCGAGCGTCGCCCGATAATCGTGACGTAGATTGTGCGGCCGAAAACATCCAAAGCTGCTTGATCCAAGAAGCCGTGTATGATCGGAAAACACCAGTCGTATGGATGCTTCAGCGCGTCTACTGCAGGCTTGAGCAGGTGGTGATTCCACACAAACATTCCGTTGTACTCATGCGCCGCCGCTGTGCGACCCTCGTTGAGTGCGTTTCGCTGCCGAATGACATTCCGCTGCAAAGAATGCGTGATGTCGTATGAGTAACTGTAATAGAAGGATTTGGTGAGGTCCAAATTGTTCAAGATGCTCAAGAACCGCCCTTCCTCGGCGTTTCGGTCCCGCAGGAAGGAACTGCTTGCACCAGTCGTGAGAGGTACGAGTTCAGTGCCTTCGATCTGGTACACGTAGTGACCACCAATCATGGCCGCCTGCCTCCTTTTGGTGATCAGGAGCATATAGTGGGCCTCGGTGAACCTGATGAAGCCGAGAATCCCCCAGAAGCTATACTTCATCCTCAGTCCATTGGTGACCTTGTTACCCTGATCGATGGTATTCAAGACATCGTTCATCTGCTTGCGATCGTAGACGGTCTCATCTTCGAACAGGACTATCTGTCCGGGAGGCGAATTACGATCAATCCGGAGCAGCCGAAAGTACTTGTCCGTGATGTCTGCACCTGTAATCCAGTATCTCGTATTCGTTTCGTAGAGCGTGAACTTGTGCATTCGATGGGGCTTTGATTCCTTATCTGTCACCTGGAAGGAGGTGTCGGGGTCCTCTTTCATGTGCTCATCGGTTTCGACACACTGTTTGCCTGCCAATTCCTCCGCGGTGGCGCCCACTCTGGGAAAGGTAGGAGGGTCATGATAGGACTCGCCGGCCTCACTCGGGGGATTGCCGACGTGGCTGCCAGATTGCACGTGAACATCAGTGTCACCTTTCGAGGCCTGCCGTGTAGAGTCGGTGCGGAAGCCTGGCCGTTTGCTGGGTTCTCCTCGCTCCTCCTGGGGCGAATAAGCTCTTGGTCCATCGCCACTGGTATTCGGCGCGGCATCCACGTCGCCGAAGTCCATGGTCGCCTACGAGAGGGAGGTCCGGCCTGTCTTGTATGCGGAAACAGTTCGTCTCCAGCTATAGCAGCCGGGGTGTGCGTTCATGGTAAGTCGCTGCTGAGATGCGCTATGAGCTTCGTGTGTAATTAGACAGGTACAGTATCTGCTGATCGGTCGATTTCTGATTGCGTCGTGATGGAAGTCGACGCAAACACCAAGAACTTGGGAAGTCGGTAAGTGAGGCGACTCGGCTTCGGCAGGACTATTCTCCATATTGATGCCTGAGGCACAATAGTCCTCCAATGCGTTCATAGACCTCACTCCTTTCCTCTCGTTGTCAAATGCATCAAGACAACTCCATAATAACACAACAATAATGTGTGGAATATCTACCATCGTCAAATTACCGGCAGCCGCAGCCTCGCCGCCGCGCGATGTCCTCGAGCAGCAGATGACAGAGAGCCTCGAGATCATCAACCACCGTGGGCCAGACTCGAAAGGCATATGGATCAGTCCGGGCAATAACGTTGGTTCGGCAGGCAACCCTCCATCACAGTTTGCATTCCAACAATTGAACCTTCGCTAGTGCTCGGCCATAACCGCCTCGCGATCAACGATCTCTCCGAAGCAGGCTCCCAACCCTTCCACAGCCCAGATGGAACGCTGCACGCCGTCGTGAACGGCGAACTATACGACTACGATGATCTCAAACAAGACCTGCAATCCGAGCATGGCTACATCTTCGCGGGTCAATGTGACTCGGAAATCGTACTCGCTCTCTACCAAACCTACGGAATGGATTTCCTACAGTATTTACGAGGCGAATTCGCACTGTGTATCTATGACGAGACGAACAAGATCTTCGTCGCGGCGCGGGATCGGTATGGGATCAAGCCGCTGTTCTGGACTCTCTCGAAGGGCAGGATGTTGGTCGGAGCTGAAATCAAGGCATTCTTGCCGCTTGGCTGGGAAGCCGAGTGGGATGTCAAGTCCTTGATGGAGGCTGGCTGGAATTTCGATAACAGGACTTGTTTTGAAGGAGTCAAGAAAGTGAGACCCGGGCACTATATGGTCTATGATGCCGAGGGGAAGATTCACGAGGAGTGTTATTGGGATCTGGAATATCCCGACAAGGTGCGTCAAAGACACGTCTTCGTAGTAGCGAACTTGCCGACGTCTAATCACTGCGCAGACGAGACAGGAGCCTCGCACAGAAGAAGAACTCATTCAAGGTGTTCGAGAGCGCCTAGTGGAAGCAGTCCGAATTCGACTACGAGCCGACGTCCCCGTTGGCGTCTATCTCAGCGGAGGCATCGATTCCTCCGTAATAGCAGGCGTGACAGCCCATCTCGTCAAAGAACAGGGCAAAGCCATGGGCAGTCTAGACCAAGTCAGCTGCTTCTCCGTCGCATTCGACAAGACCAGCGGCTTTGACGAATCCGGTAAAAAAAGAAAAAAAAAACCTCAGCAACGTCCACAAAAAGATCCCCAAAAGCTGATCCATCTCGCACAGCCATCGCAGAACGCACCGCCTCTTTCCTCGGCATCAAGAACCACAAACAAATCATGGACGAAGAAGCCTTCGCTTCCAGGTTTGAAGCCGCAACGTGGCACTGCGAACACCAGAACCCGGACCTGAACTACGTGGGCAAATTCGCCCTCTCCGAACTGCCTCGCAGGCTGGGATTCAAAGTCGTCCTCACGGGGGAAGGCGCCGACGAGACGTTCACAGGCTACCACGTCTTCCTCCCAGATTTCCTCCGCGAGCCCGACCTCTCCTGGCCGCAAGCCATGCCCGAAGACCAAAGAACCCACCTCTTCGAAAGAGCCGAAACCGAAACGAAAAACTACTATACTTCCATCGGCGCTGCCTACAACATCCCCTCCCCCTCCTCAACAACTCAAACCCCCCTCCACGGAATCAGCACCGTAGCCTCCATGAGCGCTTTCCAGCCAGACCTCTTCCTCCCGCCGCACCCCGACATCCAAGACGAAATCCAAACCCCACGCGACGTCCTCGCCCACGCCCTCCCCCCAGCCATCCTCGCGAAAATCCACTCCGAATGGCATCCCATCAACGCGGCCCAATACCTCTGGTCCAAAACCCACCTGCCCAATCAATTCCTGTCCTGTCTCGGCGACCGCACGGAAATGGCCCATTCCCTCGAGGGCCGCACCCCGTTTCTCGACCACCGTCTGACGGAATTCGTGAATTGTATCCCTCCTTCGCTGAGAGTCCACTCCCCTCCCGGCCAAAAGGGTGTTGCTGGTCCCCTCATCACGAAGTATATCCTCCGAGAAGCAATGCGGCCCTTCATCACGGAGGAGATTTACCAGCGGGCGAAATTCCCCTTCACGGCGCCGGTGACGTATCGAGCCGGGGGACCACTGCATGGCTTGATGAGCGGGTTGATCACGGAGGGGAATGTGAAAGGGTTGGGATTTGTCGATTGGGAAAAGGTCAAAGGGTTGGTGGAGAGGGCGTTTGGGGAGGAGCGGGAAGCGCAAGCGCAAGCGCGAGCGCAGGCGACGCGGTCGATGATCGTGGTCGCGCAGTGGATAGTTTTGGGGAGGAGGTTTGGGGTGAAGAGAGCACACCGAGAGAAATTAGTGGGATAGGAATTTCCCATGAACTGGGGCACACAAAAATGCAGGGCGTGTTACTGTTTGGCATGACTGTCGCTATATCATGAAGTCAAACTCGTCTCGTCTCCCTTTCCTCTTCCTATTCTCCCTCAGCAAGAGCACTCTCAACCCAAAGGCCAGAATAGCGACCAAACCCATCGCGCCCGCACAGATACTATTTCCCATGAGATAATCCGGCGCCTGGGAATCCGGATACAGTCTCGTTCCTAACAGCGGTCCCAATTGTCCAAAGGTATTCAAAACTGCCATCCCGGTGCCTTTGCCTTCGTCCGTATGTTGATTATTCACCGTCCATGTAATGACAATCGTGACGGCAGAGAAGAAACCCGCGCAGATGGGGAAGACCGCTAGATAGCGTGGGACGTCGCCGAGATCGAAGAGTCCTTCCAGGGTGAGGGCGAGGTAGCCCAGGGATGCCAGGAGGGCGTGGAAGATGACGCAGCTGCTTCGGGAGTGGATCTTGTCGGAGAGCCAGGCGGTGAGGAGGACGACGAAGAAGGCGAAGAGGAAAGGAGGAGCGGAGAGACCTTGGGAGGATTCCTTGGTGAAACCCATTTGGCTTATGATGGTGGGGAGGAAGACGGGCATGCTGCTAAAGGCGACATTACAGCAGAAGAACATGCTTGCCGTCAGGTAGCTTTTGGGGTCTTTGAGGGTCGTGGCGACTGCGGAGAAATCGAGTCCCAGTCTTGTGCTTTTGGTGTGGGTGGGCTTGGAGCGGGAGGTTTCGTTGCGTTTGCGCAAGGTTGCGATTTTCCGTTCGCGCTCGGTCAGCCAGAGGCAACGAGGGTCAGATGCAGAGTCTGGAAGCCAGTACCAGGTCCAGACGGCTACAAGACAAGCCGGAAAACCTTCGAGGAGGAAGAGGAGGCGCCAGCTTGCGATACCCGTGGCGTTGCCTAGCTTGACGATTGCGTAAGCGAGGCTGCTGGCGTACGTGGTAGCGAGAGGAGCTGCGGCGATGAAGATTCCGGTGCGGAAGGCGAGCTCTTCTCTGCGAAAGAAGAATGTGAGGTAGAATGGCATGCCCACGAATGCAGCTTCCCCTATTCCCAATAGAGCGCGCCAGAGGAGCATGAGGGGGTAATTGGAGGTAACGGATTGGAGAGAGGCCACTGCTCCCCAGACGAAGACACAGATGGCGACATATTTATGCGGCGAGAAGATCTTGTAGCAGAGGGTCATCCATTCGAAGGCAATGTAGAAGATGTAGAAGATTGTCAGGAGCCAATCGAATTGATCGTCTGTGATTTCCAGGTCTTCCGTGAGCCCAGCAATGTAGGCGTTTCCTCGAGTCTAGTCAGTACTGGAGATGTAGGTTGTGTGGGATGGCATGAGAGCTGTACCTATGTTTGAGCGATCGAGAAAAGACTACAAGGCTTAGCTGTGGGAACGAGTAGAATACGGTCTTTTGTTTACGAACTCACCATCATGTACAGCAAAGCGACGAAGAGCACGAGACGAGTATCCAGCTTCCATCGCACCCGCCGCTCTTCATCTGGAGTGTATAGCTCGAAGGACTGCGCACTACTCCTTCTCTGTCGATGGGAGGTGACAGCTGCATGGCCTCCGGCAAGCGGAACCTGCTCGTCATCTTCGTCCTCATCTTCTGCGCCTGCTGCAGTAGGACTGTCGCCATCGTGAAGACGTCGTCCCAGCTTTTCCAGCTCGTATCCCGCCTCATCCTCCAATGTACCCAGCACCAGCGTGTATTGACCCTCCTCGGAGTCGGAGTCGGACGTCTTGGCGTGGGGAGGGTCGCTGACTTCATGGCGCGTGGATGGCATTGGGCAACATGTGTGATGATGTGGTATCAGCGATGGATGCGAACATGGTCATGACAGCGCTGGTGTCGGAGGTGCGATGTGGTGAGAAGTGTTCGGTCAGGCTTCGCTGCAGTGGGCGTTTCATGGAACGTGAGTGCGGGTGCGGGTGCGGGTGCGGGTGCGGGTGCGGGTGCGGAGGTAGAGAGTGCGGCTCATCCCGTCCGGTGACATCGCATCGCATCCCTCCCCTCCCGTCTAGACTGCGTATTGTGCTGCACCGAGTCCGCATTGAACATCCCACATCCTGGACCATTCGCACCCGTCGCACCCTGGACCTCCCTTCTTATTATTCCTGTCAGACTCGACCTGCCCACTGCATCGTATCGTATCGCATCGCATCGCATCGCATGCACCCACGCCGATCCGCCCGCCCGCCTCGCCACCATCACCATCACCACTACCACCACCACCACCACCACCACCGCCGCCGCCGCCGCTCCTCCCCCCTCAGGCCCGAGGGCCGGACCACCGCACGCTGGCAGGCATAGCCGACCAGTCTGCGTATCTCATGCAGTCTGGCTATGAGTATGCTCCCTACAACCACCACGATGCCTTGATCTCCCCCACCACCCTCCTCCAGCCCAATGCCAGCCCGAGCCATGCGAACCTGAACGACACCCCTGGCATCAAGCGGAAAGACCCGCCCACTTCCTCCGCGGTCAAGTCCTCCAAGAAGGTCAAGAGGGTGGGCCCGCGCGACACCAAACCGGACGCAATGGCAAATGGCGACGGAGACAAAGAGCCCGAGAGCGCTTCCAAGCCCAAGCGCGTGCGCACCGGATGTCTGACGTGTAGGGAGCGACACTTGAAGTGCGATGAGGCCATGCCCAACTGCAATAACTGCAAGAAGAGCAATAGGCAGTGTAGGCGAGGAGTGCGACTGAACTTCATTGACACGTGGGTGGACCGGCCGCCGCGGATAGTGACAAAATACGGCACTTCGGAGTGGAAGGTGGAGTTTATGGATGAGTCGCGAGAGATTGCAAATGAATACCAGGGAGGCATTCGGCGATATAAACATCTCGAACAGGACATTCAACAACCTCCTTCAGCCCTCGACTCAGCCGTCGCTTTTGAATTCCCGCAGAACGCACCCGCTGCCGCTGTCGTGGCCCAGCAGCCCCTCCCACCTATACAAGGCATGATGCCAGAACAATACTCCAATCAGAACCCCGCTCCACACCTGCAGAACAACATGTTCGACCCGCAGCCCAAATCCGACCCACTGCAGTACCATCAACATCAACCATCGCAACCGCCTCCACATTCAAGCTCTACCCAACACTCACATTACCCTGACAATGGAATGAACGCTGGCTCGGTCGCGAGCTTCAACCCGCCCGACACGGATTTGGATCACGAGACTGGCAAAAAGGAATTTCTCGACAGTCAAGAGGAAACGCTTTTCATGCAAGTATTCGTCGAAGAGGTCGGGTTGTGGATGGACAGCATGGATCCGTCGAAGCATTTCTCCCGTCTGCTCCCTTTTCACTCACTCTCAGAGCCCATGCTCCTCAATGCCTTTTTGGCATGCGGTGCCCGACATCTGACCCTGGTGAATCCAGCATACACCGAGGAGAAGGCACTTCACTACTACGATACAGCGACGAGGTATCTGTTGAAGAATCTGCAGAACCCCAATCGAGATACGGTGGTGTGCGCGACCACGGCCGTGATTTTGAATGTCTACGAAATAATGTCTGAGAGAGCGTTACAACGAATGAACCATATTGCAGGAGCTCGAGCCCTCATCAAAGAGTGTGGCTGGAATGCGCGTGCACAAGGAATCGGCTCGGCTTGCTTCTGGCTCAATGTGGGGTTGGAAGTGCTTTCATGCCTGCATTTCAACTGGCAAGTCGCATGGGATCCGGAGGATTGGGGAGTGGATATGGACTTCAGCCGCGAGATTTCTAACGGACGAGAGGAGATCTGGACTCATCGCATGCTCTTCATCATTGCCAAAATCTGCAATTTCAGGGCGACCATGCCACGGGTCCCGGAGCCGAACGAACGTGATGAGCAGGTCCGCAAGCAGCAAAGACACCAGGAATGGTCTCGGTTGAAATCGATGTGCGGTGCCTGGAACGACGGCATACCTCGGACCATGCACCCGATGGCCTATCTGTATGCGCACCAGACAAGTTCCAACTCGGTCTTCCCAGAAATTTGGCTTGTCAAGCGCACCACGATCGTTGCGAGGCTATTCTACCACACGGCTATGCTGCTGATGGCGCAGATACACCCATACCTGTTTGTTACGAACAATCCGGATATGTCAAACATGCAAGCACAACACTCGCGGATGATCTGCGGGATCGTTGCGCATGTCAAGGATCGGTAAGTCGGACCCAAGATTTGAGAAGGACGAAATCGCTGACTTGTTGCAGTGGTGTTGCATCTGTTGCCATTCGCTCCCTCGCTCACGCCGCCGAGGTACTCACGGACCGAAGGGAGCAAGAAGAGGTCCTGCAGATTTTCGAAAAGATCAACAAGGAGACAGGTTGGCGAATCGGCTTTGTCTACAAGGAACTCAAGGAACGCTGGGGCTGGCATGAGGAACCTTCACCTCAGCAGGCTGCCCAGACCCATACGGCCCACCGACAAGCAAAGGAGGCGCAAGAAGCCCAGCAACGGCAGATGCAGGAACAAGCTCACCGCGCGAGCCTGCAACTGCAACAAGGCTTCGACTTCAATCAGCAACCCAGCATGACCGCAATGCAGCAGCAACAAGCCTCTCACAACACAACGACGCAACAGATGCAGCCCACGCCGCCTCAACAGCATCAGCAGCAACAACAACAACAACAAGCTCCACCTCCGCCTCAACAACAAAACAAACGACCGCCTGCGGGCATTCCAAACCCCTTGTATGCCAAGGCGGATTTTAGTCTTCCGCAGCATCCTTACCAGAACTTTTACGTTGCGCCAAATATGAATAATGTCGGTCAGATGGGAAACAACAACCTTGGGTACGCGCAGCAGCAGCAGCAGCAGCAGCAGCAGCAGCAGCAAGGAAGCATGGGATACTATCAATGAATGGGTTATAAATGATGAGACGTTTTTGCAAAGCATGGATGGGCCAAAAAATGGGGGGTTCTTGGCGGATGTACGATATGATATCTACGTGTGATGTGTGAAGGCATGAATGGCGGCATTTCTTGGTTCAATGATTTGATGACGGGGATGGATGATTCTCTTGGCGGGAGGAGGACGTTGCGTTTTTAGGCAGGACCGGAGATACCCCTTTTTTGGATGATGATGTACATGTACTTTCTTTCCAGGTTCTCTTGGTACGTACGATTGCGATTTTGGCCATGGTACGAGGTTTCATATTATTATTACTGATCTTGTGTTATATGTGTCGTGAAGGTAAGCAGCCAGCGCAAGGCCATCCAAAAAAAAAAAAAAAAAGAATGGCCGACCTTCAAGTCTTCGTTCCTTCCGCTTCCGCTCTCGAGCGCACGCGTGTGCCTACATTCCCCGAAAAATTTTCCGTCATTTGACATGTGAAATACGCGCTAAAAATTCCACCTCCCTCTTCCTTCTTTTCCCCCACCCACACACACCCCTCACTCTGATATTCAAACTCAACCGCAGTAACTCCACAAGAATTCTCTCTTGGTCCCTAGAATGAAGAACTCTCACTCAATCACTCACAAGCAGCAAGCAAGAAATCCCCCGAAAATCCAAAGGCATCGATCGATCGATCGCACCCACTCTCTACCAATCTTAATTTCACATCATTGCATTCCTCTCCATCCATCCATCCATCCATCCAGACTCTCGACTTTCGACCTCGACTTTCGACCTTTCAGCATCACCGAGTGAGTGAGCGAGTGAATGAGTGAGGTGCAAAATTAAATCAAGTAGATACATACCTACGAACGTGGCTCCTCACCCTCCCGTTCACGTTCAGACTTCTAGATTTCTAGGAATTCTTCGCGCGGAGTAAGTAGATGGTGATTCTTTTTTTTTTTTGGCTTTGGTGCCCACGCATAGATAGATAGCCTGAAGAATCAAATCACCTCATGCTGCATTCTTGATCCATCCATCCATCCATCCGACCAACCTAACAAAGGTCAAGTCATCCACCGAACCGAACCGAACCCTGCGTCTCACAAATACCTGGACCGCACTGCGACGACCGGCCAAGCCACCCTAACGAGAATAATCATGTCTCCAGCGAAGGAGCGACACAGAACATATATACCTCGAACTCCTCACCCACCCTTTCATGCTTCCCTCCGATGGATGAGCAAGCATCAATCACCACCACCACCTCATCATCACCTCATCATCAACGCGGCCTTTTCCCACCCCACCCACTGACCTTGCTTGCAGTCAAAGCAAAGCCAACTTGAAAACGACATATGAGGAAAAACAGAGAAAGGTTTTGGTATTAACTCCTTTTTCATTTCATTCAAAAAGAGAAACTCCAGATCCCTCCGGATCATCTCATATTTTTTGCAGAGATGAAAGGCAGAGCGTAGATCCAGCAGAGCAGAGAGTTGGGGGGTATGGGGTATCCATCTATTCGTACAAAATCGCTCATCAAACACACGAACCCTTTCCTCCTCCCTCTGGACAACATCAAAAAAGCTCACGCATGCCATCGTCTGGAGCGGGCAGCGGCTTGTAAAAGAAGATCCTCTTCCTTTGGGCCCAATTGCCGCTCCTCAGAGGGCGGTCGTCAGTGTCGTGTTAACGCCATAACTCCACGCTAACGGCCGTCAAATGCATTATAGTATAAGTATGCTGTCTCGCCCAGAATCGACTGACAGACAAAAGAGATGCGCATCCGTTGTAGGAGCGACATTTTTCGAAAGCAAAAGTTCCCTGTGCAAATGCAGTGCGATGCAGAGGGCACGGGATTACCGCACCACCTCGGCGATCTTGCCAGCAACGGCGCTGGGGTATCCCCGGCTCAGCGCCTCGCGAACGACAGCCTTCGCAGCGTCACGATCTTCGGTAGCCAGGTAAGCGCGAACCATGGCCTCGTACGTGCTCGGCTCACGCCGCGACATCGGAACACGAGCGAACGCGTCCTTTGCCTTTTCGATGTTCTTCTCCAAGGCCCAGCCGTGAATGAGTGCGTTGGCGATGTAAGGCGTGAAGTCGACACCTCGAGAAGCCATGTCGGTGAGGAGAGGCTCGCACTCCGCCGAGCGACGGTTGGCATTCAAGCTCTCCAGGACGGCCTGGTACATGCATGGCTGAGGCTTGACCTTTCCCTGGGCAATGACCTTGTCAAACAGTGCCTGTGCTGCTTCCATCTCGTGCTGCACGCAGCCTTTGGCGTGGATCAGAGAAGCATAGTGGACGGCTTCGGGCTGAATGCCGGCGGTCTGCATTTCTTCCACCACCGCTTCAGCAGCAGGCATGTTGACAGGCTCGAGAGTAGCGTGGGCGTCGATGAGAAGCTTGTACGTGTGGACCGTAGGCTCGATCCTCTTACTGCGCATGCGCTGGTAGTAGGACAACACCTTGGTGCGGTCGCGCTTGGTGGTCAAGAAGTACTGCATCAGAGAATGGTAAGGTGCTGGACGTGGCTTGTAGTTGGCGCAGGCCTCCATTTCCTCGAAGATCTCCTCCGCGAACTTCTCGTCAGACACCCGGCAGAGGGCGTTGACAATGGTACCGTAGGTGACGGATGTAGGGCGAATTCCGAGATTGCGCATCTCTGCGAAGTAGAATAAACAGTCATCGATGCGACGGGCCTTGCCAAGCTTGCCAATGAGCGCATTGTAGAGGAAGGACGAAGGCTCTACACCCTCGCCCTTGGCTCGCAAGAAAATCTTGACGGCCTCAGAAGCCTCGTCGAAGGTCTTGGTGTTCTCCTTCAGAGTCGTGATGTACAGACCGAAAGTGTTGGCTGAAGGCGCGAATCCCATGTCGATCATGTCTTGATGGTATCTGGCAGCGAGGTCACGGCGACCGATGTTCAGGCAGCCAGCGACCATATGATCGAGAATCTGTTGCCAGCCGAAGCGGACCACACGGTAGCGAGCGTCGAACGGGACGTCTTGCTTGGCGAGTTCCAGAATGTCGAATGCCTGGTTGAGGTTATGCTCCTTGATGGAGGCCTCAACCAGCTTGCCATAGGTGAACATTCGGGGCACGCGACCGATGCGACGCATGTTGCGGAACTTGGACATTGCATCATTCAGACGACGACCGTGCGGGCGCTCAAGGAGCTCGGTGATGGCGTTGGATCCCTTGACATCAGTCCGGCTGGCATACGGGTCGTAGGTGTCCTCGAAAGAAGCTGGTGCTTGGAATGGAACGACCGGGCTGAACGACGTTGGCTGCAGCGTCGCAGGTGGCATAGGGTAGCGATAGTTGTTCCATAGCCGGGAAAGATCGCCACGGTCAATGTTGATCAGAGTCTTCTCGATGATGGTCTCCGTTTCGGCGGATGGCATTATGGAGCGAGAGACGATGTTCTCGAGCAGGCAGCCAAACCGGGCAGGGCTTGCGATGTCGGCGGACAGCTCATCCAAGATCATGCCACCTTGCACACGGAGGAGGAACTCCAAATCGGCCTGGTTCAGACGTGTAATGTGCTCCGAGCTAACGCGAGCCATGACATGCTCTGCGATCGAGACTATGAGACCTCCGTTCTCAGCCATCATGCGCAGAAGCTCGAGGCTGCCATCGGGAAGAAGGGCAGGTTGGCCCTTGAGCATGAAGTTGCCAAGCAGCTCAACTGCCTCATCGATATGCTCGATCGCCTCCGCTTGGCGGCTCTCGGGCTGCGTTTCGCGGATGCGAGAAAACATGCGCCGGCTCTGTCGGAGGCCTCGCTCGGCTTGGCCAATACCCACAAGCGCAACAGCGCGCATGGTAGTCGGTTCCACAAAAGAAAGACTGGCGGGGGCTGATTCCAAAACACGCCAGAATGGTTCTGCTGCCTCAACATTAGCATTACGGATGTGCATTGCGAGCATTGCCATGCTTGGCTCGGCGACGTCCCGAGTGTGCTGGGCGAGCAGATCGAAAGCCTGCATGCTGATATCAGGAAGGTTCTTGTCGGCGGCATTTGTGGCGATCGTGGAAAGCGAGGCGTTGAACGCGTGGCCAGTCAGAGAGTTGGCCAGATCAAAAGCGTTGCGGTATGTCGTGTCCTGAAGCGCCAAGGGCAAAAGAGCATCAAGAGCAACGACTTCACGCAATTGCTCAAGCTCCTTGGGGCTCGGGATCCCAGCTTGAATGCTGGCCAAAAACTTGAGACCACCTTTCAACCTATCGGCAGAGCCATAAGCTCTGATGAGAGCGGCGTAGATCTTGTTGTCCACACGAGCAATTGCGTTCTTGCCCTCGTTGTTAGCCACAGCAAGATCTTTGTACTCATCATAGATCTCGACGGCCTTCCGCAGGTCACCGTTTACACCAAACGCGGCGATCATCGGTGCATAGATGGAGGACAGCGGCTCAAGCGACTGGCTCTCCATGTAGTCGTAGACACGGTTCATGTCCTCGACCCTGCCTTGTTCGGCGCTCGCAATGACAAGGCAGGCGCAAGCCTCGCTCGACAACGCCCCGGAGCCGTTCTCAGCCGCGCGTTCGAACATCTTCAATGCGATGCTGAGGGAGCTATCCTCAACAAGCATCGAGTGCTCTGACTGGCTGGATCGGAACATGAATTTGCCAGGCTGCTCCAGACCACCATAACGAGTGAGGCGCTCCTCCAGGGCCTTTCTCATGGCTACTGACTCGGATGCACGGCTGGAGAGCAGCTCAATGAGGATACCATAGGTCGCAGCATCTGGAGTGACTCTCCTCCGGAGCATGTCAGAGTAGACCTCCAGCGCCTTCGGGGCCTTCAGGTGCTTGCCGGGAGTGAGCTCAATAGCAGACCTAAGTAAGGCACGGTAGGCGGCCTGAGATGGCTTCTGCACGCCGGCGCGCAGCATCTCCTTGAAGACAGCGGGGATGCTGTCATACTGCTGGCGCTCGGCGAGAGACGTCAGAGTCTCGGTGTAGGCCTCGCTCTCGACTGATTCGGGGCTGGAAAAGCTCTCAGTGGGGGTAAAGATGGTGGCCGGGCTGCTGGACCGTGGTTCGGATTCGAAAGATTCAACTTCTTCGACACGAGATGCCGCGGAAGAGGCTGCTCGCATCGGCAGGCCATCTTCAGAGTCCTCCTTTGCGCGGGAGATCTCTTCTGCGATGGCATTGTTGACCTGCTCGAGCGCAATCGCCTCTGCTGCCTCGTCGTCGATGAAAGCCTTGCTGAAGTTGTCGAGCGCACTCGTGGTGTAGGAGCGCTTCAGGCTCGGCGCAGCAAGTTGTGTATCCTTTTGCTCCTCCACATCTTCCACCTCGGCGATGTCTTGAATCTGTCCCGGGATGACGGAAGGGGGCTGCCATTCCAGTCGTCGCGCGAACTGGAACTGGTGCCACTCATTTGCTCCATTGCGCTGGTGCTTCTGCCAGGCATCGAAGTACTTGTCGAGGCCCGAGTCCTGATGGCTCGTCTCGGGTCGAGGTGTGGTGGCACGGCTGGCCAGGCGGGTGGCCTCTATGTGATTGTAGACATTCTGAAGACGGCTCTGCTCATTCTTGCGGAAACGCCCAATCAAGGTGTCCGCAAGCGGGAGGGCCGAGGTGTTCTGTGCAGCGTAGGACGACTGCGAGGCGGCAACGACGGTCTGGGCGGTGCCATGGGTGAAGGACTTGAGGGCAGTGCCTGCAATACGCGAGAGGTGGACAGTCGGCTTGACGTAAGGCATTCAGGTGACGGAGGAGCCCTTCAGTAAGGAAGGGGGAGACTGCCGAAGGAAAACGTGTGTTAGCGGACGTGTCGCGTGATGCATGCGGAGAGCAGAGTCGCCAATGCGCGTGCGTACCGGGAGTGGAAGGAGATGGCGTTGGTGCAGGGTCATTGACGGCTCGACCGTCAACAAACGCGCAGTCCAGGAAGGGATGGGATTTAGTGGTGTGGTAGGTGGTGCGTAGCGTAGCGTGGCGAGGAAGATGGAGCGAGGATGAGAGAAGGTGAGGTGTATGATTCACCAGTGCGAAGGGCTGCCAAGCGTTGGTACAACGTGCGGACTCGGGGGAAGAATCTGATTAGAGAAGAAGGAGGAAGTTCGGGCAAACTGGCCTCGATTATGATGATTGTGATGCATCGCTTCTACGCGTGCGCGATTGCTGTACACACTGTCCAACTCTCTTCCGGTCGATTTCGTCCGGTGTCGTCGGAAATAGCAGGTGCCGGCCGCCCCGCTGCACGATAGCCGCGCTCTAGACTACATCTGGCATAGCGCCCGCGTCCCCTTCCAACTCTTCCCGAGCCCCTCCTATCAGGATTCCTCGCTCCCCTGCCATGCGCCGTCTGCAACCAACCTCCAGCAAGGTGTTGCCGGGGAGCTGGCTCTTGGCTCTGTCGACCACACCCTCTGGACACCACCGTGAAACAGGCAGACAGGCACCGCAGGGCTGCACCATCCCCTCCAGCCGCAGAGTGGCAGTGGACGGCAGCAACAACAAGCAAGAAAGCAGCTTCGCAGACCGACCCAGCGCGGCACCGGAAACCCGAATCCCCTCCCCGCAACATTCCGATCTCTAGCTCGCCATCCTGCCTGCCTCGAATCTTCCACCGTTTGCCAGCTCCAGGCACGGCACCAGCCCCAGCCCCTTACCTCCGTCGGTCGGCCTGACTGTTCCTCCACCTCCACGTGCTGTCAAGCGGGCGCACATCACTGCTGAGATCGTCATCAGAGCTGATCGGACACTCTGCTGTCTGCCTCCGGCCGGCTCACGCTCGCTACCCGACTGCATGTCTCCCAGCGGTCCCGTCGCTGTCTCTGCCCCAGGCAAAGTCCTGCTGGCAGGCGGATATCTGGTCCTCGATCGAGCTCACACTGGACTCGTCTTCGCATTGGACGCCCGCATCCACGCCCTGATCAAAGACATTCCCACGAGCAATGGCGTGATTCTCAACCAGATCACCGTCAATTCGCCGCAGTTCCTGGACGCCGTCTGGGAATATGGATACCGCCTGGCCGAGAGAGATGCAGGTGTACAGGTGACCCAGCTGAGAGCGTGAGTACATCCCTGATCTAACATGTTGAGCTTCTTGCCGAATCAGCGTTCAACCTGATCAGCATGCTTGGTGCGTGAAATGTGTCTAGACGGATGTACAGGACGTCATGTTAAGTTTGCTTGCCGGTGTCTCTTTTGCTGTCCCTGTCCCGATCCTGTCACAAGAGCAGCCTGAACCGTTTCCACTCCTTTGTTGTACAATACGAGCGACCCTCACTTACTCAACCGGACTCATACAGAGATGCAGACCTCAATCTCAACCGCAACCCCTTCATCGAGACCACCCTCAGTTATGCGCTCAGCTACATCACCAGCATTGCGGGACCCATGATCAGTCCCGCGGAGATCACGGTCCTGGCCAACAACGACTACTACTCTACACCAGCCGACATTACAGACGCCGCATCAGGACCAAAACCTCGCTTCCACAACTTCGCCGTCCCTCTGACCCAGGCTCCCAAGACCGGTCTCGGATCTTCCGCCGCTTTAGTAACAGCTGTCACAGCGGCACTCCTGAGCTACTATCTTCCCAAGACTGCATTCGACCTGAGGACATCCGAGAGCAGAAGACGTCTCCACAATCTTGCTCAGGCTGCTCATTGCGCTGCGCAAGGAAAGGTCGGTTCTGGATTCGATGTCGCCTCAGCCGTATATGGTACCTGCATATACCGACGCTTCTCGCCAAGCCTCTTGACCAACCACGCCGAGCCTGGAGTCCCCAAGTTCGCATCGGAGATCCGGGATATCGTCGAGGAGAAGCACCATGGCGGGGCCTGGGATACTGAAATCGTCAAGGATGTCGTCAAGATACCCAGAGGATTGAGATTGGTCATGTGCGATGTCAGCTGCGGCAGTAAAACTCCCGGAATGGTGAAGCAAGTCCTCGCTTGGCGAAAAGAGAGACCTGAAGAAGCCAACGCCATCTGGGCCGACCTGGACGCTGCAAATCAAAAGTTGGCGACGGAATTGAAAGCCATGGCAGAGGGCAAATCCGGTAAAGAAAATCTCAAGGCCTGTATATCCAAGATCCGCGAACTCATCCGGTTAATGTCGGAAAAGTCGGGCGTACCCATCGAGCCAGCCGCACAGACGGAATTGATCGACGCATGTGAAAAGGTTTCTGGCGTCGTCGGTGGTGTCGTGCCAGGTGCAGGTGGCTATGATGCCATTTCGCTTCTGATCGAAGACAAGGAAGACACCGTCGCAGAACTGAACAAGCTTTTCGCTGCTTGGGACCTCAAAGCTGAGGGGAAGGGAGGAGGCAAGGTCAGCATGATGGGCGTAAGAGAGGAGATGGAAGGCGTCAAATCGGAGGATGCCCCAAAGTACATGCAGTGGCTGAAGGAGCTGTGATGGAACGGACGGCGGAATTGAAACAGGCGGATCCCCAAAAGCGATTGCTTTCACGCAGCGTTTAGAGTCGAATGACAAATTGAGAATCTCGAAGCCGCCGTTCAAAGGATTTCGAAAAATTTGTCGTTATTCCTCACTGCCGTCCGATCTCCAGTGCACCCAGAAATTGCCAAAAAAAAAATTTGAGCATCCTCATGTTGACAAGGGTGGGATTTGAACCCACGAGGCAAAGCCACTGCGGATTCTGCTTAGGTAGGCCTAAACGCAGCTCCATAACCACTCGGACACCTTGCCGGGATTTCCCGTTGCCATGGACTATACATATATATACCTTCACAAATATCTCCCGAAGTTTTGGCGAGTCGTCGCAAGGAGGATACTAGGGCATGTGAGAACCTTGAAGGAACACTGGATAGATCGGAGCATCTCGGATGTGTGAAGGGCTGTAGTCTAATTCTCTCAGCTCTTGAGAAGTATTTAGTGGTTCTGTATCGTCGTCGACGTTGTTATGGAGGAGCTCTTGGATCGATCGTGATTGGGTCGGACAAGACGGACGCTAGTGGATGTGCAAACCCTACGGGCTCGCGCCGCCCGCTGAACGAAGCTTCTCGATCTGGGAACTTGCACCAATGATGCCTGCTGTCTTAAGCAAGATGTCGACAGGAAAAGGCATAGAAATTGAGACAGTCAGCACGAATCGATGGGCCTATTGTCTGCCGATGGAAGAAGATCTTCCCTAATAAATGCTACATATGGATTGCAATTCGACGTGAAACCGTTCCAAAGGTTCGGCCGGGCAGCCTCGGCTTCGAAGAAGGTACCTGTGTATACATCATCGTGACACTTTCAGGGCACTCCATCGACTTTGTTGAAAGTCCAACTTCTCACATTTCACCATTGGTCGATCGATGAGCATTCACCGTCAACATGGTCCAGCTCAGCGAAGCAAGACAATACAACCAGCCATGGGACACGCCCGACCCAAACGCCTGGGGAGTCTACCAACGCGACATCTACTCCGGCCTCCGCAAACCCATCTTCTCCACCAAACCAGCAGAATGGGAACACCTCGCCCGCGAACGAGTCCCAGCAGAGAACTTCGGCTACGTCTTCGGCTCCGCGAGCGGTGCTTCCACCTACGCCGCCAACCGCTCGGCGTTTGATCGATACAGACTGCGACCGCGAATGCTCGTGAACGCCACACGCAGGGATATGAGCGTCGAACTCTTCGGACGGAAATACAACTCCCCCATCCTGGTCGCGCCCGTCGGCGTGCAGAACATCATGCACCAAGACGCCGAAGAAGCGACGGCGCGCGCGTGCAGAAAGCTCCAGATCCCCATGATCCTCTCGACCGCTGCGACCCGTACCATCGAGCAGGTCGCCCAGACCAACGGAGATTCCAGCCCGAGGTGGTTCCAATTATACTGGCCCAAACCGCAGGAAGAAGCCATCACCGTCAGCCTCTTGCACCGCGCGAAGGCCAACGGGTATACCGTCCTCGTCGTCACGCTAGACACCTTCACCCTCGCCTGGCGACCGCAAGATCTCGACCACGCCTACCTCCCCTTCCTCTGGGGCGAAGGCTGTCAGATCGGCTTCTCCGACCCCGTCTTCAACCAACGCTACCAGGAACTCCTGTCGGAAGATTCCCGTTCTGCGGGCGAGAAACTCTCCGAAGCGTGGGATCTGCTCCAACGCCCCGGGACTCCCTGGGGTGCAGCGCGCGTGCTAGCCAACGCAGCCACGATGAAAAAGGCCAAAGCATGGATGGACGTGATGAACTCGGGCACGTATCGGGAATGGCAGCACCTGGCCATCCTGAAGAAACTCTGGGACGGACCGATCGTTCTCAAGGGCATCCAGAGCGTGGGGGACGCCCACAAAGCGATTGAACACGGCATGGACGGCATCATCGTCTCGAACCACGGCGGCAGGCAATGCGACGGCGCCATCGCCTCCCTCGACGCCCTCGCGGAGATCGGCGCGGACGAGAAGGTGCAGCAGTCCGGCCTGACGCTCCTCTTCGACAGCGGCATCCGCACGGGCAGCGACGTCCTCACAGCCCTCGCGCTCGGCGCCAAGGCTGTCTTGGTCGGCAGACCGTATATGTACGGCTTGGCGATCGCGGGCCAGGCGGGCGTGGAACACGTCTTGCAGTGCTTGCTCGCGGATACGGATAATATGTTGGCCAATGCCGGGAAGACGAGTCTGGGGGATTTGGGGAGGGGGGATCTGCAGGTCTTGAGGGAGGCGAGGCTGTAATGTGAAACGACAGGAGATATATGATCATCATTCATATAATAGGGTATAGTAGAGTATAGTATCGAAGAACGGCTGCTGAACGAAGGGAAGTAGAAGTGGATCCCTTTATACGCACAAACCACCGCGCGTGCCAGAATACCTCCACTCCACTCCACTTCATCTCTTGTCTCCTCTCTCTCTCCTCCTCCGTCCTAAAGACATCTCCCCCATCCTACCTTATAAATCTTTACCTTAACGACCACCAGAGAAGAAGACAACACTCCCAGGACATGGATCCTCTCACCGCCTCGGCATCGTCGAACAACAATAGTCCCTGTCCCTATCCCTATCCCTATCCCTATCCCTATCCCTATCCCTATCCCTATCCCTATCTCACCTTCATCCTTGGGTCTGTTTTTTCTTAGAGATTATGGCTTGGAAGGAAGGCGCAATGTTTAAGAATGAGTTTGTTTGCCACGGAGAGTCAAGAAGTGGTCGAGAGGAGCTGGATTCAAAATTCTGGACACGGAAGAGAAATGTCAGGACGGTTGGGTTTGATGGCAAGCCCGACTGTACCGATTTTAAGTGATTTTTATTGCGAAGGAAGTCGTGATCAGATATGGGAATGATGGGGCGGGATGGCGGATATGCCAAGTTAGTATTTGAGTATCTTCCCCGGAGAGAAAACGGCGATGCGCGATTTGATGATCAACACGTAAAGACACAAAAACATTACGCCTCTATATGCATGCAACCCGACTCTGGAGTAAAAGGACACTGCAGCGTTTCGACAAATCCCAACAACAACAATCTCAATACTTCTCCAATGCCTTCTCCGTCCACTCCCAGATCCTCTCCGCCAGCTTCTGATCGTTTCCTGGCTTCGTGGACGGCTGTGTCAGAACTCCCGTCGGCTCATAATACCCTCCGTTCGTCAGGTTGCCCTTCTGCGCCGTGGCGGCCCAACACTGGTTCCAATGTCCCTGCTCCACGGGCGTCTTCTTGCCCAGACTCATCAGCAGGACCGGCAGCACCGTCAGGAAGGGAAGATCATCGAACAATCCCGTCATGATGATGCCCGGGTGGATGGAGACGGAAGTGATGGAAGGGTGGTGGAGAGCGAGTTGTTGGCTGTACAGCAGCTGTGTGAGCTTCGATTGTCCGTAGCGAGACCAGCGGGGTCCCGGGATGAGGCCGCCGAGGCTGGCTTGAGGAGATTGGAGGGTGTCGAAATCGACTCCCTCCTTCGGGGCCTGGGCGTATGCGAGCGAAGTCATGTTGATCACTCGTACGTCGGAATGTTTGGCCGTCTCTAGCAATGTCGGTAGGAGTTTCTTCACCAGTAGAGCATGGCCCAGATGATTCGTCGCGAATTGAATCTCATATCCGTCTTTGGAAACGCCCGGTGCGACGGCCATGATACCCGCGTTCAGCATGAGGATATCCAGACGGTCCGTTTGGGACAGGAAGGTTTCAGCGGCTTGTTGGACGGATTCGAGGGAGGAAATGTCGGCTTTGATGAAGGTGATTTTGACATTGGGGGAGGCCTTTTCGATCTTCTGGATGAGAGCATCTGCTTTGGATTGGTTGCGGCCACTGAAGAAGATGTGTGCTGGGGAGAGTTTGGCGAGTTCTGCGATGGAACCGGCGCCGAGACCTGCTGTTCCGCCGGTGATGAGGATGACTTTGCCCGAGAGGTCTGTGATTTCGGGATTGAAAGACATAGTGCTGCTGGTGGAAGAATGTGTTGGCGGTCGTTAGATAATCAAGTTGCTGCTTGTGATTGCTTGTTGTTTTGACGAGCGGCCTGCCGTGGCAACTTATACCCTACCATTGCACCAAGGTAGATACATGTCTCGGAGGATCACCGGCAGCGTCACGACTTTCACGCGACTACAGTATCAGTTACGGCCGTCCAACACGGATGAACAAGTTTCAGATAGTCTGCGTTTTACTGGTCAAGGTCTGCTTCGGTGTTGGTGTTGTTGCGAAGCTCATCCCAGTGCAGAGGAGAGGCGACGTCAGAGGAGAAAGTCGAAGTCGGAGGCGGAGGCGGAGGCGGAGGCGAAGAGTGTTACGGCCGTAAGGCGCACTTGGCTCGTAGGGCAAACCGTGGATCACTCGAGAGATGATAAATCACTCTGCAGAACAGGTTTTTCATCGTCGTCTTGAGGATCTCCGTCCGGGTCATCCATGGCGACACCTCTTCTCCCGGCGTCGTCATCGCATTCTTCCGCTTCGATTGCATCCGTCTCCCATGCACAGGCCGGGCCGCAGTCGTCGCTGGAATAGAATTCGTGTATATCTCCCGTGACAGCTCACTCCTTGCAAGCGACTCTGCACAGCGATGATTGATGCAGCATATTGATGAGACATATTGATGAAGCGTATTGATGGAGCGTATTGATGAAGCGTATGGATGAGGCATACCTATTGTGAGAGAGAGAGAGAGAGAGAGAAAGAGAGATCGAGAGAGACAGGAAAGAGTCGGACCTGCAGGCCAAAGTCTGTGCATTTGAGTTCGAGTCTACTCGACGTCACCTCTTGCACTTCAACTCCTTGACACATTCCGTCGTTGCCATCAACAACACATTTGCAAGTCAATCGCCCTCGACGGCGTCCGTCACATGTCAGGCCTCTTCACCAGGCAAATCCCGTGACAATTCCATCCTTGGCAACAGCGGGCTGTGGCCTTGTCACTGATGCCTGTCTGAGCTCCAAAGTCAAAAATCAATCCGATCATCAACAACAACAACAACCTCGAGAGAGTCTCGCAACAACCATTCCCGGCCCTCAAATCACAAACCCACCCACCGTAACCATGTTCACCACCCCCTCCGAACCCACCAAACAACGCTCCCGCAAACACTTCATACCCCTCGAGAACAACCCCGAAGTCATGACCTCCCTCCTCCACAACCTCGGCCTCTCCCCGCGCCTGCAATTCCACGACGTCTTCAGCCTCGACGACCCCGACCTCCTCGCCTTCGTGCCCCGCCCCGCCCACGCCCTCCTCTTGGTATTCCCCGTCTCCGCGACCTACGAGTCCTTCCGCGCCGCCGAAGACGCCCCCCTCCCGGAGTACACCGGCCACGGCCCCGCCGAGCAGGTCCTCTGGTACAAGCAGACCATCGGCAACGCGTGCGGCTTGATCGGCGTGCTGCACGCCGTCAGCAACGGCGCGGCGAGGAAGCAGATCACCCCCGGCTCGGAATTGGACCGGTTGGTTCGCAAGGCGATCCCGCTGGAGCCGCGCGCGCGGGCGGAGCTGCTGGAGGAGACGGAAGCGCTGGAGAGCGCGCACGCGGCGGCGGCCGCGACGGGCGACACCACGGCGCCGAATGCCGACGAGGATGTGGATCTGCACTATGTGTGTTTCGTCAAGAGCGAGAATGGGCATTTATGGGAGATGGATGGAAGGCGGAAGGGGCCTCTGGATCGGGGCGCGTTGGAGGGGGAGGAGGATGTTCTGAGTCCGGCGGCGTTGGAGAAGGGCGTGAGGGCTTTTTTGAAGAGGGAGGAGGAGGCTGGTGGGGGGGAGTTGAGGTTTAGTCTGATCGTGCTGGCAGAGGGGTTTGATTGAGAAGGAGAAGAAAGGTGGAATAATAATGCGTGCGATCCGAGGGAAGAGAGAGAGACATCATGACTTGCTATGCTATGCTATGCGATGCTATGCTATGCGATGCTATGCTATGCGATGCTATGCTATGCGATGCTATGCTATGCTGTAGAACGAGCGGGCGTACACACGCCATTTCACGACTGCAATGAAGATACCCCCCACACACACACAGTGTCTGCGGCGGCTGGGGGAGGTACGTACGGCTGCTGGAGGCAGTGCTGTATGATTTTCCCTTCATGCTCATAGAAGACTATAGAGAGCCTTTCAGAAGACATGTCATTCACAGACTCCAAGAACGCCTTTGATGCCCCGAGACCACCAAGTCGAAGGGCAATCATGCATAGAAAACAAAATATGCTCGCTGAACGCATCATCATCATTCAAACCCTCCCGCCCCCGTCCCCGTCCTGTCCCGCAAAACTTCCCATCACCCCTCATCTCCCTCGTCTCCCTCCTCCTCCTCCACCTCCTCCTCCATATCCACCTCCGAATGCAAATCCACCGCCTCACTCCTCCTCAAGTACAGATAATCCTCAAACGAGCCACACATGTTCGCAAAGCGCACATACTTCCCATTATCCACCCACGCCCCGCCTTTCCCGTCCTTCCCCGCCTCGTACCGCCCCATCTTGCCCAGGTCCGGGCGTGCCTGCATCCATCGAATTCCGTGCATGTCCGCGATGAAATCCGGGTCTTCCTGCTCTTCGCGCGCCCGCTTGCCCGCCGTCAGGAGGGCTTCCGCGTGCGGGTGGAACCACATGCGCGGCCACCAGCGGTACTTGAGCGTCTTGTCGCCCGTCATGTGGAAGAGGGGGAAGACGGTTTTCATGATGACGTTGGTGCCGAGCAGCATCTGTTCCCAGGTGGATTGGTTGGCGGAGGCGGAGGAGCGCGTCGCGGCGTAAGGGGGAGCGCTGTCGCGGACGTACGCGGGGAGTGGCATCTCGTCGATGCGCGTTTCCGTGCTGCTGCTGCTGCGGCGGCGGCGGGAGAGGTCGGCGGGTTTGGTGCTCCCGTTGAAGCGCATCCACGTGAGCCAGAGTTCGAAGCCCGCCGCCGTCTGGAAGACGTCGGTGTTGTAGTCCTGCAGGATGCCATATTCCGTCCTCTTGCCCGCGGGGATGTGCGGCACGATGCCCGTCTCGTTGGTCCCCGGCACGAGCGACGGCTGGAAGGCCTGCCCTTTCAGTTCCGCTTGTAATTTCCGCCTCATGACTTCCTGCTCCGCCCAGACTTCGGCGAAGTAGTACTGGTCCGAGGTGCGGAATTCCCAGCTCGAATCGTAAATCTTGGACACCATGTCCACCGTCGCGGCGAAGTAGTCTCTCATCTCCTTCGCCGGCCCCATGATGGTTCCGCTGTTCAGCCAGCGCGGTCGAGACGTGGGCGCGTCGGTGTCGGTGTCCGGACCAAAGATGTCCTCGGGCAATGGAGACTGCGGAACAGCCCAAGTCGCGGGGTCTTCGGGCCCTTGAGGCCAGTAGATCTTGTCTGGTCCGATGATGATCTTACTCTCAATCTTGTAGCCATTGATCTGCTTCCCCAGGATTCCATCCTTCTGGAGCCGCAAGTCATTCTTGCGGAGGACTTCGTAGTAGCGATTGAGGAGGACGTCCGGTCGAAGTTGGAGCCAGATGTCGTATGCGTCGAGAATGACGATCATGTCTGTATCCGCTTCCCGGGGTAGGGTTCGGAGGTAAGTGAGCGTTTCTGTGATCTTGAAGAGATGAGACTGGCTTCCATTGAAGATTCCTCTACCCTCCCATCCTATGAAGATTGGCTCCGGGTAGCCCAAGATTCCGCCGGAAAGAAGCAGTTTGCACAGGTCGATCGTGGGTCCTGTGGCGGGGAGAATCAGATGGATTTTACGGGTTAGGGGGTCGGGGGTCTTCGAGAAGGAGGGTATTGAGGGAGAGCCGTGGTAGAGTTGGAGGGAGACATCACGGATCGCGCTGAAGTGGTATCCGATGAGGAAAGGTCCAATGAGGACGAGCACCGAGGCGATGGTGAGGAGGAAGAAGCGCCGTCCCCGGTTCATTGCCGCTGGTGGCGTGTGGTGTCTAGCAGTCTGCTAGAGCGCATGAAGATGTCGGATGGCGGTGTTGTCGGAGCAGCGAATGACGTCGGTCTGAGATACTGAATTCATGAAGCCGATGAGTACATGTAGGTAGGGAGGGTCCTGGGAGCGCAAGCGGAAGCCGGAATGACAAGTGCTGCCGATGTTCGATGGCGTATGCGGAGTGAATCAGCCGACGAGGCGATAGAAGGTCGGGATGAATGTGCGATGTTGTCGAAGGGATTTCTGCTGGCGCGGGAGGAATCACACGCAGGAAGTTGGGCAGATGCCAAGAAGTCAGAAGCGAGATCGCCCTACGACAGTCCAATATTGGACATGTTTGCGGCTGAAGGGGAAAGGAAGAAGGCCAAGCCCGAACCGAACCCGATCTCCACCAGGCACAGGCACGCGGGAGGAGACACCGATTATTGTGCGACGAACACAGCGCCAGCAATCATCTCCAAAAGGCAGGGGGAAAGAAACGCCGGTACCTAGTAAATCACATGACTACGGTGCACACCTGACCTATCTCATCTCTTCCATCCCTTCCCGTGAACTGCCCAACTTATATCACATATGATCCCTCCGTACAGTAGCTGCCGCGTCACCAGCACTCACAGTCTCACACGGAGTCGGCTGCTCTGTTCCGTGAATAAGGCCGGCGAATCGTAGGTTCTGCGAATCCACACTCTCGCCATTCCTCAGCGCCGCGGCCTTCCTCTCCTCGCCTATCTGCCGATATTACTGTTGGAGGGGGTTGGATTGCGGCGAGGATGGGGATGCAAGGATTGCGTCGTGGTAGTGTCAGCACTACTACCCTTCACGGGCTCCACAATCCACATGTGAGGTTGGAAGCTTGGCAGATCCGGGAAACTGTGGGCCGACCAACCTAAATTGAGCCACACTTGCATGGGAGGGGGTACATTTGTGCACCAAAGGCCTGGTCTCGTGCTTGGCTCGTGTGGATTCGGATCTGGGGTGTAGCGGCGGCTGCCGTTTGCATGTGTTACACAACTAGTCGCTGTGGCGGGATGTTGCAGGTTGACTTCGTACAGGTAGACATCCCTCCACGCTTCGCATTCAATGCTGGTCCCGTCTCTCACGAGAGTTCCAGTGGAGAGTAATTGGAAAGTCCACAGCTGTTGTACAGGCAATGTATCGATATTCGCGGCCCTCAAGGCCTCAACCAGCGGAGTATCACGACTTCAACGCCCCTGGGGATGCACCAAAGCATCTAAGCCGCCCCCAGACGCCCTCGTCTAAAGACACTATTGAGCTCGCCCGGGACGCTGCCTGGGCGGCTTACCGATGCATTCCACTGTGAAGCCCAGGTCCGCGAGCTTCTCACTGTCAACGACATTCCGTCCGTCAAAGACCAGTCTGGGTCGCTTCATGGCGGCCGCGATTGCCACCCAGTCGATTCGCTTGCCCACTGGTGGAGAGTTCGCCGAGTGTGGTGCGTTGTGCCGCTCGAGAGGCGGCGTCCCGAGAGCACTGTCTGCGAAGTCACTACTTCCCGAGTCGGAGCTGTGTGAGCGAGAGTTGTTGGTGATCTTCCTGTCGAGCATCTCCTTTTGCAGGCTGCCGTTCTCCGCGGCGATATCGTAGATGTGATCGGTCTTGAACTCATCCCACTCGGTCAGAATGACGATCGCGCTCGCATCTTCACAGGCTGCGAAGGCATTCTCGTACACTTGAACCCTCTGCTTGATGACTTCCGCTGGATGTTCTCGTGCAAGATCTTGTCGTACTTGCGTCTCTGACACTTGTGGATCGTAGATGGCAATGCGGGCGCCTTCTGCAATAAGCTGCCCCACAATCGTAATCGCTGGGCTTTCGCGAGTGTCTCCGGTGTTCTTCTTATAAGCGAAGCCGAGGACGGCAATCTTCTTGGATCGTAGAGTGTTGTATAGGCGCTTTGTGATGCGCTTCGCAAATCTCTCCTTTTGGTATTCGTTGATGTCGACGACGCTCTTCCAATAGGCAGAGACTTCGGGTAGATGCAGTGTCTCTGCAATGTACGCGAGGCTGAGAATGTCTTTCTTGAAGCAGGAGCCGCCAAAGCCAGCGGAAGACTTGAGCATCTTGGAGCCAATCCGGGAATCCAGACCGACGGCGAACGCCAGTTCCTCAATGTTGGCGCCTGTAGCTTCACAGATGGCGCTCAGGGAGTTGATGCTCGATATGCGTTGGGCCAGCATGCAGTTTGCGGCTAGCTTGGCGAGTTCTGAAGACCAGAGATTGATCGTGATGATCCGTTCCCTCGGCACCCAGGATGCGTAAACGTGAGCCAATGCTTCCGCCGCATCTCTCCCCCTCTCGTTGGCCAGGGAGCCAATCAAGATGCGATCCGGTCGAAGTAGGTCGTTGATGGCGGTTCCCTCGGCCAAGAATTCCGGATTGGACAAGATATCGAACTGCACGTCAGGGGATGCGTGGGCATCGAGGATCTCACGAATGCTCTCCGCCGTTCCGCAGGGGACGGTACTCTTTTCGACGATGATCTTATCGCTGGTGGCGACCTCAGCAATGTGTCTCGCGGCAGATTCCACGTAGGCCAGATCAGACGCGCCCCCTGCACCAAGGCCTTCGGTCTTGGTAGGGGTATTGACGGCAATAAAGATTAGATCGGCATCCTCGATAGCCTTGGAGATGTTGGTCGAGAAGTGGATATTGGGTGCTCGATTGTCGGTTCCATCCCTCGCGACCTCGACCACTTGGTAGAGACCGGGTTCGTAGATGGGCAATGTGGTTGATTTCCACGCTTCAATGCGAGCCTCGCTCAGGTCCACCACGGTCACTGTGATGTCCGGGTTTTCCCGTGCAATGACCGCACTGGTTGGTCCCCCGACGTAGCCAGCGCCGATGCAACAGATGTTTTTGACCGGACGCGCGGGCACTGGGTAAGTCATGTTGCCGGGCGTTGATGCCGAAGGGGCATAGAATGGGGGATGCTGGCAGTGCGATGAGCAGATGGACTTTCCAGTTGCTGACCACTTGGCGAGAGTAGCACTTGTGTCAGTGGGTCCTACTTGACGACCGGACGGTATGCGAGATGGAATGCTCTGATGAGGCCCTCGGACTACTACTGTGATGAGGGCTTGGGCATGCACGACAGCTGTCGGTGGTATGGTACGGGGCACACCAACCGAAATGAGCGTGCAGGAGCGTGCAGGAGCAACGTGCAGGTCGCCGACGGTGGTGGACTGGGTGGAACGAACGGGTGGCAAGCGGCGTGTCGAGCGGTCTGATTGAGCGTGAGAGTCCGGATTCGTTCCTTGTGCAGTGCAGTGTGCAGGCGCTACGTCCGCCGTGGACGGAAGTCCCATTAGCAGGGATGCGTGGTGGCGGAGGTGCCGGGGGTCCAATCAGGTGTCGTGGTCGGAAGCCTTACGGCCAAGTGCGTCGAGGGGAGCACGCCATCTCGGTGCCAAGATGTCGTGCTCTCGTTAGATTGCAGTCGGCTGACACGATGCTTCGCATTTCATCGTCTAAGCAGAAGTGGATCGGGTGCGATGCGGGAGGGGAGATAGCGGTTGCAGACTCGGATGAGAACGGGGCTCCGGTGGCCGGCAGGGATACGAGGAGATACATCGCTACATGTCATGTACCTACTACGTGCGCGCAGAGGCTGATGATGGAGGTGGTGAAGGAGTTGGGATGGGATGAGATGGAGGAAGAGGGCAGAGATGGAATACGACCATACGGGCACGGATACGGGGCGGATGCGGACCGAGCCGAACGCCATGCAAGCGCCAACTCAAAAATGGGCGGTCTTATGATGCGGTGTTGCACACAGGGCTGATGAGAGCAACAATACTGTAACCTGTCAATGTTATCTCGGCAATAATACTTTTTAGAGTGATGAATACCAAACCGTGTCTCTCAGCCACAGGCGATGACGCAGCCCCGATAACGCATCTCCATCTCTATCATCATCATCATCATCATCATCATCATGTTGATATCAAGCACGCGGACCGCCAAGGCGCAATTTACGCATGGGCATCACTCATCCAACCCATCTTCGTCCTGCTCCCCGGCCGCTGCTGAAGACTTGGCTTTCTGCTGGCTTTCTGCTGGCTTTCTGCTGAAGACTTGGCTTCCCGCTGCCTTCCCGCCCAAGACCTGGCTTCCCGCCCGCCTTTCCCCCGGTGTCCGCGGATCTTGACCTTCACGGCGGCCATTCCCTTGTCCGAGCTCAGCTCAGCTCCGCTCAGCTCTCCCCCTCGAAGAATCACACGTTCGGTGCAAGCCAAGAGGATCACCGACCGAGCTCGCGTTGATGATCTCGTGAGACTCCGATCATGCTCGACAGCAACGACAGACCAACCTCCACCCACCTACCGGAAGGCCAGCGAGTGTATTCCATGGATTCGGCCGAACGCTCTTCTGCCTCAGACGAGGCCGTCGAGCTTCTGGACCAGGAGGAAAAGGACCTCGAAGGCCAGACTACTCCCGCTAGTCAACACGCGGCTCGACACTCGCCTCAGCAGTCGACGCCAGCAGAGTACTCGACCTCGACGCGCAACAAGTTCACATTCCTCGGCCTCTACTTCATCTTCAACCTGAGCGTCACGCTGTCCAATAAAGGCCTGCTCGCCACCGTGAGTGTGCCGAGAGTGCCGCCAGCGGACAACATCTTGCTAATGTTTCCCTCAGATATCCTTTCCGTGGCTCTTGACCTTCTGTCACACCTTTGCCACGTCCATCGGATGTACAGTGCTGCTGGCTGCCGGTCAGCTGAAGCTATCGAGACTCTCCGGCAAGGAGAATCTAGTCTTGATTGCCTTCTCATTCCTCTTCACATTGAACATAGCCATCAGCAATGTCTCCCTGTAAGTGCCGAGGCGGCAAAGGGTCTTGGATGTGTGCTGATCCATCTACACAGCGCTCAGGTCTCGGTTCCCTTCCACCAAGTCATGCGATCAACTTGTCCGGTGGTGACGATTCTCATCTATCGACTCGTGTACAGCCGGACATATTCCACTCCGACCTATCTGTCAATGATCCCCCTCATCATCGGTGTCGGTCTGGCGACATTTGGCGACTATTACTTCACCCTCGTGGGATTCTTACTTACCCTGCTCGGAGTATGCTTGGCCTCGATCAAGACAGTCGCCACTAATCGCCTGATGACCGGTTCCCTCAAGCTCTCGGCGATGGAGGTCCTCTTCCGCATGTCGCCTCTGGCTGCCATCCAGTGTCTCCTCTACGCCATCGGAAGCGGTGAATTGGGCAAGTTGCAAGCCGCAATCGGCGAGGGCGTCTTCACCCCACATCTCATCATGGCCGTCATCGGTAATGCATCAATGGCATTCGCCCTCAATCTGGTCTCATTCCAAACCAACAAGGTCGCGGGAGCCTTGACAGTCTCAGTCTGCGGCAATGTAAAGCAATGCCTGACCATATTGTGAGTTTGCCAAGCGCAGTCCTAGAGTTTCCGAAGCTGACATGCTCCATCACAGGCTCGGCATCCTCCTCTTCCACGTCAGGATTTCACTTTTGAATGGCATCGGCATGTTCATTGCCGTGGCAGGTGCAGCATACTATAGCAAGGTGGAGCTGGATCGAAAAAAGGCAGCAGCGACATAGCGCGGCGGTAATGCTATGTGTTGTTGCGCCACACTTCAGGCTTTTCTACCATTACAGTACGCCACCTCCTGTCTTTCGTATCGGCTGATCTCCTCCACCCCTGCCATGTCTCGAGCGATGTAGGTTTGTGACCCCGGGATCGTCCGACGGTACCTGTCCTGTCAACCGTGCTGTCGTGTCGGTCCGTACGACGGCAAGATCCTCCGTCTGCGAGTACGGCCGCACGGGAGAAAACTGATCCTGATACGCATCCAAGAACAACGCCTTGCGGCCCGGCGATGAACAATAGTGCAACCGACTTTCTTGTCCTCCCTTTTAGCCGAAGCAAGGGCCGAAGTAAGGTGAGCAGCCTCCCCTACAACACTTGCCCTCTCGGGGTTAAGATTGTATTACTTCTTCCCTCAGGTCACATGGGCACCCTTGCTATCAATGCTTTCACCCATCGCTCCATTTATTCAAAAAATTCTCCGAGTCATGATCTCCCAACATCACCTCGATGGCGGTTCAGGTTGTTCCTCGCTACCTCTCGTTGTAAATATTCCAGGATGAACCCTTTTTGGCAGATGCCCTCTGCTTTGCGGGAAACAGTACAGAGTCTACTACAATCTCTCGACAGACGGGATGGGCCCAGACAGAAGGACGACGAGCCCGACGAGGATGCCATTGCATTACTCGAAGATAGCGAGAGGGAGGCCCCTCCGATCCAGAAGCAGCCGCTTCCACCGAGGGTCGAAAAGTCAACGTCTCGCAAGAACTACATCGTCGTCATTGGCATCGCTGCCCTCTTCATCGGCCTAATTGCAATTTTTCACAGCAGGAGTGCTTCATCACAAGGTACAGCCGCAACCGAACAAGCGACGTTCAATGACCTGAAAGAAACCCGCTATAATGATTACTTCCACGTCCTCATCCCTGGAACTTCGGACTCGTCCGCGGACTTTTGCAAAACGATCGTCAGCGGAGCGGTGTTGAACTATCCGACCCCTTGGGCCATTGTCTACGATACGACCAATGCGACAAGGACGGCATTCTCCAAGATCGAACGAGTCTCTGCGTGGATGAATCGCATGCCCGAGCAGAATGATCCGGATCTCGTCGCGGTCATCGGCAACGCTCGATCGTCGTGGTTCCAGGTGCGGCCGGAGGTTCTCATTCAACGATATCTGGACATTCGACGGAAAGAAGAACATCGGCTCGACGATCTGTTCCCTTCGACCACCGCCACGCGCGCGCAGCAGTACCCGAAGAGCCGAATCGTCTTCTCCAGCGAACCGGTCTGCGCGCTGGAGGATTCCTCGCAGTGTCTGGAAGTCCCAGCACCGGACGGATCCGTGCAATTCCTGAGTACAGATATTGCGATTGGGCCGCTCCGAGATCTGCGGGAGCTGTGGAGGCAGGCGACGTCCGTGGCCAACCAGACCATCCTCGCGAACCGCGTCGTGCACGAACATGGAGTCTTCACGGGGCTGCTGCGGAGACAGACGGCACATCGGGAATCCATCGACCATTTCCCCTCCGTCAGCGCCGCGGGCAACCTGCACTTCAACGAGCGCAACGAATTCGGCATCACGCTGGACTTCCACCGCGAGCTCAGCTACGCCGCCGACGACAAGCTCGAGGGCGTCAGCTGGCTGGAACCCTCCGACGAGCGCTTCGCCCTCCTGAAACTGCCCCCGGACATCGCCGACTCCCAGCCTCCCTTCTGGTCCTACAACAAATCCCTCGAACTGCCCCTCGAGAAGAACTGGAGCCACGTCTCCCTCCTCACCGACGTCCGCTCCAACGTCATCCCGGCCGTCATCCACCGCGGGCCCCGCGCCGCTTTCAACCTGACGACGTCGTGGTGGGCGCAGATGTGGTTCCATCCGCACGCCCGCAAATTGCTCGACAACTTCGCCGCGACGCCCATGGATCCCATCGCGCTCGTGACGGGCGAGGATGGCCGCTCGCGCCGCTTCTGGAGCCCCATCCGCGAGCGCGTCGGGCTCAAGACGGCGAATGGTGTTTTCCATGAGTTTGATGGCATCTGTGGGGGCGGGGAGGATTGGAGGGAGATCTTCCTGGATGACTTGGGACGTTGGCAGGATCCGTCGCCTTGATTGATTAATTGATGGACGGAATTTTCTGCGGAGGTTTTGTGGAGATTGGGGCCCCGTCTACCCCTTGGGCGCCACCATTTCATGGACACCCAGCCGCTCGTTTCGGGAAGGAAAGCTAGCTCGGCAGCTGCTGCGATAAACGCCTTTGCAACTTGTGTAACATATCTTGAATCACCCGGTCTCCTTGCCTGGCTGGAATCGGATGCCTTTTAACAGACTTTGCTACTATGTCGATCGAACTCGCCGGGAATTCACACGGCACATGTTAGCCATCACCCATCTTCCCAGAGGAGAAGTGACATGAAAACTTTGCCCATGCCATGGCTAAAGAAACCACCACACCTCAAGACTTCTCCTGTGGTGCGTCTGTGTCTGTCCGGAAAAACCAGCTGATCCGCCTAATTCTGAGCGCAAGCGCCGCGATTGCTACTCTCGTGCACCAAAAGACTCGAGACGACTTTCCAGGGGAGAGAGAGATACCGATTCTTTTGCTGAGCTGAGGGATCTCAGCCAAGACTCGAGGTCCCGTCATCGGACGCTTGATCGATCACTCCTCATCTCAGCTTTGCTCTGTCCTACCTACATCTGGGGCGATGCCGAAAATTCACAGCCTCTATATTATACGGAGTAGAGGGAGGGAGCGACGCGGCCGAGCGCTCCGTGAGCGCACTAGGTACCGTCTTCTACCGTATGCCATCGTCGAGGGAGATCGGAGGACTGTGGTGGGGGTCGCTGTCGTCTGCATGCATCAATCGATCAATCATTGCGACGACCTCCACAAGTAAAATCACCAGGTGATGGATGTAAATGGAGGAAAACTTCCATGAAAGCTTCACCCATCCCCTGGATGAAAACGACGAAAGCGGCATGGCATGAGAGCACTGGATCTCTTCACACCACACACAGGGCGAAGGTCATTCCATTCCGTTTTCAGCATGCTCCATGGCGTCAAGCCTCGCCATCCCAAGCTTGCTCGGTAGATAGACATCATCCAACGGCCGTGGTCATCTTAATTTTGATTTCGAATGCTACAGGAAGCAAGGTAGTGCGATTTGATAGCAAAAGAAAAAAGAAAGAAAGAAGAAGAAGCCATCACGCAACTAACTGCGCTCCTCCTCACTATATAGCTATATATCTCCCGGCGAAATCAAAAATCAAAAAGCTTTTCGGTGCTGCTGGGCTTGCTTCCTCCTCCTCCATCTCCTCAATCGCGAAACGTAGACCGCGAAAGCTCATCCAATCGACCATGAACCCCCCTCTTCGACCTTGCTCCTGAAAAGCGGACCTGGGACTCTACTGAGCGCTTTCAACAAGATGATGAAGCAGCCAGCGGGCTTGCAAGACTACATACAGCAGCGTACCAGTGCGTGAAAAATGAGAAGACGTCGAGAATCGAGGAAGTGCAGAGGACTGACTGACTGACTGCGAGAGGATGTAGCGATGCTATGCTACTCAGAACGTGGTTTGGACTTCTTTTTGCTCCGTATCTGGCGAATTCAATGATCTTCGGAACCTTCAGGCCACTCTGGGCCAGGAGTGATGTCTCAGCTCTCGTGGCTTCATAGTCTATTTCATTGTATGAGACCAGATCTAGATATCGGGAAAGAGATAATAACTCGCACTCGTAGCTCTATTTGAAGTACTAAGACCAAAACCTATATCTATTGGAAGTTCGAATTGGTGTCCGCAGCAACAACAAATCAACTCGTCGGGCTCGCCGTCGGAGTCGTAGCCGCAATAAACTGCCGCCGATGGTAATCGCAACAATAACCCTGCAGGTCCGACGAGGCCGGGCGGGCACCGACAATCGCATGGCTGGCAGCGGAGGGTGAGATGTCCTGCACTTGTCCAACGTTGACCGGCGCACTATTCTCCACGGGCTGCAAGCCATCGCGAACCACATACACCCGGCCCTCCCAAGGCTTGAGCTTCTCCTTGGGCTCCGGCTGTGTGCTGGCCAACAGAGTGTACGTGTGCCCGAGCAAATGGCGTTGCGGCGTGTTTAGGGGCAAGTGCTCGTTGGAGAAGTTCAAGATGACCAGTGCCGTCTGCCCGTCCACTGCCATCTTGGTATATGTGAACGTCTGCTCGTTGTCGAAGTCGTACAGGGCAAAGGTGCCGAACATGAATAGCTCTCGGTACTTCTTTCGATTCGCGATCATTTTCTTCCAGAAGTTCCAGATACTCTCGGGGTCGGCCTTTTGCTTCTCCAGATTGAGCCAGTGGTAGTTGTCGTTCACTTTCATCCACGGGGGGACCGCGTCTGCGAAGCCGGCGTTGGCTTCGCCGTTCCATTGCACTGGCGTACGTGAGTTGTCTCGGCCGACTTTGAAGATACCTTTGAGCGCAGTCTGCCAGGCGTCACGCTCCTGTGGGTGGAGGTCGACATAGTCCTTCAAGTAAGTGATGGCGTCGGGATCTTTGAATTCGGTATGGCCCCAGTTCTCGGGCATGTTCATCATCCCCATCTCTTGGCCTTGATAGATGAACTCAGTTCCCGACAGCGTGGTTTGTAGAAGTGCGAGAAGTTTGCCAGCCTCTCGCCAGTACCTGTGCTCGGGAGTAGCGTATCTGGCGATACTGCGCGGCTGATCGTGGCATTCCATGAAGACTGTTGCCCAGGCATTGGTGTCTGTGATCAGAGCTTGCACCTTCTGCACGGCCTTCTTGAACAGAGGCAAGGTGTAGCTTGGATTCTTATCCATGTAGTTGGCAACCTCATGCTTAGCATACTCGTCGGGGTTGTCGTTATTACCCAGCTTGACCATGTCAAAGTCGAATACCATGCTGAGCTGCTTCTCCTCCGGCTTGACGTAGCGCAGGATCTCTTCGTGAGGAGTCAGAGGCAGCTCACCAACAATCATGATGTCTCTCCCAGGAGCATCACGGTCGATCTTGGCGCGGATCTCCTGGAGCCACTCGTGCATCTTTGGTCCGTTCATGTAGTATTTGCTACCGGGCTGCCATCTTCCAGGCACTGTAACTTCGACGTCCGGATAGGTAGTATCCTTGCAGAAGCGATTCGCCGTGTCCAAGCGGAAGCCATCGACGCCACGATCTAGCCAGAACTTGACTGCCGACTGGTATATAGCTTCACGCATCTCAGCGTCTTCCCAGTTGAGATCTGGCTGGGAGGGCAGAAACAGGTGTATATAGTACTGCTCACGTTCTTCTGCCCATTCCCACGCACTACCACCAAAAGCCGCGCGCCAATTTGAAGGTTCTTCGACCAGCTCCCCATTTATCATGTTGCTGGGACGCTTGTCCGCCCACATATACCAATTCGCCTTTGGATTATCTCGCGACTTCCGGCTCTCCTTGAACCAAGCGTGCTGGTCACTCGTGTGGGTGATGACGAGATCAAGCAAGATCTTCATACCACGAGCGTGAACTTCTTTGATGAGCGTTTCCATGTCTTCGAGAGTGCCGAATCTTGGGTCCATGTCTTCGTAATCGGCGATATCATAGCCCCAGTCGTCGAGAGGCGATTTGTACGTCGGCGAGACCCAGATCACGTCGACCCCAAAGTCCTTGAGGTAGTCAAGCTTGGCAATAATGCCTCGGATATCGCCAATACCATCAGCATTGGTGTCTTTGAAAGACATAGGCCATACTTGGTAAGCCACTACACCCTTCCACCAAGGACGTCCTTTGGGGTCCTGCAGATTTGGGTAAATGTGGCTTGCCGTGCTAGGCTCAAGTGCCTCAATTGGATCATGGTTGCTGGTTGCATTGGGAGGGTCTGGAGGGCTTCGATCGCTGTCGTTCTTATCCATCTTGTTCTTACACAGTCTTCCCTGCGGGTGTAGTCTCCGGTAATGGTCAGGTAGTTGAACCGCTTTGGTGTTCTGAAGATGGCCCTTTCGAGTAGCAGCGGTCGACCTCATGGGTATATAATGTGGCTCTATAGGTTGTTGCGGCATTTAACTCATTAGTGAAGACGTGACATACGAGCCTGCTGATGGTGAAGGCTGGACAAGTATGCCCCATCTGACACTGCTAGAAGCATGCCGTGGGAACGAGAATGTGGTGGAAGAGGTTTGCTTGCACGCAGTAAACAACGTACTCCCAGACGGCTCGTGAATGGACAGTCATGTGCATCGAGCAAGATGTCCGGCGTCGTCGTCAGTAATTGGCAAACATAGCAAATGGAACTTCTCTGCGGGCTTTCCTCGTGAGCTGTTCTTTCACGGCCGTCAGTATTCGATGGAATCTTAGCCGCAGTGACGCCGTAGCTGATCACTTGATGCATAGTCCGCAAGATGTCTTCACGTTTCTTTGTCGTCAACAACCAGGTAGTGGCAATAGTCAGGATCCAGGAGAAGAAGCACTTAACGCGAGCTTCACGCGCGTGTCGTTTCCTGGGCAACCCCAGGCGCTCGGACCAATTCCTTTCCATATCTCAATGACATGCATCTCCAATTACCTTCTTTGCATAACTACAACCAGCAAATCTACCAATAGCACCAGAAAGCATGCCTCCCAAACGTAGAACTACCGCGCCACCCACCGCGTCCGCGCAGCGACAGCAATCTACACTCTCCTTTGCGGGCAAGAACAGCAAAGTCACCAAAGCATCATCCCCGCGAAATGCGAAATCGACGAAGAAAGATCCGGCGCTATTTGAAGACATCGCACACACGGACGTGAAAGCCGAGGCAGAGCCAGATGTCGACGAGACTACCACTTCTGAGGCCGCGATAGAGGATCGAGCACGAGACGAAGCACCAGCTGCCGATCCGCTCGATGGAGAGGTCAAGACGGAAGACGTATTGGGCGGTCGCGCAGAAGAAAGCGATGTAGGCGCAATAGGAGGGATAGGCTCAGGCTGGGTAGGCGATGAAGAAGCCGAAGCCCGAAAGATCTCGCAAGCGCAAATAAACAAGTACTGGCGAGCCAAAGAGCAAGAACGCAAGGCGCCGAGAGTACATCAGCAGGATCTGAGTGTGCATGAAAAGATTCTGCGGGAGTGGGATATGAGTGGACAGTACGGAGTGAGTCTACTTTGATTGGTATTGTGAGACGCTCTGGAGACTAACATGCTGCAGCCATGCATTGGTATTGCCCGCTTAAAGCGGTGGAAGAGGGCGAATGTGCTCGGCTTAAACCCTCCTATTGAAGTTCTTGCGGTTTTGCTCAAGGAGATGGATGGTGGAGACAGCAAGTCGCAGAGAGCGTATGTTGACGAGCTGATGAGCTCGAAAGTTGTGGAGACTTAATTCATTGCTGGGGAGCTACTGTACAACATGCGCATGCAATGGCGTTTTAGGAGTTCGGTGGCTGCTGCACGATGGGCAATGCATTGGATCACGGCACCAGCGGACGGATTTGCTCGGAAGTTACGATGGTTAAAGATTACTCTCGCTGGACTACTGCTGGAGTGATGGCAAAGTTCCCTTGTCGATGTGAGAGATACAGAAGTTTTACCTGAGTTTGGTTTCAAGACTTCCTGCAAACGCGTGTATTCTTCATAGAGTCATGCATATTGGTTATGGTCGGCCTGAAATGGACTTCATATCTCAATACAACCCATACATACAAAGGCGCTCACTCGCCCATCTCACGTGCTGCTCTAGTCCAGGTGCAGTGTGGCGCCCTTCAACGCCGGTAAATGCTCCATTTGGGAAGGGATCTCCTCGTGCCCGTATTCATACTGTTTTGCTTGCGTAGTGTAGCGAATTCGACTAGCTTCCAGCAGCTGATTCGAAAGGGTTCGCGCTTCCACTGAGGAGTAATCCGATGATCAGACCAAAAAGTCCGAGCACAGAGGAGAAGATCTCGATGACGAGAACTTTCACAAACCTGCAAGATGTTAGGCTTCGGTTCCACTGCTTAGGCTTTTCCGTATTCACTCACAGGCTCGCATCTGCCGCATCGGCCAATGCAGCACTTGACCCGTTTATCCCTACACTGATTCCACACACCAAGTTGCACGCTCCTACCAACAGTCCTGACCAGAAGAGCGCAAAGCCAGTAAAGTAGTTTCCAGCTGAGTATACACCCTCGTCCGAGACGGGCTCCAGTTTCGAGGATAGGATGATGCTGATGATGACGCCGTAGATGGCCACGACTTCGCAGAAGATGATGGAGATCAAGTTCTTAGTCCGGATTCGAGGTGCCTTGACACCAGCTCCAAGAATCGATGTGCCAGTGATGAAGATTCCCCTGCCATATCACTCCTTATTAGCTCCTTCTTGACCTGACCCGCGATGTCTCCTCTTGCTCTTTCACTGACCATGCTGCTCCCACCACTGACAGACCAATACAAAGCGCGATTCCGGTCGCTGCCCACGCGTAGGGTGATATCGATTCGATGAAAGCGCCGACATTAAAGGCCTCTCCTTCGCCTTGGAAGAGCATGTCTGTGTCGGGCCATGTTAGCTTGCCTCTTCTTGGCCGTGCTCCCAATCGCGTGTTGCGTACAAAGACCGATGACCACAAGAGCCGTGCCGGCTCCAGAGGAGCCATAAGTGAGACCGCCCATCGTTGTTGTGAGCGGCGCGAAGGTAAAGGCAAAGACGAGTGAATGTCCCAAGCTGCCTAAACCTGTCGATGCATGACATCTTGGGAGCTGCGGTACTGGATGCAAGCCCGTGCGCATGCTTAGTCAATACTTAGTAAGTGTCCAGCCGGTTGAGGTACACCCAGAACGTAAGGTACTCTTTGACTCTCGCTTTCACCTCCAACACACCCGCACATTTTATCGGCGCATATCACACGAGGACGTCTCAGAGCTCGTAGCACCCAAGTCACCGTCGCAAGATCATAAGCGAACCAGACCGCGAAGATGGCGCAGCCGCAGGGCCAGCAGGGCTACTACGAGCTCTACAGAGGCACCTCGTATGTGGCTTGCTTGCAGCCTTCAACGGCATGCGTAAAGACACATGTTCACTGACTTTCGCAACAGCATTGGACTCGCTCTCGCAGATACGCTCGACGACCTGATTAGCTCTCGGCGCATCGAGCCACAGCTAGCGATGCGCATTATGGCCAATTTCGACCAGAGCATCGCGACAGTATTGGGCGATAAAGTGAAAGCAAGGATGAATTTCAAGGTACGATGGATAATAACGTGGTTATGATTAGTGGGTCTGATCATGCGCAGGGACATCTCGACGTATACCGCTTCTGCGACGAAGTCTGGACATTCGTGATCAAAGATGTGAAATTCAAGATGGACAACGCCTTCCAAATGGAAGCAGACAAGGTCAAGATCGTCGCTTGTCAGACGAAGGATAAGGCGGCCTAGGGGAAAGCCACACCTCCGCCGGAGAAGAAGGACAAGAGCAAGAAGAAGAAGAGCACCAGCGCCCGCGCCCGCGCCCGCGCTAAGGTGCCCATCGAGCAGCACAATGGAGAGCGAACGGGCACAGAGCCTGTGCTTGAGAGGGACACTTCATTTGACATGACCATTGGTGAAGTCTTGGATGAGCCAACCATCAATATTGGACGGAAGCAAATCCGAGCTATGAATGATGCCGAAGCCAAAAAGCGAATCAAGCGAGAAGATTCGCTGTTTTCATGATTGCGATTGCTTGCGAAGGCTCGCGGTCCCGGAAACCCTAGATTCAGGGCTTCACGCGCATGGAGTTTACAAGGGAACGCAAGCAGGTCACGTTCCAACATGATACCCATGAAGAACGTACGAGGGAATAGAGAGCCTTTCATATCTAGATTGTAGGACCAGATTCGTTATTAGCACCACGTTTAGAGATACAAGCTTCCAATTTTTGAATGCATTTGAATGTATACTATGTTGTGACTTAGCAACATCTATAGTCCACCAAAGGATCATCCGACTCCTGATAGCCTGGTCCAAGCGGCGCGATGCCAAGCCAACAGCTAACCTCACGGGCACTCTTGAAGGCATTCCATCTCTCTCATCGCCAATCCTACACCACCGTTCATCATGCCACAACAACCCAAAACACAATGGCTCTTCTACGCCATCGTATCTGGATGTTGCGCCGCCCTTAATGGCGTTTTCGCCAAACTCACAACCACACAACTCACCACCACATGGGCAACCGCAGTCTCCCATCTCTTCGGCATGCAAGAACCGAGTATCTTCGTTGAGTATCCGATACGAGGAGTACGTGCATTGTCTTCGAGGAGAAGAATGGAGAGAAGGGTGGAAGCTGACGTGATGGTCTTGTAGTTCTTTTTCGCCATGAATCTCGCCTTCAACGCTGTGATGTGGGGCCTTTTCACCCGCGCCCTAACATTGGCCAGCAGTACCGTGCGCGTCAGCGTGATAAACACAAGTGCGAATTTTGTCATAACGGCGATTCTGGGGGCGATTATCTTCTCGGAAGCGTTACCTGGTAAAACATATCGTTGTCCCTTTCTGCCTTCGCTAATGACTTGGCAGGTCTCTGGTGGCTTGGCGCTTCCATGCTGGTAGCTGGTTCCGTAGTTATTGGAAGTCGAGAAGAGGGGAATGAAGATATTGGGGCTGCTGGGACCGCTGGTGCAGAGCCGGCAGTGGCAGCCTCAGATGGGTATGCTGATGAGCCGGATGCTCCTCCGCCAAGCGCAGTAGGCAGCACCTCAAAGCATTTCCATGGCTCAGATGGCGCTTACAGGGACAGCATCGACGAGGAGATCGAATTGAAGCCAGCCCAAGCACGACGGAAACGAGAAGACGGAGAAAGTGATGATGAAATCTAAATTCAAGATTGAAATGAGGACAACCTCGAATTTATTCTTGTGCGATTCTATCCAGGACCAATGAAAAGCACAGTGTGGATCTCTCACGATTCTCTGGCAAACCGTCCTATGGATATCTCCATGCTTCAAAAGAATTACAATTTCAGCTGCTCAATGTGCAGCACCGCGGCATAGAGACCAAGGACGCAGGCCAGGACACAAAAACCAATTTCCCACTTGGCCATGCTGATTGACCTTGTGGCGGACTTGCTGGCAGAGGAAGCATGTGCGAGTTTCGCAGGGCTGATCGCACCCTTCTTGTCATTGTCGGAAGTAGAGCCGGCTTCTTGACACTGAACGGAGCCAGCGTTTGCCCCGGCATTCTTCTTTGCCCTTTTCCTTCTCGCCGCTCGCTTAGCATTTTTGGCAGTAGAGGGTGCAATAGAGGGTGCAGTAGAAATATCCGCCAAACTCTCCAAGGCCGCGTAGGTCTGGGAGAATGTGAGTCGGGCGGTCTCAGTCTCGTTGCTCTTTGGTCGTGTCGCAATACTGGTGGTGACGAGTCCCTCTGCGTCAGGCTCCGCACGAGGCCTAGCGGAGTGAGCCTTCTTGATATTGCTTTCCATCAAGGCTTCAGAAGTTTGGCTAGAGACAAAGTGCTCTGCCATTTCGGAAGAAGCTTGCGAGTAGCGTTTGGTGTATGCACGGTCGATCGCTTGCTGTTCTTTCTCGCCTTCTGTGTCGTCAGGCTGGACGTAGGCAGGCTCTTCGTAGTTGATGGTTGAGTCATCTTCTTGCAGGCTCATGCCAGAGTCAATTCGACTGCGAGCCTCAGTGGGCAGGAAATCCATAAGTGGTCTCTCGATCGTCGGGCTTTTGATCGCTGGTGGCATCGTGGAGTCCACCGATTTTGAATGGGGTAGATATCGTGTGTGATAGGACAGGGAATGATTCCTAGGTGTCCTGGTTTGAAGAACACTGCGAGGGTCGCGTGCTCTTTATAGTAATGGACTCGTGAGGACAACGCCGTGCGCCAAGCCCATGAGGACTACTCTTCAGGAGGACATCCAATCGTGAGAACCCACCAATCGCCCAACACATTTCCGATGACTTGCACAGATGCCTTGGTAACGTGAGCTCGTCACGGCACGAGGCGAGGCATGTTGAGCATTGCAATGGCCTCGTGCCTTCACCCATGTCGTGGGGTGTCGCTTTACATTCAGGTGTCGGCTTCGCACTCAGCTTCTTTAGCTGCATAGAATCGGCTCTCATGATGACAGATCGCGCTGATGCATAGTGTGATTTGTGTCTCATCGAGTATTTCGGCTAGATTGTGACTGTTGGTAAAGGTGAGGTTGGAGAAGAGGGAACGGACGCACTCGGCAAGACTTCGGCAAAGAAGACCGAACTTCGACTTCGAGAGGACTTTCCAAAAACTTTCCTCCATCAATACCAGCAACATGTCAATACGAAAGCGCAACGAGTTTCTTGAGGGAGATGACAGTGATGAGGAGGTCGACCACGGCTTCGAATCGGAAGAGGAACAGGGAAGAGGCGCGATTGGAAGACATACACACAAGCGGCGCAAAACCGAATCGGATTCAGAAGCGTCATCTGGGGACAACCCAGGCGATGAGGATGCAGAAGGCGAGGGAGTGAAAATTGCAAAGGCTTCGTCGTTTGGTGATGCGCGATTCGACATCTCCAAATTCGACAAAGAGGACGAGATCCAAGATGCGCCGCAAGATGACGACGAGGACGATGAACGATCCGATCACGACAGAATCAAGCCCACCAAACCCATCAAGAATCGCGCGGAGAAAGAGGCAGCGAAGGCGCAAAAGGCTGTGCGAAAGTCAGGCGTGGTTTACATATCTCGAGTGCCCCCGTTCATGAAACCGCAGACCCTCAAGCACTTCTTGGAACCGCACGCAAGAAAGGGAATAGGGCGCATCTTTCTGACACCCGAGGATCATGTCGCACACTCTAAACGAGTAAAGAGCGGGGGCAACAAGAAGAAGTCATTCACAGACGGATGGGTGGAGTTCAATTCAAAGACGGAGGCCAAGATGGCAGCGGAGACTCTGAACGGCAACATTATCGGTGGAAAGAAAGGGAACTTCTACCATGATGACCTATGGAACATGAAATATCTCAAAGGTTTCAAGTGGCATCACTTGACGGAACAGATTGCGAATGAGAATGCTGAGCGTGCCGCGCGAATCAGGGAAGAGATTCGAAGATCGAGGAAGGAGAACAAGGCTTTTGTGGAGGATGTCGAGAGAGCGAAGATGCTGGAAGGTATGGAAAGTAAGAAGAAGGCCAAGCGGGAAAGAGAGCGCAAATCCAGCGTGGCGGACGACCAAGCCAGCAAAAGCAAACAGGCCAGGGAGTTCAAACAACGACAAGCGCGGTATCAGGATGGCAAAACTGTGGACAAGGGACTGGTAACCAGTAGTGGTAGCGCTCTGCGGAAAATTTTCTGATGAGGCTGCCGTCTGGGGATCCAGATCCCTCGATGAGCACGGAAACATGGATTCTCAAAAGTTGCTGCAGTCTGCTTAATTCCTCACCGACTCGAACCTGACGCATCGCATCTGCCCTATCCCTATGAGTCCAATAGCAACCAAACAACCTGCAGCGATGCCAGAACAACCATCGACGCCGCTACTGTTTCCATCTGTGAACCAACTCCAGTAGATGAGGGTGACGGCGAACTCGTCTGCTCGGATCCTCCAGCCGTGGTGGTATTGCTCACCAGCACGAGATTCGTCCCGTTAAGGCCTGTGACGACCGCAACCTCACCCGGTGGCTGGGTTGTACCCGGTGCTGCTGTCAACGGTATGGTCACCGTGAAAGGTTGGTAATCGCAAGGTGCGCTTCCCGACAAGGTCGGCAATGACGAAGGCCAGCCGGAACACTTGCAGGAATCCGGTAAACCATCGTGAGCGGCGGCTTGGTGAGTGCACCCAGACATTGTCCGAATCGTTTGGTTCGACTGAGGTACTGTTGTGCTGGCGGGAACGGGGACGACTGTGACTGTCGCTGCGCTCGTCTCTGCACCAACAGGTGCGACCAATCCACCTGCCGCGCCTGCAGGTGCCGGATGAGGTCGTGGCTCTGATCCTCCCCTGCTATCTGGTCAGCACGGTCTTTCTTTTAATCACAGTGGCAGCAACCGAAGCATACATTGTCGGGCCAAACGCTGCCGCTGCAGCCATGCCACCGATTGCTGGACCTGGAAACCACATGTTCGTCTGATAAAGCGATGTGAATGAGTAGAGTCTCCGCGAAATCTTGTTTTTGCCATGATTTCGGTGGGAACTTGCGCTTTCTTATTCAACATGCTGCCTGCTACGCAGCAGTAGCCACCCATCGTTGCTGTTTCACCATAGAACTCAGACCTGTTCTCGCCATCTGTTTAGACTCGCGCTGGAGGAGTTACTGTTGGCTGCAGACGAAGTCGACTGTGCCGTACGCCTGCATCATGGAGAAGGATTTGGTTCCTGGGCCCCACGATCGCAGCTTTTCCAAGCAGAGCAGAGCAGGCCTGGAGCAGAAGCCGCGAGTCTTCCTCTGCGCAGTCCAAGTAATCGAGTAGAACTGCGAGACTCCGAATTCCTGCGAAGACGACACTTAGGGACACATTGATGGCAGAAGACCGATGGTGCGACGTTATCTTACAAGCGCTCCGCGCAGATTCCGTTCCAACTGCACTGCCCTCTTACCACGCCGCAATTGTCGCAGTCTGTTGATGGCAGGAAAACAACTGGCGTGTATATATGCATGGTTGAGCTCGGCGGCTACTGGAACACATCCGCTGATCTCCAGGATTCGGCGCTTAGCGGTGGAACAGATCAGCTTTCCTGAAGACCCTAGACAAGAAGCGGCGGAGCGACCATTACAACAAGACTGAGATCGATCGTGATAATTCTGAGGTAGAGGCTCATTTCAATTCTGCAAACAAATAATCCGCAACAATGCAAACCTCCACATCTTGAACCTAAAAACTTAGCCCGATTAAAAGCCGTCTCTGCGCCTGGAAAAAGTATCACTATCGCTGCTGCCTCCAATCCTGGACCTCTTGGCGGTTAAAGACCCAATTGCGATCGATTGATCCCCTTACTACATCGGAATCATTGCAGATCGCAACGCCGCTGAGAGTGGAGTCTTCGCCCGAGGAAACTCATACATAACAAGCAGCCTCCAAATTCCTGCCATAGATTTCATCATTCTTTTGGTCAAGTCTTTCCTTGCAGGTACAGTCTTCAGAACAGCCCCCTAAGCGCGAAACGCACAACCAGCATCATGACGACAACAAGCCAGTCTACGAGTTCATTCCAGGCCGGCATTTTCATACCTCCCAACATCGCAGCAAATGGTTCATACGCAGGTTCCCAGATAGGTGTCTGCAACAACCATGCGACCTACGCAATCCAGTGCACAGCAGCCGCAAAAGGCGTCACAACGCCTGTTACCGCGTGCGGGCACAATGCACCCGTAAGCCATCCACGTTTCGCACCAGCGTCCATCGCTTGCTGACAAGGCGTGGACGATCACCATCACCGCAGCAATCACCGAAGTCACATACACTCGCGATGTCACATCAGACTCGAAGACGACGTCAGTTTCCGAGACGTGTACCATGACTGGAGTTGCCGCAGCGACTTGCGTCGCCACTTACAAGACGGAGGCCAGTGCCTCGACCACTCATAATGTGGTGACGACCAGTCTGACGAACGCGGCGGCGTTCGGTTCATATGCGTATGTTTCTCGTAACGCTCTGCTCTGGTAGATATCAAACTAACACGTTCTTCAGACACGGAATCAATGTGACTGCTGGACTTGACAATGTTGGCTGTAGTGCCGGGTCAGCGAACTACCGGCCTACAAATATCTTGTTCATAATCTTTCTGGCTACCTTTTGCCTTCTCCCGACGTTTTCCTTCTAGGATGCAGCACCCGTTTGGGCTAAGGCTCTACATCACGAAATAACTCGTCCTCAGAAAGGCGTTATTCACTTTCCACAGGTCTTCTGGACGAACGCAGCGGCCGACGTCGCATCGGATTCCTCATCCACAAACCAAGCACGCTCTACGAAAAGGACACGATGTCCTCTTTCAGACTCTTGGATCTGCCTGCTGAGCTGCGCAATGAAGTCTACAAGTTGGCACCTGGAGCTGGACATCGCACATCATCGGAGTACAAGCTGAGCTGGCGGCAACTCCGCGTCCTCGAGCCCGCGCTCGACAAGTACGCCAAGAGACTCTTCCAAAGATCTTCTGGGGCGAGCGTGTCTCTCATGTGGACACTTTTGGCGACGCTCGTGTCTTCTTGGACAGACTTCCAAACAACATTCAGGACTGCTGAAAAGTATCCAGGTTGGAACTAGCTGCAAGCCAGAGCATGCCAGTCTCAATACACCGCGATTGAGTTCCAATGTACCAACTTGCGGTTTCTACGAGGCTGAGTGGAGCAAGTCGTGCATTTCTCGGTCTCCGTACATGGCGATCAGAAAGTCGTCTGGCTTCATACCGGAGATATCGAGGATTTTGTGGCTGAGGAGGTCTGGTATGATCGTGGTCGATTGATATCGAGTAGGAGATTGCGGAAGGAGGTTACAGTGGACCATCTGGAGCGCGCGCGCTGTACAATCAGGACTCCAAACCGCCGGTGACTTTCAGACCCCGACGTAAATTGATGTTGGATCTGCATGTTTAACGGCTTAGTGTAGAATGGAATTTACCGGACGTCCGCCTGCTCCTCTTTCATTCTCTTCGTTCCATCGGTCGCAGAAAAGGCAGGTGGCACCTGAGTCAGGTGACACCTGTGTTTCGATATCACGATCAATCAGCAGACATCCAACAACCACACTTTTACTTCTTGCTTGTTGCTCTCGCTTTCCTCTTCCGTAGCCGGGCTTACAAATCTTTTGTCGTGGCTAGCAGTCGGTCCGAGCCTCGTTGCCTCTGAGCTTGAAATGGCAAGAAGAGAGACCGTTGGGAAGAGGTGGGAGAGGTGGGAGAGGTGAAGTCGGCGATGGTAGCCGCTCTGGACTTGGCATTGCCAAGACGTTCTGATTGGTCAGCAATCTCTTCTCTTCAACAGCACAGCACAGCACAGCACAGCACAGCACAGCGCCAGATCCCACACGCGCCAGACACACGATCCCAAGCCACGACGCAACAACTATGTCAAAGCGGCAGTCACAATCGTGGAGGTGGCGCCGGAATAAGAAGGCTTGGCGGCTATTTTCGCGGAAGAGGATGGATCCGAGTTTCTTACCTTACACAGCTGAGATACACGTCGCCGCGGCCGCAGCAGCGTCGTGAGGTGGCACTTCACCCTTTGCTGCGACGGTTCCCCGTGCAGATCTCTCCCACACCAGGACTGGAGCTTATGCGTCCGTGTACCATCCCGTCGTCACCATCACCGTCCTCATCCTCTCCTCCTCTCCTCCTCTTTCCTTTCCCTACACATCCATTCCGTCCGTCGTTCAGCCGAGGGCTTCACAAGCACCGTCGTACGTCATGGGCAAGCGAATACAGTACATCAAGATCACGCCGCTCCCCAGTCATGTTCCCCGTCAGCTTGCCATCGAGCTGCTCCACAGCCATGAGGAGGTCATCAAGCTCAATCCGTTGGTGACAGGCGCGGCCAAGATCGATGCGCCCCGAGACTCTCCCGGCGGTACGCTCGCCCACGTGAAGCCGTCGTGAACATTGTTTGCTGACACGTCTTGCGCTGGACAGATGAATACTTCTCGCAATGGTACGAGATCGCCGAGGTCATCACATGGGGCTTCGGCATGAAGAAGAAGATCTCCTTCAAGGGCGTGTTTCACGATCTTCCCTACGGCATGCAGTCGCATGTCTATGCGCCCATGGGAGTGGACATGCGCAACAAGTACCGAATCGGGGGCAACCAACCGGGTGAGCCGCGCGAGGCAAGAGAGCTGGGAGTGGACACTCCGTTGGATGGACTATACCTGAGGGAAGACGTGGAGATCGTCTGCAACATCGCGCTGGCAAGCTATGTCAAGAGAGAGGCGAAAGATGCGACGGGCAAGATGGTGGAGCGCATGTTGCGAAAAGCGGAATTGCTGGACGAGGGCAAACTGCATGCCATGTTCGAGAATGGGAAGCTGAAGACTTCGAAACCGAGCGCATTCGGCCGCCCAGGCGCCAGCTTCGATGGCAGTCTTACCCCGGGCAGCGCGCCATCCAGTCCTGTGCCCTCTTCTACAGGCTTTGGATCGCCTCGACTCGACGTCAAAGGATACGGCAACTATCACGACATCGCCCGCACTCAGAGCCAACACAGGCTGATGCAATATCTGCCCGCGTATCAGCAGTCAGGCTACATGGGCACGGAGCACGCGCGACTTGGCGCAGAGAAGTTCGCCAATGGCTCCACGCCGTTCATCAATGAATTGGAAGGATCTAGTCACCCACCTCCTGGCTCACCAGGCCTCTCCTCTGGCGCTTTCAGGCATCAAGGTGCTTCTTTCCGATCCGAGCTCCCAGGAGACAGCTCGTTCAGCACAGGGCTACCATCACCGCAACCCTCACCACGACAGCCATCACAAACACATCTAGATCCGCACTCACAATCACAGCAACAGTACCAAGCGTATCCCGGCAACGCTCAGCAATCATCAGAGGGCGGCCCCTTTAGCGGGTACTCCAATCACACAGACACCACGAGGACGAACAGCTACGGCGGACAAGACAGTGGGACAGCGACATGGCAGACTGGCATCGCCAGCAGCAGTAGTCAGGCCAGCGCAAGTCCCCAGCCAAGCCAAGACAATGCGAGATCACATCAGGCCCAGCATTCCACGTCGAGCAACATCATGCCCGACCACGAACGCTTCGGGAACCTCTCCGTCCGAAATCCACACGGAACACCCGATCCACCGCCTCGAAATCCAGCTAGGAGGTATTCAATGCACATGGATCCCTTGGCAGCAGCTCTGCCCGTCAAGTGCCCCGTCTGTGGACTCTTTGAGGGCGATGAGGCTGCTGTCAGTCATCATGTCAGTAAAGTGCATTTCACATGAGACGCCAAAAAGAGTGAAAAGGACAACCATGCGAAGGTGGAGACTTTCCTATGTTTGGGAACGAAAATAGCCATTTGGCGCTGGAGGCCATTTTGGGTACGATTGATTTGAAGAGCCGAAGATATTCTGAGGATTGAACGGGACGGAGAAAGACGAGAGAAAGCGAGCGAGCGAGCGAGGGCCTTTTTTTCCAACGAGCAACGAGGATGACCATTTTCTTCTCAAATGAGCGATACCCAGAAGTTTTTTCCGACTTTTATTTAGAGATTATGCTTTTTTAATGATGAGAAGAGAAAGGGAGTTGTGGAAAGTTTTTGCTTTCTTTGCTTGCCATTTGTAGCGATTTGAATTTCCCTGCTGTGGATATCTCGGATATTTTATTGCACAGACAGACAGACAGATAGAGTCTTCCAGGGGTTTCCGCATTGCTGAATTCTTATTCGGTAGGTTGAAGTCGAACATCCGAGGCGTAGATGATGGAATGGTCCTTATAACTTGAACTGGCTCATCTGGCTCATCTTGATTGGGAATGAAGGATGAAAGATAAAGAAACTGACACGCGGAAACGAAACATACAGTACGAGGGATTCTCGCCTAGTCACACCTACGGTAATATATACCAGTCTCGCGGTCGAATGGTTTAGTTTTCTATAGTAGATCGGACGGGATACCGATTTCGTATCTGCCCAAGGTATAGCCGTACGCCTTCTAGAACGGTCCTAGAGATCGTTATAGTCTTTTAGGGATTTCTTCGTTTCTAGATCGACTTTTCGACCTTCGCGCTTTGGGAGGAGAAGAAGGGAAAGGAGAAGAAGAGGAAGAAGAAGAAGGGAAAGGAGACGAAGAAGGAGAAGGAGAAGGAGAAGAGGATCGGTTAGCGGATAGGGATAGCAGTCGTGGGTTTCTTTCTTATACATTATGCTTTTGCCTCGTTGTATACTAAGGGATTGGGGGATGGGATAACAAAAGGTTAATTATTCTTTGCTATGGTTGCGATTGTTTAGTTGTGCTTTCGATTGTGGTTGGAATGGGACTTTTGACGTGTTTGTGTGAGCGCGTGTGTGGTGGGTGTTTTGGCACATCTCTCACATGTCATTGATAGCATCTGCCGTTTACTCTGGGCCTCGGAAGAGTGATCGTAGTTGTGGTTGTTCGTATGCATGAAATTGCGCATAGATAACGGATCAAGTGATGGCCCGTGGGTCTCGGTTGTAGCGTGGGTCTCGGTTGTAGCATGGCTTTCCATTTACTAGCGTCAGAGGCGCTGTCTTGTTGTTGGATCTTGTTCGGAAAGTTTCGTATTGATAATGTCCCTAGTCAGTTTCATCGCACGACCCGTATCAGTCCCTTCCCCGCCGTACCTGGGGCTCTGTGGTTGTTTCGCTTGGGACGTGAGTTGCGGGGTCGCCAGTGTGGAGGTTTGGGGAAAGGACCGCCTCTCTGTGGAGAGTGCCGTGGTTATACAAAGCAGGGAGGGCGCTTCGCTTGGGATATTCATCCAGGTCGGCGGGTCGCTTGTGTTTCTTTTGAAAATCTGATCATGCGACAGGACTGGCGGAGTGGCTTGCTGACGATACTGTCTCCGCGAATTCGAAGTCGATGATGTTGGCGCTCCTGTATGGGGATGTCGGAGAGTTGAAGTTTACGCTGGTCGTACGGCATGCATCACACACACACGCACACATTAGCCGGTGTGAGTATCTGTCGAGTCATGACATTCCTGACATTGTGCATGTGGCATTGGCGCCTTGCGCGTGGCGGCCCGTAACTCAGCGCATCAGAGGGCTCGAGCTCTCGTTTGTGTGTGGAATTCAACCCACAAACAGCGGAGATCCGAAGCAGCGGGGTCAGGATGGACACGGAATGGCCTCGTCTGAATGGAATGTTCGATTGACGGATCCAAAGGCGTATATATCGAAAGATCGAATGTCGAGCTGAGTGTTCATACGCAGCACAGACCCCGGCTACACATTGGTCTTCTGAAGGCTGCGTCCGCAAACGTTTCGCGTTCTGTCGGATGGATGGTTGCCGCAGCGGATCGGCAGAATGATGGACACGGGATGATGTTCGAGGCACGGAGTGGTTCATTCCAAGGAGAATTACTGGCGACCGGCAGTTGAGTGCTGCCGGGTCCGCAGACGCCGTGTGGATGGAGAGAGTGGGGCTCTAGGTTATCGCGTCTTCTCACCTCCGGACGGACGTTAAGGTAGGTAGCACATAGCGTGGTTCGGGGTGGCTCGCACGGATAACCAGGTCATCGACAGCCGTAGAGCAGTTCTATGAGTGGTAGATAGTGGCAGTGATAAGGTAAGCCGTTTCAAGGGTGGGCTTTGATACACTATCGCCCTCTTCTTCAATCCGCTACCGAGTCATTCACAACCGCGGCGAACATTCGCGACTGCATACTGACCTCCGTTCGGTGTCAGCAAGCCGGTCGAGCAGATTATTGACAAGGTGGAGATAGACGGGACAAGGAGCCTTGTCTGATGTTGGGCCGGGTTTGCGGGCGGTGTGCCGCTGGCATGACCCGGTACATGCTGAATCTGATATTGCACGCGTGGGGGTGGTGTCGGATGCGAAATGATGGCGCCGGCGAATCTGAGCCTCGTCTGCTCGTGCTATGTGCTCGAACCGCCGCCGCTCCTCCGCCCTACAGTACGTCGCTGTGCTGTGGTGGGTGTGCCGTGGAAACAACAGCAGTACATGTAATAAGATTTCACCTCTCCCGGATCGTCATATCGGCTCAGGCTATTAGCGCGGCGGACCGAGAGGAAGCTAGAACTAGCGCAGTCTTCCCCAGATGCGTCTTCATCGCCGACGAACATCTCATCTTACTATATCTCTTGCCTTACTCGACTCTCCTCCGCCCCGTCCCGTTGATCCTCATGAACAATACAATCGATTCCATGAACAATCCCGCCGCCTGAAGCATTGAGCTCGCGGCCGCTTCCTCGAGGCCCGCCTGCCCGACCGATCGACCCCCCGCCCAAACACCCAATCCTCCACTCTTAACCGCGACAGGCGCGTCCCACTACCGCCCTTGCGCACTTCTACTGCCCTTGACCTGCCTCACCTGCACCGGCACCTGCACCTGCACCTCTTCTCACCTCAGTCGCTCGCAGACAGTCGCATGCAGCAACTCGACCACCTTCAACGACCACTTCAAGACGCTGTCCACTCCCAGACGCCCGCGACAACTCTAGCGAACAACACCAATCCATCCTCTGGTCAGCCTTACGCCGCTGGGCCCTTGCCCAGACCGGCGCAGGCCCAGGCAACTACCGGCAGGATGAGATCGAGTATCGCCTGCGTAAGGTGTAGGAGAAGCAAAGTCAAGTGCGTCAACAATGGCGTCGGCACAACATGCAGAAGCTGTGAGAACTCCGGCCGCGAATGCTCATACCCCTCCCCCGTGACGGGAGGCGGAGCCAGTCGAAGACGCGACAGCATCCCAGGACGGAACGATTCCTACGGTGATTCTGAACGACGACAGAAGCATAGGAAGAGTGCGCATACTTTCGTTTCAAATCCCTTGGCCGCACGCGACAGTCCAAGGCCTATAATGGATGCTCTGGATTCGAGGCTGCTTACACCCCAGATCTGGAACGAGCTGTTTGATATCTTCCAGATTCACTACTCCGCCGACTTGCCCTTTCTCCATCCACCCTCGTTCTTGAAACCGCTGCGCAGTGCAACGGCCTTCCCTCCGCCTGCTACCGCCCCAGCCGAAGATACCAAACCCTCTGTTGCGAAGCCACCCGCTCCAACCGAGTTCCTCTTGGCTTTCCTCGCTCTGACTACTCGCTTCCATCCCAAACTTGTCGCACATCACTCGCCTCCAACGTCGACCCGGGCCTCCAATCCACTGATCGCTTCTGAATACTACGCTTCTGCCGCGGCCGAACGAATGGCCGCCATGTGGACGGATAACAGGCCGCATGACATTGAGCACTGCCAGGCCATGTTGATGCTCGGGCTGCATGAGTGGGGAATGTGCAGAGGTGCAAAGGCGTGGCTCGCGGTAGGCTTGGCCATCCGCGAAGCTCAGGCGATGGGATTGCAATATGAGCTCGACTTGGACGATGAGCCGCTATCTCGCTCACTCGCTCTCAATGGAGAAGCCGAGAAGATGGGTGTGGGTGCCAGCAGGAAGAGCTCTTCTACCAGCCAATCGGCCGAGGATGCCTTCATCCATCAGGAGATTCGAAGACGGACTTTCTGGAGTTGCTACATCATGGATCGATACCTCAGCAGTGGCAAGTACAGGCCTCAGATGTTGCATGCCAAGGAATTACGTATTCAGCTACCTGCAAGTGAGAGGTCGTTCCTCTTCGCAGAGAAAGTTCGGACTCTGATGCTGGGAGAGGAGGACAAGATCAATCCGGGTACTGGTCGCGCAGAAGTTCAGAGTCAACGGCAGCAGTCGGTCCTGCTCGGCACCGGCACGCCAGAGCCGAGCATGGCACCGTCGCCACGAAGCTCGTTGATGCGAGACGTTGATGACGACAAGGGGAGGCTGGAGGTGGGATCTGACGAAGGACTTGTGAGCCGATATGTCAAGATTCTCGAAATCTACGGCAAAGTGGTTCAATGGTCATGCGCTGGAGGCAGGAGGTGAGTATTCGGGCCCTTCGGTCACGACCTCTTGACTAATGCGATTGCCAGAGTCGAAGAATATCCGCCTTGGGATCATCGCTGCCAGTTCCACAAGCTTGTCAACCAATGCCGGGACTTCAAAGCCAGCCTTCCCCGACAGCACGCACTGACCCATCAAAACACCCAGGCTCACATCAGCATGAAGACCTCGACGCCATATTTGCTCGTTCACACCGTCTACCTGCTATGTCAGATCATGCTCCACCGAGAATATGTGCCCTTCATTCCCATCCGTTGCTCAAAACCCGAGGGACCATTGGATCCTCCGGTATTCCCGTCGAACAAGTACGACGTTCCACCAGACTTCTGGACAGACAGCGCTCGGGACTGCTTTAGGTCTGCGCGCGAGATTATGGATCTCGTCCGAACGTGTCAGGAGTGGAATGCTCTTGTCGAAACGCCCATCGTCGGATTTTCCATTTACACCGTGGCATTTGTGGGCGTGTACTGTATGAACTTCCCCTGGATGGATCCGGACGGGTACATGTGCTCCATCCCAGACTCAGCAGCGAGGCCAGATCAGGCAAAGAGTAGCGTGAGCAAGGGATTTGAAGCGGCACGCAAAGCACTGGAGATGGTGGGAAACATGCGCACCCGACTTCATATGGCAGACGGTTGGTTCAAGACAATCAATCGCATGCACAAGTACTTTCGTCGCATGAAGCTCGATTATCGCAAGAATGCTCAGACTATCGAGAGCTCCTCGGAGGGTGATAGCCCGGTTAGCACACGGCACCTCAGTCTCCGTGAGGGTGGTTTAGGCGGTGGTCTGGACGAATTCAAGCTGTTCGAGCGGACACTTTCCGACTTTGGAAATCTTGAGGATCAGGACGTGGAGATGACCGATGCGCGCCCTGATTCGAGACCGCTCGACGCAGTGTACGACGATAGCAGCGCCGGCACTACCGTGAAGAGCGAAGAGCCCGGCGATCGAGGGGAGCGTCCACATGCATCAACGGAGCAAACCAAGAGTGAAGGCGGCGCATGGAGCGCTATTAACGCCGTGCCAGGTGCTCCGGCCAGTCGCCAGCCGAGCATCTCAGCGACACCGTCCAGCGCCCAGTTCAGAAGCTACGATTCCTACTCGCAAGGCCAACAACCACCTTCACAGCAATCAAAGGGTCCACAGCCTCTACACAGCTATCCTAACCACATCAATAACTTCCGTCCTGTTTACTCGGAGGCTTCTGGGTCTGCTGGCCCGCCTTCCAGTCTGACCTCGCCAGCCGCACAATCCGCGACCGGGTCTACACCACAATCTCGTCCTTCGCCGCCGTTTGAACGACAACATCAGCACCAGCAACATCCTCATCAGCAGTCTTATGGAGGTTGGGCAGCGCACAATGCGCAGTACCCGATGCAGGCGCCCCCGCCTCCACCCAATCCGTATACGAACGGCGTCACACACCATCATTCCCATTCACACTCGCATGCGACCACACCTACCCCACTGCATCACCATGCTGGGGTCCCGTATCCAGCCCATCAACAATCAGGATATCCAACACCCGGGCATCCAGGACCTCCAGGACACCCACAGCCCCATACGCAGCCTCAGCATGCCGTTCCTGGCGTGCAGCAGCCCGTGTGGGACCCGGTGACCAAAGAGCAATGGCTCAACAGCATCGACACCAGATTGGGCGGTGATGACGTTGCTGCGTTCGTCGACGGGGGCGAGCTTGCAGAATGGGCGACCATGGCCAGCGCTCAGGGCTTTGGAGGCGGCTGGCTGAGTACCGTCTGGGGAGGCGCCAGTTGAGAGATCAACCTCGAATCAAGCAGCGCTGGAGGAGATCCATCAGCCATGGGATTGGCGGCGCTGCTGCTGAGGAGGGGGAATTGAAATTTTTGCTGTTTTGGAAGCAGGCATTTTGCGCGCGACATGATACCATACGGCAGGCAAGGAATATTGAGGATTTTGTTTGCAGGAGCATGCTTTGTGCTGGTCCACTCACCGCGGTGTGATTTGAGACTACTATTGTCCGTGGCAGTCGCAATGGGGAAGTCTTTTGGGGATGTAAACGACTATGAGCACGATGACTTCAATGATGGCAGATGGGGATAGTCCGATTGATAGGGGTGGTGAATGTTATGAGTATTATCAATCAGAGATACGAAGAAGTTGTCGTATTTGTTTGGCTCTCTTTTGCACTTTTGTCTTGCTTTCTCATTAGATACATGCCGAAGTCTATCAGACGGAAAGAAAAGTGTGTGCTATCCGATCCGTTCTTTTGGAGGTCACAAGTTAGGTTGGATGTAATGGATCACATTGCCAACATCAATCTACTCTCTTCTCAAATATAAATCAAACCGGATCCCTCGCCGCCACCCTAAACGGATGCGCCTCGGTATTAAAAACAAACGGATTCCTCCCGTCCTCACCACCCATGACATCCCAAACGCCCTTCTTCGGCGTCTGGATCAGGTACTGATACTTGAAAACCTCGGCGAGCAGGTAGCTCGCCATGAAATTCTGCGTGCCGTCGCCGGTGAAGGAGAGGACGTTGTTGACGAAGGAAAAACCGCCGGCGCCGCCGTCGTTGTTGCTGTTCTGCTGGTGGATGATTTTCTCGGTGCGGTTCTGGGCGAGGGTGTAGGACCACGCTACGTCGCGCCAGTATGGGTCTTGGGTGGTTTGGTAGGCGTAGTACCATGATTCGACGGCTTCGGGGCATTGGCCGTCGCTGAAATCTATGCAGAGGGAAAGGAGGAGCGAGAGTTAGAGACCGGATGAATGGAGGGGGTGAGTGAGGCAGGGGTAGCTACCTTCATATTCCTCGACCGGGATGAACCACCCGGCGTGGCTGTAGAGGGAAGTCTGGTTCCGGTATTCCTTGTGGGTGTCGAGGAGGGTTGTGTTCCAGGAATAGAACGTGGGGCCTATACCGCTGTTGGCGTAGCGGTAGCCGTTGGCGCAGAATTCGGAGAAGAGGAGGCCGTAGGTCTTGTAGCTCTCGAGTTTGGTCTGGTTGACGGCGTCGGAGGGGGAGGAATGGTTGAGGGCGGAGGAGGCTAGGAGGAAGTTGCCTCCGCTGGTTTTTTAAAGATGCGTTGGTCAGTTTGGTGGGATGGTGGGACGGTAGTGGGTGAGTGAGTGAGTGAGTGAGTGAGTGAGTAAGTGAGTGAGTGAGTGAGTGGGGGAATACGTACATGAAACACGCGAGTTGCTCGGAGTAGTTCTGCTTTTCCTGTCCGACGAAAGACCCAGCCATGGTAAGATCCGGCCGGCTGGAAGGATGGCCGAGAAGGTGCTCGATGGTACTGTCGGCAGCTTCCTGCCAGCGGAGGCTGTAATTCTGGTACCGTGCCGGGTCGTAGACATACATCTTGATGAGGTATTCGTATGCACTGTCGTTGCCCGAGGTCCAGCCTCCGTACGAATCGAGAATCTCGCCGGTGGAGACGCTGAAGTTGCCGCCCGTGAGACCGGGCCAGATCTCTTTGCTCTGGAACCAGTGGGATTCGGCGCGTTGGGCGAGATGGCCGTACGAGGGATCCCCCGTGAGGTCACTGAGATGTTGCCATTCGAGCACCAGGGTGCCCAATTCCGCGAGTCCGGCGGTGTAGACGCCGTCTGTCATTCTCGAGGAGTTGCTAAAGGTTTGGTTGTCAATGTAGACTATGTTGACTGGAATTCCAGTGGGAGTGTCGAAGGCAAACTTCAGCGTATCCGCGAGGACCGTCGCCTGTCGTAGCAGGACATCCACGTCCTGGTCGTTGGAAGCCATGTGAGAGAATGGACCCTTGAGCAAGTCGTAGCTGGACAGCAACCCGCCCAGATATCGAATATTCGTCTCGAAGAGACTTGTCGTCTTCGCGTCGTATTCCCCTTTCGCATTGTTCTTGGTGAAGTCGATCGTGGGCACGAATTTCAAAATGATGTTGACGATGTCCTGCTGCTCCATGATGATTGCCGTGTCCAGGGCATCGATCATGAGGAGACCCCAACCGTTTCGGGAGTCGCTGTGACTGTTGTTGACGGGAAGCAGGTCGTCGTGCGGATAGGCGTATTGGTAGTAGCCGTCCCACGCGAACCTGAACATCTCAATCACGGCATTGGCGCGCTGTTCCTGGTCCGACGTGTACTCTGTATAGTCGTAGTCGGCGCCACAGTGGCCTGGGTAGGCTGCTTGGAGTTTGCAGCTTGTTTCGCCGTATTCGGCTGGGTGTGGTTGCCCGGCGTCGTTGCGCGGAAAGCTTTGAGAATCTTTCCCTTGCTCTGAGATGGCCTGCGACAGTGCAAAGCTGACCGTGACGCTGGCTTGTAGCAGAAAGGATGATAGCCGCATTGTGATGGTGGCAAAGGCCGGTAGCACTGAGAGCTGAGTGGGTGTTCTGAGACCGTAGGCTCTCCTCTAGAGATGATCCAGATCGACAGAGGAAAGCGTTATATATTCCCTGCCGCGGTCCCAGAGATTTCAGAAGGCGATCTCTGTGCTGGAGCCGGATGTGCTGTACCGCGTTGGATAATTCCTCTAGCGGGCGATCTCAGCAATTCCAAGTCGGCGGGTCGTGGCTGATGCTGTTCCTCGAAGAAGGAAGAGTGGGAAGTAGCGCAAGTATCACGCTGGACCTTCTCATTCTGTACTGTGATGTACGCTCGTGCTGTTCTGCGGCAATAAGAGCTACCGGGAAGCTGGGTCTCGCCTGGGCAGCATCCCATGCACGAGCGACTCCTCACGGATTAACAGCTGCCGATCTGAGGAATTGTCGAGCCAATGCATCTAACCAAGCCATAACAGTATAGTACTATTGCTGTTTGCAATATATTTGCGGGGGTATGGGAACTCGTGGGTCATCGAGAAGCACTTCGTCCGTACTAAAGCTGTAAGATGTTCATAAAGAAGATACCCGACGGGTTTTGTCTCAAGTGTGGTTTCTTGTCAGCGTGACATAATTCAAACAGCCGTAGGGATCGTACGCATAACGACTTCGCTGTTCCATGCCGTGTGATGTCGTGCTGTGCCGGTATCGCGCGCAGCTATCCGCCCGCTGCCAGGTACAAGAATGATCCAGATCTCGCAAATGCTGCTGCGGTGCTCGGATACACAGGCCTTAATTTGCGCTCTCTTCTCTCCTCGGTCATAAGAATTTGGTGGTCCTCACGGTGATTTGAGCCGCGATGTCCCGAGTACTGCATCTCCGTCAGCGGAAGACCCTGGTCGTGCTCACCTGGAGGCGTGGAAGAAATCGTCGCCTAGCGATCCAGGCAGTGATGCGACAACCTTCAAGATCTAGTCTAATTGACGCATGGATTTGGTGAAAGCAGTTTCGAAAATAGTCCGAGGGATACTAACGTCCTAAATTCATCCCGAGGCCGTGATCAGAACTCCGCGTCCCAAATCAAGCAGCACGGAGACTTCCACTACCACGCATAATGCCCATCCGCGTGAGCGAACTTGGCATGATCGCCCTCACGCTTGCCATTCAACATCTCAACAATCGGAGCAGCCCCCTCGGACGTCGGCTTCGCTCCGTTTTCCAACTTATTGAACCCGCTCAGATTGGACACCGTGAAGCCGGGACAGTACGTGAAGACTTTGAAGCCCTTGTCCTCGTAGTCAGCCACCATGCCGGTGGAGACCATGTTCATCGCGGCTTTGGAAGCACGATACTGGATAAAACTGCGTTTGTAGAAAGGGTTACTCCGATCCAGACGCATCGTCATACTTCCCGCTCCACTCGAGACGTTGACGATCCTCGCGTGGTCTTCGGTGGATTTCTCCAGTAGGGGTCCGAATGCGTCGCCGACGATCTGTGCTCCGATGGCGTTGGTGCGGAAGCAGATTTCCATCTGCTCATGTAGAGGCGCGTCCCCGGGCGGCGTGGCAACTCCGGCATTGTTGACGAGTGCGTCGAGTTTGCCGTGCTCTTTGGTGACCTTTTCGGCCGCTTTGATGACGGAGTCGTAGTTGCTGACGTCTATCTCAAGGAGCTCCACGGTGCCGGGTTGGTTGAGGGACTGGAGGTCTTTCACCGCCTTCTCGCCTTTCTCGGCCGAGCGGCTACCCAGAAGGACATGTCGTGACTTGTTGCCAATGAGCTGGCGGACGACTTCGTAGCCGATTCCGCTGTTGGCTGCGGACAGTCAGCGCGATCCAGCGTGTGATGGGTATCTTATGCGCACCTCCTGTGACAAGCGTGATGCTTCTCGTGGCTGCCATATTTGAGTACGTCTGACTTTTTATCCGAGTATACAGTATGGTGGTTCGCTGATGCTGATGAAATTCTTGAAGTCCGCCATCACTCACTTCGAGTTGTTATTATATACTTTGAAGGATCCGGCGCCGACCTATAGAGTTTTCCGAGGCTGCGTTATGTCATTCCGTTTGCCTCTATGTGCTAGTCTCAGCTGGTAGGCAGCTTACATTTCGTCCAATCAAGTATTGCTTTGTCGTTTTTCAACGGAGGGACGTTCTTCCAGAAAGGAGTTAACTCCGTTATCTTCGTCGCCGTGGACCCGGACTTATTCGCCATACCGACGGAAGTCGGACCATTTACATACCGAGATACCTTTCTCTTGACCAGGCCAGGGATCATGTTCTAGGGATGCTTCAGGTCAGCGGAAAAGCGTCATCACGGAATTCAGTAGACGTTCTCTCTAAGCGTGGATCAATGAGTGGGAAGCAAAGCCGACCAGCGTGTGGGAAATGATGAGGTTCGAGCATTCGTCTCGTTCGGTGACAGTACAGGATGTTATAATCATGAGCGCCCGATCTATTCTTGGTGCCGATCCGTTATGCCGCAATGTGGATCTACAGGCCTTCATCAGTTTCGTATGGGCGTGAAGCGGACCTGAAGAGGCTTCAGTTGCCAGAGAATCTACGAGACAGCTTATTAGCGTCAACAATCTAGGCTCGTCTCTCTGCTGACTTACGTAGAATCGAGCATCCTCTACCCAGGTGGAATGATCGCCATCGAGTTCCGGGTCGAAGTGCCAAATCAACTTGGCCGTTACAAGGCGTGCTTCTGCCAGTGCAAGTCTGGAGGGGAGTTAGCAGTCATCATAAGCTTTCGAGAATCAATGTACTTACAGCTTGCCAATGCAATTTCGAGGCTAATGTGAAACAACGTTAGCAGAGTCTCAGACTCATATGCAAGATTGCTCAAGGGCTTACCCCCAGACTGAATGGCCGTAGAATCTCATCGCCTCGTTTCCCAGAGACGCTCTGCACTTGTGCATCCGTCCAACGCTCCGGTCTGAACTCCTTGGCGTTATCGAAGAAGCGATCGGAGCGGCCCATGAACCATTGACCCATCGAAACGTATGTCTGCTGGAATTTAGCTGCAAATTTCTCCAGCTGGTCGGGTCAACTCACTCCACCGGGTATGATTTTCCCGTCGATGATATGGCCCCCTTCTGGTGCGACTCTTGGCGTGATGTAGCTTGCAACTGGGAAGATACGCAGTGACTCGTCGATCACGGCTTTGAGATAGGGCAACTCCGCCGTAGCCTTGAGGGTGATCTCATCGCTCGAAGCAAAAGTCGAACGAATCTCGTCTTTCAGCTTCTGCATAACTCGTGGTGTCTTGCAGAGATAGTAAAGAGCCGCGCTCAAGCATGTACTGGTTGTTTCCGCACCTCCGCCGACAACCAAGATGGAATTTGCCGTGATCTCAGCATCCGAGAGTCGGTCGCCGTTCTTCATTTCCCGTAGCATAAGTCCCACGATGTCGCGCTTCTTTGTATTACCATTAGCAGGCGCAGCCTGCTCTTCGTTTTCCTTGGCAAGGCGCTTTGCGATGGCAGAGAACGCGGTCTGGAAGAAGTTCATTCGTTCTTCCAGAGCACGCCGGGGCATGAGTGCCATCAGAGGTTTGAGAGGGATGTGAAATCGTCTGAATTGCGTGATGGTCGCAACTTGCTTGAGAACTCTCAGCATGAATTGCGGCCAGGGATGCATGCGTCTCAGTTTCAAGCACTCGAAGTCCTGATCCAGAGCGAGTTGGCCAATAACATCATTGAGCGTCCAGAGGAACCACTCCACCATGTTTTGTGAGCCCTCCGTGCTCGCAACGGTGAGCTGTTTGCAGAGAAGATCTGTGTATTCTTGCAAGACCGGTTCGACCTCTGCAACTCCGGAATTGAGGAAAGCTGGACCAGCCAAGCGTCTGAGGCGCATGTGCTCCGCATCCGGTGCTGTGATCATGCTGGGAGGGAGTCTGAGATCTCCATTTGGCGAGAAGTGATAGTCTGTCTTTTGCAACTGCGGTCTTGCATTGTAGATCTGTGGCCATGCTTCCGGGTTTGTGAAGGAGAGCTCGTCTGGCGCTATCCGGACTGTTTCGCCGTACTTCTCATGCATGGCTGCGATGCGCTGGTAGAGATTTCCTGTGGCATGATGGTATGAAGCCGGCAGACGGGAGGCTCGCCATAGTAAGGGGCCTGGGTGCTTTGCCAGTGGGTGGAAGGGTGAGATGTTGTAAAGGACCTTGAATATGGCAAAGACAACACCCTGCTGGAAATCAGCGTGGTTGGCTTCAGGGGCTGATGGCGGTACGTACGCCTACGAAGACACTGAGAGAGCCCCAAAGAGCCAGCTCACCGAAGCGCCGGAGGCTGTCGATTAGTAGTGCGGCCATGTTTGCTCCACGGATCAAGAGGTGGGAGCAAAGTGCCCAAGAGCAAGTGTCCTTAAGCGTATGTCAGTAGTTCCACGACTCTTCCTACCTCCTACACTCTGCACTTTGCATTCCGATAGATCATCCTATCCATATGGTCGACATAATCTCGGCTCGGAAGCAAGCCGTGCTGCTAAGGGGAACCCTTGGAGTCGATGGGCAAGCCGAGAGGTCGAGTTGAAGAGTGACAAACATTAGCCTGCCTTAGCGCGCCAAGTCCGCAAACGAGTCCGAATGCCGAGGCCTTTTCGCCACTTGGCCGCCCCCGACATCCGCCTGTGGATTGTTTACTGTTAGTAAAATCCAATCTATACCACACCAACACCAGTTTCAATTGGCGCGTCTGTCTTCCGACATGGCATCGCAGAGATCCACCTTCAGATTCACCGTCATCTCTCGGACCCTACCCGCTCTTCCATGTTGTCCGCCTCGCGAATGGACATTTCCCACCCTGTTGAGGCATGATCACTCCGGCTGTCGCTCTTCTGGCTTCTCGGAAGACATCTCGTGCTCTCGACGAGGAGGCGCAAAGGTCGCTCTTCTTGTCGGCGTTGACGGCTAGCTGGGCCATTCCGCATCATTTGCGTGGTGTGGCCCTAATAGATGCCTGAGGCAGCAATATGTGGACCTGGAAATCAAAGTCAACTTCACCTTACGAACGCAATCTGACGACAATCAAATGGTCCGAACAAGCTTGACATCTCGCGGTCAATGCTGTTTGGTAGAGTTGAATCTAGTCTCCGAACCTATTTTCCGCATGGCACGGGGCTAGTGTCGTTGGGTTTGATATCAGAAGCTGTCACTATGAGCCGGTGTGTAGCTTGGTCACGGCATTCATGGTAAGAATCAGTCTTTCCTTGTATATTGCAAGGCTCAAAGGGCGTTAATATCCCACGGACCTGCATCTCCTATCTTTCGAACCTAAGGACGGCCGGTTTTGTTTGATGACCAGCAGCGTCTTACCCTCGTCGGATAGAATACGAGCTTCTTATAGATGGTTCGCAATCGTCACAAGATGTGCTTCTAAGAAGGTACCGAGAGTCTTGCCATCCTTGCTTCTCTAGATTCTCCAGACCTGGTCTTGGGACCAACTTCACGTGCTGTGCTGCCTCGATCACATTCTATATTGAGCTTCTTCTCGCTGATGCTAGGATGATCTACCTGCGAATTATTGCCATCATTCTGCGAAATACATCTCCGAATACCTCGGATTGACCAAAGGACAATTGAGCCAGCATCGCTACGAGCATCTTATGTTAATGCAACTTTCACTCGTGCGACTAAACTTGCCTCACTTGATGTTCGGTGTATCTCTAGCAGATTCTCTCCTTTAATTCATCCCACCACCAAGTTCCTGTATCAGTTTCATTGCATCCGTTCTTCTCCTACACCCCGCAGCGCGATACGCAGTATCGAGATCAGGCCTCTGAAACTCATGTGTTGCGAGCAGCAATCGCACACACACCAGATGGCCCTTACCTGCTACAAGCGACAAAGGCGTATCCTCGTTACTTCCAAAGAGACGCAGTTGAAAGCTGGATTGAAGCCATCATTCAACAGTAGCTCGTTGACATTGCTGTGCGCAAGGTCTGGCTGTTATCATATGCCTGTCAACCTTGTCACCCAGCGAAGAGTATCAGAAACCGAGGTGTAGAACCTGGTTCGTCGACAAATGATACTGAATTGCTGATTCTTCGCGAAGACAAACGCAGCGCGCAGGTCCGAGCCCTTCGTGATGGCAGTGTGAGACGAGCATCAGAATAGATAAGAGCGAGTCTGGTGACCTTCTATCGAAGAGAGATGGATGTATTGTGTGATCCCGTGCTTTCTGTTTTGGAAAGCTGAATATGGACACGGCCCAATCGCGACGTCCGAACTTGGCACGCGCCTCCGCAAACGTATTTGGTGTATATAACTTGTAGCATCTATGCACGGTTGGCTTTACCCTACGCCGCCACGTATGCGGGACTGCCATTCGAGACCGAGACCTACCACGAAGCGTCTAGTCGGGTCTGGGGCGAATGCGGCAGATATCATGGCGAGTGATAATGTCGGCTTGACGAAGCCCAGAAAAACTGTCATTCCGGATGTACTGGGGTCCAATCCAGCGACCACGACGACAAACAAGGCTCGCCATCACAAGAAGCCGATTAGCGTCTCCAGCATCTCTCTCGTGTCTAGATCCTCCGGACTACCTCCTTCTAGGCCTTTCATCTGATCTTCCAAACTTGCTCGGATAGGCTTCAAGCCTGCCTCCACGCCCAATTCCGTAGACACCTTGGCCTTGACAGCTTTGTCTTCCGCAATCAGCCAGGCTAGGATGACATCTATTGTTTGTAGACAGAACAACCCTCCATCGAGCCGTCTTGAAAACCATTCTGCCTCCCGTTCTTCGATCTCGTCATCGGACATGTCCCTCTGTTCTTGCCGAATCTCCTTGTCCACAACGGCGACTCGACGTGCGAAGTCGTTACGTAGTCCCATAAGCTTGGCGACTTTCTCGTGGTCCTTCTCGGTGAATTTGGCAAGGGTTCGAATGCGCGCTGCCGATTCTCCGGGCAGCAATCGCAACAAGGCCGAGAAGATGCCCAGGAGATGCTCGACGGTCGAGCTATCAGATTTCTTCATGAGCAAGCTGAAAATCGTCTTCAGACCTGCCGCATCTACGATCTTTTCGCAGACTCCAGCAGGAGGGGCTCCTTGACCCCCAACCGCATGATCCAACACTCGTAGGGCTCGCTGCATGATGTTCTTCGTTCCCTCTCTCAACATGATGAGACAAAGCTCCACACCTTCCGCTTCAACAAACTTCGACTTCCCCTCAGATTCGTCCACGACACATGTTAGGCCGTCGAAGAGATTCTCAACGTACTCCTCTTCGTGAGTATCCTTGGGCGGGTCTCGTTTCCGATAGGCAGAGAGGAGTCGGAGGAAGAGGTCTACGCCATCAATGTCGATAGCCAGCTTCGTGCGTAGGCTCGGAGATGACTGCAGAAGAACCTGCAGGACTTCCGCCGCGTATTGCTTGTTTTGGCTCACGGGCTTCTCAGGTTTACTTATTCGATTGCAAAGCCACATCAGTACCCGCTCTTGCCCAACTTTCTCCGCGATCGATTGCTGACTGGCCAGATTCTCCATCACCGCCAGACTGTGATACACTCCACTGCGATCGCTCTCGTTCTCCTCGTCCAATCTTGATAGGTTGCTCATCAGTAATTCCAGTAGATCCGCATCCAGTAATGCAGCTACCAGCGCATCCCACTGCTCTTGCCCAGCTTGAACGTCTTCATCCAAAAGCTCTGAAATGATTTCAATCGCTCCAATTGCAATGTCCGTGTTCTCATGCGCCAGTAGTCCTACCACGCTCGCGACTGCGCCCTCGATCTTCGCCAACTCGACGTATAGCTCAGGATGCTCAGTGAGCAGGCTCCAGCTCTTGACCTCCGCATCTAGATCGGCCTCGCTTTCCATGAACTTCGCAGGGTCATCCTCATATCTCGCTCGCAGTTCTGCATTCTTGTCCACTTTCTTTTGAAAGCTGTTGGCGAGTCGTCGCAGCCATGAAAGGTCAATCTTCTCTTCCGCATAGGTCTCTGCATCTTGCTGATCAATGTAGTCTAGAGCCTCCGCTGTGTCTTTGGTCATGCCGGTGCCAAAGAACCGGCCTTCTTCGTCGTCGCCCTCGTCGTCCTCTCGAGGAAGCTCCGGACCGGCCTCAAGGTCATCATCGTCTTCAGCATCTTCGACCTTTGCGTCGTTCGAGTGATATCCGTTCGGCGAGGACGTGCTGAAGAGCTTCGCGGCTTTGTACACAGCTTGCGGGTCTGGCGCTTCGAACTTTCGCTTGATCGAGCCGGAGTTGGGAGGAAGATTAGGCCTCTTGAACAGCTCGTCGATACTCGCCATACTGGATGTCGTTCACGATTCCTGGGTCTGTTCGTAAAGAACTCCCGTATCGACGGAGCTATCTCGAAGGACTTCAGACCTTAATTCAAACTGAGCTTCAAATTTTGACTTTCGGAATCTCGGCTCGCCCCTTTCTGCCGCCCTCGTCAAACTCTTTTGCCCTTCACATGCACGTCACCTCTTATTCTTCTTGGAAACTTCATCATGGAGGACTTCGCCTGTCATGTTACATGTATCTACTACTCGATACCTGCAAATCTGCTGGTTATTCTGGTGCGATCTCGAGGCACTGAGCGTCGCAACCTTGCGACCTATAGCTCAGCTCGATGCAACGAGGAGCCCCGTTCAGCAGACTTGAGTCGACTTGTGGGCTACTCTTGAAAGCCTCCGCGAATCCCTGGATATCGTCTGCCGTGACAACAAAAACGGATAGTCCTTCACCACTACGGACCAGACTGGCACTTTCACCTTACTCGCCCATGTGCCTCCTTCAACGCGGGAAAGCACGCCGTTTGGAAGATTTTCATTTCAGAAAGGCGCCGCGGCATTGAGACGTTCAACTGGCCACAAGATCTCGACAGCGGCTGTGTCTGGCTTGACCTTGCTGCCGTTCCTGTCTTCTGGTGCAATGAGATCCACGTCGTTGTCTAAGGCCTTCAAGCCGGGGATTTGTCCTGTGGTGCCAGTCGATTACCCATGCCGCAAGTGATGAGGCCTCCAAGTGTATACTGCGGCAGATGGTCTCCTTCATGCAGAGCCGCGGTCGCAATGCCTCACATGACTCGCATGCTGTGGTGTAGCAGCACGATGCAGTTACACTGGCTTGGTACAGCGGTCTCGGACCAGAGCTTCGGGAGGATGTGATTGCGTGACTGAAGACCGGTCTCTTGATTGAGTCTCAGCCCTCTGGAATCGGCAATATACAGCTTATCGCGACATGGGGTAATAGATTGATGGCATCGAATGGCACTCCGAGAGCTCAGCTCACGTCCGCCGCTGAGTACCTGGACGTTGCATCGAACTATCGATGGTCGTGGGATCCACGCGCCACTACCTCGTAAATATAGTCGAAGCCGATGTGGAAATTCTGATCTGATACTGCGAATGGCGGTTGTCATGGTAGGAAACCCAGTCAAAAGTCTCTGGCGCAGATGGACCGGCGGTCAGATTTGCAAGACTGGAACAGGAGACAAGAGTCATCAAGACAAGAATGTCCATGCAAACCGCTGCAGCGTATGAGACACAGTAGACTAAGGAAGAGTTGAAGTTCGGCGTCTTGGTTTCTGGGACCATGAGCCGTCGGAAGGGGAGAAAGCTGGGCTTTAAGATCGGTCGACGCGACTATGGGATCGTAAACGACTCATGTGTCCATGTATTATCAAGAATATACCGGTCTCAGCAGACAATTCACCGGTGTAACAAAAAGTCGCCACTGCTGGTGTTGATCAAATCCTTTCTCGAGCCGATGAAGACTTTTCGACGCAAACGCCTCATTCAATACGAAGGGTATCACAGGTTCAAAAACTAGGGATCCAAAGGTCAAATCCCTTCTTCGCCTTTGCACTCCCACCCTCCCTTTCCGCCCTCTCTTTTCTATAATTCTCAGGCCCTTCGCTCCCGAGCTGCACCCTTTCCTACCCAAGTGTATGATAGAGATTGTCGATCGATACAATACTGCATGCTGATTTCTTCCCTTCTCGCCGGGAGAGAAAATAAGCTGTATCCGTTCCTCCTGATATTGGCCGTTCCGCGCAAAGAAGAAACATAATCACTGCAAATGCAGCGCCTTCTTCGCATTTTCGTAGACGACATAAGTCTGCAGCACCAAAACGTCAGCTTCTCAATACTATTTCGTTTGGAAAGAAAATGGAAACTTACGATTGACACCGCCGGCACGACCTTGAGCAGGTTCGGAGTCAATCCCTTGAACAGTCCCCTCACACCCTCCCCTGCCAGCGTCTGCCGTGTGACATCCGCAATTCCTGTGTACGTCCTCGGATGGCCGATCGTCCCTTGACTCTGCAGCCTAGTACGCAGCAGATTGATGGGATAGACAAGCGAAGCCGACAGAGCTCCACTAAAGCCACCCATGAGTGCCAGCGAGAAATTGCCCGGTAAAGCGTCTTCGTCGTGTTTGATCGAGGGGTCCTTTGCTCGCTTCCGTCGTATGATTTCCTTCTTGAGCGTTTCGAAGACACTAAGATCGATGGCCGCGTAAGGGAACATGCCGACGAGCCCTGTCATGAACGGTCAGAATATCGAGAACATCGATTCTGTACTATCAGTTTACTCACCCATAGGCAAGCCACGGTAAAAGCTAACGAGCCCATCTCTCGCCCACATCTTCTTCGCCGTGTTGAATATGAGCCTGGTGCCGTGCTCGCCGCCCTTAACGGTGTCGCACTGCATCTGGAATTTGAGCGTGTCGAGAGGATACACGACGGCTTGTGCTATCATGCCGGCACATCCTCCCGCGGTGAACATGGAGACTGAAGAGATTCGCTTGGGGTCGTTGTGACCTTCGAATCTGGCAACTGCGCGTTTGGATGCCTAGCACGCAGAGTAATCAGCACTATCCGGGCAGACGGTAGACCTGGACACACCTCGTACGCGCCGAACTTGACCGATGACTCCGGCATAACTTTGAGTACATTGAGGCCATTTCCTGCAACCGGTCAGTACCCCGTCCCTTCAATTCGCTGTCTCCGCAACTCACCGGCGAAAAGACTCCTCATGCCGCCCGCAGCCCATACGTCTTTCGTCGCATTCCACATCGACCTGAGACCGTTGGTCATGGCATGTAGAGGATGACCGTGCTTGGCCAGCTGCACCGCATTCTCCGCGTTGTCCGTCCGCGCGATCAGGTACACCTTGAGCCTGTCGAGCGGCGCGGTCACCGTCCGGGATGTAATGCCCGAGAGACCACCCGCCGCGAAATAGCCTACATTGGGCACAAAATCCGTCAGCTTGACTCGGCCTTGCTGCTTCAGCGCCTGCTGTTCCTGCTCTTTGATCTCCTGGACGTCTTTCCGGCGGGCGGGCTTGATGGGTATGTACGGGTCGTCCTCAATCTCTTCTTCCTCGCTCAGGACGTGGCCGCCAAAGAGCTGCGGCCGGTTCTCGCTGCCTTCCCACATGCTTATCGGCTGGGTGTTGGAGCCTCCGGCGTGGCTCTGCGCGGGGTTCACGAGTTGGGTGACAGCGCCAAACAAGGAACTCTTGAGAAAGTCGAGAATCGTACCTAGGCCCTGCAGAGCTTCGTCGCTCATGTGCACATCGCCCTCGGCGGTCAGCTTCGCGGTGGACTGGTAGTAGGAAAAGACGGCCTTGAGGCCAGGAGCGTTGGTGGGAATGAAGAGTAAGAAGTCTGGTCCATCGCGATCAGCACGTGCTCGACACCAATGGAAGGGAAGAGTGTAGTTTTACCGCGCCATTCGCTGAAATCAATGGTACCGTCATGGTCCTTGTCGATGTAGCCCATGAAACGCTCGAGGCGAGAATTGGAGACGGCCACGCCGGCCCTCTCGAAGGCCGCGGCGAGCTCACCCTTGTCCAGCTTCCCACTATGGTCGCGGTCGATGGCCTGGAAGAGCTGCCAGAGCTCCTTCTCGGTCTGGGTGCAGAAGCGGCAGAACTCGTCGTAGCTGATCTTGCCGTCGTGGTTGATGTCGCACGCGGAGAGCATGTCCTTGATCAGGCCGTCCGCATCTTTCAGAGCTGTTGCAGCATATCAATAAACCGCGCTCATCCTCTTGATTATGTTGTTGACATTGGTGGGTCTGTATCTTACGGTGGTTCATGACCTCCAGTCCCCTCTTCAGTGCCTCATAGTCCAGCGTTCCTTTCTGCTTGGTGTCCAGCTTGCTCCATAGCGAGCGCAAGCGCGCCTCTCTCTGCGCGCTGGGTTCGCCATCCATAGCCGCCAGTCGCAGTACTATTGTTTTGGCGTCTGGGCCGGCATTGCGGTCAGGTGGATCACTTCCTGCCGCGGGTATGAGAGCGTTCGTGTCGTATTTCTTTAACGAGACTATCGTTCAGCTCGCGAGGTGCTCTCGGAGCAGCCAATATCTTCCCTCTGGTCGGAATGATAATATCGATATGGGAGGAGATGCAGTACTGTATCGGCGGAAAGCAGTACAGTGGTGTTGCTGGTGGGGTGCGAGAAAGGACTGCAGGGAAGATGGATGCTAAGGTGTAGATCCTGGCGCCAGGCACTGATGAATGAGGTATAGCAGTAGCGTATGGCAGTAGGATCTCCGATATAATTGTGAGTCGGGATTGGGCGGTGTTGGTATCGGTGTCGGCGGAGTGGAGGTTTGTGTGAAAGATGTAGGACGGGAAACGGCAAGATAGAGAGAGCTGCTGCTGCTGCTGACGTGCCTTGTGCCTTCGTTCTCGGCTAAAGAGATTCTGCCCTACCAAATCAATTCCGCTTACTCATCGAAATTAATATATTCATCAATATATGAGGCGCATATCGACATGTGAAAGTCGTCTGCTCTGGCTATATACATGTCTGTATTCTGTATACTAAGCCGCCAACACATACTCTTTTTCCCATCTCATCCCATCTTCCCGTCTTATAACGCACTCTCCCTCTTCCCTCCGTTCCCAATGCCAAATCTCTCATACGGAAACTTCTCCAGCGTCTTCAAGTACACCGCCCACCCATCCCCAATCTCTCCCGGCGCCCCTTTCCTCGACTCCTTCCCATCACCCGTCACGACTCCCAGCTCCTCGTTCTTCTCCTCTACCTCTTCCTTATACTCTCCACACTGTCCCGCCAACACCTCCTCTTCCCGTCCCTTGTACTCCTTCGCCAATCCCTCGTGCGGACACCACACAACCTGCATCCCTGCCCTCCTCCCACTCTCCACTCCCGGCACGCTGTCCTCGAACACCAAACACTCGCTCGGCGTAATGGCCGGTCTGCCCTGTCGCGCGAGTTTATCATTGATCGTCTTCAACGCGAGCAGGTAGATATCCGGAGCAGGTTTCCCCCTCCCCTTTCCAATCCTCGGATCATCCCCCAGCACTCTATGCTCTTCCGTGAAGACTCGGAATAGCTCCTCCAAATGCTCCGTCTTCAATTCAAAATTCCCCTTATGACTGCTCGTCGCCAACGCAACCTCGACTCCCTCTTCATCTCCCAATCTCTTCAACAGCTCTCGGACCCCCGGAAGAGGCCGACACGTCGGGAAATGTTCCCTCTGCCGCGCGGAAATCTTGCTCATGTATTCCTCGCGGGAGATGGGGAGTTGTGCCCAATCGTGGAGGATCTTGCCCGCGGAGGGACCGGGACGGCCTTGCATTTGGGCTTTGATGTTCCATGGGAGGTCGGGTCGTCCGTATTCGCGGAGGACTTCGTTGGTGCAGATGGTGTATTTATCTTCGGAATCTATCAGAAGGCCGTCCATGTCGAAGAGGCAGGCTTTGATTGCCGGTGGTGGGCTTGAGGGCTGTGGGATCAGTTTCTGTGAGCGGCGCATACGAGCGCGGATTCTCAGAAGGGGAGACATACGGGTGGGACGAGGCCATGGTCGACATTCACCAGAGTCGCTCCTGGTAGCGGCGAGGTGTCTGTCGCGAGTGAGTCTCACGAATGGAAGAGTTGGGGTGGTGCAGTATGGGCGATACAGAGATGGTGGGGTCAAGTAGAGCTCGATGAGATTACATCAAAATTCGATGAGACCCGTTCACTCCACTGCTCCGGTCCTGAACATCACCGCCTAAAAGTCCATCTCGACCTATCATCACAAGATATACAGACCAGGAAGTTTCATTATGCACCCGTTGTTCTTCGTTAGGATGTATTACAAAGAAGAAGAACAACAAGACTGGAATGGTACATACCATTCCAGTCTTGAAGGATCCGTGTGGAGATCCTCGACACCAGGACGCAGAGGAAGGAGAAGATGAAGCTTCTTGAATTGGCACCAATCGATCTGTCGTATATCTCTCCCTCCTCATCTCATGTTTCATGTTCATAGCATTCGGAAGCTCTTCATCAAGTCGTTCAGATTCCCATTCTGGGGCCGCTGTCTAGTAGCCTCCGAATCCGCTTCCGCCTCCATACCCTTGATAGCCTCCTTGATAGCCCTGCTGACCGTGACCGTATCCACCTCGAGATGGGTGTTGGTATGGCGCTTCGTAGCCCTGTTGGTAGGCGCTCGGGTAGCTGGCGCTGGCCTGATCGTATGTGGCCGGCGCAGAAGGATAAGAGGAGTAAGTTCCCTCGGGTACGTATTGTTCACCCAAGTCGCGACGGCGATTCAGCATATCGAATACACCACCAGCGGTGGCGCTATGCGAGGACGTCCCCGAGCCGACCCCGATTCCGTGCTGCTGGGCAAATTGCTGAGTCTCCGAGAATGCCTGTTGAAGGTTTTGCACCTGGTGGTTCTTGCCAGCTCTCACAGACTCGGAAGAAAGGATATCATTGAGCCCCTGACCTATTGATAGAGTCAGTCTTGCAATTGCGCGGAGGGATCAGGGATCTTGACTTCCATCTGAGAGGTCAGTCTCTCGGGGGATGACTTACCTCGATCGGATCGCTGATTGACCCACTTTTCAACGACCGCAAACATCTTCTGCTGGATCTCAATATTATGATCCCTCGCAGCAGGGTGGTGGAAGACGCGAGCAACATCGTCTAAGATCTCATGCTCAGGTACTTCTGGGTGCTCCCATCCGTATATCACACGTGGCGCCACATATTGTAGAATACAGGCGGCCATCTCTCCAGCAGGCTCATTGAGAATGTTGGAGAAGTGGTCCTTGGAGAGCATGGAATGTGTTGGATCAGACGAGGTGGGGTCAGACCAGACAACGTATTGTTGTTGAGCCGAAGAGTTGACGACAGTGCCAGAGCCTTGCTTTAGTGCGTTGCTCGCGGATGCAATGACTGGCTTGATGAACGGTGCTAGGAGACCCATGACGAAGAGTGTCACTTTCTCTGTGATGGTGTCGATCATCTTCTCCAGGCCGGGAATTTTGGACACGATCGCGGAGATCTGGCGGACGACTTTGTCGCGGAAGGCGAGGATGGGATAGATTTTCTTGATGACAGCCGCAGGATCGACTTTTGGGGGAGCTGGGAATTGGGGTGTCTGTTGAGGAGCTGCAGGCTGTCCTGGCGCGGCCGCGCGGCTTCCATACTCCTGACCATACGGCGCATAGGATTCGTCCATACCACGGGTGCCGGGATAGCCTTGCTGAGCATTGTGCGCAGCCTCTGCATCAGCCGATGCCTGCAAGCCCTGTGCTTCTTGAACCAGAGAACCTGTGCCTGGAATGTTTGCGAGCAGAGAGGTGAGCCCGCCCAAGCCGTTCCCACTGCTGTCGCCTCCTCCTCGCTTTCCACCAGATTCGGCCTGTGAGAGGGCGGCATTGAGCTGGTCCACCTCCGTCTGGTTGACCTCAGTCTGCGTGACATGATCTGTTGCCTCGCCCAGAACGCTATGCAAGAAGTCCACTCCTCCAAAGGTACCAGTAACCAGCGGGTAGACCTGTTTGCCCCGTAAGTTGATCATAGTATTTGTACCGACGTGTGGGAAAACGTTGTGGAAGCCCATTTCGCGTAAAGCCAGCTCGGTATAGTTGGTATGTGCACCGAAGTCCTCCGCGCAGTGCAGTCCTTGGCCCAGACAACGCAAAGCTTCACACAAATCTTCTTCGCGGCCCTTGTTGACACCGCGGGTGTAGCATCGACCGAAATGGATGCTCCTGGCGAAGCTCCATCTGATGTATCCCAAGGATGTTGCAATCTGCAGCTTTTCGTTGGCGATGTAGTTCTTCATTCCCGTGTTCGGATCGATCTGTAGCTCGATTGGTTGGACTGGGCCACGTAGCCTCTGGTCGAACTGTCGGGCATCGGCATTGTCGGCATAGTCCTTGGGGTTGTCAATGTGTTCCTCGGGCCTGTATACGCCCAGGCGCTCGGAGGTAACCTCGAATTCCACGGTGGCGTAGCCAAATGACATGAAGGCTAAAAGTAGTTAGCACAGGAGATGAAAGAATCCGGGCCGAGAGTAAGTATCCTCACCCAGTACCCAGACAAGCACACGAATGGTATCTGCGGGGACACCTTTGAGGGTGCCGACGTCGACAGCCTGGGAGTAGTCTCGCAGCCAGTTCCCGAAGTAGGCTCTCTTGATCATCATGCTAGTCCATTTATGGCCATGTATGAAGGCGACTGTCTCGAGGAGATCCTCGATGTCTCCATGCCGCCTGACAGCTCGTTAGCACCGTTTCCCTGATCTTCTCTCGGAGATGTTATACCAATTGTGGCCTTCGATCTTCGAGATCGAGGCAATATTACCCGCTCCAAATGCTGCCGCTGGTGAGGCGAAGAGAATTAAGCCCACCAGGCATACCAGGAGGAATGTGGTGGTGCGAGTCATTCTGAATCCGAAATGTCGTCCCAATGGAACCTTAGGCGATCAACGGACTCCCGGGTGGGTTGGCGGGGCAGGTATTGTGTTGGTGGAAATGTGTTGGTGGAAGTGTTTTGGCGAAGACCTGCTCTGCTGTGAAGTATGAAGATGCGAAGGTACTACCTATAGCTGAAGGTGGGTCCTGTCAGCGCCTGTGGCTGAGCTTGGAATATCTTGGTGTTCGGCAGGGGCTACCTGGCGAATAAGGCGAGTGCTCAACGACGGTGTGATGATGTGGATGATTCCGTTTCAAATTCGCTCTCGTGGTGTTGTGGATGCGAAGATGTCGAATTGTTGAAAAGGTGAATTCTAGTCGGAAAGGACGAACGTCATTTCATGTTGGCAAACAGGACGCTCGGACCACCTGATGACTCCCATCTGTGATTCTCCAGCACCTCATCCATCAAGTCTGCCATCGGCATAAGGCATCGCATATAAAGATGCGCAAGGCCTTATGAGTGCACATTGAATTGCCTTTCTGGAGTTTCTACCGTGATGGCGCTACGTCGACCAATTAAGAGAGTGCTGGACTGACTACACATGCCAAGTCTTCCACTTCTACAGCCTCATTGCCATCGACATAACGCTTCAAAGTCATCAGATGAGGGTTAGAAGGCCAGCACCTATCGGATCACATCATCACTATACCTACTGGACTCGGAGATCATGGCAGCAAACTACTGGGACTCCACCCAGTCCAAATTCTGGACCTTTACTAAGGCAGAGCTGGCCGATCGAAGAAAGGAACAGGAAAGGCAGAATCCATCTCTGCACAGCAAATATCCTTTACCCGACCGTCGACTCATGAACATCTTTCTACAGCAACAGCTGATCAAGCTGGGACGCCGCATGGCTCTGAGGCAGCAGGCACTCGCTACCGCCCAGATGTACGTGAAGCGCTTCTACCTGCGAGTCGAAATGCGCAAGACGAACCCATACCTTATCATGGCTACTGCGGTATATCTGGCCTGCAAGATGGAAGAGTGTCCGCAGCATATCCGCTTGATGCTCGGCGAGGCTGCGAGACAGTGGCCTGAATTGGCGGTCTCGGAGACGAGCAAGATTGGCGAATGTGAATTCGCTCTGATCTCCACTTTGTCGTCTCAACTCATATGCCATCATCCATACCGAACACTCTCGGAGCTTTCCCCGCTATTCGCACTCTCGACGGAAGAGAATCAGCTCGCGCACTCCATCATCAACGATAGCTACAACACTGATCTCCAACTTCTATATCCTCCACATGTGGTGGCCATTACAGCCGTATTCCTCGCTGTTGTCTTGCGACCTGCGGGCCAACCCGCTGGCTTGCAGGCTCACTCCACACATGCCTCTACCGGTCATACATCACCATTGCCAGGCTCGCCGACTTCTTCCTCCGCCCCTGGCTTCTCACCCAGCGTGAGCGGAAGCAATGCCCACCAGGCCTTTCTCGGTGGCTTTAGCGGTCTCAAACAAGCAGGCCCGAAACTCAGCAAGCTGATGGATTGGCTAGCCGAGAGCAGAGTCGACATGAATGCCATCGTGGACGCGACCCAGGAAATGGTCAGTCTGTACGATCTGTGGGAGAGTTACAGTGAGCGAGCTTGCAAAGAGGGCGTAACCAAGTTTGTGAAAGATGGTGGTACTGCTGGGAGTTCGGGAGTTGGGGCAAAGTGAAAAGACAGCACACTGTGTATGGGAGTATCGGAGATTGATGGCAAAGGCGGCTGATAGTGGAGGGCATATTGTCTTGTTGGGGATTTCGAGACCACACCACTGCTGTCCACGCCGCTGGACTTGCCGGTGGTCTCACTGACTACCACCACCGTCCTTACGCTGTACCACTCGCCACAAACCCAATTCCACACTGGAAGTCTGCGAACGACATTATTGAGCTTCTGCTCAGGCAAAATTCCATTCCCGGTTGTTGAACATTGAAACGCAAGTATATGGGCTTAACACTTTTTGCATCTTCGGTGTAAGCTCTGGAGAATCTCTTCAACGATGAGAAATCATCCCACTTTCCGACATTTCGATTCGGAAATCAACTTCGTGGCCGCAGAATGTACTCTTCGCTTTTGCAGATATCTCCACCCGCCACCTCCGATTTCACCCGGTGACGATGTTTCCAGACATCGACATCAATGTTATTCAACGCCATGATTCTGTCCACGCGAACGTCTCTCTTCTGGCCGAACCGTTTCACACGCCCGACTGCTTGCGCTCCCTTGGCCTCGCAATCGTATCGCATCGTGCGCAGCAGAGGCAACAGGAAAGTAACATGGTTGGCACCTTCCCGATTCAGACCTGAGGCTGTCCCGTTTGGAATGTTGAAGAAAAGAATTCTAGCTGAGTTGCGGCAGGGTCGCTTGCTGGGGTGTACTTTGTGCTTGTGTCTTGGGGATCTCGTGGTGGGTACCGGCAGATTTGAGAGCGCGAGTTTCACTTGTGTCAGATGCTCTGGGGAATCGGACGTACAGAATCGCTTGTTCTTGTCCCTTTTTGGACTACTGCATGCTATGCTGTACATTGCTGCGATCTGGTCCGGCGTCTGTGTCACTTCTCATGGCAGCTACGACATACTCGGATGGTCCGCGGGTGATATTCCCTGCGAAACTAGAAGCTTCGTCTTTTCGTTTGCATCCCGGAGCGTCACAATTCTTCTGATTCTGGAGATCATGCCGCAGAGTCCGGACAGTGTGTCGATCTCGTTGCGGTCAAAAGCCACTCGTCCAGGACATCCAGAGTAGCAGGTTTGCCACTTGGATGTTGTTCTTTCTTTGCTCCCTCCTGCTCTTCAACTCCAGTCCGGCGCTACCTAATGCGGCCGCCACCATGGTTCCAGGCGTAGCTCTTTCCTCGCGCACGATCTCGAGTATGTTCTCACTGATGAGCGCTTCATCCTCGAGACCGCCGAGTTCGATGTGTATCTGCCACGCGGTAGATTTTTTCGGCTTCTTCTGCATGGGCAAATGCCGATGGAGCGGATGAGCAGCGCGTAGGAGAAGACTTATTGTAAAAACGCAGCTGGTTTTCCTTGTTGGAAAGTGCGTCCCTCGGCGGTGGAAGATTTTCTTGATGCTTCCATAGTGAAACGTTGCTCGCGAGCTGTTTGGGCGCAATTCGACTTCATGCCATTTCTGCATATCCTGCCCGATGAAGTCGCGAGGAGAATTTCGGCATGTAGATAGAGCTGACATGATCGGAGTCCAGTATTGATCGGGCCGGGATCAGATGCTCTGGAATATCAATTTCGATGGCATTCGCTGCTCTGCGTTGACACGAACGGACCCAAGAAGTCTTGATGCTAGCGGTGTGTGTGGCCTGACAGACCTGCCATATGACGGTTACAGAGGAAACGTTTTTCGGCGGATCTTGCGCGAGGTGTTCTGCTTTCATCCGTCGAGCGCTGGAAGTCGTCGACAGTGAGATATAAGCAGCTTCGCTGTCTGCGCGACGTTATAGAAGCTGCGATAGCTGGACTGGTAGACAAGACCCATCTTTTGTCGGCTTTGAGGGTACAGATCGCTGCGAGCTCTTTTGAGTGGTAGTCTTGGTATCCGTCCACAATGATGCGGCTGAGGTAGAATAGTTCCAAACAATGGCCGTCCTACATCGGACGTGCTAATGGGTTTCGCTGTCAGTGGGTCCTGTAGCGTTATGATATCTGCTCGTGTTTGCTTACGGTCCTTGCAAGCTAAGCCAACGAGAGACGGCAAGAAGGCCCCTGATATCGGTACCTATGCTTCACTCTGCAATTCAGCTATCTTTGAGACATATGTCTGTGGAACATGCTGCTGTAGAGCAGCTTCACCATCGCTACGCAGATTTCGGGTCTGTCCGCGCATGTCTGTGGCTGTATCCGCGTACCACTGCGACAGACCGCGGACAGCCACCCTTGTGCTAGACATGACTGCAAACGCTGCTAGTCGCCTTAAGGTAAGGATCTAAGGTCTGGACAGAACTGATTGATCACGATGAATTTCGCTTTGCGAACGTGTTCCAGGGTGTACCCGCTCAGCCCTGCGGCATCGTTGATGGAGCTGACATCGTCGAGAGTCTCGAATGCGGCCGCAGTCTCTTCAAACCACTGTCGTTGCAAGCTCTCAGGGAGATACTCAAGCTGACAGCCAAGGGCTCAAGTCCGAGGAGTGCTACGTCTTGGGCTTGACTTTTCTGCCAGCCCAAGGTAATCTCTTCTTCTGGCGTGTTTGCGACCAGACGACATTCGTACTGGACGTCTCTAGTATTGCTCGGGAGGAGTGTGAAGAAACTCGGTGTACAAGCGATGGAATGTTCACGGCAAGTAGCTGGATTGCTGGGACATTTAGTACCAATGGAAGAGCGGACGTCAAAGCATTCTCAAACCCAGCTGGAAGATGTGCGCTTTCATTCTCCATAGGTAGTAGATCATCACTCTGCGATGGCAAGCGGTAAGGTGCAAAGAAATCCTGGCTATGAGTTCCGACAAGTCGACGGGTGCTGCAATGTGTCGCACTTGGACAATTTCAGCAGCATCATCCTTCGGCTCTCGCTCGGGAAATGGCTCTTCGTTAGCAGCAATAGATTCTTGCCTCCCTGCGTGGGATTCTGCGCTATCGTAGCTGCGCGAGGTTATGTCGGCAATGTCTCAGTCTTCATTACCTGTCCAGCGATAAGATACACCTGAGTCCTGGTGGCGATCCCGACAGCCAGTATTGGCTGATACGAGGGCATGTCGTTTGTGGTTACTGCCAGTGGCGCCTTGGCGAACGGAACATCTCTCTATGTTCATCATCAATGTACGAATCCCCGATAAGAGCGTTGTGCACAGAGGTACCGTCGATGACGTTCGGTCGTGTTGAAATCGAAGTCGGTAGCCGGTGGAAGACGCGTCTGGGAGAAGCCTGACCGCCTTGCGCGCACGGATCCAGAGACGTCGCCACTGCCCAAACTCAAAATTGAGAAGCTTCAGGACTTCCCATCGTTCGACTGTTTCTGTTCTGGTTTCATCCAGATACGAAGACAGCAAAGTATCCGCAGTCGAGGAGGTTGGCTGGGAGAAGTGGATCCTTTTCGCCAATCATCTTCCGCCGCCGAAGCGAAGCCGACACTGTGACCCGATAAGGGAGGGCTCAGAAACAATTGGGAAGAAAAGCATCGTAGTGCTACACGCGAAAGAGATGCAAATAAGGTACGAGCTGTCAAAAAGTCGACATATACCACGAGAGAACAGTGTGGGGTTGTGACCTGAGTTGGCATCGCAAGAGAGAATACCTCCGTGCCGAACACGGATGCCGTTAACTTCTGGATGACAGGAAGTGATGTGAAGGTGCCCGACTCCGCGCGCGAAGGATACACCAGGACGACCCGAGACTCGCTTCTGATCTGCCGCATGTGTCGGGACCGAAAGGCTTCATCGAGTGCGGCTCCACAATTGCCACCTCGCGCAGGCGTAAAAGTGTTACCTCGACAGGTCTCGATGGACTTGTTGTTACATGCGGGCTCAAGTTACGACCGCGCTTCCCCGCATGCAGGATTCCAGCATGGAATTGCAGACGGCGGCAGGATGACAACCTCAAACGGCGATGCAACGGATGGATCGACGACGAGTCTTGTGTTATAGTCTTGAGCTTGAAGGCAATCGATGCGGAGTCCATCGGCGTGCTGTATTACTCGACCACTTGGCGAATCTTTCAGGCGAGAATTTCGACGTGACACAGAATCTGGCACGTCATCTGCACAGACACAAGATGATGGAAGGGGATCGCTACTGTACCACACTCCCGTCTGACCCGCGGCGGCGACGTCCGTTGCCAAGTCGATGCCAAGCCTCGCGACACGTCCGACAGGGGCTTAGCGCCGTTTGGAGGCCCCGTGGGGACCCTTGCTGCTGCCCCTCAAGCCACGAGGTCTGCCCAGCATCTCACCTCCGAGCCTTCCAGCCGTTGTCCTCCGTCGGCTTTCCGTTTGCAGGGCTTTCCGGCACATGGCTCTCCGCGCATAGCAACGCTGCGATACGCACTGTTGACGCTGCTGTACCTCATTGTTGTTGACGGTGCCACGGGCTTCATGAGGAAAAGAAGGGAGCTGGTCTGTTGGTGCGAGAAAGCTGCTCTACCACAGAACGGGTCAGCATGTCTTGCACGCGACCTGTCGATCGCACCCACCTCTCACCTCTCACCTCAGCTGAACGCCCGGGCATCTGCAGCGCTCCTCACTGTGCCGCTTAGCGTTGCACAGCACGATGGATGAGGAATGCTCCTCCGCCGCCGCGATCGAGCCGCTCACAATAATGGAGGCGCGAGGGCGGTGATGGGGGACAATGAACCAGCTCATCCTCGCGACACATGCTCACCCGAACTTTATCTTGGTATTATTAGGCCGCCAGCTCGTTATTCAGAATGCATGTGAAGGCGAGCGGCGGGCCCGTGTGCCACTCGAATGCATGGGCGGCGCCATGGATGCGGAATCCAACGCCCTCTCCAAATTCCTTCGTACTCGACCCCACAACCCTGTTGCTCGGCATCCAGACCGGCGCAGCCTAATAAACACCCACAGCCTTCCCAGCCGCTCATTGTCCAAATCATCTCTTTCACCCTCGACAAGCTCGTCTCCGGCCCACTGCTTGACCCATTTAAGCTTCGACAACACCAAGACCGCCGCCCACCATGGCCGAGAAGGACGGCACCGACGTCGTCTACGCCACCCACGATGAGAAGAACCATTCCTCGCACGACTCGCCCGACTCGCCCGAGCCTGAAGGGCCTGGACGTCGCGGCTCCGTTGCCATGAACATCGTGGAGAATCCGCTCAAGGTGAACTTCCAATGCCTCGATGTGGACTCGGCCGCATACGCTGTATTCTTGACACAGAAGCCGAGCTGACATATCCTCTCACAGCGAGCTTCCACCGAGCAAACAGTCGCCGATGCGCGCGCTTTCGCCGAGATGCACGGCATGCAAGGCTATGCCTCCCTCTTCGGTCGTGCCGCTTTGGTCGCCCGCGACCCCGAACGTTTCGAGTTGGTGAACGAGCTGGAGGAGTCGGAACGCAGCGCGCTAGCGTACGAGCGGGACCACAAGTGGCACGGTCCGAAGATGCTCTGGTACTCGATTGCTCTCTGCGCTATTGGAGCAGCTACACAGGGTTGGGACCAGACTGGATCAAACGGCGCCAACTTGTCGTTTCCTACGGAATTCGGTATTGACGGCAAGGGACGGGACGAGTGGATTGTTGGCGTTATCAATGCCATCATTTTCTTGACCGCCGGTCTCATGTGAGTTGCGCGCACGGAGATGAGACTCTACCTCCCACCTCGGAGATCTCGCTGACTTGAACAAAAATAGTGGTGCATTCATTGTCGATCCTCTCAACCACTACCTCGGACGTCGAGGCGAGATTTTCCTCACCGCCGCCTGCTTGACCGCATGCCCCATCGGCTCTGGCTTTGCCAAGTCATGGCAAGGACTCTTCGCTGCGCGATTCGTCATGGGCATTGGTATTGGCGCGAAGAACGCCACCGTCCCCATCTACTCTGCCGAGATGGCTCCAGCTCGGATTCGAGGTGCTCTCGTCATGTTTTGGCAGCTCTGGGTCGTGGCCGGTATCTTCTTGGGGTTCTGCGCCAATGTCATTGTAAAGGACACTGGCGATATCGCCTGGCGTCTGCAGCTCGGCTCGGCCTTCATCCCATCCTTCATCCTCCTTCTGGGCATCTTTTTCTGCCCCGAGTCTCCTCGTTGGCTCATGAAGCACGGCAAGATCGAGAATGGATTCAACTCGATGCGACGCCTGCGTAGCCACCCGATCATCGCTGCGAGAGATTACTACTACTCTTACGTTATCTATCAAGAGGAGCTGCGCGAGGCCCGCGGTGCCGGATACTTCCAGCGTCTCTGGGACTGCTTTGCCATTCCTCGCATTCGACGTGCCAACTACGGTGCCTCGACTGTCATGATTGCCCAGCAAATGTGCGGCATCAACAGTAAGTTCCGAAATGCATCCCCTCGGAATCTTTGAAACTGACAAGCCGCAGTCATCTCTTTCTACAGCTCCACGATCTTTGAGGATGTCGGCTACACTGCCTCTCAAGCCCTGTACGCCTCGCTCGGTTACGGTGCTATCCAGGTCCTTGCCACCATCCCTACGCTGTTCCTCATCGACACCAAGGGCCGCCGAACCTTGACACTTGCGACTTTCCCCGGAATGTGCATCTTTTTGCTCGCAGCTGGCCTTTCTCTCCTAAACGACTCCGGCAGCCGATCAGCGCAGATTGCGCCCGTCGTGCTGTTCGTCTATCTCTTCACGATCTGCTACTCCCTGGGTGAGGGACCAGTGGCTTTCCAATACTCTGCTGAGGTCTTCCCTACCATCCAGCGTGAGCAGGGTATGGCCTGGGCTGTCTGCATCAACAACACCTTTGCTGGTATTCTGAGTTTGACCTTCCCTCGCATGAGGACCGTCATGACGCAGACTGGTGCTTGTAAGTTTCCATTCCCGAAGGTCTGCTATCCTATAAGACTCTCGCTAATCCATCCCGTAGTCGGGTTCTATGCCGGTCTGAACCTCATCGCCTGGTTCATGATCTTCTGCTTCGTGCGCGAAACCAAGCAGCTTACCCTCGAAGAACTGGACCAGATCTTCTCCATCCCGACCAAGGAATACATCTCCTACGAAGCGACCGTCTGGCTGCCCTACTTCATCAAGCGTCACATCTTCCGCATGCGCATCGAGAAGCCACCGCCACTCATCGAGAAGGCGGAGAAGGTGGATTATGTTGTTTCTGGCCCGGGCGCAAAAGCTTAGGGTCGCAGCCGGTCCAGAGCGGAGCTTTTTATGACTACGTTTTCTTTTACGAGACTTCGTACCTTTGTATTGGCAGCGGGGACTGCCTCTCTCTCTCATAGGAGCAGGGTGAGAACAGGATACCTAGAATGGAATGAGGATGACACGAGAGCTTCTCGAGTACACACTGGATGTGTAATGACGTTTTAATTCGGTCTCTTTCTCTCTTCTGTGCACTTCGTAATTTTCGGGTTTGCATGTGTTTGCTACGATTCTCAAAGTCGCGGGTACCTGCCTACTCTCATACTGTTTCACATGCAAATTCCCTCCTGGACGCGGCTGAGTCAGCTTAGCGCTAAGAGCATCATGCTGGCTGGATGGAGCAAGTAAACCACAAACGCCGGGGAGAGAGAGAGAGAGAGAGAGAGAGGGAGGGAGAGGGAGAGGAAGTGGAATTCGCGCACGAAGATTCTCTGGAATGTTGCCGCAACAACACACCACCATCATGCGCATACTCCCCGCGCTCCTGCTTGTCGTGCAAGCCGCCGCCGCCAATGCGACTGTCTTCGGACTTGAATTCACGACCACTGGCCTTGTCTGCTCCGCTTCCCTCCCCAACGGCTCGGCTGTGGGATTGAAAAAGGTGGACGGAGGAGCAGACTATACGGCGGCGATGTTTCGGATGTTTAGCGAGGCGAGAGCGGGTGGGAGGACTCCGCGACCACTGCTGCAGCGGGACGAAGAGTAAGTCCCAGTCCCGCAATCTCCCGTCTGGGAAATGTATTGCTCACTGTACTGTCCGTTCGGCTTAGGAGTCGTGGGAGTTCCTGGTCTTGGACTTGGCTCGGATTTCCCCTCGCTACTGCTGCTGCTGCTGCTTCTTTCCCGAAGAAGAGTGAGGATGCCGCTGCTGTTCTTGGGACTGTCGTCGCTCGGGCGAAGGAAGATTGCGTCAGGACGCTCTTCGAACAGTATGCAATACAAGTCTCAGAGAAGCGTCCTTCAGCTGTCGTAGTCGGTCCGACGTTCCTCTTCACCCCCGTCAAGTGCAAGATGGAAGGAAAAATCTGGTTGGACTCCTGGATCGTGCAGCAGCGCAAGCGTGTGGGTCCTACGAAGGCGGAGAGGGGAGTCTGGCAGAAGAAACAGGAGAAGATTTTCTTGAGGGCTGTGGAGGTGGGCGGTTTCAAGCTCGGGAGGCATGAGATCTTGCCTGCTGCTGCTTCCAGTGCCACGATGGAGCGTGGAGGCGTGGTACTAGTTGCTCAACTCCAGGCGCATGGCCTCACGCTCTGGAGTGACCGGGATCCTGTACAGGTTTGGAGTACGTTCTCTCCCGCACGGCAGTGGGAGGAAACTCCGAGGTTGCACTTTCCGAGGCTACTCGAGCAGGCGAATGGGAGTATCACTGTGCTCCCCATCGGAGGCGGATGGGTACCGCCGAGGTTGAGGAGGCTGAGGACTATTGTACAGGAGTTGAGACCGGGCGCTACGATCTTGATGGATGTCGAGCCTCTCTACGCTGCCAGTGTCGGTGCTGCGATGATGGCATGAGCAATACCACGTCACTCCAAGAGACCAAGCTGTTCGTTCTCCAGTGCTGCATTCAAGTGACCATGAGGATTGTGGTTAGGCGGATGATGAGTCCCCTTTCTCGTCTCTGTTCTTCCGATGCGCCCAACTCAAGCATCTTCGATGAGGAACTCCCGTCGCATGGCGCCAGTCTCGTCTCTCGGTGCGAGTGCTGCAGTATCGGTCGCCTTTCTTTTCCGGCTCCACGAAATTGTCTGATTTCGTCTTTCATAGGACCGAATGGGAATGAGTCGGTTCGTTATAGATCAAAGTTCCTTTTTTCGCATGCAGCAGGGTCCAGCTTAGCAAGAAGAGTGAGTTCTTCGAGCAGTGGGACAATGGAGCTGTGTGATCTTCCACAATCGCTGCGCTTTCCAGTCTTTCCTATCGGTCCAATTTTCTTTCTATTCCGTCTCGCTTTGGGGGTCCCCGGGTACATCTCCTATTTTATTTCCTTGGTCTTTTCATACCGTTCCTGTTGACTTCAATTCACCAAGGGTAGATCAGCACGCTTTACGATGTACGACCCCCGTTGCAGCAACGTCAGTCAGTATCACGCAACTCTGGAGAATATCAGTAAGTACAGACTTTCGAAAGAGAGAAAGGTTCCCATGTCCACTCCGGCGGTATCGAAGAAGCAAGCTTTTCCGCGGACAAAGAGAAGGAAGGCGGTTGGCGAGAAGAAACTTGCCACCAGCAAGGTCCCAACGACAATTGACGGGGTCCTCAAACGTAAGCTTACAGGATTGACTTGCCTCCATTGTAAAGTCCTCCCGCGTGTTCGATGACGACCTGCCCCATGTCGTTGCATGGCGTGCTAACAATTGTATAGGCGACCAATTGGCCGGCGGGAATGGTTGCAGGACGAAAGACGTACGCGCATTCCGCAACTCTGTCTGATGATGACGTGGAAATTCGTGCTTCCGGTGAGCTGGGGTACGCAGCTTCTCTTGCTCTAACAGCAGAGTCACTCCAGAAATGCAATTGTCTTGGTGAGTATATCGGCCAGCTACGCCCGGGGCTTGGGCCATCGCTTTTTCTCGGTCTGGGATTGACGGAGTCTGTGGTATCGCCTTCAAGTTTCGGGGAAGCTGGGCGAGATTGGCCCATTCGCATTACGATCCGAATGTCGCGGCTTCGAGCGAGGTGATAGGTAAATGATATGCTACTCTGTTCCAGGCACTAAGGGAGTTTCCTCCGGGTGACGAGATCTGCATTGATTGTGGAGAGGTAAATTTCCGGTATGCGGGGCCTTCGTGTCAGTGTAACGAAAGAGTAGATAGTAGACAGTAGACCCGAGGTCTAAATCTCTGACTGTACAAGAAACGCTCATACTTGGTCGACAGGAAGCTAACTGTACGCACTGCGATCCGTCATGTTATCATAAGCCTGATCCGGTATGGATTTCTGTGGAGAATGACGGAGCCACTGTACCCGATGATGGCAGTAGAAAACCTTACTAATGTTTGGCTGATGAAAGAATCCGCCGTCGTTCGGATGTAAGGGAGGAGGTGAAAGCGGTGGAGTGGAATCAAGCTTGTCAGACTACGTTGGGCTAGATACATGGAGTGGAACGAAATTTGCCCGGCCGGTTGGCCTACTCGTATCACTGCACTCCCTTCCGATCCCGAAACTTTCCTTTCAACCCAGCTACTCCACTCTTCTCACTATCATTGTCGCCATCCACACGACCTTTATCACCGCTATCCTCGATCTACCTCATCGCTATCGATGCGTCTACCGCTATGGAGCCCTATATGATCCAACACGCTTCACTCGCTTCCGTCTCACGGCCGGGCTTCCAATGGCAAGCCTTCTCAAGCTGAGCCGGAATGCTGACTGATTCTCTTGCCTCGATCCTACGCCGATTGTCAACTCCTGTGTTATCAGTCTTTGTAGACATCTCTCTATCACGACTCCCGTCGTCTCCAGCCTCGCGAGCTACTCGCCTACCCAGCCTCCACCATGTCTGCGAGTTCTTTCCACGTAGCCATCGTTGGAGGCGGTCTCTGCGGCATTGCCCTCGCAATCGCTCTAAAGAAACGCAATGTTTCCTTCACGCTTTACGAATCGAGATCATCCTTCACCGAGATTGGAGCAGGCCTCAACTTGGGCCCCAATGGGCTGCGGGCCCTTCAAGCAATTGAGCCTTCCCTACGTGATAAGATCTTTGCCCTAGCCACGCGGAATCAATCGCCTGAGGAGGATACCTGGATGTGGTTCAAGTATGGGGCTGCTTCTGGGGATCATCAAGATGGCGAGACGTTCATGAAAATCATGGCGCCGCCGACTGGTAACACAACGCTTCATCGACAGGAATTTCTGCAGGCTTTGGCGGATGAGATGGGCGAGGAACATGCAAAATTCAACAAGAAGCTCTTGGCATATGAGCATCAAGACAATGGCGTTCTCTTCAAATTTGCGGATGGTACTGAAGGATCTGCGAGCATCCTTGTAGGGTGCGATGGAATCCACTCTCGTGTGCGGACGGCTATGCTTGGCCGTGACAGCTCCCTGAGCAAGGCGCATTACAACCAAGACGGCGCTTATCGAGCTGTAATAGCCATGGAGAAAGCATTGGAGGCCTGGGGCGAAGACGCTCGTAAATCACAAGTATCGCTTGGACCGAATGGATACTTCATTTATTACCCCGTCAGTGGAGGCAAAGCCGTCAACTGCGGTGCTTGGTGCCGCAAAGAAGGTACCTGGGACCAAGATGAGTGGGTCCTGCCAAATCAGGGTGATCAGCTGTTTCGAGAGGATTACAATGATTGGGGACCTCGGATACAGAAGATGTTGAGATTGTTCCCGGAGGATCCCTCATTTTGGGCGGCGCATCAGCATCTTCGACAACCGGAAAGTTTTACGGACGGCCGTACGATCTTGATAGGAGATGCCGCACATGCGATGCCGCCACATCAAGGTGCGGGCGCTTCTCAAGCTGTAGAAGACGCTTATGTCACTGCCGAAGTTCTTGGACAACTTCAGAGGGACTGTGGTTCGTCTCTCACAGAGGAAGCCATCAATGCTGCCCTACTAGCAATTGAAAATGTCCGGAAGCCGCGTTTCAGCAAAGTCCAGGAATACAGTACCTCCTCGGGCCCATTGTGGTATTCGTTCTTTGAACAAAGACTTGAAGGTGAAGCGCTGGAAGATTGGATCCGTGAAGTAAAAGAACAGCTGCTAGAGATTTGGGATGTCGACATCGTGAGTGAAGCTAAGATCGCCAGACATATCTTGAAGAAGAAACTTGATAAGGGATCTACGCAGACGAGCGCTCTTTGAAAGGAATGTGGCGATGTTGCATGCTGCCCACTCACAGCCATGCTTGATCATCCACGCTATTGTCTATCTGAGCAGCCTCAGAAGCAATGTCATGCCCTGCTGATACCTTTTCACAACCCACGCCCCTTTTCTTGTGAGCTTCGGCAAAGGTTTGGAAGGATGCATGTGGAAGATAGCAACGTGAATGCCCATTTGTCGTCGCGTGCCAGGCTCTGAACAATGCATCTACGAGCGGGATTTCACCATTGCCGTGGGACCCAGGTATCGAGACCCTGCGCAAGGTTGTCCGGAAAGGCCGGCTTACCAGGCATCGATCATTGCTGGAACTTCGGAGTATCAACCGTGGTAGTGATCACTCACCTCTGCAAATTGTCTGTTTGGAATTCCCGGAAGCGTTCAATGCGACTTGAGCAGGCGTGAAGCGATGGAGCTCCGCTCGTGATTCGCTTCTGCAACGAACTCAGAGGGCACCTGGAACACGTTTCCGCACGGTATGCTCTCCAGCCTGTCTAGTAGCAAACAATGCTGCCGGAGACAACACACCGAAACGACTTCCCGAAGATATGAGCATAGATTCGGCTACAGGTCGGAAGTGCTGCCTGTCGACACGTTCCAACCAGGATAGGCAGAGCTGAACCCAGCTGTTCACGCCAACGGCCACTTGAGAAAACTTTATCATAGGCGCACCAGTTTTTGGCGCCACTGGGACCACGGTAGTGGGCTGAGCTGACAGGAACCCCCACGAGCGCACAAATTCTCGCCATAGCCCTTTTTATCTGCATTGCGCGCAGAGGGTATCAGTATGCCTCTCATTTCTTCCATTTTATTGGTTTGACACCTCCATCAATCGCGACACCCGGTCTCTGGACAGGAGGCATGGAGACTGCAAAGGCGAGGCAACTGCCCCAATGTGCATTCCAATGTCTGGGCGTCATTCTTCCACAACCGAGCGCCAACACATCTTCATGGTGCAGCAATACTTCGGCTCAGGGCATTGCGGATCTGTGCCTTGCCACTCACTGTACCGTGCGAGAGACCCTCGCATCTCAGGGTTGGTACCGTCAGGTATGCCACACGCCTTCGCAAGATGTTGCGGGCCAGATACGCATCATCAACTGGACTCTTCTCGCCCTTGCACTTCTAGCCGTAATCTTCAGATTTGCAAGCAGGATGTGGATCTTTGAAGGTGATCTCAGTTGGGACGATTGGACGATATTCATTGTTGCAGCTATAGCGGTAGGCATGGGGGCCATAATTCACTATGATACACGGCATGGACTGGGACAGAATATCTGGAATGTCGATATCGATACCGTTACGCATCTCTTGTTCGTAAGTTCTCGCATCACCTTAAAGACTTTCAGGGATCCTCCCCAGCATGCTAAAATGATCTCAGTATATTTATATCGGCGGATTCTTCTACCTCCCAGTCACTTGTGGTGCCAAGATCTCGATTTTGCTCCTTTACGTCCGCATCTTCGACAGCGCGGCCAGCGAAAGACATCGGTTTCGCAACATTTGCTGGGCCCTGATCGCTCTCATCACGGCTACTACACTTGGATGCATAGTCTCTTGGGTTCTGGAGTGTGAACCTCTGAACCTCATCTGGACGCGCTGGACATACTCTCCGACCGAGTCATATAAGGGCCATTGCGCCAACGCGGAAATCCAGGTCTACACCTTCGCGGCCCTGAACATGGTATATGACCTGGTCGTCTTCTGCCTGCCGATTCACAGGGTGCTCAAAATGCGAAGTCAGAGCACGAGACGAAAGGTTACCATCATTCTGACTTTTCTCGTCGGCCTCTTCGTCACGACTTGCAGTGCCGTTCGACTCCAGTACCTGGTGAACTTTGGCACGCCAAAGGATCCGACCTTTCAATACGCCCACATGTGCATGGTCTCCATGTTTGAGTGTTACTTTGGCATCATATGCGCTTGTATGCCGCTTATCGCTGGCTCCGTGAGACGAATGTTCGCGACGAAGGTCAATGCTGTGCTGAGAAGTCGCAGTAGTGATTGGAGTAGCGGTCCACTGGTATTACCGCCCATGGCGACTACAGGCCCAGAAAGGGCCGTGATCGCACATGCAGTCTCTGATGGTGAAGGATTTATCGACTATGCAAAGCGGCAAGACAGTGTTGTGCCTGCTTTGCAGCCTGTATAGATTGTGTACCGAATTATGTAGTGAGTTATAGTACGGAGTTAGGGCTAGAGAGGAAGGAGAGTATGATTTACTAGTTATGTAGTATTAGTTTGGGCCGAAAAGTAGGCTGAGAGTAGCTCAATCCTTACTAGTCATTGAACTCGTACCTCTTAAGTAGCACGATACTGAAAACATGACCGATGGATAGTAGGATGCGGCTGTGTAGAAGGCTGCAAGGCTGAAAGATTACGACACTCGCGCCATTTAGCTGACTTTGAACTACACACCGAGAGATGTTTACTACTTGGCGTAGACCCTCGACTCGGGAGGAGATGTTCTCGGCTCTCTATTCGAGTCCTTTGCTGTGACCAGGTACGTCGCTCTTTCCAACGTCTAGGATCAATCGGCGCGCATATCAGTGCCCGAAGCAATCTCGTTGATAGTGAACAATCGCTCTTAGCGGCACTCGGCTCCATACTTCCAATCGTCTAGGAACCAATCAATTCACGAAGTTACTCCGCGATACCATACTTAGTGTAACACAAATTATGCCTCCTTGAACGCTTTACTAACTGCCTCCTCAACGTCCTTCTCGGTCCCTCCTTTCTTGATTAGAACAGACGTAATGACTGCATGGGTACCGCCATTCTTTTCTCTCCATTCTCGTAAGGAACTCGAAATCTTCCCGGCATTTGGCTGACGCTGATACTTGTGATGCTCCACACCGTCCACAGTGACGACTCCATCGTAGTCCAGCCGAATTCCATATTTCAGAAGATCGGCCTGGGATTTCGGCCAAGCTGTTTTCCCTCGCCCGACCGTTGGATCGACAAGCTTCTTCCAGGCGCTCTTCACCACGGCGTCTGTCAGTTTGGAAAGTCTCTTCATGTTGTTGATATGTGAGATCTTCTTGGCACACTGTCAGTGACCAAGTTGTGAAGAAATACTCCGGAAAGTCTTACGTATAGCAATGTCGTTTATAAGTACCGTATGCGGTGAAACGATCGGTCAGATTGTCGATATGGACCTTCAGTGACAGCTGTGAATGTCATATTTATGTTGATTGTTCGTGATCTGCGAGATCTCTAGGAGGCGGCACGAGCTATTCCCTGGCGCCAGCGGATACAGTGGTATGCTGCCGGTTGGCAGCAGGCATGTCCATCTCGAAGCGCCCACCATACTTCCGCGGTACGGCTGCGTTGTGTCCAGCTAATGATAGACAGCCTCATCAAGTCGTTGGCCAAGACTATCGTTGGCTTGTATAGGTACGCTTGAGAAGTCCTTCCTATTGCTAATTATAGTAGTCCTAAGTTGATGGCGGCGTCTATGACCGGGCCGTGCAGCCGTGGGCCAATCAGCAGCATGCTTGTTGGCAAGCGCGTCGCGCTCAAACAACTCGACACTCTCCGTTCAAATCCATTGCATACAACAACGTGCCTTGACTATGGCATCTCTGCTCGGAACACACTGCAGGCTGTTCTACCGTACTCTCCACCGGGACTCGCCATACTTCCGGGCGCAGCTTGGAACGTACGCTCGGGTCCGACGTCCAGCAGCCATGGCAGCTGAACAGAATCCACACGAGGGCGACTATTTCAACTACACATCTGGCAGATGGCTGTTCTTTACCCCGCCTACGCTTCGCCGCATACAGACTAATGGTCTTTCAGGTACAATGAGAGGAAACGGCTCGAGGAACGACACGTGCACTTCAACATTACCGCTCTTCTCGAAGCCGCAGCAGCCTCGATCAACCGGCAAAAGAGCGACGTGAAGTCTTTTCGCAAGCTGGCCGAAGGTGGTTTCAATCGAGTATTTGAGATTACTATGCGGGATGGGCTGCAGATCGTCGCTCGACTCCCATATTCTTCTACGCAACCAAAGTCTCTTGCAACTGCAAGTGAGGTTGCAACCATGGATCTGGTCCGTATTCATGGCGTGCCAGTGCCGGTCGTCTACGGATACTCCGCAGACGACAACAATCCTGTCGGAGCGGAATACATTTTCATGGAGAAAGTCGCGGGTCAGTGCCTAGGCGAGATCTGGTTTGACCTTTCCGACAGAGAGAGACTCAAACTTCTAGGTGCGATTGTGGACCAGGAGGCCAAGATGTTCGACATCGCTTTTCCTGCTTATGGTAGCATCTACTATACATCGGACGTGCCTGAGGGTATGGGTCGGACGCAGTTAACGCACCAACTTGAGAAACTTTGTGTCGGACCAGACGTCTCCTTAAAGCATTGGTTTGGAAACCGAAGTCAACTTGCTATTCAGCGTGGCCCATGTAAGATCACTGGTGCCCTACAGGCAGTCAATTGACTTGAAAATGAGCTGATCTGTTGGTTTCTAGCAACAAGTGCTTACGAAGTTCTTGCAGCCGCAGCGAACAAAGAGATTTCGTGGGTTCAATCGTATAGTAGACCCCGGTTTCCATTCGACCGAGAGTATCGCGAAATGTTCGATTACAAAAAGGTGGATCCTTGTGAACATGCTCGCAATCTGCAGGCTTTTCTCGACATCGCTCCTCATATCGTACCTCGTCAGGAGTGGCTTCACAGGCACGTCATCCGACACCCAGACCTGAATCCTAACAACATCTTTGTCGACGATAACTTCAACATCTCGGGTATAATTGATTGGCAACACAGTGTTGTCCTGCCTCTCTTTTTGCATGCTGGTATCCCTGCTTCGCTACAGAACTATGGCGATCCAGAATCCGAAGAGCTAAAGAAGCCCGAATATCCTACGAACCTTAACGAACTGGATGAAGACGATCGAAGGAAAGATCTCGAGCTTTATCGTCGCCGGCATACGCACTTTTATTACATTGGAGCCACGATAACAAAGCTGAACACCCACTACAAAGCACTGTCCCATGACAAAGGTCTTCTTCGGAAGAAATTGTATCAGCACGCTGCAGAACCTTGGGAAGGCAATCCTATCCCTCTCAAGGCCGATCTTGTGCAGATAGCGACAGGCTGGTCGGAATTCGCAAATGCTGACGCCAACGACGCCGGCAACGACAACCACAACATGCCGACATGTCCAATTGCTTTCGATGCAGGAGAAGTTGATGCGACGATGAACAAGATGCTAGAGCAAGAAGATATGGACGGGAAGATGCGAATACTGCGAGAAGTGATTGGGATCAGCAATGATGGCTGGGTGCAGTTTGAGCGATACCACGACGCAGTAGCTGAGGCGGCAGAGATGAAGAAGCAGGCCCTAGGTTTCGCGGAGAGTGATTTGGAGCGAGAAACGACGGAGCGACACTGGGTGTTCGACGATTTCGACGAAGAGGAATAGCTTTACGGCTTGTGATCGATAACGCCCCGAGCTTCCATCTCGCCCGCCTACTATCGACAAGCGCTCCTCTAGGCCCTCGACCTAGAGATTCTCGAGCGAGCCGACGATTATAAAGACTCTATAACGCCGATAGTACGTATAAGAATCTAAGCTAAGGAACAAACTTATAGGCCTAGTAGTAA